GGGATGGAGGAAGCGGATGGAAGGTAGTATAAGGTGTTGATGTGATGGATGTACATTTGGTTATGTAGTATGGGTATTTTCAGGGTGCAGCTGTTCGATCACTAGTTCTGCTTGACTCCCCGTGAAAGAAGTTTCTTCGGGACTGGTTTCGTGTATATTGTCCCTCGTGCGGTATTGTGCGACATAGCCCATGCTAGATGGTCGGTCTCGTCGGGATCCCTCCCGGCCGGTTCGGTGGCTTGATGCGTTGGATTTGGAGGTTGAGGCAATGGAGTCACCGCGTTCTCGGGATGGCGAGCTGCTTCCACTAAAAGGCAGACGTGCAGTGCCCGGAGATTCCGCCTGGAGATGACCAGAGTCTGGAGCGCTCCGAGAGGGCGAAGTGGCTTCTGCCACCGCGGGAAGGTCTGGCGTAGTGGGGCGGTCGCCATGCTCCGAGGCGGCTGCTTGAGTGCGGCGAGATCCCACTCGGCTGGGAAGTTCTATGCTGCCGACGGAATTAACCTGGGGGAGAACTGGGGCGCGCGCATCGCTTCGCTTCGGGGTATTATCGCCTTCAGAATCTCGATATGGAGCCTCATCGCCCACAGACACATTGCGGGAGTGTCCGCCAGGGGTCTCGCCGGCCGCCTGGTCCTCGGGATCATCTTGATATGGCGCTTCGTTGTAGCCCTCGGCGGGGAATAGACCAGGTGGAGGGGCGCGAGCGCTTCGCACGACCTCAAAGCCCTTGCCCTTGTCTTTCGTTTTGCCCTGGAATAAACCGCGGAAGAACCCTGTTGCGGAGGAGACTGGACCAGTGGGGTCAGCAGGACCTGTCTTCAACTTCCGAGTGCCCATGTGTGAGAGTGGCGGACCACGGACGCGATAGTAAAAGTCAACTTCACGGACCGCATAGTCTTTTGGTTGTTGAGGATCTTCAATCTCCATATCGTCTTTGGGTGCAGGGAGATATGCAGGCACTGGTGTATTCCGGCCAGACATGGGGAAGCCCTCCCCAATTTCATCGTCAGCGTCACCCGAACGGCTGTGCTTCAAGTTTGGTTTTAAGAACGTTCGAGAGCTCCTCTTAGACCGGTCGCCAGTTCCAGGCTGGGTAGACCTTCGCACTGCACCAGGCCTTGGGGGTCGGTAGTATGGATCACGTGGGTGAGCACCCATGAAGGTACTGCTGCTTGGTGAGATACCACCTCCTCCAGTGTACGCGGTCGGCGAATGAGCATATATACCGCCGCTAGGGGCACGGCTATGTGAACCACCACCTTGCGAGCTTGCATACTCAAGAATGCCACTAGCACGTCCTTCGCTAGCGGTGGCACGGTTCAGTAGCAGAGCGGAGCTGCCTGAGAGACTGCGAGGACGAGAACCTTCCCATTGAGAAGACATCCGTCCATCGACGTTAGCCAGCATCGCAGCCTCGGAGCCCATACTCTGTCGCGAGAGACCTTGGCGAGCCTCACGCCTTGATAGCTGACGCATGCCAAAGACTTTGGACAGACCTCCACGGGTGGAACCGCCGGCACCGGCCATTCTTGCCGAGACCTCAATCAAGGTCTGCAGGGCATTGAGAAAGAATCCAAACATCAGAACCAGAGCATGGAATACGAGAATCACGTAGCCGATCCAGCCCCGCGCGGCGGAGGAAATCGTTAGAGAAGGCACAAAAACAACGCTGAGGATGATTGTGAGGAACCGAACGAAAGAGAAGACGCATTGGTAAAGGTTCATGTGTGTCGGGGACGCGTATGGCCGGAAAGCGATGATCGTCAGCACGGAGACCACTTCGCAGATGGCCAGCAATACGACCTGGGCAATTCCCGACGGCTGCAGGGCTCCAATGGCAACACCACGGGCGAAATTGAGGAAGATCGGAACCATGGCGAACGCAGCAGCATCGTCGCAGTATGTGTTATATAACGGTCCATATAGAAGAACGGTGGGAAGGTCGTCGAAAAGATGAGATTTCGGGCGCGTGGAGACAATGACTCGAACCATCCATATGGAGAAGCAGAGAAGAATGACGATCACCAGTGCCGCCAGGGCCACGCTATATGCAGGGGAGCCACTCGCGGTGACCAGCTGGAAGAAGGATAGAGAGATAATGGGAAGGAGGAAATAGTTAAAAACAATGCGGATCACGTTGCCAACGGTGAAGGGCATGTTTTTGGCCCGCAGGTCCTGCTCGGTGGTGTGGGCTAGTTCACGATGCAGCCAGCGCAATGCAAAGCCCAACTGGATCAGCAGCGTGATACACCCCAGGATCACAAGGAGCCAGATCATCATGCCAGGCCACATATCTTGAGTGCTGCCCATGCCCACTAATTGGTTCATCCGATCGAGTCCGTATGTCGCGTTAATCGCAAAAACACCATCTTGGATCGGGTTGTTGCCACCTCCGTTGACGAAGCTCTGGTTAAACATGAGGGCCGACCACGAACCCTGGCTCACGGCCGGTTGGAAGAATCCAGGGTATTCCAGGGAGAGTGATCCCGTCAAGACGACGAACTGCAGATACTGCAAGCAATCCGCGAAGCCGGGGGTGACTAGGCGGAGGATATCTTCATCGCGGCCATAATTACTCGTCCACCGAAAGACATCGGTCGTACCCCAGGGTGTATACATGGACGCTAGCAGAGTAGCTACTCCCACCAGGACCAGAATCACCAAGGGGACGTATGCAAGGGCATTTTTGAGCGGCGCGCCGAAATCTGGGGTGATCGGCACGGTGATGCAGGCTAGCTCGGAAACAGCGGCATCGCCGAGAAGGATTGTGAACTTGGGAGTGATGGTCGAGAAGCGATAGGTAGAACCCATATCATGCTGGACGGAGAAGGATCGCAGCGTTCGCAAGTCGCTCCTAAGTAGAGTTGTTGAGTCAGAACCAAATCATCACACCACAAACATCACCAACATCACCAACAAAATAGGCTTACCTGTTGGCATCGAAAGCCGGCGCCAGCGGGCATTCACCCTGGTTCACGGTGGAGCAAAATGGGGTTCCATTATGCCAGGGCATATAACTCAGGACGTCAAATTCTGTCAACAAGGTGGTGTACTTGTTGGTCGTTTCCCCCAGATTCCAAATCTTGCCGTATGTCGACGAGGAATTCGTCCACTCGGGGTCACTTGGAGAATAATTGTAGGTCGAACCATCGGTCGTTCCGGAGACATTGCCGTAAATTGTAACATTCAGTGGGTGGAGGGGATCGGAGAGATTGAATGTCGCGGAGACGTCGAGGGGTATGAATTGGAGCTGCAGGGGGTCCGATTCCAAGATGGATTTTTCCAGACAGTTATCAAAGTTGATGAGGGCAGCAGTGGTGGGTGAAATGCAAGCGAATAGACACAGCAGGGCGATCCACCACAAAGAGCGAGCATAAGCTGTTTGGATGGATGGCCCAGGCTCCAGCGAAAGGCGCCGCCGTCGCGGCCGTTGTCGTTTGGACGTATCTCGCAGACTCCCATGGGGTAATATGGTGGTTGTCTTGATATCCGCAGTTTCCCTGGGCAGTCGGCCCACGCGCGTCAAGTCGCGACACATCTCTGGGTCGGGCATCCGGGATGACCTCCTAAGGGGGGGGGTCAACCCCCGGTGTTGGAGATCGAATCCACGTTGTGTTGGCAATCGGAAGGGTCGCGGGCTGGCGAGTGGGCTTACGCACACCCAGCAAAGGGATATGAAAGCTCGAATGATACGGTTCCGAGAGGAGGGAGGGGGGGTTAGGCAGGCGGAACAAGACGAGGAACCAGGTCGTTCGGAGATGGAGGGAGGGGAGGAGTGGAACGCGAACGCAGAGTACGTAAGTCTGCAGGTTCAGTTCAGATCAGGCTGGGACGGGAGGATCCGGGGGGCAGAGACTAGAGAAGCCCCAGTGGATGGTGGTGGTGGTAGAGGTGATGGAAGGAAGAAAGAGAAAGTAAGAGAATGAAGTGATGTTGTTGGCTGCTGCGTTGCTGCGCCTTGTTGGGTCTGGTAGGTCAGGTAGGTCTGGCCAGGGAAAGAGCCAAGCCGGGGACCGCAGGGCAGGTGCGATAGTGCGATAGTGCGATACTGAGTAGCCCAGTCGCACCTTCCCTTCCCTTCCAATGTTTGTTTTGGGTTGCGCCTGCCTTCCACGCACTCTGATCGCTCTTGCCTTGACTAATTGATTACTTTATAACGTCTACCTCTCCTCTACTTCTACTTCTACTTCTAGTTCTACTTTACTTCTACTTTACTTCTACTTCTTCCATGTCACCTCTCCCATACCCAGCTATATTCAAATGTTTCACTCCATCCACCCACCCACGCCATGCTTGTCTCACTTCACTCGCTGATCCGCCTTGAAAATTAAAAGGCAATCTCATCCTCATGCCCACCACCGTCTCCTTCGTCATACTCTCGTGTCGATCAGGAGTTCCATTGCACGATCGTCCACTCAATTCCGTATAGTCTATAGCTCGACACCTCTGTCCGGCCTGATCGTCTCAATGGGCCTCCTTCTTACTGCAATCGTCTCCGCCTATCCATTTCCGCCTACTCGTACCCACGAGTTCAAGCAAGCTCAACCTGGCACGATGTCTCAGTGGCTGTGGAATTGTGGCTGATATTTTTCAGCCAGGTGGACCACTCACCACCTGTTGGCTGTGGATGTGATGTGGGTGTGGATTGTCCCTTTGCCCTAATTCCCAGTTCCCAGTTCCCAATTCTCAATTTCCATTCGGATATGCAGATACGCCACACCGACTGCTGTGCATGGGATGCCTGAACTGGCGAGCCTCGCGTCAATACAGCCAGCCACTCACCTGCTATACGAGGATGCTTGTATGTTCGAGTACGAGTATGTACTCTGGGTCTACTATGACCCTGCATTTTTTTCCCCAATCATGCGGCCAGATAGCTTGCATATAGGAGAGCCATTATTCTCACAATGCTCCAGCCAAGAATCCACACGGTCCATCTGAATCCTTCACCGATGGAGTATTCAATCCCTAATCTCCCCGGCTGCTCAGCTGGGAACATGGCCCATGCACATAGCCCAATCTCCTCTGTCCTTATCCCCATCACATCCATCCTACTCATTCTCATCCCGAATAATCCCCCTACCACTCATTTCTCCCCCAGCTTCACTATTCAAGCTACCACTCGTGAGGAGATCCGCAGAACTCGCACTTATATCACCACCGCGTCGACGCCCGCTCTTTATGGGTGCGACTCCACAGACCGACACCTTGAGCTGCAAAGCAACGGTGCAGCCGCTCAGCATCCAGACCAGTGTATCTCTTCTTTCTACCCCACTCCCTACATCCAGCTCCCTTTCCCTTTCCTTTGCATATTTACTCAGACAGTTCTGTGCCATTGCAGTTGTGGATATCTTCTCGCGCTATCACTGATCTGCAGAACGTTTCCATTTCCGTACCGCGCACATCTTGTCCCTTTTCTTGTTTCCTACACCTCCTTGGTCGGTTTTCAAGCATTCTCCCTTCGATACTCCCTTCGGTACTCCCGTCGATACTCGAAGCTCGACTTCCCTGGTCGGCGTGCATGAATCTTATCGCTCGACAATACATCACAGCGCGATTCCCCCTACCATGGTATATTCCTGCGATCGGCCGCTCCAGAAACACAGCACTGCTTCAAGTTGCATACGTCTTATCTAACAGCGACAGAAAGGCTACCTCTTATACAGACGATTCCGGACTCCATCTATGCGCGTCTTGTCAGGATCTTCAGTTTGGCTCACCGTCCGGGGTACCTTCCCTTTCCCTCTTTACTAATACCCAACCAAACCCGCCCTCCCCCCCCTCCGACGCCTAATTCGGCGATTTCCTCGGTAATGAGGGCAAACGCACCCATACTTTCATAATCTGCCGGGTTAGTACAAGGGGACGTGCCCTTCCAGACTTCGAGTGCTGTAAGTAATCCCCGTTCGACTCGGGGACCCGGCATTTCGTTTTTTCCCTTCTTCGCTTTTACCACGGCTGTAGTTTTCCTTTTGCTATTTTTTAAGTAGGATGTTAATTACTCTTGGTTTTTCTTTCTTTTGGGGCTTTTTGGGGGCTTTTTGATGTCTTTGAGGTTGTAGAGTGGAATTGGTGACGTGTAGTGTGTCTCATGCCAGAGCTGTGAGTGTCTAGGACTTTTCAAGGTTAAGTTTCTAGAATACTGATGAACTTGAACTTTATACGTAGACTATTACAATAGTAGTACGAGTGGTAGTTAATACTAAACAATCCCTATAGTACTAGTAGTACTAGTAGTATCCTCGTGAGCCTGGCTAGAGACAATGCGGTGAATGGTCACGGTGGAATAGTATAAGAAACATGGCGCTATTGTGGACAACACATTATACGAGGTCGAGGTCACCTGGGCAGTGTATCTGGTGGAAGTACTATTTCAGGTTCCCGATGCCCAGGTGGAAACTTGAAAATTCCATGTCGCGTGACTAAACTACATTTATGGATCGATAAATTATGCCAAGGTCACAGTGACGGTGTAGATATATTTTGACGGTTATTGCAAGGGAGCTGAGCACTGACCACTGCCTGCCAGTGCCCAGGTGGGCACTGGCACCATACAGGGCTGGCACTGGAGTAGTATCTGCCAAGCGAGTGGTAGGGCTGTACCTAAAGGTGTTCTTTATTTTAAAATAACCTTAGAGCAATATAACTTATTAATACCTAGTGTTCACTACGGCGTTCTCCGTAGTCCAGGACTGTCAGATTGCTTACTAGTGGGTAGCGTTGCAGTCCACTTATTAAATGCAATTTGCGACCGCTATATGCCCGCTAGTTTACTCTTCCCTAGCTATAATTATCCCTGCAAGGAGAAGTGGGAGCTGGAGAATGGTTCCTCGTTCTTAAATTAGGTTGGTCTCAGGTGTGACCTAGAATAGACGCAGGGTGCAGCCAATGGCAGTTGGGAGCAAAGGCCACCGGGCGCCAAATGGCGTGTGGCGTCGGATCCGCATGCCTGGCGGGAGGACCAAAGGGGGAAGCCGTAAGGATACAATATATGCATAGATATATAGATATACTAGTATTGATATACTGCTAGCAGAATAGATAGATATTATAATTGTTACTATAGTACTAGTACAATAAGATAATCGCATACATTATGCCGATATACTATGTATGCTGAATGCCTCGTCAGCGGACCCGCCGCCCCAGCAGGATCGCTCGATGTGGATTAGGCGGTTTCATGCTGAGACGGTCCACCTGAAGTCCGGAGAAGTGGATGGTCAGAAACAGCTACATGATAAGTGTGAACTATATAGTCATGGCAATAGTATAGATCTGTGGTAGATAATACCTAGGTACTAGTAGTATATACCTGTATACTATAAGTGTGTACAGATACTATAAGTGTATGTTTATACTCTATACTCTATGCTCCTGCACTCCTGTACTATACTAGGATACTAGAACTCATCACTATCAGGACTATCAGGATCACTCATTGACCCTCCTACTTCATTCCTATATCTTGACTCGACTAGATACCGTGGTACTACTCTTCTCCTGCAGCCCACAGCCCACTTCTTAACTAACACTGGCAGTATACAACCTCTCTCTCCCACACTCACTACTATACACACACTCTCTTCCGACTCCATTCTGCTCTCCGCCGATCTCATCTCCACCAGGACTAGAAAGGACTAACAAACACCCAAACACCCACCCAACACCTCAGGGCCTTCCCTTGATCGTCTGCACGGGCTACACTACACCCACTACACACACTACGCCCCTCCCGCCTTTCATCCCCCCTTCACTTCACCATCTCCCCGCCTTCGCACTGCCCCAATTCACCACCACCACACCACCAGTACCACTTGGGCACCCCTGACGATCTTCGTCTTTGCCACGTCTGTGTCTCTGTTTCTCTCAGGCCGTCATTGTCATTGTCACTGACACTGACACTGACACTGCCCCCCACTGTCCCTCTCGACCAAGGACTGGTTCCTTGTTTCCCTTCAGCTCTGCGATGTGCCATCCTCCCCGACATGCCTGCCGATGACCCTTTCGCCTTTCTGGCTGCTGAGCAGCCCAAGCCCGCCCCTGCAAAGAAACCTCACTGGAGAGACAAGTTGTTCTCAAAGGATAAGAATCGCTCCACCCCAGACAGACAGATCGAGGACTTCCTTGCGACCTCGCGACCTGTCCCGGATGGCCTTGCGCCCAAGGCCGACATCCCCAAGGACTACTCCAGTGCCCCTCAAGCTCAAGTTTCCCTCCCAATTCACCATCGTGACCATGCCCCTCCTTCAATCCCTTCAATCCCTCCTATCTCGGAGGAAAACTATGCCGCCTTCAATTTCGACCAGGGGTCCCCTCCTCATCTCCAAGATGCCCCTCCCCAACCACGCCCCCTGCCCGCCGAACCAGCTCGGAAACCCACCATGAGACGTCGCAAAAACAAGGGCCTCCGGGTCGGTTTCTCGGATCGTGCCCCCGAGATAATGGGAGAGGGTGGTGATGAGTCCGAGTTCCCCACCATCGAGATCTCCTATAATCGCAAGCGAGCGCTGGAGCGACAAGCGGCGAACCCCCCCGCGCCGGGCCCCTTCACGCTCCCCACTCCCGTCACTCCGAGTCAACACCACGCTGGGCGAAGGTGCGGAACGTCGACGGGGTGGAGGTTCCCCTCATGGAAGTGCCACCAGTCCTAATTCACGACCCCCGCCCACACAGAATGTGCAGGAGGCGGATTTGTTGAACACCCTGGGTATTAGCAACAAACCCGGTTCGCGACTCTCCTTTCGTGGGTCGCCAGACTCGCATTCGTTCGCCGAGCGCGTACGGAATCAGATGCAGGCTGAGGAAGGTCGGGCTTTACACAACCACTATACAGATGATGTTGATGTCGCATCCCCGGCGGATGACGACCAGGATGATCTGCCTAGCCCTGAATCGCCCCCCGAAATGCCACCATCAGCATTCAGCCCGCATGACGCGCCACCGCCGAATTACGATACACCTCCGATGTCGAGCAGCTCGACTCAAGCACCCTCCCTCAAATCCGTCGTTCAATCTATTCGATACCCTTCCAGCCCGGCCGTTCATCGGCCCCCAGCCAACCTCAGCCCCGTCGACCCTCGAGGCCCCCCACCGGGTCTCGTCCCAGGAAGCCCCTCCAAACCATCATCTCCTCCCAAGCCTCCCGCTCACGAGATTCCCCCAGCGAACCAGTTGGTCTCCCCTCAGCAAGGTCGCGAGCCATCACGGAGCCCAAATCCACCGAAGTTCTCTCTACGCAATGTTGCCAATCAGGTGGGCGACACCTCGTTTTCCGATTTCAAGGATTATATTGCCCGATATGATAGCATCTTGACGATGGCCGCGGAGAGCGTGAAGCCGTTGATGGAAACCTCTCTGATGGAGTGGGTTCGTGCGGCAGTTTGGTGGTTCCTGCGTGGAAAGACTCGGTTGGAATCCTTTGCTCGATCGCGCGCAACGGCACCGCCGAGCTATGCTAAACAGGCCGTCATCGATCTGGGCAAGTCTCTGTGGATCAATGAGAATATTATTCCTACACATTATGAACTCGCTCAATACGGGCAAATGAGTGTGGACGCTCTTCTCGCCGTGGCCAACACCACCGCTAATAAAGAACTCGTCGAAGCCCTCACCCTGCACCAGACTACCCTGAACCATCTGCGCTCTCTTTCCATGTCAATCAAGCGTAATAATATTCTTGCAGTCATCCTCGGCGATGAACAATCTCCTAGTCACCTGGACACCAGCATTTGGCTCAGATACCCATTCTTCGCCCCGGACGTATCCGCAGTTTTATCAGGCAATGCGACACGATCAATGTTGGCCGATAAGCCTGGCAAGGCTCCGAGTTTGTTTCACATGATGCCGCTCGCCGACACCCCGAGGTACTTCAGTTACGGCAGCCTGTTTGTCCAGGCATGTGTCAGCTCCAGCGAGGACGATGGCGAACAATACGCCATGCCGTGCGCACTGACCATCATTCGAGAGCGCTCGGACTGGTACGTATTTGCTGCGATTACCAGCCAGAGCCAGCTTGTCAATATCATGATCCAGTCCGACCGCAAGCAGGGTCCCACCTGGGACGACGTGGAATGGCAGGTTCGAACACACTCTATGCGAGTGAAGCTGCCCCGCGGATTCGAGCTGGACGTCATGTTCAAGGAAGAGGATTTCAAAACCCTTTGGAACATTGTTAAATACACGCGGAAATCGGAGGGTAGTCTTTCGCCTGAAGCCGGGGAGACGGTGGTATTCGAAAACACCCTCAAAGTATTCCAGTATATGGACCCCGGCGCGCAAAAGGCATTCCCGCCCGAGCCATTGGAGCGTTGCCGCATTCGTTTATTCGAGCGTCATGTCAAGGTGACCGAGGGTACTGGAACGCGGAACGCACACCGCGGTTTCAGACTTGCCGTCTTGACAAGTCCCAAGGTTAAGACTCTTAGCAGCATCCGTCACGTTCTGGCGCAAGGGGCGCCTGTCGTATTTGGGCTGTTGAGAGGAGAGGATGGTGCTGCGGCGCTTCTGCTCAAGGTTACGGAGGACGGACGCACTCGATCTATGTTGATGACTTTCCATGAATCGGAGGAGCGTACTCGGATGCATTCGGTGTTGCTGGGCATGGCTCCTCGGGAGGGAGAGAGCAAGACACCCGAGTACCCTCTTCGCGCTTATAGCATCGAGCAACCTGGTGAGGCGGGGAGTGGCAAGGAAGCCATTAATCATTTACAATTCCCTGCTGGTAATGTGTTGGTTATTGATCAAGAGGATTCTTATGTGGAACACGGTTATGGTCCAACGATTTTGTCTGAAAATTTGAGGGCGTTTATTGCTACGGAGTGGGGGTCTGTTACGGATCGATTTAATATGGGTGAGTTGAGCTGTGTTGAGTTGGTTTACTCAAGGTTTTTCTTCTCCACTTTGTCTTGCTTTGATTACTGACGCGCGCAGGCCCCGGAGAATTGAAGCTTGGGCTGGATGTCAAGAATCGGACTGGCATGAGCTTGTATCGACCGGCACAGCAGGATCTCACGGTTTCGCTGGCGGATAATCTTGTTCGTCCTGAGATGCCGGACCAGGTCGCCGACTTTCTTCAGAAGATGACTGCGAAGCCGATGGTTCGTCGGCTGGACTTTGCAAACATCCAGGGTAGGTGTTGATGGTTCACATGAGTTGGATTGGATTATGCTGACAGTTCTCAGCTCTTCACGCATTTGAGCAGGCCGTCACTGGATTCTCGGTGATTTACGATAGGTGAGTTAAGAGTCGATTTTCGGGCGACGCGCGCTGCGTTGCGCTGTGCTGTGTTATGTTCTGTACCCCAATGAAGCTGTTTGCTAACCAATTCATCCAGTATCGCATCCTCCTTCACCATCTCCCGGCGCCGCAGTATGGTCCCGATCTACAAGAAATGGGAGGCCAGCTTGGCGCGTGTCCAAATCGTGAAGCAGGAGAAGGTCGTGCAATTGCTTGCTTTCTTCCAAGACTTCCATCACGGTTCATGCATGAACTTTGTTCTCAAGGGCACCGACCACATTGAGTCCTTCGGTCGGTCCGGCAAATTCGGTATTCGAATTGTCGATGCGAAGTTTGCTCTTCCGAAGAAGGATGATGATCCGGGATCGGCATTTGTGTGTCTTGACATGCCTGAATATCCGATTGAACACGATGATATTGCTATTACGTTTGATTCGGAGGCTGGTGAGTGAATTCTGAGTACCAGTTCCTTTGCCAAGTAGTGCAAAATGCTAATTCTTTCCCTTACAGAGCGCACCAACTTTAAGGTGGCCTTGCCAGGATCTGTGCGTGAACCATCTCGGATGGGTTCTCTGCGGCGATAGTCCAGAGCAGAGAAGAACAGAGCAGACCTAACTTACCTCTATCCTGTCATGCCATGTCCATGCATCTATCATCATCACCATACCCTCAATCACACCATCCTACATTTATATCGGTATTCCTCGGGCTTCCCCACACCACGTGACCAATCCCCTCCTCTGCCCCTCTTGTATCATAACCTCTTCACGCTTCACACTTCAGACTTCACACTTCTTCTCCATGCCAACGCCTCTTCCTGTGCATACAATTCCAAGAACATAGCATAACAATGGCGCATTCCACTGGTACTTCCACGCGTTCCCTACACGCCGATGACCTCCTAAACCTCGTCCCCGACGTCGCTCCCCCCACTGCATGTGGCCACAACCTTCCGCTATCCCAGCGATCCAAACCTTCTAGTCCCCGCAGCAGATGCGGATGCCGCTGCCGCTGCCGCTGCCACCACCGTATGAAACCTACCTTAGCTCAGCTCACCTCCAGTTCCAACAAGAATGAAAAACATTATGCTAACAACCACCCACCCCCCCCCAGTCCACCCCATCCCACATCTACTCCCGAATGTCCGCGCCAAACCCAACCCGCCTCGAAACAATCCTCTCCACCCTCTTAAACGGCCGCGCAATAACCTACTCCTCCGGCCTATCCGCCCTCCACGCATCCCTAACCCTCCTAAACCCACGCTCCATCTCAGTCGGCGAAGGCTACCACGGCTGCCACGGGGTAATATCCCTCTTCACCCGAACAACAGGCCTCAAAAAATTACCGCTGGACTGTGCCCCCGAAGATCTGGAAAGGGGGGATGTCATTTTATTAGAAACCCCTGTTAATCCGAAAGGAACGGCGTTCGATATTCGGCATTTTGCGAAGAAGGCGCACTCGCGTGGCGCGTTTCTCGTGGTGGATAGCACTTTTGCTCCGCCGGGATTGCAGGAGCCGTTTAATTTTGGTGCGGATTTGATTATGCATTCTGGGACGAAGTATTTCGGCGGTCATAGTGATTTGCTTTGTGGGGTTTTGGTGACAAAGTCCGACGGTGACGAGCAAGGGGAACGCTGGTATAAACAACTTTTTGAAGACCGGGTCTTTTTAGGAAGTGTTATGGGGAATATGGAAGCATGGCTTGGAGTTCGGAGTCTTCGGACGTTGGAAGTTCGGGTTCAGCGGCAATCATCCAATGCGCAGAATTTGGTAACTTGGTTAGATTCTGCATTGCGGGCTCCGAACCCCGCTACCGGATCGGTGGAGGAGAGTGTGCAGGCTGTTCTGGAAGAAGTCTTCCATGGGAGTATTCAGAAAGATGGGGGGCAGTGGTTGGCTGAGCAAATGCCTAATGGATTTGGGCCTGTTTTTGCGATTACGATGAGGAGTGAGAGGGCGGCGAGGTTTTTGCCGAGTAAATTGCATTTCTTTCAGCATGCTACTAGTCTTGGTGGTGTTGAGACGTTGATTGAGTGGAGGACTTTGACTGATCGGATGGTTGATCGGAGGTTGTTGAGGGTTAGTGTTGGTTTGGAGAATTGGGAGGATTTGAGAAGGGATTTGGAGGGGGCTTTTTGTGAGTTGGCCAAGGAGATGAAGGAGTAGAGTGGGAAGAGTGGTGATACTACTAGTAGTAGTATTTCTGCGTGTTTAGATGGGGTTCTTTGTATATCTTGAATATCTATAGTATTATTACATGACCATCGAATCGGGAGTCCCCGAGGCGTTGATTGATTAGGAAAGTCCATGCATAAACACAAATTAAACTAGTGTAGTAACTAGCGTAGTATCTTATAGTAAAAGTAGCTGATAATTAACTGATAACTGATAACTAACCCCACCTCTCCAAGTCCTTCATCTTCCCTCCACCACCAACCACAACCACATCTGGACTTACTTCCTCTCTCTCTCAGGTTACCACCCACAACCTTAGAAAATGACAACCTCCACATCAAACTCCCCCCCAATTTACAATCCACTACTTCGCCGCCGCAAGCACATTCACCGCCAAGAACACAGAACTCCTCCCCGCCCCACTCCGCCTGGCAGACCTCTTCCCCGAGCTGGAGAGGAGGTACCCCGGTATTCGGGAGAAGGTGCTGACTTCGTGCGCGGTGAGTCTGAATGGGGGCTATGTTGATCAGAATGAGAGTGGCGATTCGATTTTAGAGGGTGAGGGTGGTGTTGTTATTGGGAATGGGGATGAGATTGCTATTATTCCACCGGTTAGCTCGGGGTGAGGGATGGGGATGGGATGCTCAGCGGGGTTGGTTAGTAGGGGCTGATTGAGGAGCAATTCATTGGTCTGAACTGTGGGGTTTGATTTTATCTGTACTTTTCCTTTTTCGTCCTTTCTACTGTCGGACGCCTGTATGCATAATTATATCGCGACTATCGATGATCAAGATCAATGGACTTTTGCTGATTCAAATATGTCCATCTACTCCCCTCTTCACCTGAATTCGAATGTACGACATCTCGCTCATTCAAACTCGAAGAGAATATTCTATTCCATGACCTCCAGGGCTTCGCTACTATCTCCTCATTGGTCGCCCCGATCTACTCACGCTGCAGCAGTTCGCCCCATGGCTTTTCTCATCCTCCAACGATGAACGATAATTCTGCGCTGCACTGCACGTATGACGATCGACGAACCCGCTTGACTATTTCGAGGCATTGCCTGCGCATCACATGTCTCTTCTACAGGGGTCGAGTTCGTGTTCTATTCAAGTCATCGCAAACACTACACTGCCAGCGAATAGATCATCTCAATTTGAGCCGTTTGTGCCTATGCATAGGTGGTTCCCCTTCTGAGACCGGGCGTCTGGTAATCTTGTGTTGCCCCGCTGCTTTCTTCTTTACTGCCTTTTTCCCCTTTTCTTTCCTCCTCTGACAGTTTCTTGCGATGTTCTTTGTGGACTTAGGTAGTCTTCTTTCAAGATGGAGTGTCCCGTGCACAACTCTGAATCTACAATGGCCAGTGATTCGACCCCTGGATACCTAAGAAGCACTATTTCTAGCCGGAACAAAGCCATAGGAAATGGCTTACAGGACCTGGGGATACGTCAACGATGCAACTGCAATATCAGAGCCGCTGCAGCGGGTAGGAATGGTGAGTTAAACATGGATCCAGACTCGTTGGAACACTCAAGATTAACCTCAATCCTTCAGGAGGGATTTCATCGTCGCAAGTCCCTCACCAGGGAGTAACCCCTCAGCGACAACGCGTTCAGCGACAAGAACCTCGGGAAACACACCTCGAGGAAACTGGACCGTTTTCCCCTAAGACAAAATCAGATACATTTTCGCCACCTCCACCACCTGAACTATCTGAAGCTGGATCCTATTCATCCTCATCTAATGGTTCTGAGTTGGCCACGGAAGATGGCTCAAGTAGTGGCGATTCTAGTATCGGAACTAATGAAAAGACCGCCTCTTCCACGCTTTCTGAAGCTAAATCGACAAAGCGCTGGTCAAGGGAGCAATCGTCATGTGATTTGAAAAGTAGACAGCCTGTTCATCACCAGAGCACATGGGGATTGAAGAGCGGAGAGATTCCGGTTCCCGACGGTTTCGGTGCATGGGCACGGGATCAACCGAAGTACGTGTTCACGGTAGTTGAAGCCTAGAAAGAAAAGACGATTTCAATGCTGACCAGTACAATGTCCAATCAGCGATAGCTGCTGTAAATGAGTAAATGAGGTCGCGTGTAAATTTCAAAAGGTTCTCTCTGACGAGGACTCGATCGTTTACTTGAGGGGGAGAAGAGATTGAAAGATGGAGAATTGTGATTTGCTTCTTCTTAATTTTCTTTATTTAAAATGCCGATCATTGGAACATGAGTCTTTGTTTCATTTTTTCTGGAATTGAATAATCGAATCAAATTTACAATTTAATTGAAAGTTGCGTGTCCTTTGGCTTTACTTGTGCTGAAGAAAGAGAGCAAAAATAATAGAACCAGGGAAATCAAATCACCAATAATAGAACACATAGCGTGTGCGCTTTCATTGGGATTTAATTAGCCTAGCATGATCTATTCCGAACCGTGGCGCTATAGTATAATGTCTTTGTCTAACAATGCACTCATCACTAGTACCACGGATAAGAGATCCGATCTTCTTTATTTCCTTTGAATCGTCTTCCTTGTTAATATCTCGACTATAAAGAATCTTGAAACATATAGTAGAGAAGCCAGACACGATGAAAGCCGTCTGAAAAAATAGATGGGGTTACTGGATATTTAGAACTCTTTTATAGATACAGTTCATAGTATATAGAGTGACTTCGGATCATGCCAGACGGATTTTATAACCATCCTCGCTATATTTGAGACTCCTCAGAGCACTAGTATCCCAAAAGTCTATACACATATTCACAAGTCGGTATGTCGAGTTCTCGTTCCAACTTCAAGAACGAAACCGTTTCCAGCAACATGAAACGCAATACTCCTGTTATCGCTCGCGAGCCGCGAAAGACTCGAGGTAATATATTCCCATAATGAAATATATGGTCATGACATGAAGCTTACTTTAACATTAGGATCTGGAGAAGCTAGTAGTTTCCGCAGCCAGCGCACCGGGGAAGGAGAATCCAAGGGTCATACAGGCACTGGAAGGCGAAAGGTGGAAGTGCCCATCTCAACTCTGGCATGGTTCGCCGGTGGCGGAACGAGAAAAAAGTCGAAGCCCAAGAACGCCGACTATGGGAAGGAGAAGGAGAAGGCCGAGCAGAAGCCCCCGCCCCCGAAGAAGACTACGTATGTTGGTAACTCGTTTCCTGGTGGGCAACTCGTTAGATCATCTCGTAGGAAGCAGACTGGGGATGGTAAGGTTAAACTCAAGAACGGTGGCGGATTTCTTGGGTGGTGATATTGGATATTATATGAATTTGGTTCTCGTTTATACTTAGATCGTTCTCGAGTTGGCCTCTTTTCTGCGAAATTCAGTGCAATTATATGATCTTCAGAATCTGGATACTTGATCTCGTATTTGCCCTCTACTTATACGATACGCTGGCGGTTTTAGTCGTTCCTGGTGTCCAGAAACATCTCATTAGAGAGGAGAAAGGGGAAATTATAGTATAGATTTGGTCGCTCTGTCTATTTTGCTCACATACTATAAGGATCGTGGTATTTACCAGGGCAAGATCATAGCAGCCCCCAACGCAGCAGTAACTGCCGAGATTCCAACCACATAGCTAAATCCATCCCAGACTGACGCGCGAGCAGAAATTCTACCAGCAGCATTGGAGGTAGCTGTGGAGGTGGCTGTCGCAGTCGCAGTTGCAGACTTCAAGTCGGACTCGTGATGCAGCATCGTAATCACAGGCGCATAAGAAAATGCGCTGTAGAGAGACGTCTCAGCGCGGTCAAAAGTTTCCGTGTATGTATCTGTACGGGCTGTAGTAGCTGTCTCAAATAGAAGATATTCGGTCTGAAGAACTGAGGAACTGTCTCGCGTCAAGGTGAAGATCTCTGTACTCGATCCGTATTCGTAGTTGTTTCCTACGCCGACCTGGTAGCCAACAGTAGCTTTATAGCCCTCAATTTCAGAGTAGCAGAAGCCACCTTTGTCGGCAGTCATACCGCTGGGAGAGATGTTAGCCATCCGATTTTACCAGAATTCTGTGCTTTTTCAGATAGATGGGATCTGGACTTACCTTGGACAGCATGCCACCATTGTCTCCTTAGGTTCCAAGATGCCCTTCAGAACGGAGGCAGGATATTCGTAGTCATTTCTGTAGTAATAGTAGTCATCCTTTGTGTCGGTAGTTGTAGTGGTGGTAGCGAAATAGATGCCCGATGAACTGAGCGAGCTACTGGCGTCGCGGGCTACCAAGCCAATCGTCTCCCAGTCTGAAGGGCAGTGCAGGCCAGGAGAATAATAGAAATCCCGGTTAACCCAATCTACATATTGAGCTGCAAAAGCAGATTTTTGTGCTTCGGAAAGATGGTGAATGGTTGTCTCAGGTGTGGCGGTGGTTGTCGGCGAGGGAGATGGCGTACAGCCGTCGAATTTGATCCTCAGGGTGGGCTCTGCACCATACTTGAGGTTCAAATAATTTCCATCGTCAACCAAGTAACCAAGCATCATACGCCCAGATGCAGTACAGCTCGGAGCTGGGGTGAAGGTCGTTGTGATGGGGCCAAGGTTGGAGAAGGTATACCAACCCGCGGAGACGGAGGCGTTCAATCCCGTCATGGTTGCAATTTAAGGGAGGAGTGGAGTGAAACGGCCTTTTACCAACTGATTAGACGGAAATGATCCATTATAAACACACCCAGATCTCCTTCGCTTCCACCGCTTGCAGGCCAGAGGGCAGCCTAAGATTTGGGGCCGTTCGAATGAGGCTAAAACTGCAATCTCCACTACGCTCGCTAAACGGCGAACTGCCGCCCACTCCGACTTGGCAGAGTCAAATCTACAAACCAGAGGATCACCCGATGCCCCTAGGACCAACTCTAGCTAGTTCGAGCTTTCTAGGGTCGTATGGCCTTGGAAATTCTGGTTCTCTAGCTTCTTTAGCTTCAGTTCCGACTCGCTGAGACCGCCAAGAAAGATGTTTAGCGTGGTGCAAGTGGATCAGATTTGGCCACTATCGAGTTTTAACGCAGGATTCTCTTGGCCACGGAAGGAACCCATCAAGGGGTCTTTCAAGTCCGCGGACTGAATGGTACGGTTTGGACTGTTAAGGCAATTCCATCTCCGGATCTATCTGAGCCCTTTGAATCTTGCACAGCTCTCCGCTCTCTGTTTTATTCAATTCCAGTCTGGCATTATCAGTGAATTTTATCATCGCCAGCAGAAAGTCACAAGAATATCCATCAGCTTAACACTTTTTCGACATAAACTCTCTCATTACTACGCCCATTAATGGTGGGGCTCATTTGATTTGCATAGGAGTTGTTGGGGAGAGGAAGTTGGAATCCGGGAATAGTTGGCTCTCCGTGGCCCACCAGTAGGTTGCGTACATGGCACATGGTTTCCTTCTCACCGAACTACCTATGATCTATCTAATCATAAAAGCACAATCGTACGTTAGAAAAAATCTTTCGGAAATTCAAAAAGTCGACTTTTTCTCTGTGCAACAAAATTAGTAAGTGTCATTTACAAGATCAAGTCATTCTTTTGGAGCGGAATCGATTAGACGAGAATTACAAAGGAAGTTAAATGGAATTGAATTGGTTTTTCTTGATGACCCACCCGTACTAACTGGCTGCCAAATAATTAGGAGGAAATAGTAGAGATGCATGATATTTTATGAGACTAAATGCTAGTTGGCGATTCACATAATCTGGCCCCATGAGGACCACGTTCCCTCAGCCCTAGCTTCAGAAACAGCTACTATGTCCTACATCCTCATCGGTGGCGGGAATATGAAGCTGGTCCCTCCAGTGCTCATATATTCCCTCCGGAATCAACCCCTTCTTCTCAAGTCTAAGAAGCAGATACGAAGCCCAAAGACCAGAACTCTGGGCTGGGATGGCCCTAGCCTCTTGCTCGACGATAGGCCCTGCTGAAGCTGGGATCTGGGCGACAAGGTCCTTACTCTCGATCCACCAGCTCTGGAACCGCTTATTGGATTCAATTGCAGGCTTCCAGTATCCTGGCCAGCCCTCGCAATGTAGCCGAATGCATCGCTCCGCCCCTGGATGGCTCATGATGATCAGTGAATGAACAGGGTCGCAAAGGAACTGCTTCCTACCAAACGCGACATAAACGTCATAGTGTGTCTGATCGACTTGGGACATGATGAATGACTATGCAGAGTAAGTGATGATAAATGTAGTATATAGCAAATGATAAATATGATGGTGGGTGTGCTGCTAATAAGGCTGTCCGATGATACCAAAACCTAATCACTGGGAATACCCGAGGCTTCTTATAGGACCTCCCTCGAAATGACCATCATAAAGACAAACAATGAGTTTGAGGTCTACGAATAAAGATCAATCACTTGTTTCAGCTTCATTGAAAATTATTTCTTTATGGAACTAACGTTTATTGTCTCAAATAAACAAAGGAAAACGGGAAACTCGAGTAACATGGCAAAGATCCACAAAGCAAAAGCAAGCCTTGGAAGGTAAAATAGTTGCGGATGTTCAGCACTAGATAGCTGGCAGCTATGTATCGCCTTTTGCTGGTAGGAAGTTTTTGGTAACCCCGAGATGAGAATATACAGACCTGATGATAAAGCTTGCCTGTATTCATATCTACTAAAAGACGACTTGAAGCTTGTGTATCAATATTGTTCAATAGTATCTAAACTTATTCTATACCTATCTCATTTCAGAACCGTAACTCTATAGTAGAACTCAAATATCTTTATTCAAGCAGAACATTGACAGTCGTCAAATATTCTTCCCCTTCTAGGCGCTTGTCTACTCTTTCAAGACTGAGAGGATTTAAACAATTTTGCTTAGAGGTAATGCAGTTTTCATTCTCTCAGAAACCTTGGAATACTACTACCCCAAAGCAAAGCTTTATAGCGATTCATGGTTATGCATCTTCGAGGGCTTAAGCGCTCTATTAAGCCAAAAGATACAGTATGTACCTCATTTACAGGCGAGCTGAATACCGAGAACTCACAACGGCTCTTATATAGTCGCTGGACGGATGGGTGCCTCGGAACGAAGGAACAAGGTGAAACGGGTTATCAACCTCACTGCTGTCCAAGGCCAATTTTGACGTTGCCAAACACTACCTGCAACTGGCAAGCTAATACAGCATGTGTGTGTGTGTGTATGGAAATCATATAACCTGTCTCCTCGTGAGTTGAAGCCCTGGATTGGGGTACAAGTGTGATTTTCGTCTAAGCTATGCAAGGACCAGCTATTTGTACCTGCCACTATATGGACTGGATAATGTCTGGCAGGAAGGGCTTTCCTCTCTCGGCCGCCGTCGGGATTAATTAACCTTAATAACTATTCACATCGCGACGAACTATTACCTGTATTACACCTCCAGGTTTTGCCAGTCAGACCCACGGGTTTATCGCTCGCCCCGCCGTTAGTCGTTTGACCGCTCCAACAGGGGACTTCGTCTTCATAGTGAGAAATGCACATATACCTCTTTCATTCCCTTCCTAGCTTGATAGCACCTTACAAGTGTTTATATACCTGCCGGTCAGGCTCCTCCCCGCAGGAAACGACGACTCTAATAATTTGTATAGCCTTGAAAGTATAGCTAGGCGTCGCTCCAAAGTAACGCATTTCCCCGCATTAAGTTGCTACGATGCAGCAATTTTTGGAAGACCTCAAAAACCCCCAATAAAGCCTCAGCCTAACTGCAAAATATTGCTATAGGCTCCATTCTTTTCTCATAGTTTAGTGAGGATGTTATCGATAAGGAATGGACAGCGTCGGATGGTAGCGGAAGCCTCGATTGGTATTGTTCGCCACCATTACGACAGCCCGCTAGCAGCGAGTCTACGCGACCAATACGCTCCGCGAATTTTGACAAGTGGGAGCTTTATTTTACGCGAGGCACCAGAGTGGTAGTTTTCGTAAATTAACACTTAGGTAGTCTTATTTCCATCTCCGGCGATGCATTCAGAAGAATCTCTGCCTAGACCCTCTCGTATTCAGTTATTCAACCTGATGACCGTGCTCAAGAAGGAAACATCTTGATCCAAACTAGTGGCATGCTTACTCTCAGGTGCCAGACCGCCGCAATTGGAATAAAATGGAGATTCTAGACCTAGAACGCATCATTGAGTTCATGAAGTGTCATAGATTCTAGGATACACTTAATGGAAGTTATCGAGCGGAAAAAGTAGAGATATCCAACCCGGCTTGCTCTGAACACATCCTTCTCTCTGGAGTGGAGCGGTATTTCAACGAAATAATATACACCATCTTCAAAATGATTCCTCAAAGGATCCTACTTCTCAGTGTCCTCTTCTTATGTTCAAGAAAGATCACCGGTCAATTCATCCACATCTGCACAAGTGATGAAATCTCTCGTGATGACGTCGCCTCGAATGGATGTACTTGCCGACAATTTTTCCCTCACGATACCTGCACGAAATGTCCAGTTGGTCCTTCTACTTGTACATCGGAGGATTCAGGAATCTGCCTTTCCGACTGCAATTTTGATTGCACATCAAAACAGAACGAGAACAGCGATTCCTGTGGGGTATGGCTTCATTCAGTCTGCGAGTGCAAGCAAAATCCATCACTTTGTAATTTCCAGCACGGAAAGGGAACGACAGGCTGGGTGAAACTTGGCGGGCAGGGCAATTTAGCCACAGTAGATCAGCCGTTACGCAACATCTTGGCCCTACAAAACCACGGAAGTCTTGCAAAGTCTGCTTGGGACTGGGGCCAGCAACTTCCTATTTCTGACCTAAGTACCCAAGGCCTGGCTATCAACCCTGTGCGATCTATAAGTCAGGATCAAGTCCACATGCACATTTGTGATGTCAACCCCGGTATGGTGGCCTTTTTAACAAAGATTTCCACCAACTCTGCTATTTCAAACTATCAAACAGTGCAACCGATCAAACTCGAAAAACCATTCATAAGTGACGGTCATGATACTCCGGACACAATGTGGTGTCTCGCATCACAAACCAAAAACACACCTATTGACGGGGAACTTGTTTATAACGCTATTAATAGCGTAATGGGGAAGCCGAAAGTATGCAATTTCAATGTAGCTGCGGCAGTGATACGTGACTCAAATGGCTATACATGGGGATGTGTTACAGCTGATCGTGGTGATTCAGAGCATCGGTTCTTGAACACATGTAACAAGAAGTGATTATGGTGTTGCGGAACATCGCAGGTCGTTGAAAAAATCAAGTATGTACTTGACTGCCTACTTATGTATTTACGATAATTCGCTTTCTTTACCAGTTGATCTGCTTTCTGATTCACTTCCGATTTCACTTATAACAGTGCAATTTTTTTGTTTAAACAGAATGACTAATTGCTTTGGTATTCGGCAAAGAATTGGGCAGAAGCTTAATTATCCCGAATCCAAATCACACTTGGCCTTGAGGCTCATACCAAAGATCGCCAGATTAAACCTGTTACTTCTCATTGATTTTCTTCAATAGTAAAAGAAGGCTATTAACTCTATTGGCCAAAGCGTGGTCCTTTGCTACGAGCCTGTTTTAGGTAGCCATTCTCGTGATAAATTGTACGTCCCTACTTGTCTGTTAAATTCCCACGTTGTGGATAGCTGAAGGGTGCAGATTGGGTAACTGCTCAAGTAAGGCTCAACCCCAAGTAGATGATAAAATACTTCTTGATGACAACTTCAGCTCTCTCGCATTTATTTTGAATCATATCAGTGTCTTTAAAGTCTCACGATATGGCCTAGAAGCTTGTAAATATCTGAGTGGAGTCCTCGGCTTTTCTTTCTGCTCCGAGTCCAAATATTCAGATCGCAATTTACGGAACAAAGAGAACGATGCTGTCTCATTCTGCTTTTCTATCGCACTTCAGGATCTGTTTTTTCGATATCTAGTCAATAGCTAAAGCATTGATCGGGTCAAATGATAACATCGTGACTTAGACTCTTTCGCAAAATGACACAATGAATTCTGTATCTATTAATATACAGACCCAATCGCATAGGTAACAGTTAGTTCTTTGTTTATATGGATAGAGGCTGCTGGAACAATGCCTTGTTTTGAATACAAAGAAAGTTAAGCTAGCCACAATGCTGCATTTTTATACGAGTCCTGTCTATCATATTCTGCTTCATGTTCGCGAATTCTACGTTAAGCCGCATCAGAGTTCGAGGGACATGTATAAAAACCATCCTACTTCATTCTGAATTTCAATTTATTCTAACTTCAAACATTGATTATCGAAACTCTACCAAGGCCTAGCCACATAGGACAAACAGGTATGTCGAACCAAGTCAATGAAGAAGACCAGATGGAGTGGCATTTGGATACTGATGTTATGGACTGGGAGGACAACATTGCCGTTGCGGACTGGAGTATTCTCACTAATCCATCCCAAGATGGCCAGAGCGAGCCTCCGAGCCATGGTCTTGTCCCTCGGAGGCATTCCCTGAGCCATAGTAATGCTCAGCATCAGCAGGAGCTTGGGGTGTTGGATATGTCATTCGCAACTGGTGTTATGGACTGGGAGGTTGAAAATGAAGTTGCGAACTGGAGAATGCTTACCAATGCATCTCCAGACCGTCGGAGCCAGAGTAATCATTATAGCCCAAGCTTTACACGCAATCAAAGCGATGACGTGAGTCAGGGCGGGTTATATGATGGGGCTATTGATATGGGATTTGACGATACATTTGTGGGGGCTGAAGATACTGCAGTTGGGGATGCCAGGGTCGACGATACGGCTGTGGATACCGACAATACACTGGTAGCTATGGACGTTGACGATACATTCGCGGATCTCGAGGATAAATTTCCGGATCTCGACGATACGTTGACTCGGATGGATGTTGATGATACACTGGCAGTTGCCAGTGTAGACTTGGTGGCCAATGATACAGCCATTATGGAATTTGATTTCAGCAAGACACTTTTAGACTTGGAGGCTGGCGATAGGGTTCTGGATTGGGGGACTAAGAATCAGCCTCAGGTTCCTGAGAGCCAGCCTGAGACTTCCATTTTCCCAAAGGGACAGGAATTCCTACAAATCTGCACTATGTTAGGATGCGCAGAGCGCATGGTGGATGGCCGTCATTGCGAATATCACAAGGCACAGGAAATACCGACTACGTGCATAGACTTCGGATGTACCTCTCGGAGTATGGTAGAAGGCTATTGTTTTGACCATTGGACGCAGGCACATGGCTGCGAGCCGGATAATGAGCAGTTTGATTGCAATTTCCCCGGGTGCATTAACAAGAAAGAGTCCGGCTCCTTGCTCTGCACATGGCATGCGGATGGAGAGAATCCAGATGATAGTCATTTTCGGCGCCGGAAGTGCGAGTCTACTGGTTGTATTGCGCAGAAAAGAAAGGGTCTATACTGCGTGTCCCATTGGAATGAGTTAAACCCTCATGATATGATTTGTGCCTTTTCTGGCTGCGCTAACCCTAGGCGGAAACATGAATCATATTGCGGTCGGCATATGAAACAAAAGGACTTAGTTCGAAATGGCCCCAAGTATAGCACACGGGATGCTTGCACCTTTCCAGGATGCCCGAACCGAAGAAAGAAGCAGAGATTATGCGAAAGCCATTGGAACCTCGAAAATCCGGGCCAAAAATGTCGTACAAAAGCCAAAAAGGTTTGCACGACCTCTGGATGCGAAAAGAACGCCTGGAGAAAATCCTTATGTTATCATCATGCGGCAGAAATGTGGCCTGGTAGCATCATTTGCGAAGTTTCTGAATGCGGAAATAACAAATGGAAAGGTGGATTGTGTGAGAAGCATTTTGGGGGATCTCGGAGTCGTGTAAAAGTCTCATCAAAGGTTTGCACGAGCACTGGATGTGATAAAAGCTCCTGGAGAAAAAGTTTATGTTATCAACATGCAAAAGAGATGTGGCCTGAGAGCATACTTTGCGAATTTCCTGGATGCACACAAAGAAGGCGCAAAGACGGATTATGTGAGAAGCATCTCGATGGTGAGGAACCTCGTTTTCAATAAGGTTCATAGAAAGCCGGAAAGGAACTTGCAGTGAGTACATTAGACATTCTCGAAAGGGATATAGCAATGCTAGTAAGCCGATTGTCCAGGCGACTACATCTGAATGGGACATATATGTTGCAAAGTCACAGTTTTCTTCCTCAAATGTTGTGGACGAATCTGAACTTGGAACCTTGAAACTTGAATCTTGCCGTTAAAATTCTCTGCTGGAAACGGTGATTACCTGCTGCTCGTTTTTGATGTTTTATATCCAGCTTTAAGAATACATTCCTTCAAGGATTCGAAGATAAACGTGGGCTACCGTGGCCACACTATTTCCACTTTATTATCATATGTGAAGCTTTTATTAACCATATAACTGTAATTACCAGTCCTGCCCCTCAATTTGAAGGATAACTTCACCTGGATTGTTTATTTCCCATTTGTAGCTTATCTCGAATCACAGGCCTTCACAGAAACCTGCAGTTGGAAGCTGGAAGTGTGTGTTTGCTTGATTATTGCTAGTATCAATTATACTAGTCGTAATTCGTAATTATGAGGCTGACATCTTTACAAGCTGTCATTAGGGTTTCGCCAATAATATGGTAGATCTTTTCCAACCCGCCCATGGCTATTATCGTACTAAATCTACTTCTGAAGCGTTCGAAATATACTCCAACACTCAGAACAGGCAGGAGATCATCCTCTTAGATCTTGAGATTTCTACTGACGAACCTTGGAGTAGGCATGGCCGTCTTACTGTCGCCACATTTAGATCATGTAGAATTAATGAAACTAGACGCTTATTAGTATAATACCCCTATGTTATGCTGGGATGATAGCGGCAGAACTTAATCACAGGATTTTGACTTGACGGTATTCCAGGACTGGCACAGCCCCTTCATTTGGTAGTATCCGACGCTTAAATCCCTGCTCCGATGTCGAGCTTTTCTTTGATGGCCTTTTGCGGTATAGCTTACACCCCGAGCCTATTCTGTCCGGTTGAAGTCATCAAAGATCGAGCGAGGAATATATTTTCCTCAAATAATTTTTCCCGAAGTCACTGCTGCAGTGCATACTAGTAAACCTGCCAGTTTATCTTTATTTGATTCCAAAGTTGGTGGAATTTGTAGCTTGGAAACACTCTCAGTTGCTGAGAATAGTTTGAGGCGTATTTTGTGGAAGATGAACCCCAAAGACCACTCAGGGTCTTTTCTCATATTGACATCGACGGGCAGGGAATACGTTGGAATACACCCTGTTGTTTACAAAATTAAGACACATTTATTATTACTAGTGATTAGTACAGTATACCCATGAACTCATGTCATGGCAGAAACCTGCTGGTCATATCTAGGAAAAGCCGTTATTTGCCAGTATGAGTAGTATATTTAGCGAGAGTAAGCTGGCAGTATTTCTTTACATTTTCTGAAAAGATGAACTCCAAGCGCCAGGAATCAGATCATTAGCGCATTGCGCAAAGTCAAACATGAAAAGCAAGATAACCCCCAATTTAATGCACCTTCCTTCTCATAAGCCTCATTACATCCAGCTCTCCGATCCGCACACTGCATCGACACTGTTCCGTCACTGCGACACCTGGTAACAGTAAACCCAGCTCGATTCAACAGATTATTTATCATCGAGCTCGGTCATAGCCTTCTTCTGGCGCCACAAGCAAACGCTGCAGATAGACGAAAAGAAAAACAAAATACTGTTACTGTCAGAAATGTACTCGAATCCTGTGTAAGGCGCGGTATCCTAGACGCGTGTGAACTCACCAAAGAGCAATGCTCAATCCCCAAATAGCCTTCGTCTCGATGCAAATTGCCTTTGACGCGCCGATCCAAGAAGAGTAGCCGATTTTCCCGTTGATCGTAGCGATATAGCTAGACAGCTTAGAGGAAAATGCGTAGACGGTCGCGTCCTTGTATCCCAGCTCCGCAAGTGTGTTGCACTTCAAGTAAGACAATGGCTTGCCCATTACAACAGCCACCACGATGAGGGCAATTAGAACAGCAAAGTCTGCGACTGCGCTGGCGAGAAAAGGTAGGATATTATCGACGAAGAGAATTGCTGAGATGATGCAGTAGACGACTGCGATAGTTGTCTGGGTTCTGTTAGTACCGGGTCTGATACAGTAATGAGATTGATTGCTGCAATCATACCACCGATATAGTTCCGATAAGAATATTTGGAGGAGTTGCATTGTTCGAAACGATGGAAGAAATGAATTTGGCTGTCATGCCGATTATCGCGATCAGCGAGCAAAATTGGAAGAGCCGGGCGATTTGGAATGTAGCGCCGAGAGCTCCGTAGCGACCACCCATTTTGAAGAATATGTGAAGGAAATTCGAAATGAAAGTTCAAAAAAAAGCGATTGAAGATGTTTGGAAAATGAGACGAAAGCAAGGTCGACACAGTCGGAGTTAAAGAAGGAATTGGGCAGTTATTATAACGGACTGCGAGTGTATGAGGCAAGAAATTGCTTGCAAAATGAGAATGAGATGTGAGAATAAGATGTCAAGGAGTGTGTGGACAAGTCTAGACCAGAAGCCAACAATGAAAAGTGAATAATTAATGATGCAGATTGAAGAATGGAAGTGAAAATCTGAAAGAGATGGGCTGAGACAACTTATAAACACCAGATCAAAGAGCTCAACCCATCTCTAACAGCCCAGCAGGAAAAGAGACACGATCTAGACCGGATAAATTTAGCAGCATTCAAAACGTGGTCCAAGATCTAGATCCATCCCCAGAAAATGAATCATAGTCCCTTAGAATTGGCGTCAGAGATGATCTTGTTAGACCCCCAAGCGCCGACAACGAACCAATTAAAGCGTCTGTATACTGAAAACATCCCATCCGCTCTGCCGGGTGGCCCAGCATCAACATCAAGGCCAAAGCTCCAGCCTCTCCTAAACAGGCGCTTTGCAGAAATGACAGCTCTAGCTGCAAGAGCTTTTGCTTTTTTGAATGCAGATCTTGGTTATATTCAAAATAACTGGTCGGGGATTTTGTGGGAGCGATCGCGCCGCAACTGGTTGGCTCCACCGCGGGCGCTTGGAAGGGAAACCCTAATTCCGACGAAGGCGCCACAGCCACTCGTTCCCCTGGCGTTTGCATTTCTGACGCAGGCGGCTACACAAATAAGTCAGGTACGAGCTTGCATCCTACTAGGATGTGGATGCGAGGACGATCATGTTTCATGTATGTTGCCAGCCACAGTAGTCTTGGAACGCCCTTGGAAAACATTGTCTTGGGTGCGCTACTGGTGGCTTCTGCGCATTTCATATACCTGGCCATGCGCGATGAGAATCTCGCCTACTTCTTGGACTGGTACATAGCCTACCCACTGGCGCTTTGACTCATCGTGCAGATCTTTTTCCTGAGGAACGCCATCCCAATAACTGTTGGGATTGACAACTGTCGAGGTACAATGGATTGCGCCGCCAGCCCAGCAATGAAAACCTACGTACCTAGGTAGGTAGGCAATGTCAATGGATACGCTGAAACCTTTTGTCGCAAAGCTGAGTATACAATAGGCACTCCGATTGGTCAAACTTGATATGTTGGTCATTAATTTTCATTCAGAAATTAGTTCAAAGTATTATGAACAATATATATCTCCAACCAAAAGTCACCCATCCTTGAGCTTGACGTTTTTTCTAAGACAGAATATTCAAAGACGCTCACTCATTCAATCTCCATCCACCACTCGTCCGCTTCTGGAAGAAGCCATCAGGGTCATATCGCAGACGTGTCGCAAGGGCCTCTTTCTTCGATGCAGGGTCAATACGGCCCCAATAGTCCTGCCGGAAATACGCATCGTTCATGAAGAGCGGGCGATAAACGTCAGGCAGGAGACCTTTGTCAATGTTCTTCTGAACAAGGTTGCCCATGCCCTGGTAGAGCTTCTGGTTAGCTTGATCGATCTTGTCATCATCGATAGAGAGCGCGTAAGAGAAGTCAAGTTCAATGAAAATATAGTTTTGGTCCGTAGGAACGTTAAGCAGGTCGCCACCGCGGTCCTTGGCTTTCTGGGAAAAGGTCTTGGGGACGGGCTGGAAGGCGATGGATCCTAGGACACCGGTCACGCCGAGGACGTCCTCCGTGACATTATACCAGTGGTCGTAGTACTCCTGCAGCACGCTAGATCCGACAGTCTTGTTGGGAACCGGTGTTGTCTCTGTGGCGATAGTGTAGCGTTGGCCGCTATCTTTGTTAGTATCTGAATTTTATAGGGCGATACATGGAACTTACTGCAGGATAAAGAAGTCATTGTTCTTGAGAAGATCGTAGTATGTATCCCAGGTCTTGGTGGTCGAGGTGTGATCAATAGCGGTAAACTCGTCAAAGACGCCCGCAGGAGGTTCGGGTCCATCGTAGAAAAGGAACATGATCCAGAAGTCAATGAGTGCGCCGTGCTCGGAAGTCAGAATAATAGCTGCCTTGTCATCGGGGTATTCGTCGACAAAGTTGCGCAAAGCCGAGAGCACCTGGGGGGTCTTGTCGGCCGTGAAAACATAGTTACCACCCCAGACCTTGTGCTCTTGGGGGTGGGTTTGCATGGTGTACGCAGTAACAACGCCAAAGTTGTTACCGCCGCCCTTCAATGAGGCGAAAAGGTCTGGACGGACGAATCAGTATCTTGCCGTGGCGGCGAGTTGATAAGAATCTTGGCTAATCTCACCTGTGTTTTCCTTCTCATTGGCATTGACAATAGTGCCATTGGCCAGCACGACCTCGAAATTCTTCACGTTGTTGGCTGCCCAGCCATACTGTGTGCTCAGGAAACTCATTCCACCTGTTAAAGTTAGCAATTGGGTTGCAATATCGCATGAACTCAACACTAAAAAGCTTACATCCGAGCATATACCCTCCGATCCCAACGCCTCCAAGTCTACCACCCACCACCGCACGTCCGCCAACAGCATCATCCAAGCCCTTCTGAGCTTCCTCCCAAGCCAAACCAGGGCCGATGACTGCGGTTTGATCCTCATGGTTGTAAAATACCTGGTCAAGGTTTTTGGTAGAAACTAGGAGTCCGTCTTGGATACTTGCGAATCCATTATTGGGCATATGACCGCCCGACTTAACTGCAAACAGAGTGTCGACGTCGTGAAGCTCTTTGATCACCTGCGACATCTCGGCCGCGCTGGAGGGTGCCGCGATACATGTCGGCTTCAGGTCACCACATGCTGCTGACCAGTACTTGGTCAGATCGGTATTGTAGTTGATCGAGATCGGGTATTCGATATCAATGCCGGCATTTTTGAGGGTTGAGCAGATGTCTGCTTGGACGAGAGGAAAGGCTGCCAGAGCAAGCGCTAGGGCTTGCCACCCGCGGGTGGAAAACATGGCGAACAATTTGTTGGGATGAATTAATTATTAGAAGGAATAAGTCGATTTGAAGTCCTCGTGTTAACTTCAGAAATTAAGTTCCTCGCAGAAGGGAACCGATTAAATTGAAAGCAAACCCTCGATTGCTTTTTCAAATAAGGGGATCTGCAATAGGTACTTAAACCTTTTTTTTTCTTTCCCTTTCCATTTTGCAACTATGGATTAGGGAGTGTTCCCGGATTCGGTGGATATCCAGGAGCCACTGATCAGCCTCCGGAACGATGTGGACCTAGTAATGGGGGCGTGAAGAGTGGAAAAAAGCAAACCGCGGGGTGTCGGCGGATGTGGGTATCAGGAGGGTCTCCATCCGGCTCGGATGGAGTTATGCAGTTCCCATATTTGGCAAGGAATCCCTAGCGGTTGACCTCTACAGAGGGGCCATGGGCTAAAGAAACGTCGATGATCAATCTCATCTCGGTTGGATATCCTTGAGATGCACATGGCAGTGGCATCTATCTATCGTATAGAAGCAAACTTGGGCCATTGGGACCTCGGGAGAAGGGGCCGTGAGGGGATGTTCTTCAGGATCGAAGGCTGAAAGGCTGATTAGAGAAGTATGAGGCCGCAGCCGAGAGTCTAACTGTGTCGATCGCCGATGCACTATGCACTATCTGTGGTCACGGATGCATGCCATGCACGCGACAGGACGCCATCTGGCGTAGACAGCGATTAAAAATCCCCGAATAACAAAGACGGGTAAGTCCCGGAAGTAAGCGGCGTCAATAGTTCGTTCCTTGGGCGCGGACGAAGTACTGCGGCTTGTGTGAACAGCCAACCATGGATTAAGTCCAGACCGGCTCCTTCATCCTGGCCCCACTGATCATCTCAAGAGTGAGACAAGGAACGAATGGCCTGACCATATCATAACTCTGAATTGAGACGTTAAGCAGGAGTTGAGTTTTGTGCGTAGATGCCCCTAGGAAGACAAATTTGCCTTCTAGTCCACTAAGTCCATTGAGTCCACTGAATGGAAGGGGTAAATCGACACTTCGCGTGGCTCACGGCCATAATTATTCCGAGAGGTGTCCGTCAACCTAATGATCAGCCATTGGAGTGGGCCGACAAACGGTATCCTCCTGGCACCAAAGAAGTGGATCGAATGGCAAATCAGACTGCGCGGAATGCCTGAATGGTTCCTGGATTTTGAACCTGAATTTGGTAGGAAGGCCGGTGCATTGCCAGCAACGCCATCAAGCTCGGACCGACTTCGCTTAGACCAGTAGAGTAATGATAGTCGCTGTCAACAAGGTTTTGGGCATTTGCTCTTGTTGGTGATCGACGGGGCTCACGTTAAGCAGGGCGATCAATGTGGGATGAGATAACCTTCACATGGTTTAAATCTACCGAGGGTCACGGCAAGGGTACGGGGTAGATATTAGGATCTCCCACTGGTGCGGAGTAAAACACGATAGCGAATACGTTGAATACGCGGGCTCTCCTGGGTGCTTCTGAGGACGATCTGGAGAAATTGGAGAAATGACCTTGGTGCCTGACAAGATGACAAGATGACAAGATGTGGGGGCTGATTCACTAGCCTGAAACTATTCAGGGGGAAGTGTCGGTCATCAGGCAGGCCATAACCAAACCTGGTATGTATACTCCGTAATCCCTGCTCAAATCCCTATTCAATAGCCGAATGGATCCGTCCCAACTGCGGCAAATGGAGTTCGCCCACAGCCTCCTGAAAGAAAAAGACTGGGGGTGTTCCTGCAGTTGAGTTACATCGTGGCGGTAATGGGGCATGCCTTGGCAAGATCAGCCTTGACTGGAAAATGATAACCTCGAAAATGCATGGAGAGCAAGAGAGAACACTGTTCCCATCATGCGACCATTCAATATGATTAGATGGTCTAGTAGAAGCGAGATTGCAAAGTCTTTTGAATGGTTATTGTTATTTGTATACTTCGAATGCGCGAGTTACTGCCTGAGTGCCTTATCGCCTTATTTACCAGGCATTACTATATTTCTCACCGCCCTCTGAGCGGTGAATTCCTTTTACAGGCAGAATAACCAATTTCGCAACTGATGATGCTATCTTCACGTCAACCATGCTGCGATCAAGGATTGGCGTCCTGCAGACAGTCGCCAATGTGCAACAGCTCTGTTTGCGCTGTTTATCCAGACAGCGCCAGTCATCATGTCTGTCTCTCCGGACAAGGCACGCGCCCAGGCCGATTGGCCGCCGCCTCTTATCAACCACGCGCATCTTGAGAGCCATTCCGACGGAAACAACAAAGCAGGATCAGATTGCAGACACAGTATGACAACTATTTTCCCTAGCCTATACCATGACTAACTTATGTTTTTCTTTAGAACTCAGCGGAACCAAATTCCAGTTCCAACGAAGCATTCTCGCAGGCCGAGCTCGAAACCTATCGCGACATCAGAGAATACCTCCACAAATGGCAAGCAACGAACCCTCTGGTCCTTGACCCTGTCCGTGACGCTGGTATCGGAATATCCACCGATTCACCAGGACAAGGAGTCCTAGGATCGATGCTCAACGGTCGTGAATCCAGCGAGTCGCTCTGGGCCAACTCGAACCTCAAGCAAGAGGACGACTTCGATACTTCCGAGGAATGTGAGGGTGAACACCTGGAACCGGGTGATATGGTGGCTCGTCTAACCACGGATGGCGTCTTCATATTTGCAATCTACGTGCGATCCGTCCACCGGCAAAAGCAGTTCTACACCAGCCGCGGAAACTGGCGTGTCTGCACCAATCGCGAGGTCGACTTTGTATTCAAGGACTTTGCGCCGCCGGAGCTTCTCGATCCTATCATTCCATATTTCCCTGACGGCCTCACCGAGGTCAACTCGGAAATCCAGTCTGTTCCTGAGGGCGGGCTTCCGCGACCACTTGGGGCGCCGTTGGTAAATATGATGAACAATTTTGAAGAGCATCTCCTATCATTCTATAGGGACCACTCAAAAGTTCTTGATAGTCTGCATGAACTGGTGGCGGACGACTCGGAGTTCCAGCGTCTGACCCTCGAAGACTTGACCATGAAGGCTCTCTCCATCGACGAGTCGGAACTTACCCCGATAAACATGTTCAACGTGCATCAGGCTGTGCGACGCCATCCCTTCAAGATTGAAAAGGATATTCCTTCCTTCTTCAGTCGGACGTATCTTATCCAGCCCATGCGGATCGCCAAAGTCGTTGATCAGGTCATTGATTGGGTGCGCGAACACCAAGATTTCTGTATCCGTGCCGTCATGTCCAAAGAGCAGCCCGGGCGAAAGGACCACCCTATGCACCAGTTTATTCAGAAATCGCAGCGCATGATCCGTCTGAGTCGGAAGGTCCGCTCGCCAACTATCATGTCCAGCGTCGGTCCTTCTTCACAACAATTTATCCCCGGTGATGATGGCAAATCTATGATGTTTCGCGAAGTCCTAACCGAAAGGTTCACCGCTAATGACCAAACAATTCTGGAGTTCATGCAGTACTACGCGATTCCATCTGTCATCATGCCCTCCGGTGCCCTAAGATCGGCGGCCTCGCATATAATGCGAGCTACGGGGATGTACAACACGCTCGGACTGAGTGAGGCATCGACTCGCTTATTCCTGCAAGAGCTAGGAGTTATCTCCCCGTGGGAAAATCTCGGTGTCTTAGACCAGAGTCTCTTGCTACCCGGTCACGGAATGTCCCTCTTGGAAGACATGAAGTGGGAAGAGGTGGAGGAGTCCTGCAAGAGCATTCCTCTCGAAGACTCCATGCAAAATCTTCGCAAAGACTGGGGTGATCTACCAGTCTACTGTGTGGACGATGTTTCAGCTCAAGAGATCGATGACGGAGTCTCACTGGAACGCATCCCCGGCTCAGATGACATGTTCTGGGTGCACATTCATGTTGCCAACCCGACGGCTTTCCTGGACCGTGGCCATCCCATTATCGATTACGCCGCGTCACGCGTTGCAACTACCTATGTCCCTGAGAGAACTTACCCAATACTGCCAACCGCTTTGACACAGGACCATTTCAGTCTGGCAGCTGGCAGACCAACGTTGACCTTCAGCGCAAAGATGAACCTCCAAGGTGAGATCCTAGAGACTGAAGTCGTGAACGGCACCATCCGAAACGTGATCAGCATCACACACAGCACTCTATCCAAATTTCTCAACGGCTCCACCGAATCCGCAGACTACCTCGCCGTCGGTGATAAGTCTACCTGGTCCTCACCACCGACCGCCCAAACCTCCCGCCAAACCCTCACAGCCGAAGACAAAGAATCCTTCACAACCCTTCAAAAGCTAATGCAAGGCTTCCGCACCCAGCGCCAAAAGAATGGTGCAATGGATCTCCAACCCTCCCACCCAGGCCCCTCACTTTCCCTCCAAATCGGAACCGCCCCATTCAAGCCCTACGAAATGCAAGTCACAGAGGGCCGATACTACGTCGGCGACCCAAAGATCAAACTACGCATGCAAGACTTCAACCCGCACGACGTCCGCGATGAGTCTAAACACTATCTCATCTCACTACTCATGAATCTGGCCGGCCATATCTCGGGCCGATTCTGCGCGGACAGAAACATTCCCGTCGTGTTCAATGGTACATGGTATGATCCGGAGTATCAGCGCGTGACGCGTGATAATGTCGCCGAGTTCGGCGGACAAGCGTTTTATCGTCTTGCTATGCCGAAGTCGTTGGCCAGGTCTAGTCCAGTGCAGCATCATATTATGGGCTTGGACTCTTATGTCAAGTGTACGAGTCCGCTGCGTCGGTTTACCGATGTGATTGCGCATTATCAGATTGAGGCTGCGTTGCGGTTTGAGAATGAATTTGGGCGGAGGTTTGATGGTCGAGTTGATCTTCCGGAGGAGATCGCTACTGAGGCCGAGCAAATCGAATCCGAATCCGAATCCTCCTCTCCATCTTCCTCCCCCCCCCATACACAACAACAGACGTGGACATGTACATCCCCCACGCCCAACAAATAACAACCCGAGTTCGCGACATCTCAACCTTCGCCCGCCAACACTGGTCCTGCATGCTCCTCTTCCGAGCCTTCTACTTCGGCGAATGCGAACTCCCAACAACATTCCCCGTCCTGCTACGCGCCAAGAGACTCACCCTCGAGCGCGACGGCCTCAAGTACTCCGGCGTCATCTCCAATCTCGGCGTTAACTGTACCGTGTCAATTCCCGCTGATTGTCCGGGTGTGGAGAATATGGATGTTTTTGGCATTGTTGAGGCGAGAGTTGTTGGTGTTGATATGTCTAAGCTTGATGTTGAGATGGAGTGTGTTGGGTTTATTAAGGCGTTTGAGAGGGTTGGGGAGTGGGCGTAACTACCTGAGGCAATGTAGATGGAGGGCCTATAAAGGCACTTGTATATTATTGTATATAATTATTCTTAAGTCATCTAGTGGTGGCTTGTGTATGAATAAATCTCCGACAACTTTTCATCTTCAGCAATCATAGCTCCGAACCTTGGAAGCTAGCATTAGATTAAAGGTTTCTACATGAAATTACTAATATGCAGATAGTTCTATCTCTGAATAATGAGACAAATAACAAACACCAGCACGACATCTTCCCTCCTCAAGATCGAACTTGAAGCATACATCCCATTTCATCTCATCGTACCCAACCACCACTGGCACACCGGACATCCTCTACACTCACGCAGAATACAGCATACCAACCCAAACTAATCAACATCCCCGTCAGTGGAAATCGGCGTATGCAGGGCCAAACCTTCAGCCAAAGCAGGCGTGGGACTCGGAGTCAAGTCTAGAGAGAGACATCAGAACTCTCAAGGGGATCCAACTCCATACCCTCCCTCCCCCCCCCCCCCCCCTCTCAGTGTAAACCCGATCACCGTCCGGAAAAGCAACACCGGCAAGTCTCTCCTGAAAGATAAGTTTCACAGCCCGACCCTTCCGCCCAATCCCCTTTTGCACAGTTTCAAGGAGATCCCGATATCGGGCATGTTTTTCCTGCTGTGTTTTGTATAACCGAAGTACGGCTCGCGCGGGGGATGTATCGAGGGTTTCGCGGTCTTGGATGATTTCGTTGTAGATTTTGGTTAGATCGTCGAAGGCGAGGCAGGTTTCTTCGATTTCGAACTCGGTTGTGAATGCTTGCCCGATTTGTTTCGCTGTTCTTGAGCTGTGTCCAGCCGGGGGTTGTCGTTTCTGTTCTTGCTGCTGCTGCTGCTGCTGCTGCTGCTTCTGTCGCTGTTTCTGTTCCTGTTCCAGGTGATGTTGCTGATGTTGTTGCTTCTGTTGCGTTTGTTGTTGCTGTTTCATTTTCCAGGAGTGGGTTTTCAGCTGCCTGCGCTTTTTCGAGGGTGTATCTTCATCAAGTTTGTCGTTGCTTGGTCGTTTGGAAGTGGTGGTGGCTTCGCTGGTTTTGCTGCATACTGGTGTGACTGGTGTGAGTGGGTGTTTCTTCTTCGGGGATTCTGATTCTAATGTGAGATTCTTCAGTGGTGATTCCAAGGTGGATTGGGCCTTTGACATTGGATGGCCAAGCGCCTCATCGAAGAAAAGCGTGAACTGCTGAATTGGAAAGTGGAATTGCACGTTCATATTGTTGACGTAGCGTTCGAGGCGTGTCTGGTTCCACACATTTATTGCTACCCGCGTAGGAGACACGGTGGCCGTCTCGGCCGGGTCAAGGTGAAGATTATATGAAGCTGCTTCGCGGATTGGGGGGGCGAAACCAAAGGAGTCCTCACCGAAGAAAATGAGGGACAGGCGTGAGTGATCTTTGGTATAGGTGGTGAAGTTCTTCTGGGTTCGTTCCAGGTCAGACTTGGGTTCCCAGTTGATTTTCTTCCAGGATTCCGTCCGGAAGGCTTGGATCTGTTCAGACAGGAGCATGGCGTCGGCGGGTATGGCACTCGGTGAGGCAATGACTAGGCCGGCGAGACAGCCCGGGTAGATTGAGGTTGAGGATGCACTGAGGAGCCAACTTCGTCGGGCGAGATAGTGGCCGCCGAGTATGTAGTATCCTCCGTACACAGTGAAGAAGGGTATGCCATTTGCCCATGAGATGACGGGTGGGCCTCGAGGGATTCGATCTCGTTTGATATGGCCATCTGAGTCGAAGTCATTCGGCCAGATCTTACCGCGACACATCCCTCCAATCCTGCCTTGGATGATGGCGAAGACGACTTGGTCCGACAGGCGCTCGTTGGGGCTTGGGGTCTTCAGTTGCGGATACCATTTTCACCATAGTAGTACTGCGGTATATTGTTTTGAGGCTTCTGGTCCTGCAATGATTCCTGTGCACAAGATTGGGCAATTCCTCGACAGGTGGCTGCGAGAATCTGGATTGTCCTTCTGGCATCCAGGATGTCGCTCGCGGCAGTAGTGTATTCATCGGCGACGGTCATGATGAATTGTGGCAGTGGACAAGGATGGATGGAGCTAATGTAGCAAGGAATGAATTAGCCACGGGGTAGTAAATGGTAAGTGGAGGAGAGAGGAGATAGGAGAGATGAATGCAGTCGAGGTGGAAGTAAAAGTAAAAGAGTGAGTGGAAGTGGAAGTGGAAGTGAAAGTGAAAGTTCAAAGAGGAAATGGAGTGAGGGACCCGCCGAGTCGACCTCGTCGGGTACAGACAGCATACAAGGACTACTGGGAATAGTAGAACCAGTAGAATACAATCACTTCGGCTTTTCTTACTTAGAATCTATTCTCTCATAAAGCAGCGACCATATCATTCGATAAATACGATGATAGTATGCTAGTATTCACCGACCTGGACTTCACCGACCAGCCTTGTCCCCGTAGATCGTTAGATATAGATATTCAAGTTAAGCGCGGCAATAGATCACCACGTCTTGAGAATCCGTCCTGTTTCCGGATTTGAATCCAACAAGGTCCATCCTCGCTCGTAGTTTCAGTGCCATTGATGCACTTCCAGCTCGTTTCGGTCAACCAGCGTCCCCCACAACGTTCAATTCCGCGTCTTGTGTCCGCGGCGTATAGTACGGTGTTCCATGAGAGCCGTATGAAGTGTCTGTTCTGGTGTATATCAGTAACAGCTCTGACGGGAAGTATGAAGGATGGTCATACCTCTGGCAGAGAAACATGGCTTGCGTCGAAGACCCATTTGATTGACCGTATTACCGTCGGATCTGAAATAAGAATGTGGGGGAATTGTTTCAAGATGTAGAATGAGAGAGTCCTCTGAAGAATTAGATAGCAGGTCCCCTTCGGAAATGGTCAGAAAGGGTACCTTCTTGGCAAATGTAAGATCTCATATTTACCAGAGTGCATCTCCAAGTTGTGACGCCCTCCGGTACCACGCGATTTGCGCGCAAATCCCTTCAAGACCCATTGAAGGTAATTTTCCCTGGGCTCTATATGGTATATCGTATTTCCTGGAGTCTGATCCCAGCCTTAAGAAAATATTGGCGGTCTTTACTGGATATCAATGTCAGCAAGCGGTTGCAACGACGCGGGAGGGCAATCTCTAAACTACTAGTACTTATCAAGTCCGCAAAGGAGGTCGAAATCAAGAGGTGGAATTGGAGAGAAGAGCCTGAGAAGCTCAAGGGAAGTTGTTTTTGGATACCTAGTCACGTGCGCTTTCCAATCTTGTCTTTCTTCGAAGGAAGGCACGGAATCTAGATACTAGTCCAGGTAGGCGCGGATGCCTTGGTGGATGCCATCCGTCAGGAATCGACAATGACAATAAGCTAGTACTAACTAGTAGTAGTTCATTACAATAGGTGGGTCCTGGGACGTCGATCTAGAGAAGAGTTGCCGGGTTAGTTATTTTTGGATCAGTAATAATACATAGCATTACAGTTCTCGTCTGTCTGGAATTTACCGTTCAAAACCGAAACATGATTCAAAGTAGGGAACTAACTAACACTTTATTCGGTGTCTTGAATCATGTGATTAGGGTTTACGTGGTAGAATGATGGTTATGGGGACTTCCCGATACCACGGACCTGGCTGCGGGAATCGGATCATTATTCCCAACAACAACATCCCAGTTCCACTGGGCAGCCACATCGGGCATGCCATGTGGTGATTCTAGCAGATCATATACTCCCCGGCCAGTACGAGTGTGTACAGTAGGAGCCCTTTTAGTGTGCATTAGCGCATCCATTGTAATTTTACAGTATAAAAACAGCCGAGTACTCATACAACTGGGGCTCCTACTGTAGAATCAGTGACGGGTGATATTATAGAATAGGGAAATATTAGTACTGACTACGGTGATAGTCGGGACCCCATAGACGGTTAATTAATAGATAGTTTCCCCAGAGGAGATTTGGCAGACAAGCGTCGTTTAATATTTGGGAGATCTTCGCGACAAACTTGTTATCCAGGGAATCAGCTTCGATGGTGAGATCAGCCGTGGTGGAAATAATATAAGCATAAAGTTGAATGGGAAATAGATGGGAGACCAAGTGCTGCCGGAGATTAGATTACTTGGCCATACCGCCTTTGAATAAAGGTGATTATTGCCATGTGACAATTCTCGTCGAGTTGATATTGAGGCTATTCAGAGATTGTATGGTAGTAGTAGTAGTAGTAGTAGTAGTAGTAGTAGAAGAACAAAATAATAAAACACAGCACCAGTACAAATGTTATATCATACAAACCAGCCCAGCCAGCCAGCCTCTAAATCCTCTAACCAATACCCACCTTATACACTAATAGTAACACAAGTATACCTCACCTCCCCTCCCCTCCCCTCCCCTCACCCAAAAACCTCCTTAATCAAAGCCTTCTTATTAACCTTCCCCATTGCATTCCGAGGAATACCCTCCAAAACCCTCATCTCCTGCGGAATTTTATACCCAGCCAACCGATCCTTCAACGCCCGCCGCATATCCATCGGCCCCCAGGACTTCCCATTGCGCCCACTACTCGCCGCGCCCGGGTTCAACACCACTACGGCGGCGATCTTCTGGCCCCATTGTTCGTGTGCGAGACCGACGACGGCTGCTTCGGCGATTTGGGGTCTAGGATGGGTGGGTTGGTTAGTATCAATTGTGTGCCAGTGTAGGGTGGCGTGTGGCGTGGTGTATACTCACAGAGAAAGTAACTCCCTCTCCACCTCGAGTGCACTGATCTTCTCCCCGCCACTTTTAATTATATCCACGCTCTTCCGGCCGGAAATGAAATACATCGGACCCTGTGCCCATTCACCACTCTCCCCCTTCCCTGCCCCATCTACAATCCTCCGACTGGCAACATCCCCAGTCTTAAACCAGGGCTTACCTTGCCCGTCCTCAACAAAACTCTCCCTCGTAGCACTCTCATTCCCCCAATAAGAATGAAACACCGTCTCGCCTCGTAACTGAATCTCCCCCTCAACAGGTCTCCCACAATCATCAACCTCCACCCCATTCGGTATGACCTCATTAGTCTCCGTATCAACAAGTCTCGCCTCCACACCCGGCAAAGCCCACCCCACACTCCCATCCACGCGATCATCCCTGCTCAACCCGCAACTAAGCGCCATCCCGACTTCTGTCATTCCGAAGCGTTCGAGGAGGACGTTTCCCTTGCTTAGTTCTGTCCATTTACTTTTCGTCGGTGTGGGTAGGGCTGCGGAGCCGGAGATGTTGAGGCGGAGGTTTGTGGGGAAAATGGCTTCTTGGCCCGCTTTTTGGATGGAGGGTGGTTGAGTTGGATAGGAGGCCATTAGACGGTTGTAGACTGTTGGTACGGCGGTTAGGAAGGTTATTTTTGATGCGGTGGTAGTGTTGCTGGCAGTGTTGCTGCCGCCGCCGCCGCTGCTGCTGGGTTGCAAGAATGGCTCCGCTAGTCGTCTCCAGACGGCGTCTGTGTTGAAGGGGTACATGAATTCGATGGATGAGCCGGCGAATACGGGTGTTATTATTGCGTTTACGACGCCGTGGATGTGGTGGAGTGGGAGGAGGTGGAGGAGGCGGTCCTGTGGTGTGTATTCCCATGCTTGGAGGAGTGATCGTGCTTGGGCCGCGAGGGCGGATTCGGGGATTAAGACGCCTTTCTGGGTGTTTGTTAGCGAGGGTTTCTCGAGGTGCATTGGATTGAATGGATTCTTGGAATGATCTGATCGGATGGGATCGGATCAATCCAATCCGATCTCATCCCATCCTATCCCACTCAATCTAATGTAGGCTTTAATCATACCGGTCGATTCGTAGTTCCAGAAGTATAAAGCATCATCCCAGAAACAGTTGGGTCCAATTTATCAGACTCAGACTCCGGCTCCAGTTCCAGCTGGGCTGATTCACTCGGGTCAGCGCCGGTAGTCAACTTGGAGCGAATATCAAAGACTGGCTCGCGCGCTAATCCCGAGACAAGCACTTGGTCTGCTTTCTCGGCATATTTTTCCGTAGCGAGGAGGACTTTTGCGGAGGAATTGTCCATTATATATTGCAATTCGCTGGTTGGGAATGCGGGGGATAGTGGGAGGGCGATTGCGTTGCTGGCGAAGATTGATAGCATTGTTACTGGAAAGTGTTAGTTGAGTGACGGCATATAGCAGGGCAGGGCAGCAGCGCAGACCAGCAGGGTACTGCGAGAATAAACATACCAACATAATCATAGCTATTTTCAGCCAAAAAGCCGACGCGCTCGCCGGCCAGATTGGGCCCGGCTTTGCGGCGCAGATCTTCGCGCGCGCGGAGGACATCGCCGATCAGATTTCCGTAGGTGAAGGTGCGACGGCTGAGGCTGTGGATTACAGCTAGACTGTTCGGGTCATGGTCCTTGATTGCTTGGAAAATGGGGATGTTGGGAAGCTTGTGCGAAAGAGGAGGAGGAGTGGCGGGGGTATAGCTTTGTCTGCAGTTGGAGATGTCGCTGTGGTCGGAGATGGAGGTGGAGATGCGGAGGATGTGGGTGCGCAGATATGCGCGAGAGGGTTGCGAATCTCATTGGTATAGTAAAGAGAATTAAATTGGGTTGGTATCATAAGTCAATTCAGGGATTAGTGAGTGTGCGAGTGAGAGTATCCTGTGTTGTGTTGTGGTGAAGTGAAGGGAATGACGTTCCGCGGGAATCTTTTCCTCTCCGCATTTTCCCTTTTCTTTTGCCTCAACTCAACTCAACCACAACCACAACCACGCCACTCCAACAGCACCACTCAGGATCACATCCACTCACCACTCACCACCATTCAATTTCAATGCTCCGCCCCTTCCTCGCGCGCTTCCCCCTGCGCCGACCCTTCTCCACCATGTCCATGACTCCAATGGAAGACCTCATGCGCGACAAGGTACCCTCAGCTACGACTACAAGCATAGCTATAACCATACTAATACTAACTATTCAAACAACCAGATCGCCCACGAATTCACCCCAACAACACTCATAATCCGCAACGATTCGCATAAACACGCCCACCACGCCGCAATGGAAGGCTCGACTTCAAAAGAAACGCATTTCCAGTATGGGCCCATCACACCCAACCACACTACACCAATCCACATACATATCTGTAGTGTTGTGCTATGCACTGCCCTTGCTAACAACACTCCAGCGTAACGATAACATCCTCCTCCTTCGAGAAGAAAATGCAACCAGCCCGCCATCGAATGGTGTATGCCCTGTTGAAAGAGGAAATGGCCCGGGAGGGCGGTATTCATGCATTGCAGTTGCGGACGAAGACGCCGGCGGAGGAGGAGAGGGAGGGACAGCGGGAGAAAGATGGACAATGAGTGATGGGGAGATGGTGGTTGATTGGTTTGGTTGGATTGAGTGAGGCTAAGGTTGTTGTAGCGATATACCCAATCTATTTCTATCTTTGGTACAGATACATCCACCACTCTCTTCGACGCTGGTTTGCTATGCTCTGCTCTGCTCTGCTACGCTACGCTGTGCGATCAAAGAATCATATCGGTATTACATAGATTAGCGCCAAAACGGGCACCGAGAAACGAAGAGTCTAGTATATACATCCCAAAGCCATTCAGGTCGGATCAGAGATCAGACCATATCAGATCGGATCGGATCAGATTAGTGAGGCCCGGGAGCAATCATCAGTCGCGTGCAGTCAGCGCGCTATACACGGACAAAGACCAGGTCAAACAAGGAGAGCCGATCGGCATTGCTTTTACAAATGACATGCGAGAGGGGGTGGTATAGAAACGAAGGGGGAAGAACTGGGACAGGGACAGCGATAGGTCGGGAGTACAGAAGGTGTAAGAAAGCGAAGATGGAGCAGAAAGGAAAGGAAAATAAAAGCGATAGGTAAAACAGACAGAAGAAAACAACGTGTCGGGGTCGTGCGGCCACTATTTGCTCTTGTTGGCTTCGGTGACACCGACTGCGACACCGACGATGATGGCGATGATAATGACTAGAATGTATTGTTAGTGATGGACTTGGGTGGAAGAGGAAGAGGATGTAGACATCAAGCTGGATGTCACAAGTAGTGCCACTGGCTATGGCTGGGCTGTGGGGGCGTGGACTACTTACTAACGATGATCAACGCATACCACTTCCACCGGCGGGCATTGCGGGCGCTGGTAATAGCGCTGTCCAACTTGGTGTTGGCCTGCGCCACATTGCGGTGTGTCTCCTCGGCGCCCTGCTCAATCTGCGCAACGGCCGGTTCCTGCTGGTGCACCAGCTCCGCAACCTCCTGGTACAACTGACCGAGAGCGATCATGTCCTGCTCGATCTTGCGGATCGCGGCGGATCGCTCCATAGTCGCTTGGCGAGCATCGTTGGCCTGGCGGGATCGGGTTCCGGGGGTCTGAATGGAGTTAGTACATCTGTAGGCTGCATAGACGACAATCCCGGTCTTGTGAAGTGGGGATGGAGAGGAGGGCCTACCATAAAGGCCTGTTCTTGTCCCGCCATCACATTCTGTACACCCTGCTCCAATTCCTCCGGGGTGGCTTCCGGGTTGGCAATCTCGTAGCGTCGGCGAATCTGCTCTTCCAGGCGCTTGCGGAAATCGGACTGGGTGCGCTGGTACTGCTCGATCTCACGGCGGAGGTTACGGTTCACGTTCTCGACCTGGCCGCTAACGCGCGGGTCACCGGAGCCGGGGGTCTCCTTGATGCGCTTGAACTGGTCGCGCAGGTAGCGCAGGGCGGTGTTGATCTCATCTTCGATGTAGTCGACGTTTTGGCGCGCGACTTGGTCTTCCTTGCTGGTTGCGCTGTCGAGGAGGACGTTCTGGGCGGGGATGAGGGTGGTTTCGCGCTTGGTGCGGAGCTGGTTAATGCCATCGCTCATTTCCTTGCACTTGTTCAGGATGGCTGAGGGGCCACCGCCGGATTGCTGCTGCATGTTGGACATTTCTGGAGGGGGGGAGTGGGAGTTAGCGCTGAGTGGAGTCGGTCGCGACGCGATTAGGGAGATGGGAGGGGGTTCTGATCGGATTGATCATTTTGATGCAGTGATCGAGATGAGAACTCACCATATCCGCCATTGCCCTGCTCGGCCGCACCGCCGTATCCGTAGCTTTGTTGCTGCTGGCCGTAGGGGTTCTGTTGCGCGCCATAGGGGTCATACTGGCCGTAGCCACCTTGGTTATCACCGAGACTCTGATACTAGCAACGTTAGAAAGAACAAGGGTGGTGGGATCCCGGGAAAACTCACGCTCATAATGGCGATGGGAGTGAAAGTGGGAATGGGAATGGAAGGGGGAGGTGAAGGAGGGAAGGGAGCTCGGGAGGGTGAGACGGGAAGGGAAGTTGAAAGTGGAGGTTGTCGGGTGTCAGTGGGTGGTGTCCTTTGGTACTGCTGGAATGGTTGGCGCTTAGCAGTAATGGTGCTGCACTAGTAACCTGAAACTGCAATGGAATAGTAAGAAATTAAGGAAGGAAAGAATTAAACAGATAGACTTGAAAAATGGAAAATGAAATAAAATCAAATGAAGGGATGATAATGGCAACTTGAAAGAGACAGTCTCAGGGGCGATGAGTTTTCAGTGGACCCCTAGTGTGGCTGATGTTCTATTCTCAGTTCGATCGGCGGTGGCTGTAGAGGTAGTATAGTATAGTATAGTACGTACTATGGTATATAGTATATAGTACGGAGTATAGATATACTATATATACTACCTAGGTATATACTATTCTATATATTCTAGTATACTGTATCTACTGTACTGCACTGCACGCAATAGTAAACCCTTCCGCATCGAGACCTGCAGTCAGCATAACAGTCATAACAGTCATTCCACGATACTACTAGTAGTAATAGTAGTGAAATTATACTAGAATATAGAATTAAATAGACTAATTGACTTTACTATATACTATACAGAGTCATACCTAGGGCAACTACTAGGGTAGGTCTCTGTGAGTCTATGTATCGGTCGCATGTCTAATCTCCGACTGCAGTGACCAATCAGAGTCGCCAATTCCAAAGCTGCAACCAGACATTGGGAAACAGTGGTAGATAGTACTTTCAAGGTGACTACTAGTTACTGTAGTTAGTACCTCGGATAACCATGAATACCTACTAGTATTACTAGTAGTAGTAGTATACTTAAGGCTCCAACTTAGATACTACTACATTCCATGGTTGCTATTGTCTGCTCAAGGCAGCTGTCACTGCCCGCAGTGTTCTAAATATATCTCACATAAGCAAGCCAAGCATCAACCATTGATCGGCCAACTGCAGGCAACTATCCACACCGCCAGTGGCCTAGTACCTGGGCAGGCTACTACTAGTACTAGTACAATGCATGATATTTACTACTCTTTTACAATTCAAGTCATTTTGATAATAATTATGTTTATTTACTAGAGATTAATCATATCTCATACTCATATCTGCACAGCAGCGGCGCAACAAGACGCCCAGCAAAGATCCCAGCAATGAAGGAATCATGACAAAAACAAAATAAGCTATACAATGCAAATGCGAAACAAAGAGATCTACTCTTTATCCTCCCATCTACGGGCAGCACGAACGGAACGAAATGACTATGACAATGGCAATCACTGCTTAGTCGAAGCGCGACGCTCCTCCTCACGGGGAGCCTCGGGCATCCAATCATCCGCATCAAGGGCATTCATATCATCTTCCTGGGCATTGAGGTGGTGGAAAACAAGCCAGAAGATAATACCAGCCGCGAACGAAGCGCAAGCCAGACCGACAAACATCCACAGAATAGCCGGGTCGAACGCGGCGGGGGTCAGGGCCTCGGCGAGGGCTGAGCCGAAGGCGTTGGTGAGTAGGTACATCGACTGCACGAATGACTTCATGCTGGGAGGGGCCTTGGTGTAGGCGTACTCGAGACCGGAGACGGAGGCGAAAATCTCGGAAACACCAATGAACACGTAGGCTGGGGTTTGAATGGCGATATGCACGTTTGATTGCGCGGCGACGCCGTCGGTGATGGTGCTGTTGGCGTAGATCAGGTGCTGCACGATCGCGGCGTACATCATGGCCAGGGAGGCGACGACGAATCCGAGGGAAATACGGGTGATGGGACGGAAGGGGATGCGGAGACGGCGCATCAGTGGGTAGACGCAGGTTTCCAGCAGGGGGATGAAGACGATGATGGAGATGGGATCGAAGTTCTGCATCAGGTCGTTGGGGACGCCGTGGCCGGCCATTTGACCGGCTTGGGAGACGAAGTTGCTGGAGAACTGGCCGTAGACAACCCAGTAGATAGGGTAGAAGGCGAAGACGCGGCAGGCGACGAGGGCACGCTTCAGCTCGTCGATGAAATGATCATCCCAGGGGACGGCGGACGAGTTGCCGTTGTGCTCGAGTTGCCAGCTAGGCTTGGGGGCGTCCATGTTGCGGTTCATGATCATCATGCCGAGGGCCTTGAAGGCGTCGGTGATGATGGAGCCCTGAGGTGGGCGGACGACGTAGTACTTACGTCCGAGGCAGAGGACACAAGTTCCCATGGCGAACATGCACAGGCAGAGAAGGTAGCCGGACCAGAAGCCGATGTACAACTCCATGTAGGGGGTAGCCAGCAGGGAGAGCGAACCGACGTTGATGCATCCGTAGAAGATCATGTAGATGCGCTGGATGGTCAGGGCGGGGTCAATGATAACGCGCTCGCCCTTCTTGGTGGTGGACATAGCCATCTTCTTGCGCTTGTACTGGTCGGCAATCAGAGGGGCGACGTTGGACTTGATACCACCAGTACCGAGACCGATGATCAGAATAGCCACAATGAAACCACCCAGACCGGCACCGTGCTCCAGAGCAGCGGGGATGGAGGTGCAGACCAGGATGAGCAGACCGACGAGGTAGACGATGCAGAAGTAGACAATGGTCTTGTACTTGCCGAGGTACTGATCGGCGACAATGGCACCGAGGATGGGAGTCACGTAGCACCAGAATTGGAAGAAAGTGGTCAAACCGGTAGCACCTTGGTGAGCCATACCGAGGGCACCGCGGCCCTGGCTACCGTCGAGCGGACGCTGGACGTAGTTCTGGAAGAGACCGGACATTCCATAGTAGGTGAAACGCTCGCACAGCTCGACAACGGCGACCAGCCATGCGGAAAGAGGCAGGTTCTCAGCGATGTGACGGAGGCTGGCCTTTTCCTGATCATTGGGCTCCTGGCCATCGGGGGTAGGACTCACGTCCTTGACATCGTCAAAGGCGGTCTTGTCATCGGAGACGACGATCTCCTGATTGGGCGCGTAGGAGGGGGGACTGTGCAAGGTAGGTTAGGTTAGCTCGAGTTCGATTCATGATCGATTAGATCAATGAGGCTGTATTGATACGTACACAGCCGCTACCTCGTGGTCGGTCATGGCGAAGAATGGAAGTGAGAAGCAGAACAGACAAGCCAAGGGCTGAGGGGGTCGCCTCTGCTCTATATGTACTTTGTGTACAAAAATTCGCCCCGAGGCAGTGGGGATGCTTATCGGCGCGTGAACCGAAAAAAAGTTAGCTCTGTCCACAAAGACCGTCCCACTTTGATATGGGAAAGTAATTATCTAGCTTGGGTCTCCTCCTGGGTCTTCTCCGGTGGCCAAAGATAAACCAATCGTCCGTTGTTCGCGGCCTGCCAACCACGGATGGGATCGGCGGTCCCTTTGTGAATGGCGAATCGTTTTGTTTCATTCGAGATTGACCCACAGAATGTAACCCCGCGGCACGGACGCAAGCGATGGGAAAAAAGTGTCAAGCACGCGAGAGATGCAGTGGGCATGGTGGGCCCCGAACTGTTAGGCAATCAACGGCCAGGAAATGCCGGCCGGAGTCCCAGCTGACCCAGGATATTAGCCAGGCCTTATCTGCAGTAGCATGGGGTGGGATGCATTTCCAGCCAACGGAGGCGTCAGCACATAATCATCTTAGTAGGACTTTGTACTCTGTACTCAGCAGTACTCGGTATCAATTATCATCGACCGCAATTGATAGTTGCAGTTTGCAGTTGAATTGAGTTGAGTCTCCGAAAACAGTCGGAATGCCGGAATGCGCCACGGGGAGTCCGCCACAACCCGATCGTTGGTTCGCAGAGTCTGCACTCGGAGTCCATCCGGCCTCCCCGGCAAACAAAGAAAACCAACCCTAGTGTGAGATACGGATAGATTCGCGGGATTTGGATTTGGTGACTGCGTGGACTTTGCTAATTAGGACATGCCGCCACCACACCACGCGAGGAGCGGAGGTGCCGCGGCGTGCAGCGGGCGATGGGCTCATCCGCACTCCTATCTCTGCTATCCAATCCTTCCGCCTTCGCCTTTGCCCGAGGTGTTCGGTTGTTGTTGGCGTTGGTGTTGGCTGATGCGGCTGGCCATGGCTGGCCATGGCTGATGCAGGCTCCATGCGTGTATTTTCCCCCTTCCCCGTGTACTCCGTAGGTTCTCGCCCCTTTCCTTTCCCCGTAGTGGATGATATCCTCGGTAATCTGTCGATTTTCCGCCCCAACACCCCAGTTTCAATCCACTGCAACGTTGGACCCCCGCGACGAGTTGGGGAGGCTGGATGCTTATCGCGTGCAGGAGTCCAATCAGCGGTTACCAATGGGAATTGGTTGCGCTTTGAGTTTCGGCCATGGTGTCTCACTGGGATGTTACCCCGGAGTCCGCTGTGCGGGGAGTGTACCAATGCGTTCAATCAAGCTGGTACAGATCCAGGGCTGGACTGGGCTCAAGCAGGTTGTCATCCTGGGCAGTGGCAAGTGAGCCCGAGATGTGATCCATCGTAGCTGCAAGGGGAGTCGCTAATATCCGGGGTAATTTTTCTCTCGTAAACGTAAAGGTCGAGGTTCGACCTTGTGTGGGCATGGCGGGTTCAAGCGAAGGTGCGGTGGAGTCGGGCGTCCTCTCGACCACCCTGACGCCAAGGTCGGGAGATAAGAGGTGAGTCGTGAGTATTGGTCATACTATGTCTTGGGTATAGGTTTGGTTGAATCGAGTATTCTGGAGGTGCATTGTATGTGATCTGATGTTGGATGAAGTCAAGGGAAGTGACTGCAGGCAGTAAAAAGCTGCAAGAAGTCAAGACAAGCCTTGCGTAAGGCAGCTGGGGGTACGCCCGTCTAATAAACCGTGTTGGCAATGCTTATCGCTCCGACTTCGCTCTGGTCGACCAACGAGATGCTCGTGGCTGGGTTTAGTCTCTGCGAAGGGCGCGGCAACTGGGGGAAAGGTGAGCGGCCAAGAGTGCCCAGGCTGGGCAAAGATTGGCAGGGACAATTGGTGAGAATGGGTAAAAATGGGTAAGAATTGGCAAAGCATTGGTAAAGCATTGGCATTGGCCCTGGGAGATCTGCTATGTGAATTGGTAGAATCCTCCTAAAAAGTATCCGTAGTACGTGAGGCTCAACGTGGAAGATGGCGAAGCACATGATCAACTGCCGCTACTTCCTTCGACTAACACACACACACACACACATTCTCTCCCTCTCTTCCCAACTCCAACTCCAACTCTACTCTACTCTACCTCATCTGACTCTTCTTCCTCCTCTTCCTCCTCTTCCTCCTCTTCCTCCTCTTCCTCCTCTGCCTCCGAAATCGCTGCTCAATGGCGACATCGTCAGCCACCCGTATTCGCCAGAGCCAAAGCCAGTGGAGTCAGACATCTTCCCTTTCCAGTCGCCGCCATTACAGAGTGGAGCAGAACAGACACACCGGAAATTTGAATATGTATCTCCTCCGTGGCTTCCGGCTTCCAACTTCCGAAGAATAGGCCATCCAATTCCTAAGGTCTACCCAAGTACGATCGCGGTCCAGCAAATCCCCTCGGCCAAAGTCCACTCTCCGGCTCCCTCCACCCATACTCCATCACCCTCGCAATCCAAGACGCCGTCTCCGCCCCAGCCAACAAACAAACAATGTAAAACGTCGCGTCTAGTCCTGAACTAATCCCCCCCAGCTGTCACTACCTGAACCCGCGATTCACGCACATATCCCCCATCTACGAATCGTCGTTTCACAATTCGCGGTATGTCTTTCGTCCCGTTGCCGTGACCGTTACCGTTGCCGTTGCTGCTGGCGCCGGCGCCGGCGCAGATCCCCCGCAACATCTCCAATGCATGCTGGTGCGTCGTCACTGTTGTCCCGGGCAGAATCCCCGCCGCACCGAGCAGGAATGCCCCCGTGCATATAGAGAAAATAATCCGAGGTCGGGACGGGTTTGTCCGGGCGTATGCGCGAACGAGATCTTTCTCCGGCGTCTTGTGCTCGACTAGGGCGTGGATCAGGGTTGGGGCGGCGCCGGGCACGATGAGAATGTTGAAGGTACTGATGATTGGGTAGGCGTTTGATAGGAGCATGTCTGCTCTTATCTTTGTTGAGCAGCTCGTTGTAATGGTTTCGTCGCGGGCGATGGTCGTTATTTCGAAGATTGGTTGTCCTTGAGGCTCACTGATGTCGCCGTCGTCTTTGCCTTTCTCTTTGTCCTTGTATCTGCACGAGACGTGGGAGAGGATCTCGATTGGTCCGGTGAAATCGAGGATGTCTGCGCCGTGGAATATTAGGACGGCGACTTTGTAGACTATGGGACTCATTGTGTAGGTACTGCTGGTAAGTGTATATACTAGTAGATCCTTTTCAGGTGGTTTGTAGTTTTGCATTGGGCTTGAGGTCCATGGTTCGGAGTGTAGGGGGGACGGCGTTGTGAGTAGATATAGAGTTATGGCGCAATACCGTTTGAGTTCAAGTTGGCCATGAACTCTCGATACTATCCAGCTACAGTCGTGTGACCCCTAAGAAATGATATCTGCCGACATCAGGGTTTATTGAATTCACTTTCGGGCTCGGCGGTGCAGAAGGAATGCCAGTGGCTACTCCAGTACCAAATGACCCCAGATAGTCTCAAGTATATCAAGTATAGTTTCTTCCCACCATATCCAACCAAAACAGACATCTCACATAATACTAGTCGTACTAGTAGTAATATACCAATACTATCCCGAACTAATTATCCCCAGTCATCATGGAATCCTCTCCCTGTTCTTCCTTCTCCATCATCTCACCTTCCACTCTCTCCGTAATAATAGCACTCAATCCCAAAGGAGCCATAATCCCGCCCTGAAACAAATATCAGCCGACAAAGTTATACCCAAAGTATAACTAGTATACCACGGCAAAGGCAACTTCCAATGAACTCACCGAAGTCAATTTCAACTCATAATCCGGATCAACAATCCAAACAAGCCTACGAACCATCTCAAACAAACAAATCTTCATCTGCAACACGGCAAACCCCTGTCCCAAACACTTCCTCGAATGCGCATTAAACGCAATAAAATGACACTGCACCGTTTTACTCCGCACCGCCCCATGAATCCCCTTCACATCATCCCCCCCACCTCTCAGGCCGGAATGTCCTCGCATCGCTTCCCCAAACATTCGGGTCCGTGTGTACCCCGTACGCATTCCACCCCACCCACGTGTGATTCGGAATGGGGACTTCGCCGCCCAGAACAGCTGATGATATCGTTACGCGGTTTATGAGTTGTGAGACGGGCGGGTAGAGGCGGAGGAGTTCGAGAATTACCGCGTACAGGTAGGGTAGACTGTTTATTTGGTCTGTTGTTGGGTTCGATGTGGAGAGGGATAATACCGCTGCGCGAAGTTTGTTTTGGACGGTGGTGTTTGAGCCTAGGACCCAGATTGCGCTGTTGAGGAGTTGTTGGGCGTTTTCGTGTGCGGTTAGGAAGGTTACTTTTAGATTGGCGCGGTATTGTTCGGTTGTTATTTCGCCGGTTGATAGGGCTTTGTCGAGGCCGTCGACTACTTGTTCACCGTCGGCGTCGGTGGTTTGGATTCGTTGTTTGACGGTTTCCACTATGAGGTCGCCGAATTCTTGCATTATGGAGAAGGCGGTTGCGCGTTGGGGGAAGAGGGTTGGGTAGCGGTCTAGATCGGGGAAGTTGAAGAATAGTGGTTTGAAGAGGGTTTTTTTGATGATCGTTTGGAGTTGTTCGAGGCGTTGGCCTGGTTTTTCGAGGCACTATGTTCAAGTTCGTGCGTGTCAGTAGATGTACTTTATTGAGGATATAGTTCGCTGTGGATGAGGTATACCTCCAAATCAACATTCATAAAATTAATCCCCATACAACTCAATGCCCACCGTTGAATAATCGGATTCACCATGACACCTCCACTATCCAAACTCTCCTGCTCTTCAATAAGAACATCCACAAACCGGCGCGACTTCAACAACAAAGGCCCCGAATCCGTAATCCGCCTCTGCAACCCCGGCTTCATAATCGAAGTATACAACTTCCAATTCTCCCCATGCGCATTAATAATATTATCCCCAACAAGCGAGGCAATCACACTCCAGGGAATTTTCTTCTGGGATCCTGCTTTCGCATACACATCTTCGTGCCGGAACATGTCGACTAGTAATCGCGGTCTGGTGGCGAGTACATTCCACCGTCCAGCGAACCAGATCTTCACGGCACCGTATTTTTCCAATTTGGGACGCAGCCATTTGTCGTAAATGTCGTCTTGGCCCATGTCGCTCCATAGCCCCATTATTGAGATATAGATTGGTACTGTTGGGATGTTTTGCGGCATGTCGTGAGGTATGCGGATGTACCAGTATAATATTAGGAGGAGGGAGAGGAGGACTGCTAGGGCGCTGCGGGCAAAGTTTAGGAGGGACCAGTCCATGGTGGAAGATAGGTGGATAGGATGGAGTTGAAAGACTCGAGGCTGCCAGCGGAGAGGGGAATTTGAAGTTACTATAGAGTCCTGGTTCATCTGGGCAGCCTTTTGATGGCCGTTGCTGTCGTGTGTATCGGCATGTAGTGCTGACTACCACCGCTTCATTAAGGCTTCACAGCCGGAATGGACCGAGTCGGATACTATGTGCTAATAGTAGTTAATAAGGTCCAGTGGAACGTGCTGACGGTACGGCTGAGCTGAGATTCTGTATCACCATGGCGAGGCTAGACTTTCGTTGGTTTGTGCGGTCTTCGACTTGGAATGCAGCACACTCAGTAGTGGTAACCTTGGAAACTTTGGAACTCTGGTTAGCTCGAGTTTCTTTAGTGTTTGTGTAGAAAATCTTGAATTCGTTCCAAGATTTGGAGTAATAGTAGTAAAATTATATACCCAGGTCACGGTGGCCAGAGGAGGACAATTGAGGGCAAGGTTTAATACTGCATGAATCACCCTGGGCAATGCTGTGTATACCGTGACTTCCAGTAACGGTTGGCTGGGATTGCGATCTGACTAGAGCTTACTTACTACACCCCAACGCTAAGTGACGGTAAATTGGGCGCCGAAAAACTACCTTTGACGCCGTTTTAGGCAAAAAGTCATATTTTAGGTGTCAATCTACTTAGTCTATCCTAAAATAGTAGTATGTAAGGTGTGTCCTAAATAGGTAAAGTGTGTATTACGCGGGTCGGTTAGACCAAGGAAGGTCAGCCCTCGGAGCTGCGGGTGAGTGCCAGGTCTAGGAGCTTAGAACTAGACGCCTGGACTAGAAGAGTCCATGCAAACCTAGCAAACATCGAGGTCTTTGAGTAGGCAATCTGTTAACATTTTCGTTTCCACCGCAAAAAATGATTGGTTTTGAGAGTATTATGGGTGAGCCCCACCAATGAACCCCGCCGCCCCTTTTCTCATGAACTCTGGCATTCTCCTAGGCTGCATACATCTTTATTCATCTCATGTTTACCATGAATTCCCGATAGGATAATTTGTCTCAAAATCCACCATTATATATTCCATCATGGCAGCTAGGGCCCCTCTATGCCGTGACGATTACACGGTCGGATGGATCTGCGCTTTACCCCTGGAGATGGCAGCCGCAAAGCTTATGTTGGACGCCATACACCCGAATCTACCTCGCCCACCGACAGACCAAAACACGTATATTCTTGGAAACATCGAGAAACACAATATTGTTATTGCCTGTTTACCAAGTGGCGCATATGGCATTGTATCAGCTGCAACGGTAGCGACCCAATTGCTCTCTAGCTTCCGCTCTATCCGTTTTGGGCTTATGGTCGGTATCGGTGGAGGTGTACCAAGCAGCAACGCAGACATTCGCCTAGGCGATATTGTGGTGAGCCAGCCAGCAGAAACATCCGGAGGCGTAATACAATACGATCTTGGTAAAACATTAAGCGGCGGTCAATTTCAGCGGACGGGGATGCTTAATCGGCCACCTAAGGTCCTGCTGACTGCCCTCGCTACCCTCCAAGCCCACCACTTCACAGATGATAGTCGAGTTCTTGAATTTCTCTCTGACGCCCAAGTCAAAACGACCCCGCGCAGAGCTACAACTTTTACACGGCCAACTCAAGAGGACTGTTTATATCAATCAGAATATATCCATGGAGGATCTGCTACATGTATCGATTGTGATCGATCTAAACTGGCTCTGCGGTTTTCACGAGACCATCAAGAACCAGTGATCCACTATGGACTGATAGCATCTGCAAATCAGGTAGTGAAGGATGCTAGACAGCGAGACCAGCTAGCTCGAGACCTAGGGGTCCTCTGTGTGGAAATGGAAGCTGCAGGGCTCATGAATGACTTTCCTTGCCTAGTGATTCGAGGTATCTGTGACTATGCTGACTCCCACAAGAACAACGAATGGCAAGGATATGCGGCAGCAGTGGCAGCAGCCTATGCTAAAGAACTTGTCTTGGTGGTTCCGATTGATCAGATTGAAACTACTCTAACAGCAAGAGACACGCTAGCAGATCCTGGTAAGAGATCATGAGTTTCAAACTATATCACTTATTGCCTAATTCGAATTCATGACTAATCAAAGTTTCTGTGTATAGTCCACCGCTTCAATGTCCCTCTAGACCTTACCACAGTGCCTGTAATTACAAATTTCGTGGGAAGGCAAGACGAGCTAGACAATCTATGGCAGTATTTACAACCGACAGATACTCCATCTCAGAAAGTTGCAATTCTTCACGGGCTTGGCGGAATGGGAAAGACGCAGCTAGCGATTCGCTTCGCGCGAGATCATAGAGATCATTTCACGGCCATATTCTGGCTAAGTGGCAAGAATCGCGATACACTCTTGCAATCGTTGAGCTTTGCCATAAACCAAATACCAGGACAGGGTTGGGATAGCGAGGCCACTAATGACAGAGAAGTGGAGCAACGAGCTAGGCATATGTTACGTTGGCTAGCATTGGATGGCAACTCGCGCTGGCTAATCATTTTTGACAACATCGATCAATATTCCCCCTTCAACGGCGCTGTTGGTGATAGATATGACATTCGGGAATTTTTCCCTAAATCAGACCATGGCTCCATTCTTATCACTTCTCGACTTCAGGACCTGAGTGAGCTAGGAAAGCCTTTCCCGGTTTACAGGCTTGACTCTCATAACTCAATTCAACTACTCCTACAAAGCAGTGGACTATCAGCAAGGGACACCACTAGCAAACTTGACAGCAATCCAGGTACTATGGCACTTGATGAATAGATATTATAGATTATGCTAATACATATAATAGATGTCCTTGCTCTTGCTAATCGTCTGGATGGACTGCCTTTAGCTATTGTTATCGCCGGGGCATTCATGCGTGAAACTGGAACCAGCATCACTGAGTACTTACAATACTACCAAGAATCTTGGTCTGAGCTACAGCTACAATCAAATCCCGGTCGTCAGTACCAGCAAGGCAATATACTGCAAACATGGATGATCTCATATCTTGAGATCCAGAAGCGTGACCCAAGCGCAGCACACCTTCTATTGCTACTTGCTCGTTTTGATAATCATGATATCTGGTACGAGTTAGTGAAGAATGGCTGCCATAGCTCAAACGTCCCGGACTGGCTCAAAATGACTATATCAAGCGGACTCGCGTTCAAAATTGGTGTGAAGTCTCTCATCCGATTCTCTCTTCTTGAGAGTAAGCAACAAGAAGGAAGCTATACGATACACCCAGTAGTACAAGACTGGTGCCTTCATGTTGCCAACACAGATCAAAATGTGAACTTCACGCAGCTTAATGAGCTGGCACTTATATCTGTTGGATACTCTGTGCCCAGTGAAAGTAATAGGGTCTGTTCAGAGCTTCAGCAACGGCTTCTTCCACACGCCAATCATATATATCATCTAGATTGGTCAGATGATAATATTGAGACATGGTGGGCATTCCTTCGTTTAGGGGATCTTTACATTAATCAAGGCAAGCTGAAGGAGGCAGAAGAGATGTTCCAGCGAGCTCTGGCAGGATATGAGAAGGCTCTAGGTCCTGATCATACATCTACTCTTAAAACAGTCAACAACCTTGGTGTTCTCTACAAGGCCCAAGGCAAGCTGAAGGAGGCAGAAGAGATGTTCCAGCGAGCTCTGGTAGGATATGAGAAGGTCCTAGGACCTAATCATATACATACTCTCGATATAGTCAACAACCTTGGGGGTCTCTGCCTAAATAAGGGTAAGCTAAAGGAGGCAGAAGAGATATACCAGCGAGCCCTAGCAGGCAAGGAGAAATCCCTAGGTCCTGATCATATATCTACTCTCAATACAGTCAACGACCTTGGGGGTCTCTACCTAAATCAGGGTAAGCTAAAGGAGGCAGAAGAGATATACCAGCGAGCCCTAGCAGGCAAGGAGAAAGCCCTAGGCCCTGATCATATATCTACCCTCGATACAGTGAACAACCTTGGTGTTCTCTACTATGATCAGGGTAAGCTAAAGGAGGCAGAGGAGATGTACCAGCGAGCACTAGCAGGCAAGGAGAAGGCCCGAGGTCCTGATCATATATCTACTCTCAATACAGCGAACAACCTTGGTGTTCTCTACGAGGTTCAAGGCAAGCTCAAGGATGCAGAAGAGATGTACCAACGAGCTCTGACAGGCAAAGAGAAGGCCCTAGGTCCTGATCATATATCTACTCTCGACACAGTCAATAACCTTGGTGTTCTCTACAAGGTTCAAGGCAAGCTCAAGGATGCAGAAGAGATGTACCAACGAGCTCTGACAGGCAAAGAGAAGGCCTAGGGCCTATGCATACATCTACTCTCAATACAGTCAACAACCTTAGGGGTCTCTACAAGGCTCAAGGCAAGCTGAAGGAGGCAGAAGAGATGGACCAGCTGTACCAGCAAGCACTGGCAGGCAAGGAGAAGGCTCTGGGTCTAGATCACGATAAAACTCAGTGACCTGCGGAGACGTTGAACGCATTAAGCATTGCAGTTGCTAAATAGTGCCTAATTCTCTGCAATTTCTTACTAACATGGCTCCTTGTGAAGCGCTAGGGTAGATCTGACTTGTCGAACGATTGCATGTATTTATGCTCACTACTCTTTGCCACCGTCGCATTTTGAGATCTATTGAGTCTGTAGCTATCGTTGTATCATATATATATATTTATTTCCAGGGATCAAGCTTTCGGGCGATCTTTCGGTAGCTCAGGATGTTTGTGTCAGAGTCCTACCAATAGGAGATTCTCCGTGAATAAGTCCCAATTTCCCACCTCAATAACGAGTTATACCAGAAGGAGTTTCGGTCTGCTTAGAAGTCTTACGGATAAAGCGTTGTTTGACTGCGCTCGGAGTTCTTCCAGGGAACGAATCGCGGATTCGACTCTATAGTAATTTTTGGGAGTCTCTCAGCTTCACTAATCGGCGCTCGTCTTCGTCGGGCCACTTCCTGCGCGTGATATTGCCATGCTTGTATAGTCGTAGCTTGTCGAACAGGATTATCTATATTGCTACAGTGCTTGATGCAATGATACCGTATGCGTGCTGTAGCGTTTTTGTTACAAGCTGAAGCACCGCGAGATTTTCTTTGAGGATATCGGTATCGGCGAGATTATCAGAGAACTTAGCCTCAGCAATGGCCAGGCTATAAAATCGCTTCAGATATTAAGATCGCATTCCTAAGCCCGGAGAGATAGTTATTTGTATAGTCCTCTTCGCTTTCAAATAACGAACTTTTGGTTTTTAATTAACTCGCTCGTCTTCGTGACTTGCCCCATGGTGGCAGTGTATGATGGTCCTGGGATCGAGCCAGCCCGGATATGAAGAATCAAAGATTATGAGAGGATTTCTGTTAAGGTTTATTGAATGGACAGCGGGATAGAGCCTGCATTATGAAGGAAAGAGTGGATGGTACAGAACAGATGAGACTCGGACAATTGCTACCTACTAGTACCTAGGTAGATACTAGGTGGGGGATCTACAGGCCCAGATATATATTCCGGTCTAGCACTTAGTACCCCCCTAGTGTCTCCTAGTACTCCAGGGCTAACTAGTACTACTACTAGTAGTACTACACGGTGACTCTGAATCATTACCTTGCATCCATCCACTACGTACAGCTACTAGAACCAATTATCTGAACGAGGAATGTCCAGTAAACTTAAGTATTGAACTATGAAACCATAAACACGGACCAGTACCAGCCACGCACGACATATGCCTCATAAAATGCGTTGTTAAGGGTAAGATACATGTCGCAAGCAATCAGGTCGTCGCTGCATATTCGCAGCAGTAACATAACTGGATATCATCACTTTTCACTTTCACTTCACTCCAGGGACCCATCAGGGGGCCATCAAATGTCAAATGAAACACCCGTGGACGCCCCCGCGCCATCTATCCATCCACCGGGTGCCACAGCCAGCAACCACTGCCACTCCAATTCCCCGTCTCGATAGATCTAGACAGTGTACTTAGCCTTGGCACGGGTGCTACCACTGTGCGCAGAATCAGTGTGTCCAGAGAACTCAACCACATCCGCCTCATTGAGACGAAGCACCTCCTTAAACCGACGCCCGATCGCCTCGAGAATATCCTTGCCCTGCGCGGGTGTGCGGGTACTCTTGTCGCCCTGGATGCTCTTGCCCACGGTGCGGGTCCACAGTCCGACTCGGTAGAATCCCTTGCGCACATTGACTACCACGCCCATGACTTCGTTGTCGGCGTCTTGCTCGAGCGTCTCGCCGATGGCGGCTAGCTGTGCGTGTAGCCAGAGGTCGTCGATGGGGACGGATCGCTTGTCTTTGAATTGGTATGACCATTTGCCGCCGTGCTTGTTCTGGGGGTCTTCCCATTCCGGTCGTACGCCCTTCTTGAAGAGGTGGTAGTCGGCCTTTAGGCCGAGTTCGGAGGTTGGGGTGATGTTGTTCTGGTGGTGTTGGTGTTAGTGTAAGCCTTGGAGGATAGGATAGGTCTTGCGGGTGAAGGAGGATGGAGGGTGCGGTCATACGTAGATGCCCCAGAATTCTTCGACGGAGCTGAATGTGACGACTTCCTTGAGTAGGTCGTTCCAGTTATCGCCCTAGTAGTGAATTGCGTGTTAGCGATGGGATGCGCAGTGTTTGTTAGTACTAGTCTGGTGGCCGGCTTACCTTTCCACTGGGGGGGCTTGGTGAACCACAGAGTCCACTCGTGCATGAGAGGGTGCTTCACGTTGAAGTTCTCGGGGTCATGGAAGACGGTGACCTCGTCGGTCGAGGCGGAGACCGCAGGGGCGGCATTCTCGTCCGTCACGGGGTGACCATTCTCCACGGCAGCCATGGTGGGTGAAGTTGTGGTGGGTGAGGGGTGGGAGAGGGTGAAGTTCAAGTTGTGCTAAGAAGGCGAAGGCGGAGGCGGAGGGGGAAGATTTTCGGGCCGGGAAGGTGCCGTCGGTGGACACAAAGAGACGTGAGGACTCGGACAAGGTGAAGGGACTCGAGAGGCGATGGGATAAGGGAGGATGGAATCTGCACCAGGCAGGAAAATGAGGTACCCCGGGTGATTGAGTGGTCGGGCGGGAAATTTCGAAATTCTCGAGACTTTCCAGTTGGGCGATGCGGACCACAAAAACTGCCTTTCCTTTTTGGGATGGGCGGGTAGAGATGCACCAGAAAAGTAGTAGTTAGTACAGTATATTAACTACTAGTACTGAGGAATTAAATTGAACAGTAATGTTTATCTTATTTTATTCTATTTATCTTGACTCGGACCAACAGTACTCGAGTACTACTAGTACTACGGTCGCAAATCTCAAATCTTGAAAATCTCACATCACTGTGAATCTAACAATATATATACCGTGACCTATCATGAACAAACCAAGCCAAACCTGGCAAACCTGAAACTTGAAGCAAACTTGAACCGGGGAATCATAAGACCAGACAGAACCTCTATATGCCAATGATCGCAAACAATGCACATGAAGATGATGAGTGAATGAGGATGGATGCCCATTACGCCTCATCGCTGTTCATCAAGCTGAGGAAACAGTTCCAGCCTGGGAAATAAATTAGTCCAGACACATCGGGAGAGAAAAAAACGGAAAAATAGGAGAGAAACTCACCCAAGCTAATCACATTCACCACCAACACACGCAACTCCAGTGGCACAAATGTAAAGTTGACGCCCTGCACAAACGGCCAGACCATACAATTGGCCTTGTAGGCCGGCAACCAGGAGTGCTTCAACTTTTCGAGCGGAGAACCACCCTCCATAATGGCCATGGAGGAAAGGAAGGCGGTCAATTGGACCGGCGCGAAGATAAATTGGTCACAGCCGACACGGGCGAGGGTGGTGGTCAAGGTAGTGTTGAGAACGACATGACGCTGCAGGAAACCGAACCATTTGGTAGCGACGGGACCGAAGACGGCTAAGAGGAGCGAGGTATTAGATTTTAATCTTGCGACAGAGGGGAGAGGGTCATTGGGGTATTGTCGGTCGTACCTCCGCCGTAGAGGGCCATGCGCCCGGTGCGGGCAAAGTCGTGCTTCTCGAGACCGCGGCGGTCGACGGCCTGTTGGGCGAGGGGTGTCGCCGGAGGCGAAGAGTACCTGCGATTGTGAATTAGCGACAGGCTCGACAGGACGGAGGGCATAGGGCGGAGAGGGGAGAGACGTACAGCGCTGGTGATGCTGGCTGTGAGGATGGGGCGCTTGGCCAACTTGGACTGGTACCTGAATGAAGTCAGTGTTTCGTTTTTTTCCTCGGAGAAGGAGAACCGTGGAACGAACCAGCGCAACATGGTGAGTGTGAAGGGAATTAAGGAAGAGAGTAGGTGAGTGTCAGCGAGAGGAGGTGAGAGGAAGTCGGAGAGAAAAAGAAAGTATTCCAGAAGTCAAGAGAGAACAAGAAAGGCGGGCCCGCATGTTTAAATTGCGGAGTCGAGGAAATCGAGGGGAGGCTATCGCTTCCCAAAGGGGAAATGCAGCCGCGTCGGGAGGCTCAATTTGGGGTCGGAACAAGTGTACATTACAGTATAGTATAGTATATAGTGTAGTATATAGATATAGAATATAGTATATGTATTATGGAATTAGAGATAGACATATTAGGGCACTGTTTAGGGGAAAGTAAATAAATAATGAATGTTGAATAGTCCGAGTCTGGTGTGATGATGCGCATCATCCTGCTTGCGAGGGCAGGGGCAAACCTGTTTCCCCGGATCAGATCAGGTGATCTGGATGGTTGGTGCCTGATGGTGCAGGCACCAGATGTACTGTGGTCACATGACACACCCGTGCTAGCGCACGGGTATACCACGTGACCTCCCGATCTGGACTTAGGGCTAGGGCGTGTAGGGCATCGAACACGCTCGCTTAGCCCACCTCCGCCCCGAAATTTTGGTGCTAACCGCTGCCCGTGAAGTTCGACCATTCGACCCTCTATCGACAAATTCGCTTTCGTCGCCCTAACATACATCCAAAATGGCTGACGCTGCTCCCCGTGGACGTGGAGGATTTGGCTCGCGCGGCGACCGTGGTGGTGACCGTCGCGGTCGTGGCCGTGGCCGTGGTCGTCGTGGTGGAAAGCAGGAGGAGAAGGAGTGGCAGCCCGTCACCAAGCTCGGTCGTCTCGTCAAGGCCGGCAAGATCACCTCCATGGAGCAGATCTACCTGCACTCTCTCCCCATCAAGGAGTTCCAGATTGTCGACTTCTTCCTGCCCAAGCTCAAGGATGAGGTTATGAAGGTGCGATACACATCAACAATCCGATTCAACACCCATCGAGAACGAATGCCATGCGAACTGCGATCATGCGATGAGAGACACCAATTGGACTGGGAGCTGCAGCAGGAGGACATCCAACTACGACAAGAAGGATCAAGGAATATCAATATCAACACCAGAATGCGACAGATGCTGCAGCACCCCACCAATTGATGGCCATCATCTGCGTCATTGCATCGCAAAGCAATCACACACTCAAACTCGAACCCGAACCGAACCGAACATAATTGCTAATTCATTATTTTCTCCCCAACAGATCAAGCCCGTCCAGAAGCAGACCCGTGCCGGTCAGCGTACCCGCTTCAAGGCCATCGTCCTCATCGGTGACTCCGAGGGCCACATCGGTCTCGGTATCAAGACCTCCAAGGAAGTCGCCACTGCCATCCGTGCCGCCATCACCATCGCCAAGCTCGCTGTCCTCCCCGTCCGTCGCGGTTACTGGGGTTCCAACCTTGGTGAGCCTCACTCTCTGCCCGTCAAGCAGTCCGGCAAGTGTGGTTCCGTCTCCGTCCGTGTATGTATACCTTCAACCCCGCTGGATATGGAATTGATCCAGATATTTATTCCCCCATGAACCCCACTAATCCCTTTCACTTCAGCTCATCCCCGCTCCCCGTGGTACCGGCCTTGTCGCCTCCCCCGCCGTCAAGCGTCTCCTCCAGCTCGCTGGTGTTGAGGATGCCTACACCTCCTCCTCCGGCTCCACCAAGACCCTCGAGAACACCCTCAAGGCCACCTTCGTCGCTGTCGTCAACACCTACGGTTTCCTCACCCCCAACCTGTGGAAGGATACTAAGCTCATCCGCTCCCCTCTCGAGGAGTTCGGTGATGTCCTCCGCCAGGGCAAGAAGTACTAGAGGAGTGCGATTTGCGACGATGCATGATTTAGTTCCGAGTTTCTTTACACACCCCCAGATTTTCTCTCTGCGCTAGATGACGAAAAATGGCTTGCGGGTATGATTTGAGGTATCCCCCCCCGGGCTCGGACGAGGTGTCCTTTGGATGTATTTATCGGGATGGGATTACAAAAATAGCGAAGTCAGCCATCTACCATCAATTTTTCTTTTGTAGGATTACCCAGTGAAGAGTGGTATATCTACTCTGTAAACGACGTAGATGAGCTTGGAAGTGGGGATAGGTCCATACCTACGACTAGATTGTAGATCTGATACTACTAGTAGTACTAGTACTATGCAAGCCATGGGCTGGACTCTAGCAGTACTCATGGATAGAGACCCAATGAGCTGGTCTCAGTTCACTGAATGTAATCAACCAGCATCCAAATCGTCATGGCCTCTAGATTCACCATACTTGTACCTTATACCTCATACGATCATCCCAGAAGATCCATGTATCTACTAGTACACACGAGACTCATAACTCAACCTAGTGCCAGTCAGCCTAGTAACATAATATTGATGACCCTCCCCCCACCAACATGAATCATGCAAAGGCCCTGAAAACCCCAAGTCGACTCGGGATCTCGCAACTTACCACCTCTATAGGCTAGACAGCCGCTAGGGAAGCCCGCTGCGCCATGAACCGCAGCAGGGCAAAGGGCAACCGAGGGTGCCAAGTGCCCGGCTCTTTGACTCGAAACCCGGCCCTACCTGTGGCTCTGGGTTGATTTCTCCGGCGCGAAACAGGGCGGAATACGAGGTGTGGGAACTGTAGACGTGAACCCGTAGAACTTGGATTTTGGTTCTTCAAGGAATGTATAAGTAGCGAAATAGCAATCGATTCTTGAGAAACTTACTTGAACGACTTACCTATAGCTTAATTGATGACACAAAAGTTCGAGGTATACAGCATACGAGATACAAGAATGAGGTCAACACTAACCTTTAAGGTACATTCCTACCTTATTATCTTATCAACTCTATTCACCCCTTCTCTCTCCTTCGATACCACATCCTGGTCAAGTTCTAGCGCCACCAGACCCGATTCCACGCGGACTTCCAACGCAGGCCCTCTCACGACAGTCTTCACCCCACCTGCTTCTTGCTTTACCCCACACACCAGCGTGTACTATGGCATCCCATATTTGTTACAGGGCGTTGATGGCCCGAATGGCGACGACTGTGCGCCAGAAGGTTGGAAATTCGATCGCTATTATAGTCCCGGTCAATGTCCGTCGGGTTATAAGGCTTGTACGTTGCCGACGGTGACGCAGAGGGTTGTTACTACTGAGATTTGTTGTCCAAGGTATGTTGTTTTGTTCTTACGGTCAACTATTGCGTGGTTTTTTTTTTTTTCCCCCTTTTGCGGAGTTTGCGGTTCGTTTAAGTTGATCTATTTGAAATTATAGTGGCTTCGACTGCATGTTCCAAGACTACTGCGCCAAAACATTCAATAGCCCTTCCACAATTACGTACTCCGATTCAACGATATCAATAAAGACAAGTGTTTGGGCCGCTACGGCTTCGGCCATTCAGATCCGGTTCCAGGCTAGTGATTCTTCGGTTGTTCCTGTTCCGACGGAATCCTTTAAATTGCCCATGCCTAAGAAGGAGCTCAGTACCAGAGAGAAGGCGGGTATTGGTATTGGTGCTGCAGCGGGTGCTGTTTTGCTTGGTCTTGGGGGGGTTCTTTGGGTGGAGGATTTGGAAGAAGAGAAGATTGTCCAAGGCTTTGGAGAGAGGGCCGGTGAGGGAGTCTTCAGTGCCGGATGAGCCGCCTCCGGCTTATTCTAGGACGAACTTGAAGAAGTAGAAGTTTTGGGTTAGGGTGCTTTTGCTTTTAGCGATTCTTAGATTACGATACACAATGAATAGATTATGGATTGTATTTGTCTAGTGTGAAGAAGAAGAAGAAGAAGCTATTTAATAAGCGACCCGTTGACGAAACACACGAGTGGTCACAACAGCCTACAGTAATATTCGAAATCAGTTTTACCTCCACACTCTTCGACTTTAATTCCCGAACCCTAATTTTAAATACGCTAATCCGGATATGGTATATCCGTTTATCCCCTTGTTCCTGTAATAGAAATTGTATTTTACATAACGCCGGTGGGACCTTGTCCAATGTAAATTAACAAGAAACCACTATACATACGATACCACTCTACCCCTCCCCTAAAAAAACAGTTTTCTTCCCCTGTAGATAAATCTTGCGTAACACCCTACACTAGGCTTGCAAATATCGCCCGGCAACTTTTCCCCTCAAATCTATATCTAATTCATGATATGATAGAGAGCCAGTCCCTAACCACTACTCAAAGGCCGAAGAAGTTGATTTGCAGCAAGGTCACGATCATAAAGTATTCACAGAAACTAGTAGCAGTTCTCCAGCGCCCACACAACCCCCAACTCGCATAAGTCGAAAACGAACTATAACACCGCTAATGATCGACGCGCTCTGCCACCACCTGTCCGGAAAACCCGGGCCTGCACCTCCATGAGATAGCTGTCTTCCTCTAGCAACATCGAGCCATTCCTAGGAGCAATACCATTGTAAGGCGACAGCACTCAATACTCTAGATGGCCATGTAAGTGCAGTTCTTCTCCCAGTAAAAGCCATGGAAGATGGATCGAATTTCAAGTCCTTTAGTATCTCAATTCAAACGACGCACAGTAAACGAACTAAATTTTATTCAATCCCAGCAATGTAATCACTTAGCTATATGTTGACAGATCCTCTAAAGCGTCCATGAGAATAGATGACAGCTCCGGCCGGTAAGGCCTAATTGTAGCTTCCAGTGCAGATTTCCCATCAGAAGCCTTGACATGAATTTGTTCGCGAGTGCAACTCCTCGCCAGTACTTTAACAATATCCGGTTTTCCATTATCCACAATGGCCCTGAGTGGCGTTGTTCCAATAAGAAAGTTGTATTTGTTTTCTCTGTGAACCTTGGCGGACAGATCACTCCCAGCGGCTATAAGATTCTGAGCTGAGCGAGAAGTCTTTACCGTATGAATCGGCGTGATACCCTCAACTGTAGCATTGTTGGGATTTGCACCAGCATCCAATAGAATGACAAGGATATTATCAAGGCTTCTGGATGCTGCGGTGAGCAATGGCGTTATCCCAGATAAATCGCATGCATCCGGATCCGCTCCAGCGTCAAGTAGCAGTTGTACCATCTTTACAGACTCATTATAGACAGCGAATGTTAAAGCGGTTGCTCCTTCGGGCATTATCCAGTTGATGCTGTCTTCGGGTGGATAAAGAAGTTGACCATACTCATCCCGTTTTAGTATCTCACACACGGTGTTGATATGGTCCTGTCTAACGGCAAAATGCAAAGCAGTGTCTCCAGTACCTGCACGTATCACAGGATTGGAACCATTTAGCAGGAGTAATCGAACGACTTCGGTCTTTCCCAGCATTGCAGCAAAATGAAGCGGCAGGACTTTCCGCGTTTTAGGCTGCCATGTGGCATTAAGACTTTCCTTATCATTGTGCCTTAAATATCGCTTGACAGCTTGGAAATCACCTTGTATGATAACGTCAAAAATGGTAGAGATCTCGCTTTCATCGTAGGCAACCACGTTGCCAGTAGCCCCCTTTCCGGGCTCGTTGCTCACATCTTCAGAAATTACTCTAGGTATGTTTTGTACCAAGGAGCTGGGAGTGGAACTGACTTGAGCAACCGGGGTATGGTCTGTGGTAGGGTCAATATGGTCACTTGCCAAATGTACACTTCGTTCTCACTGACTGCTTAATTCTTCGCTCAATTCACTAATCGATTTTCTCCATGACTGAACGGGCTGCTGTGTGCAAAGTGGGTCATAAGGTCCAGTTTCAGGGCTGTCAAGTATACAACTGTGAATGAAATGCTTAAGGACACCGGCTATTTTCCGGTACCGTGAGTCTGCCATATTGCTGCACCGAGCCATTTGCATATGGTTTGCGTCAATACTCTCGACAGTTTCTGCGGACCTTGGTAGATCGAGCTTAGCAGAAAAGCTGTCTACCACCTGCCAGCAATCTTAGTTAGAGAGAACTTTAGAGAGCGTGTAACAAGAAATATTGGGGTACCTTATTGTGTAGTCCTTTGAATCCCGTCATTCCTCGCGCCTCTTGAAATGAGTGTATTTTGATCTTAGAGGTAGTTATAATGTTCTTGAAGTCCTCATGAATGTTGTCCAGCACCTCACTATTGGGTTCCAGTGCTTTAACAATCTTTTTGTTAGAATCGTGTAGCGTAACAATGGCAATATTCGCTGCAATCGCACCCCATGGTGCATAGCTGCTCCCGCGATGAGGTGTACCAAGGAAGACAATCAATTTCGTGCGCTCGCGACACGTCTCGGATCTTCTTATCGCCTATCTACCACGTAAGCCCTAATGTACCAAATTTGAGTGCTCGAAGGTAGCAACAAACATCTTTGGTGATGATACCGCCAAGGCTGTGCACTACAAACAAGACAGGGTCCTAATATCGTGAGTCTAGTCATCGCATCCAAGGGGCCAGATCTAGGTATACCTTGTTGTTTATCTCTCGTTCAAAACACACTGCAAGATCTTGACCGTGCTGTGAAATACTATTCTGGTTGTTGGACTGGAAAATACCCTCTATTACGTCGGCATTATAGCCATATGTCCATACTCTCGCCTCAGGAATATCCCTCGTCAGGAAATCCTCTGGCCAAAAGCTCTTGGCAAGTTTTGCTTTGTTGGAAACTTCCGCAGTGTTTGAGTCGGGCGGCTTAGACTTGGACCAAAACCTGCGAGGCTTTTGTTTGCCTGGCTCTGCGGCATCTGAGGCACGATCCGCCTCTGGGGCGGCTTCCCATGTCCCCTTCGGATGTCCTCGCAAACCATGAACAAATATGATGCTGCACTTGGTCAGTTCAGTTCTTCGGTTGGTCTGGTTGTCACGAACTTTACTCGATACTGCCTGTTCTTGGTGCCGTTCTCACCCAAGAGCTGTGTAAATCCGATTCGTTGTACGTCACTCATTACTGTACTAGTAACTCTTATATAGGTAGGTCAGTCTGAGTTTTCATCCAGGACATGAAGACTGAGAAAGAATGGATCAGTTCAGATTTCTAGCAGGTATAGCAGAGGCTGTAGTGAGTGAAATTTCGTTCGGAGCATGTATCTACTCTTAGATCAAATGATGGGGGATTGCCCTGTTGTTCTCTTTGCATAGAAGATTCTATCCCATTCTAAAGGAAATTACTGTATTATACCAATGACTCATCCATAATTACCAGAGAATACAATACAGCTCAACGTGGATTACAGGGTAATAGCTAAAATTAGACTAGCGTGTTTCAAGCTAGGGTAAGGGAATGAAAGTCTAAGAGTGTAGTGGTAAATCTGATTTCGAATACCACTGTACCTAGGTATTCTATACACAGTCAATGAGAAAATTGGAATATCAAAACCTGCCCCGATCGACAGCCCAAAGAAAGTTTCCCTCTAGCAGTGGCAGCTGCCCACTCCTGAACTCGGTATTCTGCGGGCACCTTGAGAAGTCGTTCCCCCTTATAGGTGATCCAATTTCCAACAGAGTCCCGCCCATATCCAATAATAGGCTGAGACAAATGGGCTGAGGGATCGGCATCCGGGAGAACATCAGGCAGTTGATAGTAGCACGTATAGATATTGTCATAAATCACGCGCAATCTATCCCGACTCGAGCCATGGAATTGGACATCATCAATGTGACTTCTGTAGCACGTTTCACCCGGGCTGCTTCCAACGAGGCATTTGCGAGATGACAGCTTTGATATTATGATCCCTTGTGGCCAATTCGATGACATGTCCTCCGCTAAAGGATGTACCAAACAATCCCACTTGGTCAGAGTCAACATTCTCCAATCTTCGTGTAAATACGATGGCAGATTTCCAGTCCTCTTGCTGTTTTGACCAGTCAATCAGCGCTCTTGGTAGACCTTGAGATCCCCCGTTGCAGCGGTAATCGAATACAACACACGTCTACCCCAGTTGGTTGAATCTATCGGCATAGACATCGATTTCAGCTCCTTAGTTCCTCCTAATCCGTGGGCTAGAACAATTGCTGAACCGGGACATGAAGATGTAAAATGGTCTGATGAATAAAGCCATCCACACATCATGTCATCAGAGGAGGACGGGATTTGGATGTCGACGCGTCGCTCAATTCCTGCGTTCGCCATAACTTCGGTGTTTGTTTGAAAGCTGCGTCAGATGAATTTCTAGCAAAGAAAGAGGGGCTTAGATAAAGCCCATTGATTCTGTCAAAGTGGCGAGGAGTGAGTTGAGCATGCTCATTTACCTCGGCGATAAGTGTCACACTTTCTGTGAAGGAACAAGAGTTAAGCCCAATTTTGGGATCCGATTATGATGCCTAGGTAATACATAGCCCGATAGTCCTAAACCAGGGCAGAAGTGTATATTACAGTAATATAAATACCGGAACGCACACGAAGTAGACAATTCGAAGCAATTATAGCATTCCTCAGCTCTTCTTCAACACTGCCTAGGTGCAATACATTTATCTCTCATATTCAGCCAATTTAGCTATCGAAGCAAGTTTTTGCTCTGTTCTCAATTCCAAAAGTTCAATAAAATCCTCCAATTCTTTCAAGGTTCGTTTCAAAAACCAAATCTCAATTATTACCCTCTCCAAGTAGGAGCTGCTTTCTTTTTAGACTCAACCCCACTCAAAAATGCTTCGAGAAGCCGACGCCGGTAAGTCCGATTCCTATCATCATTCAAAGTATCGAACCGTATTTTTACCAGCTTTTCTTCTTCTTCTGGGGTCAACTCAAAGTCACGGTTCTGAATACAACACCCACACTCCGAAGTGCAGTGACCAACCCCTTTCATCCTTCCCGGTATGATTTCGCGATTCTCGCAACATCCACAACCCCGACCACAGCATCCGCCCTTGCCAGCACAATCGTTCCGAAGATCCTTGTGGAGATACCATCTCGGATTCTCACGGTTTTTGGAATAGGCTCGCGTCACAGGCCCGTTTAGAAGCGAAGCTTCTAAGTAGTAGTAGCTTCTTTCTTCCTCCCAGTATTCTTTGGAAATGCTATCCAGTAGCTGAGGGTATTTCATGTGCGCCTCCCGTCGGTTCTCGGGGCTTAGAAATTTGATAGCCTGATACTGTTGTCGAATTACCTCTTCTCTCTGGGTCAATTCTCGAAGGCGTAAATCGGATTCGATGAGGTTAAAGACTGCGATGCTCCAGAGCTCTGGGAAATTCTGATATATCTTCCTTTTGACGACATTGGAGTCATGTCTGGCGTGATATCTGATCATCGACAACCGGAGCTTTTGGATAGAGTTGAATGAACCACACTGGTCGAGCAGGGCGTCAGCTGCCTCGTAGAGAGGAATTATAACCCAGCCCAGCATTCTCGAGAATTTGTCGCGTAGATGAATTCGGATGATATCCTTTTGTTTCTGACTCTAAGGAGCACCTTCGGTAAATAGGGATGCGGGGTAAGTGCCCAGGTACACAAAAAGATATACTACCGTCCATCACTCGATGACGAAAAATGAGGTAGAACGCTATACCGGAAACTGTCGTGTTTTACTATCTCTATTATTGGGGTGTGTTCGAAGGGCAGCTGCGGATGTTTGATTCCGAGTTGACACCTGCTTTTTTTTAACTCTATTCCTAAGGTCAGACCGTACTTGAAATAGTAGAATGCAATAGAATGCAGTGATATTGTGTTTGTGTGTGTGTGTGTATGTGAAGAGAGAGTTGTGGTGAAGAAGTAAACTATGAAACCTGCTTATTAACGAGTGGGATGCCGGTGGGAGACCGATGGGCTCCGGTGGGATCCGGTGGGAGCCGCCAGCTGAACTTAGATTCCTACAAAATCCCACTATGTCGACTAGACAAAAGCCCGAAGGCGATCGAGAAGCTAGTGATGTTGATGAAACACCTTTCAAGTGCCCATTCAATGGTTGTAAAGCAAGTTATCGCCGAAAAGAGCATTTGCAACGCCACCGGGCAAAACATTCCCAGCACGAACCGTTCAGATGTCCAAATTGTGAGCGGCAATTCGGTCGGAGGTAAGACGGTTTTGGATATCGTATTATACCCTTTGCCAGAACAGTACATTCTGACTGTTGATTCTAGTGACACTCTTCGCCGACACCTCCGACAACATCATAAAATCAACGAGCCAACGAATCGTGCGCGGAAGGCGTGTGAGGCTTGCCAGGTGGCAAAGTCCCGCTGTGAAGGCGGCCCACCGTGCGAGGAATGTGTACGTCGAGAGACTGAGTGTACATTCAAAGAGGAGGGTCCTATCCTGAGAAAGGACCATCGCCAACCTCTGAAAAGCCAGCAATCAACCGCTATAGCAAACGACCCTCAGTCTCCCAGTATTCTGGAGAAGAGAGATAGGTGCATTGAGCTTTATTTCGAGAAGTTCAATCCTTATTGGCCCTTTATTCATAGAGCATCTTTCTATGCGCCCCGTGAGGTACCCCTGATGGTGCAGTCGATGATTGTTATTGGTCTATGGGCTAGTGACGAGCGGGCTTCGCAATCAGCTGCTAAGGATCTTCATAATAAACTTGACGCGGCTATCCGAGAGCAGACGGTAAGAGTTTCTTCGCAGGAATTTTGTTTCTTCGATCTCTGATACAAGTCGGTTCATAGGAAAAATGGGATGCTTCAGATTATGAGGTTTCTAGCAGTTGTCGCTGGCCACTGGCGACATTCCAAGCAATCCTCTTACATATTATATTCTCTTGCATGATAGAAAGTCGGGATAATTCTGATTTCGAGCTCAAGGCCTCTCTCACCCCGAAGACTACCGAATTATTTACTGCGCTCGTCCGAAGTTCCCGAAAGCTTGGTCTATTTTACTACCCAAATATTCTCGCTCAATATCGAGATACTGGTGACGAAGGGTTGGCCTTGCTATTTATTGAAGAAACAAAGCGATTTAATCTGTCGTTGTACAAACTTGGCAGGAAATTGAGACTTACAAGCGTCGGCCCGCATACCTTGGATTGGCGGGTTAATACAGATGAGCTCCAATTTCCAATGCCAAAAGGCCGTATCTGGGTTGCTGCCACTAGAAGTGAATGGGATCGTGCAGTACCAGTTGGGTCGATCGGACCTGAGCTCAATGAAACCGTCGAGAACACATGGATGTCAAGATCTGCCGAGTTATTGGAGTATCTTTAAATATAATATCTTTCCTGCGCTGAGTAATAATCGAAGTTTGGAATCTGGAATATTTCACCTTTACAATAGTAGTTTCTGTACATGACTGGGGAGGTTTTAGCTGTAGATTTATGAATGCATTATTCTCTTGGGATAGAATCTCTTGAATAGTGATGATGAATAATGCCCAATCCCACCAAGTACCGGGATACGTGTGATTTATCAGCTTAATTAGGCGATCTTCCTTGCGAGTGGAAGATCACATAAATACCTCGCCAACCGCGGGGGGGACTTGCACATTCATCTCTTCAAAGACGGAAAGAAAAGAATTGGCACTTTGATTCCAATATGGCAGCACCGCAAACATACAAAGCCTACCGACGCAGCAAGGGGGGCATCCCGAAAACCCTCCAACTGACAACTGAAGAGCTTCCGCCCACTTTGGATGCTAACCAAGTCCTCATTAGAATCCATGCCGTCTCTTTAAACTATAGAGATGTAGCAATGCTACACGGAACATATCCTGTGAAATATCTTGACGAAGGAATCCCCGTTTCGGACTGTGCTGCTGAAGTGATTTCGGTCGGTTCTGGAGTCCACGATTTTAAGATCGGAGACCACGTCACGCCGATTTTTGACTTGAAAAATTTGAACGGCACGGACGATCAGAGTGAAGGTCTTGGTGGGGAGGCTGAGGGTGTGCTTCGAGAGTATGCCATTTTCCACCAAAATGTTCTCCTGCACGTGCCCGAGTATCTCTCTTGGGAAGAGGTGAGCCCCCAAACCCCTGAGAGTTATCTTTGATTTCTGAGGGCTGACATTTTCAATCTCTCATAGGCAGCATGTCTTGCTTGCGCTGGTGTGACGGCATGGACAGCTCTGGAAATGCCTCGATCAAAGGGAACAGCTTTGCTCCAAGGTATGATATACCGCCCCATATCATAAAATCAAATATCTATACTGATTTGTTATCAGGCACTGGCGGAGTCAGCATGTTCGCCTTATTGATCTGCCTGGCTGCCGGGATCCGCCCGATCGTGACATCTTCATCCGATGAGAAGCTTGAAGCCGCAAAATCGTTCGGTAGACCAGGCTCTATCGATACCATCAACTATCGGACTCACCCGGAATGGGACGAGGAAGTTCTTCGCCTTACAAATGGGCGCGGTGTAGATGTCGTGATTGAAAATGGTGGTCCAAATACCGCCGCCAAGAGCCTGGCTTCGATCGCGCGAAGAGGTGTTGTTTCGTTGGTTGGATTCCTGGGCGGATTATCTGCCAGTACTCCACCAGACCTGTTTTTGCCGGCAATGCTTAAAACTGCTACGATCAGGTATGAGTTGAGAGAAATCATGAATCTTCCAGGACTTACTAACATGATATACTACGGGTAGGGGGATTGCCGTCGGGTCGAAGGTTGATGAGAAGAATTTGTGCGATTTTCTGTCGGAGAAAAAGATTAGTCTGAAGGGGATTTTGGATCAGAAGGTTTTCTCTTTTGAAGAGTCACAGGCTGCATTTGACTATTTGTATTCTGGAAAACACTTCGGCAAGGTCATCATCAAGCTCTAAATCTTCACTTTGCGGGTGGCTAGTTTAAGCTGAGTCTCAGGTATCACACAGACTATATACGTGACCTAATTAAATTACTTTCTATGATACTAGAACCAGTGATTATTAACGCGTGCAGCTATGCTGTGAAACCTGCAGCATCCAGATCGACCTAGGCTCTAATTGGTGGAACCGCCACCGTGAAGGCGATCGGCCTGGCGACAGTGTAACGTGCTCGCAAGCTAGGGGCTGCTCGTCGAAGCAATTTCAAGTGGTGGTCTCAGTTAATTAACAAGGTATTGATTTTTTTTGCCCGCTATTCATAATCAAAGATCTTGTTTCTGGACCGAGGTTGAGATGAGATGCTGTCATGATCAAGTCACTTTCATGTAGGTGGGTCTGTCTGCCCCACAGCTCACAGAATCGAGAAGCTTTTAAGCAAGTTGCAGGGTGATCAAAGTTTTGAATGCTTGTCATTGTGTTTGTGCAGTCCTTGATTGTGCTAGAAAAAAATGATTCAAGCTGAAAATCCCTTACTAGGCCAGCCAATGATGTAACAAATCGAAGCCTGCATATAAACCTTTCCAAACGGTCTCAGGGTAGGACCCTCTCCTGCAACCAATTCATCAAGGGATATATTCCGAGAAAACATGAATTCGATTCTTCATTCTTCAAAGAAGGTCTTTGGGCCCTCTTTCATCCAATTAAACTCCCGGCGGGTGCAATTTCCTCTCTCATCTAGAGGCAGAAATGTTTCAACCACGACTGGTGAGCCCGTTGAATATAGCGGGTACCCTAAGCGGTAAGTCCAAGACTAGTAACACTAAATTGAAGTGTGCTTTTTGATTCTTAAAGACGTTGCTAATCATTATTCGTTCTAGAATTTGGGTGATCGTGGGTACGGGGGCTGGCTTAATGTATTATCTCTGGCATCGCGGCAATGCGAGTGCCCAAGCCGCAGCCGGAGAAGAAACACAAAACCACCATGGGCCCAATAAGGAAAAGGTCAAGTCGCCAGGGGACAGCGTGCAGAAAATGGAGCGCGCATAAAATGTATATGGTAGCCTGTTAAGCGTGGGGTTGACGATTATACTAGTACTACTGCATATGTAAGCAATGGACATAGCAGAATACTTTCCACATATGTATACCTATGTATTAGTACCTCGATACTTGCATCTGAGTAAAACAAGGCCTGCAAGAATATTAGTGAGATTGTATCCATCTAGCGCGTAAATTAGAGAATATGGAGTACAGTAGGTTTCCTCTTGCGTGATGGTATATGCATACTCTAAGACGGAGATCATTGTAGTAACGAAATGGGGTTGTTACCATTCGTGGGTGCCTCATGCCTACGGCACCACTCTAGGCATCCACGCCATACACCTGTGTATCTAGCCTTCCATCCTACTATTACGTTTGTCGAACGCTACTATTTTGTTTGCTTGCTACGCTACGCCGTATCCTGATCTCTGTGAGTACCTGAGCTCCTCACAATCATCAGAGAGCCCTGTGATATAGGGGCAGTCTCGAGTAGCCTGTGTCTGCAAGTCTAGATTATTTCAGCTCGACAGATCGCAAGCCTCCTGTCGATCAATATACTAGAATATTCATACATACAATGTGCAGCTGCAGTGCATAGAGATTGGTCATACCAGTAACAGGATCTGCATAAGCCCCCCTTGTACGATACTGAATACCCTCACTAAATACCGTATTATAATGTATTGTAATGTATTTTAATATAATTTAATATATTAATTAAATACACTATAGTGTATACTGTATACAGTAATACTGGTGGCAATGACGCATTACAACGCAGGAGCTACCCGCCTCCACCGAATCCTGCTTTGCTTTGCTTTGCCCTCCGCTCCTTCCCAGTTTGCCATTCACCCATTAACTTCTACTTCTACTTCTTCTTCTTCTTTTTTCCTCATCATCTTCCCTTCTCTCATCCTCCCCATTTTCCCATCCATCTTCATCATGATCGTCCCCTCGGACTTTGACGTTTTTCCCACCAAGGTGGAGCATGCCCATCCCACCCACTCCATCGACCCTATCCCCACGGTGATCCCGGGTGTAGGCCAGGTTTACCAGGAGCTTCACGCCACCGGACACCGCACTCTCTGGTATTGATTCTCCTGCCAAATTATACCTCTAATCGGACTCCAGCTTACCATGTACATTCTAGGGTCGTCACTGTGTTGATGGGAATCTCTTCCGTGGTCTTCTACACCCTCGCCGCCCGGGCCCCGCTGGTAAGATCAGATCTCCTCCGCATCCCCACCCGTCAAAAGATAGACCCCGGCGCTAACCCCACACTTTCTTCTTTGCTACTCTAGTCCAAGCGTGTCTTCCACACATTGTCTGCCTTTGTCACAACCATCTCCTTCATCACCTATCTCGCCCTCGCAACCGGCCAAGGTTTCAATCATGCCTGGTCCCCCATCGAGAACCACCACAAACATGTCCCCAACACACAGGACGACCTCTACCGCGCCATCCCATGGCTGCGCTACGTGAACTGGGCCCTCTCCACTCCGCTCATCCTCACCAACTTTGCTCTCGTGAGCGGTCTACCCGGCGCTCACTTGGTCTCCGCCATTGCGGCGAACTGGGTCATGTTGGCCGCGGGATTGCTCGGTACATACGATGGTCATACCCGGGCCCGTTGGGCGTGGTTGACCATCAGCTGCCTGTCATACATCACTGTCCTGCACTTCGGCGGATTCCATGCCCACCGTGCTAGTCAGAATAAGGATGACCAGGTTCGACGCTTTTTCGGGGCTATTTCTGGCTTAACCTTTGTCGTGTTTGCCTTGTACCCGATGTACGTACCCTCTTGCTGTGTGTTCATGTGGACGTCTCTAATGCTGACTATTTTAGTGTACTTGGAGCTGGTCCTCTGGCTCTCAAGCTGAGCGTCGATGCTGAGACCGTCGTCTTCGCTATTCACGATATTCTGACCCAAGGAATCGTCGGCTACTGGCTTCTCTTGGCACATGACAACGCCACCGCCATGTAAGTGATTTGATTTGATTTTGAGCTCCATGGCGACTCCTTCTTACTAACGGCTCCAGTACCATCCACGTCAATGGCTTCTGGGCCCACGGTGTCACTGAGGGCGCCATTCGTCTTCCAGAGGACGAGGAGGGTGCTTAAAGTACCCTAGGTTCGACAAGCTCCCAGACTTATTTTAGGACGGATGTGTGTCTTGATTTGAAAGGAGCCATTTTTGGCCATGGAGGTATCGCCAAATGCAAATCTGCAGATGTAGGTTTTCGGTGTCTTTTTTCTTTTGTTTGGATGAAAGGGTTAAGTTGATAAGTGCATCATGAGTTTTTGATGAGATACGCCAGACTTCAAATTGTTGTTTTTAATTTAGTTAAATTACCTATCGAATGAACTGAACCCATTCAATACTTCTCTCAACCAGCATAACTCCGAGTCCTCGAATTCGTGAATGTAGTAATACGTTCAAGTTGCTCTTAGCACTCAAGGACTGACGTCATCCAAGCATTTCGAGCTACTCACGATGTCAATACATTTAATCCTTCTGCAATCTCCTACCTTATTTTAAGCGGGCATTACAGCATAAACCTACAAGTTACCTGCATAGTAGAATACCGTATTCTGATCGATGGATGCCTTAAGAGCCACGATGCCCATGTCCCCTCTTACCAGTAGTAGGGAATAGATGATCTCACCCTTTTGCCTATAAGTATAATACTAGTATAAGCTAAGTAATGTGTATGGTAGTTTGCAGTCTGTGCGAGGACATTATCTTGGGGCGGAATATCCAGATGTTGGACTTCGGGCTGTCCAGTCTGTTCTGGGAGATGAGGATGAATGGGGTGAACTTCGGAATACTACTAGTTACGGCACGCCTATGGGTCATGATTTGCAGTTCTATAGGATATTCCGATTATATCTATGCCATATGGTCAGGCGATGGCAATTATGGCTCTCGCAGAGTATCTGCGGACCTAGTACTATCTGTGACGCCCAGGTGGATGGCAAGGTTGCACATTAGTCGACATTACTACTACTAGTAATAGGACAAAGTAGGATGGCATTGCCAATAAAAATACATTTTGATTGAGATGCTTCACCAGAATGGGGTGTGTTGGTTTGAACAGTTCTATGGTATATGCATATAATTACAAAGGCATTTCTGGAGGAAATCACGCCTCCAGCTCAGCCACGACAGACTCGCAGCGACCACAGATCGCGTCTGTCGCATCAATCTCAGGGACGGCATACCGCCAGCATCGCGGGCACTTCGACGCCTGAGGGGAATAGACGTGCACAGTTCCCTTCTCGCCACTCGGAAGTTCGCACTCGTCTTCATACTTCCACTCTGCGTTGGCAATGTTTCCGGAAATGGACTCGCCAGATTTGCCGATCGTGACGGAGGACACGACGAAGAGGTCTGGAAGTTCAGAAAGGTGGCGGTGGAAAATAGAGGTTTCGTCACCGGGTAGGGAGATGTGCACAAAGGATTGCAGAGAGGAGCCTAGCTGCTTCTTGCTGCGGGCTTGTTCCTGCAGGTTCTTGATCACTGAGTGGACGGCGACGATCTCCTGGTAATTGGTGTCCAGTGAAGCATCCTGCCATTCCGCTGGAGGGCTGGCGGCGAGGCGCTGTAAGGGGTGACCGATGTGTGACTTGATGGCTTCCGGGGTGTGTTCCCAGGTCTCCTCGACAAGGATCGGGGTGATGGGGCCGAGTACTTCTTGGAGATGGGTGAAGATGTAGAACAGGGTTGTCTGGGCGGCACGGCGGCTGGCACTGTTCTCGCCAAGGGTGTACAAGCGGTCCTTGATGGCTTCCATGTAAAAGGCTGAAAATTCAAGGTTAGCCCAGCGGTTGAGGATGTTGACAGATTTGTAGAACTCGAAGTTGTCGTAGGACTTCTGAGAAGCGACAATCATGTCGGAGAGGTGCTTCAAGGCAATGCGGTCAACCTGCTGCAGCTGGTCGTACGCCACGGCATTCTTCGGTGAGAAGTCACCAAGAGCGCCCAGCAGCAGCTTGAAGGTCACCCGGAACTTGTGCAGACTGGTATGAACGCCTTGCAGGACCTGCTTCCCAATAACGACATCGTGGGTGTAGTCGCTACCCGCAGCCCACAACCGAAGCGCATCAGGGCCTAGAGCGTCGAAGGAAGGTTCTTGGTTTTCGGCCTGCTTCTTGCCCTTGCCCTTTCGGGGCTTCAGAGGGGGCAATAAGGTACCGTCCATAATGGTCTGTGGGGCGATGGTGTTGCCGATGGACTTGCTCATCTTACGACCAGCCTCGTCCAGAGTGAAACCATGAGTGATCAGATTACGGAAAGGGGCACGGGTATCAGTCTTGCCGGAGGCGAGCTGGTGCGCAGTGTAGGTAAGAAGACCCGACTGGAACCAGCCACGATGTTGATCGCTTCCCTCGAGGTAAACATCTGCAGGGTGGCTTCGGCCTTCCGTGGGCACATCAATCTCTGCCCAGCTAGTACCGCTGTCAAACCAGACATCCATCGTGTCTGTTCCACGGCGGTAACCAGTAGAGTCATCACGTAGCGATGGTAAAACCCAAGCGAGGTCATCAGCGCTGTCTGTCCACCAGGCATCGATACCGCGCTCCTTAATGGTGTCCATAATATGCGACACGCTTTCCTTGGTGAGAACAGCCTCGCCGGTGGCACGGTGGTAAAGAGCGGGAATGGGGACACCCCAGGAACGTTGGCGCGAGATACACCATTCGCTGCGGTTCTTGATGAAGTTTTGGAGTCGGGTCTTGCCAGTCTCAGGAACAAATCGGACATCTTCCAGCGATTGCAGCGCGTTCTTACGGATGTCTGCCACATCGGCAAACCACTGTTCAGTCGCCCGGATGATGATCGGTTGCTTGGATCGCCAGTCGTAGGGATATTTGTGCTCGTATTTGTGTTGAGCAAGAAGTTGGTTACGTTCCTTTGCAAATTCTAAGACTGCATCATTACCCTCGCCGAGGACGGGCTTGCCACTCAAACGAGAAGGATCATGCGGCATAGCCTTGTCTGTAAATCTTCCCTCGTCGTTCACGGGTGCGAACACCTCGATTCCACGGGCCAAGCATGCTTCATAGTCATCCATACCATGTCCAGGGGCGCAGTGAACCAATCCAGATCCAGAATCAGCGGTCACGAAGTCAGCGGCGATGATCGGCTGCGCTTCCGCCTCGGGGCCCTTGCAAAGAGGTCGGTAGGTGGCCTTTTCGCCCAGTTCGGATCCAAGAATGTCAGGGATAATGACGGACAAGTCTTCCTTCAGCATCTTTTCCATGTAATCGATACGGGACTGAGCGATAAGCAGACGACCGTGTTGCTCCGACTCGACAATCGCATAGTGTAGCTCTTCGCTAACCGCAATTGCAGCATTGGCAGGCAATGTCCATGGGGTAGTGGTCCAGATAACAGCGCTGACCTCCTTATTTGCTAGAAGAGGATCATTGGCGAGGTGTTGAGGGATATTTTCAAGCGGGAATTTGATCAAAGCCGCAGTCGAAATGTGATCATCCTTGTATTCAAGCTCCGCTTCCGCGAGCGCGGTTCCAGTTGACGGCGACCAATAAACGGGCTTGAACTTCCGGTAGATGAGTCCATGATCGACCATTTCGCGGAAAATTCCTAGCTGGCGCATCTCGAAGTTGTGGTCCATTGTCTTCCAGTGGTTCTCCCAATCCGCCATGACGCCGAATCCTTTGAACCCTTTCATTTGCTCCTTCACCGTCTGTCGCGCAAGCTGCCTGGCAGCTTTGCGGATCACGGCAGCGCTGACCGATTTATCCAGAACATCGGTATTGCGCAGGCCTTGTAGCGCCTTGAGTTCAATTGGCAATCCATGACAATCCCATCCGGGGACATAGCGGACTTGCTTGCCCCGGCTCAATTGCACCCGGTTGATAATATCCTTTGTGATTTTGTTCAACGCATGTCCGACATGTAATTCGCCGTTCGCGTAGGGCGGGCCATCGTGGAGGACGAAAGGTTTAGTCGCAGGCCGTTCGCGACGCTGCCAGGCGTAGAGCTCATCGGTGCATCGTTTCAGATATTTTGTTCGGTCGGCTGGTGACACGCGTGGAGGGAAACTTGATTTGGGGAGTTTTAGTGTCGAAGTCCAGGATCGAGGGAGCGCTCGCCCTGGTTGTTGCATCCTCCCTGCATATCCTCTCGGAGGTTTGAGGAGTGAAGTTGAAGTTGAAGTTGGGAAGATTATCGCGCGGCCGAGAAAGGCGGGTGTCCGCAAGTTACCGACGGGAACAAATCTTACAGTCAATATAGTATAAAAATTGGTAATAATACGAGATATTATGAAATCTAAATACCATATTACAATGCAGCGCAAAATGTGTACAAAAAGGCATTCCAAGCGCCCAAAAAAAAAAACCAGTCATCACGTCGTATCGCATGCCTCGAGGATATTCCAATCCCTATCAGTAGACGGTCAGAGAGCTGACAGCACCGTTCTTCAAGACTTCGAATAAGAGTCCCGGGAATCCAAAGAGTTCCGTGTTACCCAACCCACCGTCATGTCCATCTGCACCGGAGCGTTGTCCTTTGGCCGTGGTCTCCTCCCAACCTCCGAGAAATTCAACACTGCTCTCGGGACTGTCACCCCAGCCGCGATTCAAAACCATCGGGCGCTGTGTAGCGCGCTCCTCTCCAGGGCTAGAATAGGACCCTTTCCATACCCCACGTAGCCGCTCCGAGATCTCATCGTAAGGCGACTCAGCGTTTAACCCTTCGCTGGCTTGATCCAGATGAATAGTCCAGCGGCTTCGGCGGTGGCGGTTGAACGGATATGACCCCGGAACATTGCCATGTAGGATGATCTTGGTCACGGCCAACTGAGTCGACGGAAGTGCTGGGGCGGTCGGGTCTGGCATACCGGACGCAGGGAACGCAGGGCCTGGTGTAGACGGGTGTGAGATGAATGCATCAAATCCATGATGAAAATAATTGAAGAAGCTTTCGGCTGGTAAGGATCCTGGATCGCTGACTTGTCCTGCGGATGTCTCTTCATCGGAATCATCAGTGATACTATTAGTGGAAGAATGATCAGTATCGGGTAAATCCATGCCTCTTCCTGGCGATAGATTCGGATTCAACGGATCTGCACCACCGGTACCATTTGCGCGGTGAATAGAAATGCGGCGGTCATGTTTACGATATATCGCATCGGGAGGCCCGAATTCCGCGATCAAATCCTGTGGACTGGTCTCTCCAAGGATGATGGGAACCGGGGGACCCGTTCGCCGGGATGCTTCCAACTTTCCAGCGCCGAGAATATGAAACTCTTCAACCTCGTCGGCAAAGGAGTCACGGGTCTTGCTGACTACTGCCGATGCGCGGGGGTATTGAGGCTGCTGGGTGAAGAGATTCGCACGGACCTCGGGCCATGAGGACCCTTGGAAAATGGACATGGAGGTTGCTGGCTGAGCAGCAGAGGAAGATAGAAGTGCTACGAAATCGCATTGCTCCGACCAGGCGGAGTGTTGCAGGGGAAGGAAAAAGCAACCCCGGGGTATGAGAGCACATAGGTGCCGTATGGTGACTGATCCGGCGGAGATATATATTCACCGGGATACGATGGACCGAAGAGTCGGTTGTAGACATGACGGAAGCTAGGCCCTTGAGAAGATGTCGGCTGCTCCGTTGTCTTGCCACCTTTCAAGACATCTTGATTCTTGTATACAAGGTCCACGCGAGAGAAATCTAGTACTTCGATCAGGCGCAGACGTTGGTCCGGGCCGTCGAACCGTAGGCGGAGCCCATTTGAGGGTAACTGGAGAACAACAGGGTTGCGCAAAGGATCGTTGGAAGAATAGGCAAGATCGATCGCGGGATATATCTGAGGATGTGACTTGACTCGAGTCAAAACGTTGTGTAGAGAAGCGCCGAGAGCTGTGAATGTAAGTAAGCTTGACACTCTCCCCGCATCTAGATGTAGATCATCAGACATACTGATAAAGCCCAGGCCTTTGCCGGGGAAGATATGAACCGGCGCCGATTTGGCGGTCATGGTGCCAGGTTGTATACCACAAGAATGACCATCCGGCAGAATCAAAGAGCCGAGAGAGTAACAAGAGCAGATATGAATGAGTCTGGATGTGAGGGTGAATGAAAGTGAAGAGGGGAAGGTTGGGGCATGACGGATAAGATCATGTGACCCATATCACATGAGTGGGGGTTGTGACCTGGTCACGTGGCATTTGTTTATGTTTTGCCCGAAAGGATCCACCCGAGCAACTTCCACCTGCATTGAGCACATGCTTACACTTACTTTGAACATCACCCTTCCACATCACCTTGCAGTTCACTTCTCTTCACTATGGTCGGCCCAGCTCGGCCTACCTCTGCGATTCCCGCAAGAAGGTCGAATCTGCGACAACCTACTACTCGGCGAGCTGGTTCTGCAGTTCCAGAGCGACATGCCTCACCCGCCGTATCAACAAAGGCTGCCGCTGCTGCTGCCGCTGCGACAACCGGCACAAGAACAACAAAACCGACCCCGGATCAATCAATAAACGCCGCCGCCGGAAAGAGGAAAGAAAGGGATTATGAGCGCGAGATCAATGAAGATACCAGCATTCATGTGGTGGTACGTTGCCGCGGTCGCAATGAGCGCGAAGTCAAGGAAAACAGCGGCGTCGTCCTGTCGACCCCCGAAGGTATTAATGGTAAAACGGTGGAGCTTTCGATGGGACCAAATGCGCTATCCAACAAGGCATATGCTTTCGACAAAGTGTTTTCACCCGCCGCTGATCAAACAAGAGTCTTCGAGGACACTGTACTTCCTATTGTTCACGAGGTATGGAATGATCCACTATAACCCGGCCGGCGCATGAGTTGCTTGCTAACTCCATCTACAGATGCTCACCGGCTTCAACTGTACCATCTTCGCATACGGACAAACAGGAACAGGAAAGACATATACCATGTCCGGCGACATGACCGATACCCTGGGAATTTTATCTGATGATGCAGGCATCATCCCTCGAACCCTCTACTCCCTATTTAACAAGCTGGAGGGAACTGAGAGCATGGTCAAGTGCTCTTTCATCGAATTATACAACGAGGAGCTGCGCGATCTTCTATCCGCCGAAGAGAACACGAAATTAAAGATTTTTGAGAATGAGAAGAAGGGCCATTCTGCGACCGTGGTTCAGGGAATGGAAGAGAGTTATATTGACTCGGCCTCAAACGGTATCAAACTTTTGCAGATGGGCAGCCACAAGCGTCAAGTGGCCGCGACTAAATGCAACGACCTCAGCTCCCGCAGTCACACTGTCTTCACAATCACAGTCATGACAAAACGTACGACAGACTCCGGCGAGGATTACATCAGCTCTGGCAAGCTCAACTTGGTGGATTTGGCTGGTAGCGAGAACATTGGACGAAGCGGTGCCGAGAACAAGCGTGCCGTCGAGGCTGGGTTGATCAACAAGAGTTTGTTGACGTTGGGACGAGTAATCAATGCCCTGGTCGATAAGGGCTCTCACATCCCCTACCGCGAGTCCAAGTTGACCCGCCTATTGCAAGACTCACTTGGTGGTCAGACGAAGACATGTATCATTGCTACTGTCTCACCCTCGAGGAGCAATTTGGAGGAAACCATATCAACTTTGGACTATGCATTCCGTGCTAAGAACATTCGCAACAAACCCCAGATCAACTCGATCATCTCAAAGAACAAACTTCTTCGGGACATCGGCCTGGAAATTCAGAAGCTCAAGAGTGAGCTTATCGCTACACGTCACCGAAATGGTGTGTATATGACACCAGATTCATACGAGGAGATGAGAACAGAGATTGAATCACGCCGAATTGTCAATGAAGAACAGCGTGCCAAGATCGAGTCGATGGAATCCAGCCTCCGCCACAAAGTCCAAGAGTTGTTTGCCTTGACTAGCAACTTCAACAACTTGAAGGCGGATAACGAGCAAACCCTTGGTAAACTGAGTAGCACACGAGCTAACCTGGAACATACCGAGGGCACCCTCAAAGATACATCGGAGAAGCTGGATGAGGAGACAGCCGTGCGCAAGGCTCACGAGGAAACCGAGAGTCGGCTCCGCGAAATCGGTGCCGAAATTCTGACAACTCTTGACCACACCGTGGCAGATGTCGACGGACTTCACGCGAAGCTCGACCGCAAGGACAACCTGGAGACCGATAACCGTCAAATCTGGCAGGCTTCCACCGGCGAGCTTTCCACTGTTACCCAGCACATCGACACACGCCTGGAGGATTTCCAGTCACGCCATGCCGAGCTATTGGACAATATGTCAATTAGAATCCACCAATTTGTCGGCGACGAACTGAACAGTGTTCAATCAACCCGCTCTCAGCTGCAGGAGTTTGGCGCCTCTCTTGAAAAGGTTGAATCCCAGGCCAAGAATCAAACATCCAGTGCACACGATGAAATGAATGAGGTTCTCGAGGAGATCAAGGTTCTCCGCGAGGACGTGAAGACGAAGGTTGGCGAAGGCCTCAGTGGTCTTTCTGCTGCGGCCGGTAGGATCTCGAAAGAAGTCATCGGCGAGTTCGGAGAATTCCATTCGGAGCTTCATTCGTCCTATAGCGTGCTTGGGAAAGACCTAAAGAGCATGTTTGAACACATGACCTCCCATATCGACCAGCAAAAGTCCGAGATAAACCGCCTCCGTCTCGAGGTCCAGGAGGCCAACCGCCAATCCGTCGAGGCCAACCGCAAGGCTTCGTCTAACCTGACCCAGGCTATTGAGGAGGAGCATGCAACCGCGCAAGCTGAGCGCGATGCCATGATGTCCCAGATTCGGAACCTGTTGGAAGAGTCTAGCCAAAAACAAACCAATCGCCTCAAGGGCAAATTCGACACCGTGCGAACCGATTTGTCAGCCTCAGGGGATTCGCTTGAGCAAGCCACGGCACATTATGATCGCAGTGTCGACGAGTGGATCTTTAAGGAGGAGCAGTTTGCGAAGGACGTCAATGCATCCCGCGATGACATTAAGACAAAGATGCAAAATGACTGGGAGGTAAGAGAATCTACACTGGCAATATCCCGAACGCGTTCTAACCACAGCAGGCATTCGACCAACGCAACGCCTCGATTCAGCGGGCTACCGAGTCCGTGCATCAAGAGACTGTTCGGATTGTGGATGCTCAGATGAGCGACATGAGCACGCAAATGGAAGCCCTCGATGACTTTGTTGCGAAAGCTCGGTCTCACAATGGCCGCTTCCACGAAGCACAGCTGGGTAGCCTGGACTCAATGGCAAATAACGCCCGCAAAATGCGTTCGGCTGTTGACGGTCAGCTCAACGGCCTTAACGAGAATGTCGAGCAACTGCAAGAGGACATGGATGTACACGCAGAGGACCTCCAACAATCGGCCCTTCCTCTGCAAGAGCATGTCCGTCAACCTCTTGCCGAACTGCGGGAGAATGTGAACAGCCATCTCATGAAAGAGTACTTACCCACCGGCGCGACTCCTCAGAAGCGTCGTTATGACTACCCCTCGGAATTGCCAAGCACGGAGTCACACGACGGTCTTCGTTCTCGCCATCGCACCTCTAAACAATTTACCGCCCTTCCTTTCGATGGAGATGACCAACCAAACCCCGCATCCGGCTCGCCTGTGTCATCGCCGATAAAACGCTCCTATGTCTATAGCGATGCGTCGGAAGAGGTAGGGACCCACCCTCCTCCATCATCACTCAGCACACCTTCCAACATTGGCCTTAGGGAAGTCGATATAAACGTCGCCAAACCACTCGGGTGTGACGAACAAGTCAATACGTCAGCGAAAACCGAAACCCCCGCCCAAATCGCTTCGGCGGATCTAGACCAGACACCTGAAAAGGACGACTCGGAACCACCCCTCAAGAAACGCCGCTCAACCTCCAACGCCACAAGCACCGTCGTCGAGAACAAACTCCCGCACAAAATGCTCACCAAGAAGATGGCCGGCATGATGGAAGGCCGTGAGAACGTGCCTCCATCTGGTATTGCTGGTCGCAGAAACTACAGAAACGGCTCCCACTAGAGCAGTCTATACCCCTTGCATTCCTTGCATTTATTGCATTCACTACTTTTATTTTCTTTGTTTCCATTCGTGTGACATCTTGATACCCTAATCGTTTGGATGGGATTTCTTTGGACCGGAGTTCGGGTTGAGAAAATTGTGTTTCTGACGAGGCCTATGGTAGATAGGATTACTTCATAATAATACATGATTCATTTTACTATCGAAGCTTCCGACAATTCAAGTAGAACAAAACTGGTAAGCAGGTGGTTCGGTCTCCAAAGATACACCAGCAATTGGAACACACGATACACTGCCGATGGCTGGCTGAAAGCACTGTTCACTCGACATTCGTGCCCTTTCTGCGCTGAGCTGGTTAAGATAGCCAAACCATTCCACCGGAATCGCATCACACTTATGTCGACCGTAGGCTGGAGGCGCATTTTCATATGACTGGAAGCATTCAAGATCTTGGCCATAGATTGTTCCATCGTCCCCAATGACTGCGGGTGTCATGTAAATCGAGAAAGGAATTCGTTCCTGGATCTGTATGTGATTGGTCAACCCCTAGTTCTATAGTGAAAGGTTTCTTGAAAGAGTAACCACTCACCAGAATCGGTGTGTTTGTCTCGGTATTCTGGAAATGCGCCTGTATGACCAGTTCATGGGATATGCGGATGATACTAGTTGAAACAGATTGTGAAGCAAAGTCGAAACTCTCAGGTAATTGCACTGGCAGACTTAAAGGCCACTCCGCAGAGGGTATATCGCCATCTCCACCGTCAATCTCTATTAATGAAGTGTCGGGTATTTGATTCGAAAAATCGTGCTCGGCTTCAAAGATCGTAGATGTTCGATTCGAATTCAATTTAAGAATGCCGTGCATTGCTGATTCCGCTGCTGTTGCGTCAATTTGTAGACTGTGCTTTTCCAAGACTGACACCGAGATCGTCTTCAGGCTGAGATTCTTCGATAAAGGGGAGAAATAACATTTCGCTTGAAATTTGCTTCCGAAGGGGATATTTGATTCTGGAATTGAGATACAATATTGCATTTCTTGGCCGGATTGTCTTTCGATTGTCTGGTTTGTTTGAATTTCGTTAAGACTGCTAGTTTACCTTTGTGTTCTGGTGGAAGGGCGAACATACCGTAGGTATTGATGTTGTCTGAGGCTCGGTCGATAGGTGAGGGTAGCGGTAGACTCGAATTGGTCGGGAGACGACTGAGTCTGCTTTGAAGCGGCGTTCGACTATGGCTTGGACGTGATAGGTGTGGTACATGTGGCGCTGACCAGTGACGGTCTCGAGGATTCTCCCAGCTAGTGGGATGTTGAAGGGGAATTCGTAGTTTCCCGCGGGGAGTTGGAAAGAGTTGAGAGTTTTAGATGCGCCGATCGATTGATGTGAGATGGATGTTATGAGTTGGCGGTCGTTGCGAATGAGGTAGTCATCTCGTGGACTATACGATGAGTGTTAGTAGTGAAGACGCGGTAAGTTTCAAATATGCGGCTCACATTTTCAATATTCCCACTAGCTTGACTTGGATACTCTTAAAGGAGTTCTTGTGTGGTAGGTTGACATGGAATGTTCCATTGATGGAAGTTTTGATTCTATCTTGGAGAAAAATGCATGCCTGGTCGAGTCTAGATGTTCCATATGAGTTTAGTCAACTAGAAGGTTATACATCGCAGAGATGGGTTTATCGCACTTCAGATCATAAGTCTCGCTGCTTTGGTTGAACATTTTGGACTGTTCATCAATTGTTTTTAAGCTCGAACTGTCACTCTGACAATGTTTCTTCACCTTCTCTTATTTATAACAGCGTACTAGTATTTGTCGGCTTCGGAGGCCTTCCCAATCGGGGTCGGAAGTGACATCAGAGATTCAGAGATAACATACTAACAACCTACTCAGGTGGGTACTAGTACTAAGCTCATGTCGATTCGTCAGGGAAGTTCTTCGGAGTTTCTCAGTGGATTTCATCTTGGCCGCTTGGTTATAATTTAGTAACAATAAGCAGTGGTTTGGAATTTTTGTTCTTGATTGAAGCCGTATGATTCAAGTTAAATAGTGGCAAGATTTTTATTTTCTAGATTCCTGTTTACCGACTCGAAGTGGCCAATTTACAATATCTGATATAGACCGCTTGATCGTAAACTAGGGTTTAAAAGTAATGAGATACACGACGCTCTCTTTCAGAAATTCTCCTCCTCTTTCATGCAATCCGACTAATACTGTGTACTAATATTTTATTTTGGCTGCTGGCCGACCTGCCAAACTGGGCGAGCTTCTTCTTTAGGAAAGACGCCGCAAAGCGGTGACTTTCCTGTTTGCCACCATCTCCGCCCTCTCGCTCTCACCAGGTGGGATATTGAATCATCCACAATCCACCGTGAGACCTCCGATCGGCTTGAAGTAACCAATAATGCGATGGAACTTACATTCCTAGTCGGTCAAGACGGCCAAAATGTGAAAAGACCCCGTTGGGCATGCACGCCGTGCCGTCAAAGAAAAGTATAGACCGGAGTGGAGAGGGCCTGCGATGAGGCAGAACGTGCTAATACCTCACAATAGAAACGGTGTTTCCATGGAAGCTTGGCTGGATTAGACAAAGAACTCCCGGCAAAACCGCAAGAGCTGCCAAATGGACCGGGAGTTGTAGATGTTCTGCGAAACACGACCCCGACGACGTCAGAGCATCTACCTGGACGCAGTTCATCGGTATCCCGACAAGTTGAAGAGTCACGGCCTCAGGATGCCACCGGCATACCGACGACCCTTGGTGATCGCATCAGGCAAGAGTTGGATATTCCCCGCTTCTTGTGCGACACCAGCCCCTTAGTGGCGTTGCAGAACGACCCGCAACCTCCGCAACCAAGACTGCTTAGAAGTCAATCATGCAAGGGAGGTGTAGGAGCCTGGTCATATGAAGAAGGCGTCACATCATACCAAGAGGATGTCACATCTAGACAACTGGAGCCCCGAAGGGTAGATATCCCTCAGCGAAGTGGATACTCTGGACTCTTGCCTCCGAAAGAATGCCAGGTCGCCCTGGTGGAAATCTTCTTTTCTCGCATATATCCGCTGTTACCTCTGGTGGATGAGGAGGACACACGCCATCAATTCAACAATGATTCTCTACCACTACCGCTTCTTCAGGCTATATGCCTTGTCGCATCAAAGGATCGAGCTGCGGCAGCTTTTCTTTTCTTGGGATCGGATCCGACGTTATTGCCTCTGAAGGAATTCGGTCCACGACTCCAGAAAGATATCCCGCAGAATATGCCCAACAGAAGAGATGGAAATAGGGTCCTCATTATTAGAATCCTTGCCATCTTGTCACTCCATGAGTGGGGCCCTAATGGGTCGGAAGATGCTTCTCTTTCCCTAGCTCAGGCTGTACACCATGCCCAGTCTATTGGCTTACATCTAAGAGGCCCTGATAGTGAATCTTCCTTGAAAGCAAAGTCTCTCTTTTGGTGTTTATGGAGCCTTGACAAGTGGAACTCTGTCGTGGATGGGAGGCCGGTCTTGATCCATGACTATGACCACGGCCAGAAGGTGACCGATGTCCTTCCTCTGTTCAAACCACAGTTCCGCATCTGGTTGCTCATTGCAGATCAACTTGGTCGCGTTATCAGCACTTACAGACCAAGAATGGAAGGTGCTCGAGATCAGGTTGCTGATCTTTATACGTTCGAAGAATTTATCGAAACTTCCGAGGCGTGGGACATAGAGCCACAACTACTTGGTGAGTATGCCTGCAGTCTTGTTTGAATAACGCGCTAACGATCATTGAAAAGATTCACTTGAGCTGTATCACTACGCTACCATCATCCTTGGCACATACTCAACCGAGCTTCAAGGCCGCCAGCCATCACGACTATCGAATATCCACCAAAGCCAGGCAATCCTAGCTCTCGCGGCGATCTGTCGAAGAAAGGATGTCAAAGAGTTTTCCCCAATGCCTGTATCGGCTTATTCACTTTCGCTCGCCTTTTCAATCACCTATCGGCAGCTGCAAAGAGCAAAGCTCCAAGGCCATCGGATTCTGGCACGGGAGAATCTTCTCACGTTTCACCAGAGTCTGAAATCACTCTGTAGCACTTGGTGGCTAGCAGCTGTCATGGTACGCCTTGGCAAACATGCACTGGAAAGCTTCCAGCGACCAGTATTTCAGACTCAAACCGAACCACAATTACATGGGGATGCTTTGGATGAAGCTCCGAGGACACGACCTCCATTTATTCAGAGCACGAATTTTTCGAATGTCAATTACGGCACTCCACAAACACAACCCAACTCCGACACACTTGACAACCTCAACACGCCTCAGGGCATTCTTGATACTCCCAAAGACATCTTGTCTGGAGCACCATTCTCCTCTGATTTGGACCAGCTTTTCGAAAACCATGATCTGTCGGGTTCTTTCGAAACCTTTTTCGAGAATTTCTTGGATGTTAACTTCCCAACTTGTTTGGGCGAGCAATCCCTTGGATGCTACGATGCATTGATATGACGTTGAACATGCCACGGATTCCGACCAGCTGTTGAATGATCATTTGAATGACTTCAATAAAATATATCTTTTTTGAAAATTTTTTAATATAGTGGAGGAATTCCAGAGATAGCAAACTTAGATACTCCCGACCATGGTATTTCCGTCCAAAAAGCAAACAATTCCGCCAAACACAAAACGCCATGCTTTGAATATGCGCCAGATCCGTTGTCGTAAAGACATAAATACAGCAAATTCCCGAAAGAAATGAAGACCGCATAGCAATATTGCAAGCTCTAATCAAGGAAGTTCAGCCCCGTGGGCTTCAATCTCCGTCTCCGCCTCCGCGTCCACTTCCGCCTTTGACTCGTTTTCGCCTTCGTGTTCAACAGCCTGCTCATTTTCTGCCCCCACTTCCTCAACTTCCTCCACCTTGGCGGAATCAATCACGGCTTGCAATTCACTCATGTGTCTTTCAAATCTCCCCATCAGAGCTTCTAGCCCATCCTCTTTGCTTCGCGGGTCTTTCGGCACGCCGCCGGTCCCGCGAATATTCAGCATCATCCCGTGAGAAGGTCCGTCATTGGCATCCTGGCTGTCAAATGTCGGCGCGGGGACGAGATCGGCGTTCAGAATCTGCCAGGTCGGAGAGAAGCTCTTTGCTGAGGTGACACGGTACTGGGTATGTGGAACGGCGGCTGGATTCGCTGCCGGTGGTGATATCGGGCTAGTTACAGTTCCCGGGCCGGCGGGGGAGGTACTAATGTTTTTCGCATCGGGTGTGACTTGTTCGGTTGGCGCAGAGAATGGCTCAACGTCCAATAGGAGGTAGTGTGTTCGTACGCCTGGAATAGCAGGCGGAAGGATAGATTTATCTTCTTCGTTTGGGTCCGGGTCGGTTGGGCTATCGGGATCGTCTTCGAAATCTTTCTCCTTCTTCTCCGCGGGTATCGTGATGCCCTGGATTTCGAGACTGCGAAATCCGGCTTCTTTGATGATATCCGTGTCGTCATCGGAGAATATATAGTGCACTGTTGGGTGATGGACGGACGAGCTATGCGCATCTTCGATGATAGTGAAGAAGGGTTGAAATGGAGGGTTGGGACTACTTTGGTCTGGTTCTGCATTTTCCACCTCATGTGCTAGATATCCTTGTCCGCCCCCAGCTTCATCGTAGCTCTGTGAGGTTGTTGGGTGGTGCTCTGACTCTACCGGCAGCGGCGGCTCTGGCTCTTTGCCGGACCCATAGCTTGGGAAGGGGCTGGGGTCTGGACGAGCCGGCGGTGACTTTGAGAGAGCCCCCGAAGCATCCTCCGAGGGCGACAAAGTCTGAAATGGGTTGTCGGCCATCTCCAACTCCATCTCCACAGCATCGTGAATCGCGGAGAAGTCAGCGGGACGGCGCTTCTCCTCAAATCGGAGCTCTTATCAGCACGTGAGGCTGCTCTTATCTGACACGTGCCACGTGATGGCGGCATGCCCCAGTTTGGAATTCTATTGCAATTTGGTAAATATTCACATGGAGCGCTTGTTTTTGATGAATGGAATGTTTACTAAAACTAAAAAAGTCACATACATCAGAAAATGTTTTCTATTCATCGTTGATGCCCCGGGCAGTGCGTGGCAATGATATTCAAACCTGGGACCGGCCTCAATATCCGTGCATTATTAGTTCGAGGTTAAGAAGTTCCAGTTAATTAAAATAAGGGACTAAAACAAGGGCTTTCTCAAATTCTCGCTCGAAATATTATTCTTCAAATTTCTGATTATAGCAAGATACGTTGCATACGGTGTCGTCAATTGTTTGCCGCTGGTTTCGGTGACCTTCCTGGCTGGGGCACGTTTAGCCAATGTTGGTGGCAGAGCCGCACCCCCTCAAACCCATCAATGGCAATAATTCGGCGCAGAACAATCTTTGCTGCCCGAATCAGCACCGAGGATGCTTCTATCGAGGCCGAGGTGCCATCGCGTTGAATAATGGTCTTATGTGCTGGCGAATAATGTTGGCCCAGACAGACCGCTGGTTTCATCACCTGAGAGATGTTTGCTTCCTGAGTTCATGACGTAGGATGTGTATCCAGGACTGCGCCGCAAATTCGGCGCAGCCCTGGATAGAAATTCCTATGACTTTCCAAAACACCCATACCCTTCCCAGCAGCCTCCTGGTCCGCATGAGAACCCCCATTTGCAATCAGACTTGCGCCTCGCAGGGCTCTACTAGTACGATACCCACTCACCCCGGTGATGCCTGACGTGGCACTCATTCCCTTTGTGGAATATGCCTTGAGCCGCCGAATCTCCTCCTCTGGACTTTGTGCGATAAGTAAGCCCGAAAACGAATTGTAACACGGACGCTTTAACCCTCAAGGATTTCTTTTCGACACGGCAATTGTGTCCCAGTTTTGGTCCAATCCTGATTTTCCCATTCCAAATAGTCGGTTAACTCCACAGGAATATTTATCCAGAAATTGAAGTTTGAATCAACCCCTGAGTGTATTCTAAAGCTGACTGTCGGCGGTTAATGTTCAGCTTGATTGGTTGATGGCATCATAGAATGGCAGCAATAAGGAATTCATCTCTACAATTTTCACCCTTGCAGCCTGTTTCATAACCGAAAAATTAAGCTCAATAATACCTTCTAATATAATGGCTTTGCAAAGCCAAATTCCACCAACAGCCCAGTAGACGACCTCGGAACTTGCACCCAGGACTCGAAAGCGGCTGAAGTTTCCGCAAAAACGACTTGATCGCAAAAACCATTTCAGAAATATAGTCTAGATCTACGAATCTGTAGCAGAAATGCGTGAAGTGTCGAAAAGAAAATATAAGGATTTAAACAGAAACTACACAATAAAAAAAATACTGTTCGTCGATTAAAGAGCTACATGAGCTGGGTTTAATACTAAACTATTTTCTACTATACTAATAACAAGAACTATTACAAAAAAATGTGCAAAATATAAAACAGTTGAAATTTGACATAAAAAGAGCCATCCAACTGGTCCTGACGGACTGGACATGCCATACAAAAGTGAAGAGCCCAGGTTGTCGGGAATCACAACGCACACATCATGAGAACAAGTTGCTACCTCACCATTGCAACATCAATTTGCAGTATATCACACCGCCGGTACATCCCCCTGGATTGTGCCCGATTCCATTGGGACGCATCATTCACACCAATCGGGAAAAGGTAAGCGTTGATCCTCTGACCATCACGAAGGTGTATACGGCGGAGAGGCGGTGGATAAACAGGCGAAAGATGTGAGCGAGAGAAGGATATTTGAAGCGCGAACCCGCATCGGAGATTCCTGGAAGTCGAAAAGAAACATTAACGACGAATTATTGATTGAAAGAGGAAGGGTTTGAAGGACCTGTGCTTGTGGCGGAGCGCAACCCCAGAGCCCTGCAGTAGTGAGCTGTGAGCTTCCTCTGAAGAGATTCAAAGTTCCCTTTCCCTTTTCCATCTCCATCCATCCCAAGGCTCAAATCTTTCATCAAATATCAACCTTTTCAATCTATTTATTCAGACCAAATTATTCTTGGTACCTTGAACGTCGACATGCCCATCACTCAAAGTCAAGGATCAAGTCGTGGAGCGTTCTCACAGGCCACGACCAGAACACCCGAGGGTACTCCTCAACAGGCGCTCAACCATACTGCACGACAGATAAATGGGCAACATGATCAGGAGATCATGGCTAGAGAACGCCATATGATGTTTCTGCAAAACTCACTGCATGCCTACCCTGGCTGGCGTGCCTCAGTCCAAGCTCCCCCACCCGAAAGCAACGACCATTTCACAGAAAGTCTGAGTCCGTTTGGGGATAATGGGAGTTTCTTCCACCCAGGAATGTATTTCGAGGCGAGGGGACCCGGTCGCGATGATCAGTTTATGGGCGCGGTGGGACATGCCCCCCATCACCAAGTTTCGCAGCATTTGTCAACACCAGAGTCGTTTCCAAGGCAAGTTGAGATCCAATATTTCGAGCAAGCCGGCAGGCTAACTTTGTATGGCCTTTAGCTCATACTCGGAAGGATCTAATGTTGGTGAGGTCTACTTTTATTGTGACTGGGAGTGGTGCACTTACAGCGGCTGCTTCCCAGACAAAATTTCTGTCTGGCACCATATCAAGAAAAGTCATATGACTTCCGGGCGGATAGAATGCAGCTGGGATGGCTGTAGCTACAGTGGTGGCTTTTCTAGCAAAAACACACTGTGGCGGCACATTCAATCGAAACACCTCGCCCCCTATGAGTTCGAGTGCCCTCCCTGCAGGAAATTTTTCAGTCGCAAGGACAAGCTCTTGGATCATCGGCGCGCTGCCCATAGTTAGAGGAAGAGTCTTCAACACACCTCGCCTATATATGGGCCGCCTGAGCGTTCATCCCTTTTTTGCCCCATCCTCCTGGGGGCTTTACTTGATAACCACTTTGTTTTGGGAGACGTCACATCTCGCCGTCCTGTATATAGGGTCCAACGGTCCCTACATTGACGTATTGTGTTTGGCGCGACGTTCCAATATAACTCAGTCTTTTCATCAGATAGAACCCATTCTATCTCCAGAAACTCCCCTTCATCCCGTAGTATGGACTGCCCGATCTTGTAGCACGGGAGGAATAAACGATCGATAGAACTTCATGCCTGGTAGATTCTTGTGTAAGCACAGGAGCTCTTTATTCATAGCACGCCATATATGGATAGGTATTCTAATCGTAGAAACAATACAATAGCAGTGGTCATAAATGGACGGAAAGGGGTATAATTCGAGCAAAAGCCAACGAATAGTTTCAAAGAGATCAACCAAATACCGCTCTATTGTCGCAGCAACGTAATTTCAAGCAAGAAATTGAGTCACAGAGTGTATTCTCTCTCGGTAATGAGCGTCTTTGTGTTGGTTGTTGGCGATAGACTTGATGTAGACTGTGAAGTTGACACCGAGAGCCTCGATAACAGAGTCCCAAGCAAAGATACAAGATCTGGCATTGGTAAATCTCTAAATATCCACATCAAGCGATAAAGTGACGAGTTTTTGAATGAGAGTTAAATCGAGCATCTTTCTTTGATAGTTATGCGGATCTCATAGAGTAGATAATGAAAATGTCCCGTTCAAAAGTCATTCAAGATCCAGAGCTGTTTCAAGAATATAATTTGAATTCAACTCGTAGTATCGTTGGTTTGTTGTCCCCAGGAGTAGCAATAGGATCATAATGAAGACAAAGTTGAAATGAAAGTTTCTGATGAGGACGAAATGATTTTGCCCCTCATTCTACACCCATGCATTTCAGCTCTTGGGGGCGGAGATACCCTCGGTTAGTAGTGATATGCAGGTGGAGGCTGCAAAGATGCCCTGAACACCATTCTTTATTGGCTTTCAGACTTCAGTCACAAGGATACGATGGCGCAATGCGCTACATAGGCCGGGCGTTGATGAAAGAGATAGCCTGGAGCCCCTTTACTGTTTATGTATACCGCTAAAGGTCATGCGAAGTCCATGTATTACGGTACTAGTATGTATTTTTCGCCTGCTGGGGATCTCGACGCCCGTCTCCAACCCCCTCTTAACGAACACTCCAACTGGAATATTTGGGCCTTGAAGAAGCATCAAGTTATTTAACTTGACTTCTGGGCTATTGGGTACCTTCTTTAAACAATCTCACAGTGAGTTGATTATCAATTCATATGGCTGCCAAAAGTACTCAGATCTGACACCGGTAATACATACGGTGTCACACTTTGACCAGGGTTGTTAGAGGTTTGCACATCTCTCAGGGGGCGTTCATCCATGCCGCCCCGTGCGCCCGTGCAGCGTGATTTCGGTACTTCGCAGATGGCGGTAAATGATTGGTAGTGGATGAGTTCTGCCTTGCTTAAGTATTGTAGATCGTGCATGGGGATTGATGCGGGTCATCCAAAAGCAATGTGCACAACCTAGGGCTCACACTGGCGCAATACGGAGTAGTCACCATTCCGTCGCAAAGCACGCATCGCGGATTAAATAAATACTATTCTATCAAAATCTGGGAGAGGGGCTTTATAGCTCTTGGTGGGTATTGAGATTGCCTTGTGAGAATATGGTCGTTTGTCTCGGGTTTTCTTTTTTCCAACAAGCCGGTCGCTTTGTAGCTGGCGCGAGGCCCCGGCGCCTGCTGCGGGGCGTAGTACTGAGGCCATCTGTTCACGGCAATTTCTGAGAAAGAATTCCGAAGGATCAGTACTTTTTTCTTCTGGTGCATTCAGCTAGAGCATTTTTATGCATGAATCCCTTCTAGGGCTGTCTTGTATTTACAAATAAAAAAACCACCTGGGCATGTACCAGCCATAGTCTACGAAAGAAGAAGGCGTATTAGGTCAGGTGATGGACAATATACAAACTTGAACAAGTTCATTTTGGTTCTAAGCCCTACTTAACTCTTTTGCGTTGTGTGAAGTGCTTAGATACGATCAAGATTGAAATCAGTATGATTGGTGTTTGTTGCTAGTAAGAGATCATTATATTAATAGTATGATATACCCATGAATAGCACTCGATCTAACAGTGCCACATTTTCGTCGTTCCATTCTGGATCTGAGTCATCATATACTCGTATTTCTGAAGGACAATCTCCAAATTTGGAGAATTCTCTGATCGAACGATATAACACTCTTTTGAATATATTCAGATGGATCGAACTTCAAAAACACTTAGACACCTGAGTCCAATGGTAATACTAATAGGGCTCGGGATCACCTGGGCATACTAGTAGTTTTGCGGGTGCCTCAGAGGATAGTAACACTTCGCCCCCGTGGGATCCGCCTTCCTCCAGCGTTGTTCGCGGGGTCATTATCAGTATGTAGCATAGATCTCAAGATTACTAGATGAGATGGCGAGGATGGAGACGTGGCATGGCATTGAATGCTGAAGAAGAAAGAAGGACCACTAGGCAGGAGGGACATCTTATCATGGAAGGCGTAGTCAAAGAAGTGCAACATTTTAGCAAATAACAAAGAAATATCATTATCATTCATTTACCTTGGCTTGATTGAAAAGCAGTGTCTTCACAGGGGGAACAATGGTACAAAAAAAAAAAGAAAAAAGGAAATATGGTGGTAAGCGGTCATTGGGGTAGTCCACCAGCAAGTCCGTCCATGTTGTTTGCATCCCAGGTGCAAAATTGTTAGGCTTGGTGGACCGAAATCTCAAAGTTCCATTGAACGCCATGATGCTGAGTATGGTTACGCAAATTGTCTTGGGCTGCGTCTACTTTGGCTCTGAGACAGCATTTAACGCTTTCTCATCTGCCGGTGTTATTTTTTTAAGAGTGAGTCATGCGATTCCGATCATAGCCTCTCTCTTCGGTGGCCGGAGGGATATTTAGAAAGGAAAATTTTCGCTCGGAAAGCTTGGGGTGGTTTGCAATATCGTTTCACTCTGTATGTCATCCTGATTCAAACCACCTGCTCCTGATGGTATTGCCATTTTTCCAGTTCTAATGATATGTTTAGGTTGGTCCGATTTTGCAATTCCTCTATTTGCATGCCATCGTACCTCCCTGTCACTGCTGAGACAATCAACTATTGCTGGCTTTTTGATCATTGCTGTCACTCAGTACTCTATATGAGGCCACAGGGGTTTCAAGGCCCTCTCACTAGCGCTCGTTCAGTGTCGGTCATGGACGGGGTTTCGTCAATGGATGAGATGAGGAACTGACTCACCGTGAAATTAGCAATATCAAAATACCGTCTTCCAAGGTTGTTCAGTGTCCATGTTTCCATCGGTCGTGGTAGTGCCCTCCAAGCTTAGTAGACTGCTGGATATAAGTGAGACTAATACGATTGAATGGTCAAAATTTAAACTAACCACGGAAATGAAAATATAGATATTCAGTGTAGTTCTGAGCCCTGGAGTGTTTGAAAAAGAAGTGTGGTGCTAGGGGAGAGTTGTGAGGTAAATTGAAATTGCAGTTTGGATACCAAGCATCCGTACAAAAGAGGTCCTTGAAGTACTCCGAAAAAAGGGATTTACAATGTCAGAACGAACTCTCTGTTCACATCGAAAGCGTCCTGGAATTTAACTCTGTACCAATTGCGAAATTGAACCGAAATTGAACGAGTACGTCGAAGTATCGAGCTCGACACTATAGTATCAATTGAACTTCAAGTTGACGCTGGATATATTGAGGGTTTTGGAGACCGCTCACTTTATACCCATCTCCGGATTTAAGGCTACGTTTATACACGGGAACAGATTTCTTCTGCTATACGCAAAATCAATCCGGCAGGGGTTGAACGTCGTCGGCATGCCCAGGTGATCGCCCGCGCAAAGGATGAGGAGAATCAGGATAGGGCTGAAAAGGCTTGGCATTCTACAAGGGGAGGAAGTCGATTCTCGATATGACACAATTTGACCTCGGGATTGCTTCATGCACCAATGGAGATTTTATTCAATCCATTTCAAGACGGAGGATTTCGAGCCCCGGATGTCAAGTTCTGGACTCCACTTAGGTCGCGCAATACCAGTTTGATATTATGAATTCAACATTTTGAATAATTGATCTTCAGTTCGTTATTAATCGCACACGATAAGAGCTGTCTCCATCCCAAGGCTAGACTGGTGTGATGTAAAATATGCCAAAATAGAAATATGCAATAAAAGAAAGAAAGGGTATCCTTGCACCAATGAACTCCGCCCGACCCATGCATGCAGTAGTCGGTTATGCCTCTTCCGACTCCTCAGTTTGCTTCCATTCGAATTCTAGACGCGGGGTGTTAGAATATACCTCGATAAGACAAAATGTTCCAAAGAATTGGAGACATACTTTGTCGGCACATTGGACATAACCCCTTGGAGGATTCTTGTTGGATCCAGGTTAAAAGGCAATGCTATTCGGAAGAAGTCGATCTCATCAGCACAGTCCCACAGCGGGGAGAGAGGAGCAAGTCTCACCATATGAAACGAATGGCCGCATTTGCCGAGGACTGCGCAACGGATTAGCATTAGTCATGTTGCAGGGGGATATTGGACGTACGCAGGGAACAATCGTCGCCGGGGAATTTGCAGGTGGGACAGGTGCCGTCGAACTGGACCCGACAGATACCGCAGACCTCATCTTCGGGGATGTCCCAGTGCCAAGTGGCGACGGCATTCCATTCTTTGAGGGTGACTTTCATGTTGTAGAGTGTAAACACAGAGTAGTAGAATGTAGTAGAGCGTTGTGATGTTGTGAAAAGATAAGCGCGTCTGTGGTGGATGTTGTTATCATCACATGAGCGCTTCTCCGCAGTTTCCCTTTGGCCTCCGCTTTCCTCCACCTCCAACTTCCCCCCTCTCTCTCTCTCCTTACATTTAATCCGACTCACACCCCGAAACCATGGCTTCCATGGCTTTTCGTTCTGTGCAGCCTACTCGTGTCTTTCGTTCCTCCATGTCCGCCCCCGTCTCGGCTTTTGCTGGCCGTCAGTCCACCCGCAACGTTTCCTTCAACTCATACCTGGTCACCCCTACACAACTGAACGAAGCCTTGAAGAAGAACCCACCGACCAAAATCTCCACTTCGCCTAGAGTTATCCCGCTCTGTGCAGCATGGTTCATGCCAAATGACCCCGAGGGCCGGACGGGAATTAAGTCCTTTCGTCAATCTCGCATCCCGCAATCGCGATTCTTCGACCTCGATGCTATCAAGGACAAGGATTCACCTTATCCCCACATGCTTCCGACCTGCGAGACATTCGCCGAGGCGATGAGTGAATTAGGAATTCGTCGTGATGACGATGTGGTTGTGTACGACACTGCTGAGCTGGGTATCTTCTCTGCCCCCCGCGTGGGCTGGACCCTGCGGGTCTTCGGTCACCCCAACGTGCACATTTTGAACAACTATCGTCTTTGGACTCAGCAGGGTCTTCCGACGGAGAGTGGCGAGCCTACCCAGTTCGAGAAGAGTAAGTATTCCGTCCCGACTTATGACTCGAAGTTGGTGATTTCCTTCCGCGAGATGAAGGAGCTGGCGGGGGATTATGGAAAGGAGGGCGCGGAGGAGGTGGAGATCTTGGATGCGAGATCATATGGTCGCTGGGCTGGTACCGACCCTGAGCCTCGAGCGGGTCTGTCCTCAGGCCATGTGCCAGGCTCGCGAAGCCTGCCCTTCCAACAATTGCTCGATCCGGAGACGAAGACTTATCTGCCTGCTGAAGACCTCCGGAAGGTCTTTAAGGATAATAAGGTGGATGATAGTCGGACAATCATCAGCTCTTGTGGCACTGGTGTCACTGCTTCGATCATTGAGACTGCACTGGGGGAGGCGGAGTATGGAGATGCGAACTTGCGCCGAGTGTATGATGGCAGCTGGACGTGAGTATTGGTTCTCTGGGGGGGTGTTTTGTTAATCGATTATGCTAACTGTCTCCAGTGAATGGGCACAGAGAGTTAAGGAGTCAGATGGACTCATCAAGAAGGTGAAGGCGTAAGGGTGGAGGGTTAAGGTGTACACTACTCGGCGGCACTTGTTAGCAGGAGGCTAGACTGCATAGATATTAGCAGTCCCACTCACTTACTCACATATCTCATTCCAGGACTCACCACTCTTCTTATCTCCCAGCTCATTCATCTCTATCTGTACCTTCAAGTTCAAGTTTCATTTGTTTAACTATCTTGACGTCGGGTATATGCCTCCGAACCAACACTCACCACTCACCGTCAAGGACAGTTGAACTGATGAATCATAGCATTGATGTAAATACTCCCGCTGTCATTTCTCTTTAATTCCATCCATCTCTGCCTTGATCCTACTCCTAGTATACTAGTGGTATACTACTACTACTCCTACTGTATACTCGGTACCCGCTTAGTCATCCATACTTCACTTCTCTTCATTCTTTCTCTTCTCTCTTTGCTCTCTCCACTTCCTTTGAACTCTCACAATACTACTAGTATCCTTTCTAAAGATGCTTCAGATGCCGATCATTCTACTTATACCTTCTCCTCGTGAGTATTTCTGTTCTCGACTACCTCTGTTTGATGCATTTCTGCTCGATGCACCACCCGCGCCCGCTGTGCACGCTGTGCCCCCACATTCCCAACTCCAACCTCCTTCTCTGCTGACTCCAGTCCTCCTCCACCAAGTTGCGGCTGTCAACACCTCAACCCCCTCAGTATAGGGCACTTCTGCCCTCTACTCTCTTTCTCCTCATTCACACCCCCGTCATGTCGACTGAACGCAAGGTCTTTCACTGCGCCGTGGATGAGACGGCTTTGACCACCAATATCAGCGAAATCAAGAAATGGACCACCAACGGCGCTATCGACCTCATTGTCCCTCTTTACAGTAAGTGGTAATTCTCTGCTGAATCCGCCTCACTTGAACCCTCAAGATCACCGGCCTTCCTCCGCTTGTCCTGCGCTATACCAGGCTGATCTAACACTCTTGTCCACCAGCCCTCGAACGCCTCCATGCCTTGAAACGGGCGGGATCGCAAATCGCCATCAATGCTCGTGAGGCCGTTCGCTTCCTCGACCGAGTCACCTCCGGCAAAGATCAGATTACCGCCGACCGCGTTACTCTCCAAGGACCGATGGAACAGTACGAGCACTGGGAAGATGCCGAACAGTTCTTTCTCCCCGAATTCGAGGAAGAACCCGACCTGATGAACGAAGCGGACCTTTCCCTCTCTACGCCCGAATTTCAGGAAACCAATGGCACGACCGATTCGGCAGATCTCTCGCAGATGTTGCTGAGCAAGTTGAACTTTAAGCCCGAGGCCGAGGCCGCATCAATCGAGTCCGCCGGTTCGCCCAGCGGGCCGGGCTCGCGCACATCCTCCCGCAGTTCGCGCACCAGCCCGGAGTGCGCTCAGCACGAGAATGGCACGGCCAAGTTGGACAAACCCAAGTCAGGACATCTGCGCACGGCATCCGGGTCGATCATCCCGGTCGCTCCGCCTACTTTGCGACCGTTGCTGAGCGCTCTCTTGTGGCGACTGCACGGCGGGCCGGATGCTAAAAATTCCGCCAAGGGCTGCATCTTGGTCACCAACGACCGCGCGACGCAGGTGTGGGCTCAGAAGTTCGGGATCGGAGTCAAGAATATTGTTCAGCTACGCACGGCCATTCAGTACGAGGAGCGCGAATTCAAGAATCGCTGCAAATACGTTGAAAAGATTCAGACCCAACCCACCGCCGACCAACCGAAGACCCTCCTTTCGTACGAAGAGGATAGCGACGAAGATGAACTAGTCTTTGTGCCCCGTGGAGGTGGAGGTGGAAATCGTGGAAAAGGTAGCAACAACCCCCCTCGTGGAGCCAAGGCTGGTTCTTCTTCTCGCAAGGCCGCCCCAAAGAGCAAAACCAAGACTGCGCCCGCACCCGCGCCCGCGCCCACATCCGCATCCGCATCCGCATCCACGCCTGCGCCGGCCGCGCCCATCACGACCGAGACTGCTCCGATTGAAGTCCCCACACAACCCATCGACCCGAACTCCTTCAGCCGATCGCTCGGTCCCAACAAGACCCCCACGGTCGATCTGAGCACGCAGCAAGGAGCGGCCCGAAATATCTCGGGCGCCTCACGTCGACCACCCAGTGGTGGGCGCCGTGGAGGTTCTGGTCGGGGTGCTGCACGCGGCAATGGACGAGGTCGGGGTAAGCTGTGGGTTCCTTGAAGAGCCGGGCGGGTCTGTCGATCCCCTTTTCCTTTGGACAAATTATTATTATTATTTTTGATATGGTTCAAGGCGTTCGACAGACCAAGTCTTCTTTTTGTACAACCATTGCATATCCACCGGAACGGAACGAATTCGTCTTCTTCTTTCCTGTTAACAGGACATCGTGGAAGGGGGATACTTGCACTTGCACTTGACATTTGACACTTGTTGTTGTCTCTCCCCCCTATCCTCCATGGCCCATGGCATCTCATTTGGCATGAAGCTTTTCCTCCAGATCCGATTCTCCACATGATCGGTCGCGATGACCCCCGAACTGCATGAACGGGTGTCAGCAGATTCGGCGTGATGTGATGTGATGTGATGTGATGAACGTGATGGATGACTGGAGGTATATTCCTGGGTACTGCCTTTGCTGCCTCTCCCTCTGCCTCTGCCTTTACTTCTGCCTTTGGATGTGGGCTTTCTTTGGGAGTCGGTATTGATCGCTCATGAGCTGGACCGGCTTAGATAGTGGATCTCTCTTGAATCTACATGAATTTATCTCTTCATATCCCTTTTCTCTTGGATTTAGTCTTACTGGAAATAGTATTCTAATCTTTTAATATTCTAATCCTGTAACTCGTGCACTGTTGTTGCTGCTGTTGCTGGTCAGCTGACAGCCCCGTGGTCCGCCTCACTTGACTTCAGCTTCGAAGTACTTCACACCTTCTCCTCTTCTTTTCTTACACTTCCTCCCTCCTTCTCTTTTACATTCACATTAGTCGACATTAGTCCTTCTCTTATCCAATCCTACTATCATCACCATCACTATGGCCAGCGTCGACGAGACTCCCCTCAGCGCCGCCCCCCACGAGCGCCGTAACTCGCTGGAAAAGCACCTCCAGATGCGCCCCGACGTTCAGGACCTGAAGGACCGTCATATTCTGCTTGACACAAACATTTCCCCGTACGCCTGTCTCCAATGCTACTACTAGTATTTTCTCGTCGATTTCCTTCCTAACCAGATACTATAGTTCCCTTCAAGCCGCCCGCCAGGAGCTCGACCGCCAGCGTACCCAAGATAACCTAAAGAAGAACCTGGAGAAGCGACCAGAACGCGATGAACTGATCGAGCGTATGCATATACCGTCTCATTTCTCTCACCAACACTAAGCCACCTCCTCCGTCCCCATGACATCGACAACCCAACGCGGTAGTACTTGCTAACCACTCAAAAGGCAACATTCTCCCCGCCACAAACGCCGCCCCGGCTCTCCAAGCCCACGCCCGCGAACTGGAAAAACATATGCTGGCCGATAACCTCGAGCACAAAATTCAGAATCGCCCCCAGCCTGAAGATCTCATTGAGCAGGGCATTCTCGAGGAAGATGAGGACCCGCGCTCCCCGATTTCAACTTCGTAACCAACGTGCGCTTCATACTTTGGACTTACCCCGCAGTCTTTGTTTCACCGCGCCCTGCCTGACCTGACCTGCTCTGCTCTGCTCTGACACGCCCTCATTTTCTTTTTACGTCTGCGATCGACTTTCTTTGACTGGCTCGGGATACAGTCTCAAGACTCGACTACTTTATCGACTTGAAGCTCGGTCTTTCTTTCTTTTCTTTCTTCTGCAATGCAGTACTCTTTGATTGATCCGGTCCCACTAGTCGTGGTGGTGACATCACCGTGACGCCTGTCCATAGTTTTCTCCGCAATCAATTCGCTTTTTTATAATTTGGTTGGTTTTACTTGACTAATGAACATATACCCCGTACTATAACGTTTGCTATCGTGCCATCATGCGACCCTGGATCGGCGGTGTGAGTAGTTCCCCCGCATTTGGATAGGATTTAAGCTTTCCCACCCATGGAATGTCTTGACTTATCGCGATGTGGAGGATACCCGTTGAACATAGCTGGGACACTCCATCTGGAACTGGAATGCGTCTTGACTCTGGCCTTTTGGCCCTGCCGCTGTGTAGGTACGGGTTTGTAACATCGACATTTGCTAGTGATAACCATCTACTAGTAGGAGGTGCCAGTGAAACATCATGCAGCTCTACGAATTTTGAAAAAGCATCAATCACGAAAGATTATACACGGCGCGGGCTGCCTAGTCGGAATACCCTGTCATACACCTCCATAATATCATCGCGGTTAACTGAACACAAGGTCAACATATGGCAAATCATGATAACCATACATCCCGACCACTTTGACCCAGGTAAATATTATCGTCACCGTGATGGAGCCGCAACGGACTCTAGTCTGCTGATCCGCTGTTATGGTGAGGTGTTGGCTACCAGATATCACTGCCAAATCGGAGCTCACTTGATTGTCTAGACCACTTAGAATATGAGCCCATCTGACCAAGTTCATATACTTTTTGTCGCGTATCTAAGTTTCTCTAACTTTCCATGGTTTTGCCATGTGGCCAGACCTTCGGTGACAGCCTCTGGCTCTAGCGCACGACATCACTCTGTAGCTTAAATGTACTATATATTCTCACCTCCATCCTGAAAAACAGCTATCGATTGCATGCTTGTCGTGTAAAAATCTTGCTATCGCTCTCAATACTCCAAAATGCCATTTGGCTCACTCTCAGTATCCAACACGGCCATTCCACAGTATGCTCCTCTATATCCCGTGGGTGGCAGTGACTATATAAGTGATACTGTTCTCACCATTACCTATCAAACATCGGTTCAATGTGTGCGCCATCTTGTGCCGGACATGCTAGAGCTTGAAGACGAACCACAGGTATCAGTAATGATCTTGCAGCACACAATGACAACCTTCGGCCCATACAACGAGTATGTCCACTCGGTCAAGGTCAAATACAATGGCGACACATTTGACTACTTCCTTTTACTCATCCTAGACAATGACTCGCCAATATCCTGCGGTCGCGAGCAATTTGGATTCCCTAAGAAGCTGGGGAACGTGTCGTTAGTGTTGAAAAATGGATCGACGGTTGTTCACGGCTACGTGGAGAGACCAGCAGGTCAAAAGGTCGTTGAAGTTGGTTTCCAGCCTGAAAAAAGAGTGAAGGACGCAGTTGAGACAACGATCCAGGGGTTAAATTTGCGAGTCATCCCCTCGGTGGTTTCGGGTCACAGTCCCTCCGTCAAGGAACTGGTGCCAGTCGAAATCAGTATGGAGGCAAGCGAGGTTTGGGAAGGCGATGGCTCTATCTGCTTCCCCGAGCCATCAAGGTTTGACCCGATGCATGAAGTCAAAGTCCTTCGGTACGGAAGAGCGACTCTGTTGCGGAATGCATCCCTTGCAATCCCTCTGCCGACAAAGGTGTTCCACCTATGATCATGCAATAGTTCGTGCTCAAATGGATGGTTGCGGACTACTCTGAAGCGGTATAATTCACTGGTATAGGGCTGCACACTAATCTGGATTTTGTTCACTCGTGTTCGACTTTTCCTGAATATTAGTTAAGGTCGGTTCGACTTGGAAGTTTCCAAATAGTTGTAATGACTGAGAATGGACAGGAACTACTGTAACATAGCAAATGCATACTAAAAATATCCGATGTTCAAGGAAAGAATGTAAAATACAGGGATCACCACCATCAGTATTACCATTGCCACCACTGCCGGCTCCTTCACTAGAACCTTGGAACGGGTGCAAACATTAGGGATATCAATGAAGAGCTTGAACTACTTATATAAACTTTCTCTTCCCCAATATAGTATCACCGACCACATTTACTGAACCATTTCTTCCTCGCGTACTATCCCACGTAAATTTTTCAATCAGCTGTGAGAGCTACCTTAGTTCCATTTCGGGAGGTAACAGTCAATCCTCTTGACTCCTCCCATGGCCCAGGATCTCGGCTCTCCAGCACGCGAAATTGCTGAGCCATCCGAACAACAACGTATCCGGCTTCGGTCAAGGCATATCTTTGACCTATGCAGATACGCGGACCACCATTGAATGGCAAGTATCCCCAACGAGGTTGCAGTTTTCCATCTTCCCAGCGCTCTGGACGAAATACTTCTGCATCTGGTCCATAAATGTCCGCTCGTCGATGCATCGCGTATACATTGTAAGACACGAAGATTCCTTTCGGTACGAATACTGGCGAGAGACCATCTTTACCTCCGCCGACGGGCAGGACGGTATCTCGAATTGCCTCGCGCTGATTGCGTGGCACGACTGGGTGTAAACGTAGTGCTGGGAAGGTTAGAACCTGTCTTCAAGATTGGTGGAAAAGTATGATATTAATGGTGAATTCAAGGGGGTAATCTTACATTCATTCATGCAGCATTGGACGTATTTCATGTTGTTCAGCTCTGTGTATGTCGGTGGTCGACCCTCCAAAAATGCGACTTCTCTCCGCAACTTCTCCCAGATAGTTGGGTCCTTGGCCAGGACAAAGAATAAATTACTGAGCAGACTCGCAGTAGTATCGCGCCCTGCTAATAGAACGTTCATCAATTCGTCAAGAACGCGAGTTCTGTCAGTGGTTCGTGCTGCGAGCTCATGCGAGAAAATATGCTTTCGTCGCTTTGTCTCAGAGTCCGATTGTTCGGTCTCGGGCTTTTTAAGCTCGACAGCTTGAAAGGCTTCGTCGACAAACTGTTGAACAAATGTCCGACAGATCTGATTATATCTCTCGGCCTCAGCCTCATTGTGAGAGAAGAATAGTTTCAGCGGAAACGGTATACCACGCGTTAAAATAGCCTTCTGGGCATTATAAAATGCCTCAGCAAAGCCGCGCTCCGACTGCTCCGACTGCGACTTCTTCAACGTCCCAACCGACTGACCGAAAAGAAATTCCGTCGCGGAATCAATGGTGTATTGGAAGAATAATTCCTGCAAATCAACGGTTCTCCCATCGCGCGGCAGTAGCGCGAAAAGATCTTGAATCAGATTCTCAAGAGTCGTCAAATCTGCCACCTGGTCACGAGTGAAACTAGGCCGAATCAGAGCGCGTGATGAGGCCCATTGTTCGCCATCTGTGTCGAAAATACCCTCTCCTAGAAGTGGTTTGAAGGAAGGGAGACGAAATCCGAGACTATAGTCTTTGAAATTAAGCGATAGAACTGTCTTGATGTTTTCTGGCTCAATAGTCGCTATCTGCTGCGCAAATAGGCCCCTGACCGTATGTGTATTGCCATAAAGGCGATAAAACTCCGGGGTTCTTGCAATGATTCTGTTTTCTCTCAGCGCCCGGATAGTCCCCGGTATCATATCAAGCCCGAAGAAAGGTTCTTTGTTGGCAGACCTCGCTACTGGCTGACAACCGTGGGCGCGTGCAAACTGGCGACGAATAAAGTAACCTTTGAGGTATACGTAGGCTATGGCTCCTAGCACTGTGCCCAGCACAAGTACCAGACTAGGTGGGAGTCCGCCAAGATTATGCATGTTGATTTAGAGAGCAGCCAATAATGCCCATGAAAGGGCACGAAAGCTGAGGAATTCGGGGTTGTCCCGGTTAAATAGAGGCAGGTTAAGCGACACGTGTTTAGTTTTGTGCTCGGGGCGGCCAGATTTGAATCCCGAGCCTGTCAGATACGCGATCCTGTGGTGGGGTCGCGGGCGTATGATCGAAATGTTATAAAATCCTGGAGCCTATATAGACAAGCTCGTGGTATTTTGACGTATCAAGAGAGAAGGATTTGTTAATGACGTGGGGATCTGAGATCGAGACCGGTCGTTGATCGGTTTACGTGGTCATCGGCATTTGGTACGGACACGGAGTCAATTTGAGTCCAAGTCCGTGCATCTAATTCCCCGGGATCTGTAACCGAAATCCGATGCAAGGTCCAAGCACTCAAATTTATGTGCTACAAATCTTCTGGATGGATGGTCTATAAATATCTGAAATCGCATAGGCGGTTTTTATTACACGCAGGGGAATTCGACTGACACCGTGGCCGATCGGGCGCTAGATCAAGATGTCGTTCAAATGTTTGGAATTGACATAGAAGTTTATTCAAGCCTTGGAAGTATATTGATCCCTCGTTACAATAGCGAAAGGCAACGATACGCCAGATCATACATGGGCCTATACAAAATTCGGGGGGTCTCTGAGCCATAGGGCTACTAAGGCTTCTCAAGTATACTCGGTACTGGCGAAAGGTTGTATACATTGATTGGTTCGGTTTTCATTTCTAAAGCCTTGAAAAGAAGCAGGTGTTGACTTGTTGACCTGGTCTATATCAACAGCTATCTAATTTGCTTATGAACATACTGCAGAATTCTCAACCCCCCACGGCTTTGGCGACCGAGTATTGACGAATGAACTTGGCATCTGTAATTATTTCCTCGCGAACCTAAGGCAAGAAGTCAGCAACACTCTGAAGCAGTAAAGTAAACTGGAATACTTACGATCTCCAGCCCACCCACAAGCTGACCGTCAATCCACAATTGGGGAAATGTAGGCCAGTCACCAAACTCCTTTAGACCCTCCCGAACATCTTCATCGGCCAATATATTAAATGAATCATACTGGATATAATGCTCATTCAGAATAGCAACCATTCGGCGACTGAACCGGCACAGAGGCGACTTCGGTGTGCCCTTCATGAATAACACAATAGGAGCAGATTTGACCATCTGGGTAAGCCGGGCAATCAGGACCTCTTTTTCCTCTTTCGATTTTTCCATGGTAGGTGCTGGGTCAGCGAGGAGTGCAGAAACAACTATAGCATCAACACCCGCATCCTGTCCAATAGCATTGCGGACTTTGGAGGAGTCAGATCCTCTGATTGACTCGAGGACCTGATCACTACGCAGGCAAAGAACATAGGGCGCTACTGGAAACTTGTATTCCTTTGCAATGTCGACCAGCTTTATGGCATTGATGCGGACAAACGAGGTGGTCTGTGTAACAGTGTCTGGGCATTGCGAGGCAATTGTGGACATGCCGGTACTCATTTGTGTGGAGTATTCGGCCCATGGGGTATAGAAATACACTATGAGGAGCGTTGAAGGCGAAAGAGTGGCTAGATGCAATGAAAAGTCGGCCTGCGAAGCGATTTCAATCATCTTCGACATAATGTGGGGGTTTCTCCCAATATCGAAGGACGTTTGAATGCAGAGAATGGTAGAAGCAGCCACCAAGCTCAAGTTGCTATGCACGAAAAATGAATCCCAAAAATATTCGACTTATGCAATTGAGGAGAACGGAGATACTAGTTGTGTTGATGTTCCAGAGTTAATGAATACAAGTGACTCGGAACGAAATTTATACGAATTTTCTAGGCACTTGGTATCTTCAAAACCTAGCAAACTGTTACTAAGATAACGTAGTCAGCATTAAAGTACCATTAGTAGTTATATAGTAGTACACCTGATGTGCGCTACTACTAGTAACTAGCAGTAACTACTAGTGCCTCCAGGTATTTATATCATGCTATACTACTAGGGTATACGTAGTCGGGTGGGCTTACCGCCGCAGAGAGCTATGTTCCAAGGTTGTTATCAAATGGTTTCGTATGACAACTTGAACTTTAACCAATCTCAGATATAGCTAAACTGAAAGATATACTAAGTGTAGTAGTAATTAAAAAGATAATTCCAGGGAAAGACTGCTCCGGTCGATCTCAGGAGGCTGTGGAGCGACTGCTAGTGGGTGCCGATAAAATGCACAAGTCCAAATGAATAACGGGAAAGGTGTCGGATCATTCAGAGAATTGACGTTGGTTTTGCTTCCTCAACCTTTCAAATACAATTTACACTCAGTTTGAAGTCGTGAATTAGGTCTTTCTTGTTTCATAACGATGTCAATATAAGGCTATTCAATGTCCACATTCGACCACCGGCGATTGGCGTAGATTAACCGTCTTAATTGGCATAATTCCCGCGCCTCTCGCTGGGTCAACAGATTTAACACTGGAGAAACCTACCGATATAATGAGCCTCCGGTCCACACAGCTTCCAATGGCTGCCCAGTATGTACCTTATTAAGCCTCTTAGTAATCTAGTTTCACACCTGCTTCTTTATAATCGGGCAGTAGACACCGAGCGCTAGCACCTACTCAGAGCAAGTCAGGCCGTGACCATAATTACTCAGAGACTATAATCCTGAGCACCCTTGTAAAAACAGCAGTGATCGAATGAGGCAACTCCCTCCCGTAGACTATCAAGTTTGTATAGGTACTCCGCACGCACATTTTGTGACTGAGCTAGCTGAGCTGTGTGTGAAGTACACTGCCCCTGAACGGAAACTGCTCGGTAATCCCCGCTGACACGAGTCGTCTTCATCCAATAGTTAGCGAGTAAGTGGGGCGAAGTTAAAAGATCGTCAACGGCATCTTCACCAGTTCGTCACGAAATTATTGGAGATTCAGTACAATTGACATCTCTTCTTACACAAAGTGGTGTAAGAATTAAATCGTCACAACTTTGCAAAAATTACTCTATAAATGTCATAAGATAATCTCACCATCGAGCGTAGTACAATATATGCGCGCTTAACACAGCAAACCTGGGCATAAGCAAGCCTAATCTCCGAGCTTACTGTAAGCTAAAACTTCACCCTATGGCTTAACCGCGACGGCGCCACCCCCTCTTTTCATCCTGCAATCCTCAGCCGCTTTCTCTGCGCGACGATGCCGTTTGTCTTCAGCTCGTATCGTCGCCCAACATAAATAAATACTCCAAGGAATCCACCCTCCCGGTGGGAACTTGAAGTCAATCTTCAGTCAGAAAAACATAACAGGACCCACTGGCACTCATATTGTCGTTCACATGTCCGCTGAAATCTCAGACGATTATAATATCCAGGAGGCGTGGAATAAGGCATGTCAGGCATTCGCGCAGACCGCCAAGGTCGATCTGACCAAATCCCCGGCTTTTACTGTCGATGAAGTCCTCGACCAGATTCATAAAAAACAAGAGGATGACGATGAGAAACATAATAAATATAGGGTCGCCAAGGATGCTATCGCCAAGACGAGCAAGTTTATCATGCTCTTGGGCGGCATAGCTGCCCAAGGTGCCAGTATGGTGAGTTAGTTGATAATTGGGAAGCAGGGGGTATGTCATTGATTGACATCGTGATTCCAGGTTTTTGCTCCGAGCAGTCTTTGCTTCAACGCGATTTCGTACCTCGTTGATGTGGGAGCCAAATACAAGCGCATCTTCAGCAGTCTAGCCGAGCTCTTTCGACGAATCTCCGATGTGCTCGAGCGATGCAAGATCTACATGCGATTACCAGCGGAAGCGGTCGATATCGCCCTGCGCAAGATCATAAATGAAGAGCTGGTGTGCTTTGTTGATATCTGCGCCTTGTCGATCAGGGTGATGAGGGGTAACAAGATCCTCACAGCGCTCAAGGTTTTCGCCTTCGACAGCGATGAAGGTGTCAGCGGTCAATTGGGTCGCTTAGCTTCACTCGTTGAACGTGAATCCCAGATGCGTGCGACGCTGGGATTCGAGTCTCAGAAAATCAGCGAGAAAGTTATCGTGGAAACTCGCGATGGAACGAAGAAAGTCACCGCATCTGTTGATAAACTTCTGACATTTGAGAAGAAGAGAGATGCCGACAATGTGGCACAGCGGCTTTTGAGCAATATTGATAATAACCTTGACAATCCCAGCGAGACCATGAAGAGTATGCAGGCTATCTTCAAACGTCATTTGAATGACCAAGTTCAGGGTAGTGGAGAATGGCTTCAAGAAGACCCTCTGTATACGGCATGGGTGGATACACAGTCGCGATTTTCAATTCTGGCCGTGGCTGGGGATGAAGGGTTTGGAAAGTCTTTCCTCTTTACCGCCATCGCGAGGGGTCTTCAAGAACTGTGTGGTGAAGGAGGAGACGAAATGACATGCAAATCTGCAGCCTACTCTTTCTTTGACCAGGAAATGAAAGATATATCTCTGATCAAGGCTCTTGAGGTCCTTTCCTGGCAGATTGCAAAATCGGACATGTTATACAGAAAGGATTTGGGCTCGCTGAATACAGTCGGGGTGAACCAGATCGGCGATCTCTGCGATCAGCTTTTCGGCAAATCTTATAAAACCGATTCCACCTTCTTTCTCTTGCTGGATGGCGTGGATCGAGTCGATAAACAACACCTCAAAGAGTTTGTGGAGGTACTAGGCAATTGGCGATCCAAGTCTGCCGAATGGCCTCGGTTTACTCTTCGCATTCTCCTGACTGGTCGGACGGAGACAGTTGCAAAAATTCAGAATGAGCTCGGAGATGGAATATCGGTTCTTGATATGGCATCCAAGAACCGCCACGACATGATCATGTTTATCGACGATCGCATGGATAAGATGGATAACCTGAGCGGATCGTCTGATCAGGTGAAGTCTCTCCGTGGGGAAGTCTTGGAAGCTCTGACAAAACAAACAAACGGCGACTTCGTCAACGTCGGACTTCTCCTGGACGAAATCAGTGGCAAGCAACGCCCCGGCGAGATTCGTGAGATTTTGTCCAGGTCGGGCGAAAATCGATCAGATACGATTGCTCGCAAGATCGAGTTCCTCAACGAGACTCTCAGCGAAGATGATATCTCTGATTTGAATGATTTGCTGACTTGGGTCCTTTTTTCTTTCCGTCCTCTCTCGCTTGAAGAATTGGAGACGGTTATTTTCTTGAAATCCCGCGAGCCTTCTCTCCGGCCTCTGGCTGAGAAAATCAGAGATCAATATTCCTCAGTGTTCCATATTGCGGCCGCGCGTGTTCACTTTGTCTCCGACTCAATTGCCGATTTTCTGCGCGGAACCTCAGGTCCAGGAAATGAGGACGAAGACGAAAGCTTGAAAGACACAGGCGATGTTAATGATTCTGAGGTCAGAATTGTCCGACGGTTCTTGGAATCTGTTTGCGATCCCAAATTGTTTGACAAGTTTGGATTCGAAGATTTCTTCCAGCGCAAACTCAAGGGCAAGACGGCTCGTGTTGGGGTCAATGCTGATATGGCACACCTTACGATCGTCTCGGCCAGTTTGGAGGTCATCTGTGCTAAGGAGTTGCCAGGCTTTGACCCTCTGCTTGAATATGCAGTCGAGTATTTTGGTGATCATCTCGAGTCCGCAGATCCTTCGTTAACACTGCCACGACACAAAATAGCTTTGGGTCCGCAGTTGGTAAAAGTTTTCACTGATGACGAGGTAATTGAGCGGTGGTGGATCCTAAGTAACAATTGGATGCGGAAGCAATGGCTTTATGTTGATTCATACGCCGACGTTGTTTTGAAATGGTTGCAGGATTCTGCTGTTACTAAGAATATACCGGAGGAACAGAAGAAGTGGATCAAGAGTCTCAGTTCCAAGTCCGAGCTTGAGGCAGATCTTCTTGAACATGTTGGCAGATTTCTTGCTCGCCGATGGCTCCAGTCCGGCGCAGACGGCGTGGCATTCCTGTTTGACGCCATTCATGGTTATATTTCAAAGGTAAAACTATCAACCTGTTCCCAATTGGCATGACGAGCTAACAGATTGCAGATTGAAAACCGGAAGGACTCTAGCCATGTACGTGTGACTGCGGATCCCGATGTTTCTCAAATTGAGCCTTCTCAAATCATGGCCGCCGTGACCTGGGCCCAGCACCGGATCGGAATCGAGAAACTCGACTATGAGGAGAACCGCAATTTGGCGCGAACCCTGCGCGACTATGGCAAATTCGACGAGGCGATCAAGCAATTTAAAATCACATCGACACTTGCCAAAGAGAATTGGTTTTCTCAGATTGGCCTGGCCGAGTGTTATGGAATGAAGAGTGACTTTGCCGCAGCCATTGAGACCCTCGAGGCCACAAAGCAAGGTATTGAGAGCGGGGAGATTGGGGATCCAGAGGAGCTCGCAGACTGGCTGGTGGATATCAATAACGATCTGGCGAGATGGAACAGGGAACTCGGCCGCGGCGAAGCAGCTCTCGCAATTTATGAGAATCGACTGAAGGTCTATCCGGAAGACTACGGCACCACCTACAACCTCATTTCGCTGTTGCACCATGAAGGAAACCACCAAAATTTGCTGAAATTGCTACAGTCCCTGAAAAATAGCACGGACACAATTACTGGCCTCGATCTTCTAACCCGCAATTTCCATGAACACTACGAGCAAGATCTGTATAACGAAGCTCTCTTCGCATCTGTAAATGGTGATAAGGAATTTGATATCATCTTCCAGGGCTACAACGACGCCGTTCTTGCTGCGAGGGAACAATCCGCCAAGGCAAGAAAGGCCGGCGATACCACAGGAGAGTGGAAGGCCCAGATGTGTCAGGTCGACCTCATGACTCAAATTGCACTCTTATGCACAGCACATGGCACTGGATACCCCGATCGAATTCAATGTGCAATCGAACATTTGCTGCGCATCTTGGCGGTCAACGAAATTCACGACGGCTATATTGCTGCAAAACAAGCAGTAATCTGCTCGCAGCTCGCTCTTATTTGCTTTGACAAAGCTCAAGAGTATCCAGATAATGCGGCGGAATACCTCAAGCACATTCAATACGCCGCGGCATTCAAAGGCGCAGAGGATCTGGTCTGTGGGTTCTATAGCTCGCATCCAAGCCGCCTCCTCGCCCGCTACCATATTCTTCAGGGGGATATTGAGAAGGCTCGAAGTATCCTGCGTCCCTATATCAAGCAGAACCTAGATCTTCTCTCAGACGATGATCCTCTCAACGACTGGCAGGCGTATAATGGTTTGGCAATCCATTTTATGTTTGCCGGACAAGATGCAGATGCTCTCGCTGCATGGTCTCTGATAACTCCGAACAGGGACGAGGAAAATCCTATACCTGACTTGTCTGTGGATGACGCTGAAGAATTCTCGAATTACTGTGATGGCGACTGTGGTACTTACTGGAAATATGCCGACGATTTCTACCTGTGCAAAACCTGTCACTATGTGCAGTTCGACAAAGAGTGCTTGGACAGACTCCGAGATGGGTCTGGAAAAGCCAAGATTTGCTCTAAGCACCATGATACACTGCATGTTCCAGCGTACGATGCAGCTGAGCGCAAGAGGATTGGCGAAGGGAATGTAAAGGTCGAGGAGGAAATTCTGACAGTGGATGATTGGCTTCAGCGAATCCGCAAAGAGTGGGGTATCAAGTTGGTATGATAAAATAATGAATTGGACGGTTGACGGCTATGGAAGAATTTATGTGAAATGCTAAATCTTAAATTTGCTTGAATTCACAATAGTTACAGCATGAAACTTCTGCCACGATATCAGACCTCCTACTATCAGATCAGTCAAATCTATTATGGATAAACCGCTAAGTAACATGGGGCTGAGTAGGGCCATGATTGGACATCTGTTCGACGAAAAGAGAACATTATTCCTTTTAGAGGGGTGTCGTTCAGTATATCTTGATGCTGTTTAAATGTCCGTATTCAACAGTCTGATCTCCAAAATATCCCGCTTCCTACCCTTCTAAGTGATAAGGTTACGCAGAAATAAATCAATAATACGAAATTCTATAATGTCCATTGATCCCTCGTCGAAAGGCGGTTTTCGTTTGAAGGTTTAAAGTCACAAATACAACATAGGTAAAACAGGCTGACAATTCTTATCTTCAAATTCCTTTATTCCAGATACCCAAGTGGATACATTCAAAATGGCAAATGAATTTATTGCGCCGGTTTTCCATACCAGACCTTAAAAGGAAAACTCGTCGGGGTCAGAGACCTGACGAACGACTTTGTCTCTATCACTAGCCAGATCCACTTCATCGAGATTTCCAGAGAAGAGCAAAAAGATGGACTCGCGGGGAATCGAACCCCGGACCACTCCCATGCTAAGGGAGTATTATACCACTAAACCACAAGCCCAATTGATTAGTAATTCAATGAATGTCTGAGTTTATGAGCTAGGGACTAATCAATTCTCTAGTATCTTGAAAGGGATATCCAAGTTGGTGGGAACTACAGAAATCTATCAGTCTTTAAAAGGATTTGTGGAAAATAAGGACTCAAGCAAGCAAATAGTGGAGTATTTAACATAGAGATAAGTCATAAATGATTAAAATTCCGGATAAAAGAAATTATTTGTTGTCGCGGTGTTGGATGTGTGATATATTTTAGCGATGTCGAGTGCCAGTACTAGTAACAGCTTGAATCATCTTTGGTGGTGGACTTCAAGTTTTGGTGGTTACCTATCCCCCCCCGGAATAAACCAGACTTTCATACAAGAGCAATTACCATTACCAAAATGACGACTAGCGGCCTATCGTGGTCGTGAAACACATTAATCGCTCAATCGATCAGCTTAGTAAGTAAGCGTGTTTCTACGGCGAAGAGTCCTGACAGTTTGAATGAAGCTACGAAAACTTCGATCTCCACAATCGAAATGGGTAGAATACTTGACTTCCACATCCGTTGTCAGATAGTACGTAACAGAAGAACATACATTTTTTCAAATATTTAAAAGACTATTGGGAATTTGAACCTGTAAGCAATACAGCACCGCTACAGCACTAGCCATCAAATTAACACCAATACAGTACTAGATAAACAAAATAGCAGTAACACCAATAAAGTATTATCATAAGCTTGCACTCATAACCTGGGGGGGGGGGGGGAGTTGCATTTATTTCAATTATCGCAGTTTTACTTTCGGATGAAAACGCTTATATAACATAACCCCCCTGGTGATTTCTTTTATTGTACGCATATGAGAGAATTCAGAAGAAGAGCCCCAACGATACAACAGGCAATATAAAAGGCTTGGAATGGACAATCGAGCTCAAGTATCTGTACCTATTCCCATTCCTTCATTAGCGTGTTGGCCTCAATCAACTTATCGAAATTGACAATGTGGGTTGAATGGCACCACGGTTTGATTGAAATTTCCTTCCGAAGGGTATCAGCAAAGACCGAGCACCATTGTTGGCGTGGGTAGGCGTTGTTGATCTGGGCACGGGTGGTGCCATGGATCATTTTTCCAATGTCCTGGACATGTGGATGAGCGCCGGTATTGTCGTAGATCGTTGCCAGCTGAATCAGTTGGCCGATGAACGTGATGGTACCATCAACTCCCAGATCCTGATGGCGAATGATTGCCTCCGCAGCTGCTTCGGCCTGATCGACAGTGGCACCAAATTCCTTCAGAACCTGTAGAGCTTTGATACCTCCATATAGATCAAATGACATTCGTGTTGCTGTTAGGTTTTCTTCTGCCGTGCCGAGGTCGTGTAAGAGGCATGTCAGTGCCCAGGTCACTGGGCTAAGGGTGGCAGCCTTCTCGGGGAACTGTTGTTTGGCGATTACCATACCTGGCGAAGAGTTAAATGAGGGACTTAAGGGATCCAGGGTCTATCTCTAGCCTCACCATAATAATAAACCCTCATTGAGTGATTGAAAGCTGCCGGATGCAAAACCTTTTTCGCATAGTCGAAAGTTTTTGCCGCGATGGGATCATCAGAGGGGAATCTGACTTCACTGATTGAGAGGCTTTCGGGTTCGTTGATGAAGGGCCTATCGCCAAATATCACGCCTGCGTCAACTGGCACGCTGGTCCAGCCATTGCTTGCGATCTCGTGTTGGCACATAATATCAGATTTTGATAAAGGGTAGATGTTCAAAAATAGAAGGTTTGCTTCAAGCTTTAATTGTACCTAGAAAGATTTTGACTTTTTTGGAAATTGAAAGTCAGGACTGCGAACTGTGACCTTATATAGCTGATCTCCCAAGTCGGCTTGTACGGAATTATTTTTCAAATGTTGCCCACTGATGATCCCGTAAGCCATTCTGACTTTTTTCTGGCAATCTGTTCGAAATCCACTGCTTAGAAATCGAATTCGCGCCTCATGCGCCCGAATATCTCGAGATTTTCCAACATGACTTACTCTGGTGGTCTCACGCTTACCGGATTAGGAAGTTGATTCTGGTGGGGCCTGGTGAAAATTTGATAGGTCAGCACGAAACTTTAGCAATGACACATGCCGTGCGCATGTAAGACTCGGACCAGATAAGCATTTCAAGATTTTGATTTCAGTTCTTCTCTAGCGTAATGCTTTGTGGATGCTCGTATTCTGAATAGGAAGTTGAGCCATGTACAAACAAGATTGGGTCGCTAATTTCTTTTTTAAAAATAGTCCCTTGAGTGAGATTCGATAATCTGCCTACTTTGAGGAAAGAACGCCACAATTCCCTGCCAGTGGTGGCTCCAAGTCACATTCCATGAAGAACTTTGGCTAGTACTAGTACATCTAGATGCATAATAAAACATCGTAGATAGACTCCGAGGATGAGCGAGAACGAGTTGAAGCTGTTTTGTAATAACATCACGGACTAAGTGTATATTTATTGTTTCATAATTTCCGCGCGATTGTCAGATCAATAGCCATCCCTGGCCCATGACTTCGATTTCTTCATGTGCCTTTCCTGAATTATCACTCCAGTCCTGCTTTTGCCAGTATACCTGCAAAATCCTGGAGGCATTGATGACATTCAAACAAGACGTATATTCCCAAAGGCCTCGTAAAAGCGTATTTATAGACTCTCTGGTATTTTCTGTTTGGCATTCCAGGCCTGCGATAAATGTAGGCCATATGAGGCATTTGAAAAACATCTCGTCCGAGGCGAGAAGTTGAATTGTCGCGATTAATTTCGAAACTAGGATCTCATTTTCTGCTCCTTGTGTGTTGATAGGTGTATTGGCGGGGGATGCGAAAGCACGGAATATCCTGGTTCCATAAATTAAGGCAGCGATCTTGTATGCTTTCGCCAGCAATGAAAGCTTCTCCATCTCGTGGGAAACAGTTAGGGAAATGACCCTTGATGCCCACTGCTGACAATCAAAGTTTCTTGTCATGTCAAGCATGATCATAGTGTCTCGTATATGGTCATTAATAGCATCACTCTTTTGACCGTCCAAGTTGTTGAGGAAATCTCTCTGGCTAGAGAAATATCGAATCGCTCTTAACAAAAGATCCGGGCAGCCGAGGAAGCTTCGAACGATTGACTCCTGTTTTATTTCGCTATCGCAGTTCGGAAATGCTCCTGATCTTGACTTCGAGCCTGACAATGCATCCCCGAGTGTTGAGATCCTGGAGTTGGTCAGTACAATATTGATTTACGCCGTATCACTAACCAGAGAGGACAATACAGGCTCAATTGTCGGGAAATGAATTCCCTCGTATCGGTCGCCATATCACCATAGCTACTTTTCATCTGGCGTTTTGTTACTTGGTCATCACCGGGATCCAGTAGTGAGCTGCCAAGGTTGACCAGGCCCCTCGCACCACAAATATGATGATTCCAGCCGTCCATGCCGGACTCTAGGAGATCGAGAAAGATAAGGAGAAAGATCGATGCCAGCAAAGTGTTCTTTCGAGACATCTCATGGCCATTCAATGCCCGTGTCACTGCTTGGATGGTTTGCCGTTTGAAATGAAGGGCATCTAAATTAGCAACAACGAACCGAGGGGCCATATTGGTATTAATCTGGTAAAACGATTTCCCTGTATTGGCAAAGTGCCGTGCAGAAACGGCAATTATACATTTTTGTAAGGGAATATCGTCCATGGCGTACGTGAGTAAATGCCGAAACGGATTATTGTCGCTGTCGCAGAGGATGAATAATTTGCAGATGCGACGGTTAACTTGCACCTAGTCTCAGCATGCCATCTTGGAAAAGCAACTTCGCGAACTCACAGTAGTCCAGATAGAATCTGGAGGAAGAATAGAGGTCTTGCATGCAGGGATCTCCTATGGCGACGGAGGGGCGTGGGTTTGCCAAAGCCTTCCGTTGGAAGGAGGTGATCGGTTTGTGTTTTGGTTGAATAGATAACTTCTTTGTAGAAGCTTTGTGGTCATCTTCAAAACGGCGTCCGCGCATTTTACCGCGAATCGCCACACCAGTCACCCATCTTATTGGTCTTTTCTCGAAACATTCCAGGCCGGCTTTTTCGCACTTCGCGCAGGGGATGTTGGACCGATCGCATTGGATCGTGCGGCTGCGACATGTCCAGCATGCGTTCCGCATTTTTAAACTGATGAGTTACGAAGCAAGAAAAATACGAGAAACAGAAAAGTGAGGTTGAAGTTCCATGTCAGAAATGAAAAGTGAACCGAACTGCGCCACTTTGTCGAGATGGAAATTGGTCCGTGCGGCTGACAGGAACCTTATATGCGTCACAACTGGTGGAAATGTACCTTGGCACGTTGAAATGGATATATCCATAGGAGGCTTTGGGGAAATTGCCAATGGTCTAAAAAAACAGAAATTCGGTAAGCTAATAGAGCAAAACGGTTGAACAATTGACTACAAATCCACGTTGGTGGTGAGTAAATCTTGAAATATTGTATTTCATGCCTAGATGAGAATAAAATAACCAAAAAATCCATGGATTTAAAAATGTACATCCTACTCGGCTTAATAGGATTGCCGGATATCTAAAGAGGAGCTAATGGTTTCTGCTCCCCAACAAGTTCCCAAATTCTCAAACGATCCTTGGAAGATGGAATTCCTATTGTTTGAGTGTTAGCGGGCAAGAATCTAACCTCTGCCAGCGTGAGCTTAATGTATGTCGGTAGGAGCGCCAGCAAGCGAAATGCAAGCATCATAATCACGATTGGTACTGCTGCTGCTGCCCAAGTTCCTATGTCGTTCTTCTTTTCCAAAGGGGTGAGGCGGAAAGCTACTTCTAATGCAGCGATATCGTAAAGTAGTTCCATCAAGGACAATGATAAGCCGTACAAAAAAGCGGTAATGCCCAATGCTTCCACCGGTTCTGACCAGGCTTTCTCAGTAAAGACCGAAATGGAACTCTTTCGGCCGAGATAATAGCGCATGTGAAGAAGAGATGAAACTCGTACAGAAGTGCGGAAGAAATGGCGTAGGCGAGTGGTCGCAGCAACTCAGCTTCCGGAAAGACAACCCATTGTAATAACTCAGTGACAATCCCAGTTAACAGAAATTGAAACAAGCCAATGTTAAATGCGCGGAAGAAGGTGTATGGGCTTTGTGCCTGTTAAATGAGGCGCAAACTGTCTCTAATATTTCCGAAAGTAGCGCGTGGTTCTTGCACTATCTTTGTCTTCCGTGTCTCCATTTGAGAAACTTGGAGAATCAATAGTGTCGGTGAAACATGGTTTAGATGTACCAAAGCTAATTCAAAGTCAGTTGCTGCACACGGTGATAACTGAGAAGATAAAAGAAAAGGGAGGGTATAATACCAGATCGAGAAGCGTCGTGAGGTTAGCGGAAACCGTAACAAGGAGATCGGAGGAGAACCTGAACCCCCTGAGACTACGATCTATACCACCATGTGCGGTATCATGCTGTCCAGCGATAACAGAAAAGTGATGCGCGATGGATTAAAAAACCCGTGGAGAGAGCGGCCTGGGGAACCCCGAGTCTTACAGATCACAAAGCAATGGAATGGTGAACCAACTAATTCGAACGTTTGTCGTCCGGGTGTGTCGGGCAAAATAGCAACGTACAGATACAGAGTTAGATCTACGCGTGCACACTTCTTAGCCGAATATCATATTTTGCCCCTGTTCTGTCGCGAAAGGTTGTGGCGCGAAATTTTCCGATCTGGCCCCCACTGGGCGATTTGTTCATTGGCTAAGGCTATGAGACACATTAGTGCGCCTGTGTTTTATTTCATTCCTCGGTGGGCGGTTAAAATGGATGGTTAAACATAGGTAGCGACGCTGTTCATGATTTGGTATCATATTCCAAGGTTGTTAGCAGTAGTAGGCAAAGAATTCAATATTAACAGTTACCTTAGGGTTAAAGCACCAACGGTCTGCCACTTGAGGTGACTGTTAATATTGAATCACTGCAATTGTCCTACACACCTGGGCATACTACTCGTAGTAATAAAATAACCCAGGGCCAGTCATAGTCATCATAGTGTAATGTGATCGGCGATCGGGGAACCGTTTCAGCGTAGCGCTAGAAAGCCCCCGCAACGACAGTCATCGATCGACATTTGAGGACTTATATTAGCATAAAGAAATCGTGGTAAGAAAAGGAGAGCCTGTCATCTACCAACTTGTCCCAAATAAAGACTCAAACGGTTTATTTCTATACAGAAATCCCTCCCAGTAAATCATGTCCACAAAGTCGGAGCTCCTCAGCGCATTGGAATCTGACGAGGAGAGTCAAACCAAATTATTGCAGTCCTTCGTTCGAGCTGCATCCCCAAACCCACCAGGAAATACCCAGGTCGCGGCCAAAGTACTGACCGATTATCTCACTTCGAAAAACATCCCTTATGAAATCATCGAGCCGAAGCCGGGGTATCCGAATATCGTCAGTGAATTCTCCGGAGGCAATGGTTCGGGTCAGCGCGTTGTTTTGAATGGTCATATCGATGTTTTCCCCGTGGACGAGACTGCTCCCGGCTGGAATCGTGATCCTTGGTCGGGAGATCTAGTTGATGGGCGCGTTCATGGTCGGGGTGTGGTTGATATGAAGTCTGGAACCGCATCGCTAGTCATCGCCTACGCATATCTCTATGCTAGAAGAGATTTCCTTAGTGGGAGTGTTGCTCTTTGTGCTGTTTCCGATGAGGAAACAGGTGGTCGGTGGGGAACGCAGTATCTCATTAAAGAAGATAAACCCCGGTGGGGAGGAGATGTGATGCTGAGCACTGAGCCAACGGGACAGACTATTCGCTTTTCTGAGAAAGGAACTTTGAGGCTCTCTGGGACTATCACGACGAAGGCCGCACATGGAGCATATCTGAATCTCAGGTATGAGATTATAGAACAACATCATGATGGACGTCGCTTGAAGGCTAACTTGAAACAACAGTAAAGGAGCGATCCGAACAGCGGCCGAATTTCTGAATGCTGTCGTCAAGGATGTCGAAGGAATCGAGCCGAACCCTCCTCCCGAGATTGCCAGGTATCTGACCGATCCAAAGGTCCTTGCTGTCGTGGATGAGGCCATGGGGCCAAATACTTCATCAATCATCGCTCGGCCGACCGTTAATATCGGGACAATCAAAGGTGGAGTCAAGGTGAACATGATACCAGATCTCTGCACCTTCGAGCTTGATATCCGGCTACCGGTTGGCCTTGTCGCTAGCGAGGTAATGACTGTTCTTGAATCTGCAGCGTTGAAATATCCAGATGCAAAGATCGAGTTGAAGAAGCAAGATGCAGCTAGCAACCCTGCTAGCTTCTCGCCTGTTGATCACCCAATTATAGGCCTTATCAAAGATAATGCAGAGAAGGCGGGGGCTTCCCATGCAATAGCAATTCCATCGATGGGTGCTACAGATTGCAAGCACTATCGATATGCCGATATACCTGCCTACGCTTACGGGTGCAGTCCACTGAGCAGTAAGTGTTGAAGAGATTGCCTCCTTGACTATCAATCACACAGCTAATCGTCAACTGAGCCAGTGGCGTCTGTCAACGAGTCTGCTTCGCTGGACGAGTTTTTCCATGTAACCAAAGTGCATGCATCCACAGTTTGGGATTATCTGGGAAAGAGAGGGTCGTAGACGCCTAGCAAAAGACTCACGATTGAAGAGATGATTTGAATTTTGAATAAGAAGGATATCAACCAAATGATAGTCAATCAAATAATATCATTTTTGAGTTTTTGCTGTAAATACTAGGCCTGGGGGTAACCACACAGGCCAGTGCGTGAGTAATCGTCAATCTCATTTATTGAGCCTCCACCTCAACAGCTGCCGACAAATCCGGTGTCCACCCACTTGGCCTCTCGCTACCTCGCACCAAGATACCATAAGCCGCCCGTTCCACCTTCTCCACGCTATTTTGCATGACCTCGGTTTTCTTATGGAGATCCCGGAGCATGTTGTACTTCCGAGGTACAGATAATTCCTCGAAGCCTGCACGCATAGTGCGCAAATCAACGACGAGGTCCGCTTGTGAAGCGGCAAGGTGAGGTAATTGCTTCTTCGCGTCCGTCAACTCGGTCTCGGCGGGTTCGGTAGATGTGGCAGCAGCGTTGCCTGAGCTCAAGGACAGTACGGCGAATCGCATCATTTCACCCGTCAAGTCAAAGAGACCCATCAGGTAATCCTCTTCTGTGACCATAATACCGGCGGGTAGTCGTTCGCATACTTCGGCGTGGGTGATGAGGGTTTGTGTGCGGAGGTAGTGCTCGAAGGAGATTGCTTCGATGTACTCTTGGATACCGCCGCTGATTGAGCGATAGCGCCAGGAATTGATGCCGGTGAGGTCAGGGATGATGTTTGTGAAGAGAGTTTGGATCTGATCGAGGCGCGTTTGGTTTTCTTTGGCGATGTTGGCGGGGATGGGGGTGTTGGTTGCGCGGACGCGTTGGAGGGCGAAAATACTACGCCACAGCAGTTAGTTTGAGGTTCAATTGAAACAGAAAAGTGAGAACATAGGTACATCTTCTTGCTAAGGGCGGTAATATCCCGGCTAGTCTTGATTATGCGTTCGCGCCTGTCGTGGTGCTCGTCCAGCTCATTGCGGAAGTTCTCAAAGATGGAGATGGTCGGACCGGCCGAGTCGGAAGACTGGGTGTCTGATTTGTTTTGCATAGTGACAGGCTGGCCTTGCCAGGATCGCTTGGTGCCCATGGATGTGAAAGAGAAGAAGAGGTAGTTGTTGCAGAAGGTAAAGAAAGCAAGCAGTCAAGTGGAATCGACGTGGAGGAAATCCCCGATAAGCGATAAGCCCGGCTCCACTATGGGACCTGCCGAGTGACACCGCCTGCCGTATGAAGAAGCATAGTGTATCTATAGTCACTCAATTTGGAGTAATCAGTTATTCAATACTCCGTTTCTCTGATATTGATAGAGTTAGCTCATTATATCTCGATTGATGCTTTCACCAATTGGGGCTTCAGTACAAGGCAATTTTCAATTTATTTGATCCACACAATATGGGCAGTAACGAAGCAGACTAGTAGTCTCTTGAAAATGCAGTAATTGCATTTTTATCGTTCTGCGAGAAACTCGAAATGTTGCTGGATGATTATAGCAGAAGTCTAAATACCATGGGGGATAGTAACAACAGCTCTCCCCTTAATCCTGTTATCAATGAGAGCCCGAATCAACCTAGGTGCCTCCGCAAACTCAAACACCTCAATGGCAGGGGTAATCACGCCTTGTAACGCATATTGCAACAGCTCCGCCATTTGGTCTTCAGTTCCAACCGATGACCCTTTGATAGTAATACCTAAGCAAAGTTAATACCTTGATTCTAGCCAATAACATATCAAGCACAAATCAAACTCACCTCTAGCCGCACAAACTGTCGCAGAAATCGGAATCTCAATATCATTCCTCGGTAATCCGACATTAACAATAATCCCCAAATTCCGAATAACCATAGGTGCCATTTCAAACGCCTCCTTCGTACCAGGGACAACGATTGTCGCATGCGCACCTTCGCCCGTAACCTCAGCCACACGCTTGGCCACATCCTCCGTTTTGAAATCGATGAATACCTCCGCGCCAGACGAGAGACTTGTTTCCTTCTTATCTTCGCCGCTGTCAATTGCAATGACGCGGTATTTGTTTATACGCGCGGCGATTTGGACGCCGACGTGTCCGAGTCCGCCTCCAGAACCGGATATCACGACCCAATCACCCGGTGCCAGCGAGGTTTCTAGATGGGACAGTGCGCCGGACATTGTCAAGCCGGCGCAGAGGAGCGGTGCCGCGATCTCGGAGGCGAGGCCTGCTGGGATGGACGTTATGAAGTTTGCATCTGCGAGAGCGTATTGTTGTAAAGTGCCGGGTACGTGCCGACTTGTGTTTTGTTGATTGGGACAGTGGTGTGTGAAGCCGCGTTTGCAGATACTGCATTCTGTGCAGGCGTTATAGAGCCATTTCAGTCCGACGCGCTCGCCGACGAATGCGTTTGAAACATCAGGGCCTAGCTTTGCGACTGTCCCGACACCTTCGTGGCCGATTATGGGGTTGTAGACGCCCCAGCCTAGCACCGCGCGGACTTCTGAGTGGCTGTTTTTGATATTAGTGACGGCTATAAACGAATTCAGTTTAGTTAGCAGGAGTATATACCATAGACCCGTGCATTCCAGTTTGAGCAGGATCTCTCCTGGTCCTGGTTCCGGGACGGGGACGTCACCACGCAGGACGATGGTGTGGTTGGGGCCGGGATTCTGCACCACGATGGCCTTTTGGGTACGAGGGAGATCCGATGCCATTTTGGGAGATTATGTATATAGTTGTTTAGGTAATTTCTGTGAGAACCCTGGTGGTTGGCAAGTGTAGAAGAAAATCCGGGGTGGATATCTAATTGCGGGACGGACTGCCGAGATTCCTTGCCGTCGTGTCGGCGAACGGGAAGATCCTCGGATAACCTTAACTTGAGGCGTCATTCAAATTTACTCTTGGCGATCGATCGGAAGACTTGGACTACTACTATTTACTAGTAGTATGTTACTGGTATAATGTAATATCCTAAAAACTGCGGCTACTGAATATATGACTGGCTAGGATAATTACCAAGTAGTATAATGTTTCGTACGAAATGCCTGCTTGGGTAGATATGCCTACAGGGATATCTCGCCCGCCTCATCCAGGCCAAGGTAGCGGTACTTGAGAGTACGCCCTTCCAGTCCCTCAGCGGTAATGACCTGCTCATCACCCGGTACAAGATCGAAAGCATTATCACTCAACTTAACATCAACTTGCTCCTCCAACACTAGACCCTTAACAGGCTTGTGCGCACGGAAAGTCACACGAACCGAACCAGAGATCGAAATCGCTTCAACATCGAGTTTGCGATCCGAGAGATCAAGATATTTGAACGGCTGTGGCCAGTCTACATCTCGCGCAACGACCTCATTCTCCACCCACAGGCGTGCAGCCAACACAATCGGCTCGGGGTCTGCAACATGATCCAACACTCCATCGGTGATTATGTTGCTTGTTCCATTTGGCGTGATCTCAACATCTGCGTGAACGATCGGTGGCCGAGTCTCACGGCCTGTATTGACGGATATAAATCGAAGCTCTACATGGCCGCGGACCGTTTTTGGCTTGTTGCTGGCGATCCAAAGCTCATACTTGCTGGCCTTTGGCGGCTGGGCGTGTGCTACGCTCCAATCATGATGTTCGCGTCGAACCCCGACTGCAATTGGGTTTAGAACTCTTTTCACCGCGTAATACGCGGGTTTCGGTTTCAAGAAGTAATCGGCGATGGCCCATGAAATAGTGGGCCAGCAGTCATTCAGTTGCCATAAGAGGGCACCGCCGCAGTGTCGTTCATCGCCCCATTGTCGGCGCCAGCCGCGATATCCGAACATCATTGTCTCGGCTTGGATGAGCTGAGTATGATAGATGTAGGTCTAAAAGCCCGTAGATGTTAGAAATCGTCAGCCAATGTATAGCTGGAGTCATATTTACCCCGAGGTCAGTTGCAGACCGGACATTCTCAACCAGATATGTCGCAAGTCTTCTCTCGTGGCCATCTGCCTTGTTATGGAAGTCGATCACATGTGATTGTGGGAACATTTCGCTCTTATTCTCAACGAAATAATCAATCGTAGAAATGTGTGGGAAGGCTTCCATTCCGAATTCGCTGTTGAAGCGACCGCCCAGAGTATCGAAAATCTGGTATTTTTCCTGCGTGCCATGCCAAACTAAGAATGTCAACCGTTAGATATTTCTCTGGATAGAGGTTACCTACCCTGATCGGTACCTAAGTAGATACCAGGATAGTTATAAGAGACTTACCATTCCACTGATGCATATCGCCAACGGTCGGATCAGATGATATTTTGCCATCGCCCCATGGACTGCCAGGGTGGTAAAAGGTGGTAGGACAGTACTCACCCACCACTTCGGGAAGCAGCTTCTCGTAGATATACCGAGCAGGGAAATCCGTCTTGAGCCAGCTTTCCGGATCTTTATCGTTGTAATTGTAGGTCAGTCCCTCTGATTCTTGCACCTGGTAGTCCTCATTATTGCCAACGTATATCACGATTGATGCGTGGTGACGGAGTCGCTTGACGTTGTAAATCGTTTCCTGCTGGATCGATTCCAAAATTGCTGGCCAGGTTGGGTAATTACCACAGCCAAACATAAAGTCTTGCCATACCATGACGCCGAGTTCGTCACAAACTTCGTAGAAATAATCGTCCTCGTAGATACCGCCGCCCCACACACTAAGTATATGTCAGAGCATGACTCGGAAAGGTCAAGTAACTCAAGTTCGACTTGGAGGAAGGGATAACTACCGAATCATATTTTGTCGACCAGCTACCATCAATTCAATCCATAACCGATACCGATCAGCACTGATATTCGTCAGGATGCTATCGGCGGGGATCCAGCAAGAACCGCCGCAGAAGATATCCTGGCCATTGATACGGAAGTAAAATGACTTTCCATGTTTGTCAGGCTGCTGAATAATCTCAGCTGTTCGAATGCCAATTTTCTTGCTTGTTTGGTCAACGAGTTGGTTATCACGCAGTAGAGCCACAGAAACCTGGTAGAGAGGTTGGTCACCATAGCCATGAGGCCACCAAAGCTCAGGACGATTGACGAGGAAAGACACGTCGGTGGGAGTCCCGTGCAAGACCGGAATATCTATGTTGGTAATTTCTTTGCCACGCAAGCTCAGGGTGAAGTGGGCAATGAAGTCTCCGTCGATGGGAGTGTCAATTGTGGCCACAGTCTTGATTTCGGCGGTTTGGTGGTCTGCGGCGAGCTCGACCTTCGGCCATAGATCTGCAATCCGCGCAGTATAGACCTCCAACCGAATTGGACGCCAAATCCCGGCGGTCATCAGGACTGGACCCCAATCCCAGCCCCAGTGGTACTGTGCTTTGCGCACTGCGAGGCGAGAAGGGTCCCCGTTGAAGCCGACCCATGTGTGTTCGGGATGTTGATTGCGGATTTCCCGGGCTTTTAGTAGGGCACAGTCGAATTCAATCTCGATGGTATGTTCCCGGTTTTGTGTTGCCAGGGCTTTGGTGATGTTGACTCTGTGGCCGAGAAACATGTTATCGCTGATCAGGATGACTTCCCCATCCAACTTGACCGTGGCGAAAGTATCCAAGCCTTCCATGACCAAGTCTACTATGGCTCCATCGGGGATTGTTGGTGGTCTGGTAAAGGTGTTGCGGTACACCCATGATTTTTCGTTTGTCCAGCGAGCATCGAGTTCATTGAAGCCAATAAATGGATCTTTTAATCTGTAGGAAGTGAAAAATTAGAATTAGATGATAGCTTACTTGACTTGTTTAAGAGATCATATACTTTTTATTGTGAATCAGGTCCTGTTGCACCGAGGATGGCACTACAGGGACAGGCAGCCATTCATCAGAATCGCGATCACGAAAGGACCAGTTGGCCGAGAGGGAGTGACGCTCCAGGGGCATTTTTGATATATTTTGAGGTAACTGGGTAAAGAGTAGTGAGGAGGAGAGAGGATGACAAGGTAAAGAGGGAGCTGTCTAAGTTAAAAGTTATTTAATTTACAATTGGGAAGTCACCTGAGGCAAGTATGTAGTCGGAGGAAGGAGCTGCTTATCGATAAGGGAATCCCCCCCACGCGCCTTCCCTTTTGGACGCGGAGACCCCGCAGTCACATGATTCAGGCATTCAGGCAGCAATTTCCATTTCACACCTTATTCACCTTATTCCCACCTTCTTTCCTTCTTCTCTCCTTCTCTTCTTCATCTCTCAATCATTGGTGTATCAGAATGACAGAACCTACTACACTACAATACTCAAAAGTCCATACATTCTCAACTAATCTCAAACTTCAAATGGTGGTTGTACCAGGGAAGGTTGATATATATTCATCGACCACTGGCACGCTGGCTAACACACTTATTACCTGTTTCGACACGGAGCCCACTCCGCCCAGCTGGCATGTCGAAGTCTACTTCATAATATATCCTCCGTATTCACTACGGTGATGCTTGGCTACTCCGAGTCTCTGCCATCTTCTCTCACCGGCCTCAACTCTATTCCATTTCCCTCAGAACTAGCACGAGCGAAACTGGACATTCGCATCGACGCTTGCTTCTGCTCCTGCATCCTCCCTGCATCTCCAGTGCCATACTACCCGTGGACCTTACTACTCAACTCCGCTGAAACCCACTAACTTCGACACTAAATCCACCCAGTCAGCCCAGTCCTTCTAACCGAACCAATGGCCTCTCTCCACCCCCAGTCCCTGGCCAACTGTCGATTATCGGTCGTGACAGGAACACGCACTCCACTCTTGGCATTCCTAGCCCTGGAGTACTGGAATCCTCCTCCCTTGCCATGTGCAATCCATCCTGGTCAACCCCGCCACCTCCACGAGCAGACCTCGCATATCCCCCCCCATGTGTTTCCTTCGCTGCCCCCTCGTTCATGTTCTCCACTTTGCTTTGCCCAAACATCTTGAATTGAACTCCGCCGTCATGTCATGCAGTTCCGGCACTCGAGGTGGGCTCGAAGAAGAGCCGTGCCTCCAAATTCCATCTCGGGCCCTTGACTCAAAACGGACATCATGTCCGGATATCCCTCGGCCCTCCCAGTAACCATTGGAGGAATTGTATGTTGGGCCCCGCTTGAACAGATTCACCTTATTGTTCTCTTTCATTTCATTCGTCCCAGACCATGGGCCCAAGTAGTCCTACAATATTCATGCGACCCTCGGAGATCGTTGATCCTGCCCACACCAAATCTCAATGTGCCCCTAATTCACTAAATTCCCCTGCATGAGGCTATGCTACCACGACGACGAAACCACTCTCGCTACTGCCGGGCAAACGGAACAAAATGCCGGTGGGGTGATGAGAGTGAGATGGGTTCGAGCTGGAGGGTAGTAGACCCTGGATCCACGAGACGTTCTGTGCAACATCTCCCCCAGACGATCGTCGCATCTGCAGGGCCAGGGCTCATTGTACTCCATACTCCACTACCGCATCTCCACCCCATTCCATCTTCCTTTGAATCCAAGCGACCCGGGAAAATTGTGTTCCCCCCCTGGAGAAATTTTGACACCCAGTCCGGCGCATGGATGCCGACCTTGTGGCGTGTGGATGAGCCTACGACACCCGTAATTTGCCTCAACAACCCCGGACCCTTGTCAGCCTGGCGCGTGGTCGTCAGCACTGGCCGGATGTAGTGGATGCTCGATGCATCCTCGATGCATCCTGGATCCCGGTACACCGCTACCCCTTCGGTATTCACTACAGGACAGACCTGAGAACCCTAGTCTGGTTATGCCGGTAGTCTTTAGCAAGACGGCGATGACGCGGATGGTCTAGAAATTATAGTAAATTTCATCGGTCTCATTCAAATTCGAATCCGCCCACCTCCACCTCCACCTCCACGGCCGATCCCAGTTAGCGCTGGTGATCGCGCTCATCTCCGGTTTGGTGCTTGGGGATATTAAATGCATGTCTCCTGAGAGAATGACTGGTCCAAGAACCTGCGTGCCACCCAATAAGCGAGGTCTTCGGATCCCCGGACTCGCCCCAAAGAGCTTGCGTTCCCTAAAATGCGGGGAGATTTGGGCTTTAGGCGGATCAGGCTATTATCCACGATTCTTTCACTATTTCCTTTTGGTTTTAGTCGCCCTTCGGCCCGCACGCACTGGCCTACTCGTTCTGCTGCCTTCTTTTTTCTTTATATTCCCTTCCCCCCTGGTCCTCTCATTTACCGGTTATTCCTTCTGACGACATGATCTGCCATCTTTCATGACCACTACATCATTGCGACATCCATCTCCACCGACGTAGCAATAGTCATATTGCCATACTGCCATACTGGAACATTCCACTGCGGGATTAGCGCTTATCATACGACGCCGCCGCCTTTCCACTCACATTCGATTCCTTCGAAATATGTGACTCTGATCGGCAAATCTTGGGTGACCGTCGCAAACATGTTCCACACCTTCGAAGGCTTCGAGAATCCTGTGGCAGCATCGCCTGCCAGAAACCGACCGCCAACGGAACGCCGTGAATCCGTTAGTAGGCGAGTGACGACACTTCGTGCTTGTACATCATGCCGGCATCGCAAGATCAAGTGCGACGGTGAGAAGCCATGTGAAGCCTGTCGCTGGTATAAGAAGTCCGACCAATGTCAATATTCCGACCCTCGGCCATCAAGGAGGTAAGTCTGTCCAGCTTTGATCGTGAGGTCTCGCGATGATAACTAAATAGTTGCCAAAGGCATGTCGAGAAACTGTCGACCACTCTTGATGAATATCGGAACATTCTGGGGAAGCTGTTCCCAAACATCGCCCCTGAGTCCCTCGTCAATCTTCCCCGGGAGAAGCTGATCGAGTTGACATCAAGTTACTCCTCTCTAACAGCCATGGCATCAACTCAAAGCGTGACTGCACCGCACCCCGCTTCCCCAGCGACCTCTGTTTCTGTCGAGGCACACGTCTCCCCACTCTCAAATGAAGATGACAACCTTGAATCCCTCCAAACCATGCCAGAAGAGGTAGAGGATAGCCGTCATACCAGCTCTAGCGATCTTGTCGAGGGTGTTTCGGATGATGTGAATGCATTATCTCTTTCCGCTAGGCATCCATCATCCTACCTGGGCGTGTCATCAATCCAGGCCGTGCTCAAAGTCATCGTTTGGCTGGACCCAGGGTGTGCTTCATACTTTGATAGAACTCCGCCTATGAGCTCGGGCAGCCAGGCCGCCCATGCATTTGACGTGCAGCAGGGGTGGTCACATCACCCGCCTACCACTCCGCCACATCCTTTCATCCCTACTGAGATGCAGATGCTGGACTCATATTTCTTGTACTTCCAGGCATTTGCACCACTCATCGATGAGCAGCATTTCCGTGAAACTTATATTTCCGGACGACGCAAGGATGATCACTGGCTTGCGCTGCTCAACATTGTCCTGGCTTTGGGATGTGTGGCTGCTTCTACCCCTGACGACACGACACACCAGACCTACTTCCTCCGTTGCAAAAGCCACCTAAGCCTAAGCTCTCTCGGCAGTTCTCACCTGGAAACTATCCAGGCTTTTGGTCTTGTCGGTGGGTGGTACTGTCACTATATTAGTCAACCCAATCTCGCATATTCTCTGATGGGCGCCGCGTTGCGAATGGCCGCAGGACAGGGACTGCACAAGGAATTTGTCGAGAATCGGCAAATACCGACCCCGGCTAGGATGGCATCGATGGATATCAAGCGACGTGTCTGGTGGTCCTTATTTGTCATGGACACCTGGGGAGGTATGACCCTTGGCCGACCAAGTATGGGTCGTTTTGGACCCAACATTACAGTCAAGCCTCCAAACTGCAGAGATAAGGTATGTATTGACCTATCCCCAATATCATCCCTTTAGTCACTCACTGCGACATAGGAAAACATTCTGGAAATTCTCCCGCTTGTTGAAAACATTCGTTTTTCGAAAATCGCCACCCAGATCCAAGAATCACTTGCTGCGGCTCCGCTCGTCAAACACCAAGAGATGGCCCATGCGGATGTACAGCTCTTGGAATGGTGGGATAACTTGCCACCCGTCCTGAAAGATCACGAACCGTGCAACGAAGCCATCGCAACTGTCCGCACAGTCATGCGATGGCGATACTACAACCAACGGATGCTCATCTACCGACCAACGTTGCTGAGCTATGCCATGCGCCGAGTCCCCTACATCGCCCTCCGCGCCGAGGAGCGAACCGCCATCGAAAAGTGCCGCGAAGTAGCGGAAATCTCTATCCAAAACATCGCCGCGACGGCTCAACTAAACCAGCTCTGCGGGTGGAATGCCGTTTGGTGGACATTCCAGGCCTCCCTTGTCCCGCTAGTCGGCCTCTTCCTCAACGATCCGACTGCTGACGATCACCGCGCAAGCATCGAGTCTTGTCAAGCGCAGGTCGAAATTGCCTTGGCTACACTGGCCCGAATGCAATCCTTCGGACATACGGCCAAGCGGTCCCTTGATGCGCTGGCCCGCATCTATGAGGCCAGCAAACGCAACCAGGATCTATCATCGGCCACGAGTGCACCCAGTTCCTTCGGTAATTTCTTCCCAGCTGGCCGAGATATGACCAGTAATATGTTCTCCACGTCCGACCCATCATCGCGTATGGGGATCTCATTGGGCGAGAATGGTCTCGCAGACCCACTAGCCACCCCCTTTGTGGATGATACTGGGCAGTACCTGTGGGAGTATCTCAGTTGGAGTGATAACTCGAACCTCTGGCCCGGCTTATCAGACTTGGATACACGCAATGAAGCGATGGCCTTGTTGACGCCGGATCACGAGAAGGGCCCGAAGTTTGGGACTCACCCGTATTTCGAGCCTATGCCGGATTCTTACTTTGTCAATGCGCCACTCTATTACTGAGGGGAGTTGCACTTTACTTAGCTTTTGTTTATTATCTCTTATTCTTCTCTATTCCTTTCTTGTTGTGTGTTTGGTTGTTTTGGATTGGGCATGTAGGTTTAGCAGGAACAGAAACGAAGCAACGCAGCATATTCATTCATCTTGATATATTTATTTGATCGACCGCATCAAAATATGTTTATTTCAGTTTTATTTTCTCCTACTCTACTCTGTTTACTCTACTACTCTACTCTACACTACTCTACTTTGTATAGTTCGGGTTTGTTTGTTGTTAAAGCAGCGCCGCTTCTTCCAGCGGCACTCGCTCCTTCCGCTTTTGGGTACCTGCTGAGTCATCCACATTCGGCAAATCACGCGGCTCGTCCAACTTTTGCGGCGATCTGTAAACATCAAAATCAAACATCAAACATCCGCGCGCAACCCACCGCGGCTGTGGGAACAAAGGCTAGGCAATCCGGCCATTGTTCCTATCTTGAATTACAAGGTTGAATTGACTCGGACTTTCTGGGATACATCTTTTTCACCAGGGGCTCTGGATTGCTACTGAAGTGCCTCCGCCTTGCTCCACTTCTTTGTCCGGGACCCAAACCAATATCAATCAGAGCGCATTAAGATCGGAAGTGAATCGATCTTGTTCCATATTCGACTTCTTTCACAAACTTGTTCATTCAATTGCTTCAAGCTCTCCAAGATGCCTTCCTCTGTCATCTTCACAGTCCCTCGCGTCCTCTTCGGCGCTTGTCTCCTCCGCCTCATCTTGCTCGTCTACGGAGGCTGGCAGGATGCCAATTCCGCCGTCAAATATACTGATATCGACTACATGGTCTTCACCGATGCATCGCGCTACGTTGCAAATGGTGACTCTCCCTACGCGCGGGATACTTATCGATACACCCCCCTCCTCGCGTGGATGCTTGTCCCAACTGCCTGGCAACTCCCACCCCCCTGGTCCGCGGTTTCGTTTGCCTATGGCAAGGTCCTTTTCGCTTCCGCCGATGTTCTTGCTGGGTGGTTTGTGCTTCAACTCTTGCGCCGTGTGTATCGCATGTCTACCATCAAGGCGCTGAAATACGTCTCCGCTGTCTGGCTGTGGAATCCCATGGTCGCGAATATCAGTACCCGCGGTAGTTCCGAGGGTTTGCTGGGTGTGTTCGTTGCGGCTCTTTTGTGGGCGACTCTTACAAAACGACCCATCACGGCCGGTGCTATTCTTGGTCTTGCGGTGCATTTCAAGATTTATCCTTTCATTTATGGAGCTTCTATTCTTTGGTGGTGGGATGCGCAGCGAGATGGTAAGCCGGCTACGAAGTCGGATGCTGATCCCTTCACTCGAGCTATGGAGTTCGTGACGCATTCCAGAGTTCGATTTACACTTTCGGCGTTGGCGACCTTTGTCGCTCTCAATGGTGTTATGTATCTCCGGTACGGAATGCCATTTCTTCAACACACTTTCTTCCATCACCTCACTCGCATTGATCATCGTCATAATTTTTCGCCTTACGCTACCCTGCTGTACCTTACTTCGACTGGGGCGGCGGGTTTCCACTTTGAATCTTTGGCGTTCTTGCCTCAGCTGATCCTTTCTGTTGTTGCTTTGCCATTGGCTTTGGCGAAGAAGAATCTCGCTACTGCTATGCTTGCTCAGACTTTTGCTTTCGTTACTTTTAACAAGGTCTGCACTAGTCAGGTATGTCTGCATTCTAGAATTATTCGTGCTCTGTTCGTCTACTAACCTCGCCATAGTACTTCATCTGGTACCTGATCCTATTGCCATTCTATCTCCCCACCTCATCACTCATGCGTAAGCCGACGCTGGGTATATCGGCTGCCGTCCTTTGGGTCGTGGGACAGGCTCTTTGGTTATGGCAAGGCTTTAATCTCGAATTCCTCGGCCTCTCATCGTTTGTTCCTGGCCTCTTCCTAGCATCTTTGGTCTTCTTCGCTATCAACATCTGGATCCTTGGCATGATTGTGCACGATGCTGGTTTCAATGGCGATCCAATCGCCCTGGCTAGAAAGGTTCACTGGGAAAATTGAGTACTTTGTAACAACAATCAAGCGTCATTCTTCTTAATTCTTCCATACATTTCTCATGTAACCTCCTTCTGACTGTATTCGACTAAACTAAATCCGCACCTCGATCCCATCCATTCTCCCAACCGCGCGCCATTTCTCAATCACATCCAACCAATCCTCCATTCCAGTGCCCCAGAGAGTCGACCACGCAGCAATAGCTTGATACTCTACCGGAAGAAGCGCCAATTCACCCTCAAGATTGTAATACCCCAGCGTACACCCGACAATCACCGCCATTGCCGCCGAATTCATCAAGACCAATTGAGCCCAGTTCTCCGCGGCCTCGGCAGTCGGCGCAACAGCGAAAGGCTTTCCATTTGCTTGGCGCTTGGCTTCGGAGAGTATATAAGCTGCATGCTTCGCATATTCGCCCAGGGTGAAGGCATAGTTCCCGCCAAGTCCGGATTGCTGGGGACCTGACAAAACTGATTCGGAAACTTGACGTCAAGGATACCGTGCAAGGTCGTTAGCCCGACACGAGGCCATTCAGTACTCATGGAAACTCCGTTCTTCCCGATCATGGCCAGGTTAGCCTTGCCGGCGTGCGTTTCTGTTGATGGTGACCGATATCCCGTGGCGCAGATTATGATATCTGCTTTGTACTCCTCGTTCCCGACGACCTAAGAGTTGGCAGTAATTCTATCCACGTATTTTCCATCTGTATCGATGAGAGATACATTGTCTTTGTTGAAGGTCGCCAGATAGTCGTCGTGGAAGAGAGGTCGCTTGCAGAAGGATGGATACCAGGGCTTAAGTTTCTCTGCCGTGACTGGACCCTTGACTTGTTTGTCTACTTGCGCGCGAATTCGGTTCTGTCGGGGTGTGTCGATTTTAATCAATTTTGATGTGTATGCGACTATTTCGCTGGGTAGTTTAGGCCCGTTTGAATTGCCGGCGATTCCGACCAAGCTCGGTGCACGAGTCCATTGATCGTCAACGAGATTCAGAGATGGCGGGTCTCCAAGCGTGAAGTGTTCGTTGAAGTTTTTCATTCGTTCTCGCTGCCATCCTTCGCATCGGTCTACTTCTTCCTTGAACCACCTTTCATCAGTTCCTCTCTGATCACGAATATCGACTGCGGCGGGAGTTTGCTGGATGACATAGAGGTGTTTGCACCAGCGTGTGAGTTGTGGCACGACTTGCACAGAAGAAGCTCTAGTCCCAATGATCGCAACTGTTTTATTGTTCAACTTGTCAAGAGAGGGATCCTTCGGAGATCCACCGGTGATATCATATGCCCAACACGACGTATGAAACATCTCACCCCGATAATCCAGAATCCCCGGAACACCCGGTAATTTCGGCCGGTTCAGTACTCCTGCTGTGATTGAGATAAAGTTAGATCGAACACTTAGTCGTTGCGGATCTTGCCCTAGCGAGACTGCACAAGATCGACGTGCCACATCTTCGCATCATCATCCCAAACCAATTTCTCCGCTTGAGTCTGGAAGACAACACACTCGACAAGTCTGAAATGTCTGGTGACAGGATTGGCGTACTCGAGAATCTCCTCACCGCAGGAATATCGATGCCGAGGTACATATCCCGTTGCTCCGAGAAAGGGCAGATAGATGTAGCTTTCAATATCACACATCAGACCCGGATACCGATTCTAGTACCATGTTCCCCCGAATCCACCAGCCGGATCGATGATTTGGATCTTCTGGGCCGGAATGCCCGCTTGGATCATTCGGACTGCGTATTGGATTCCGCCCCATCCTGCTCCAACGATGAGCATTTCGATTTGGTTGTCGGGGAATTTGGTTGTGATTGGTTCAATTGAGACCGGATTAACCCATGGATCTACGCCGAATTGTTCGAAATGGACTGATTTGCTGGCCTCGATGTATTGGGCGTTTCCTTCATTGCGGAGTCGTTTGGCTTTTTCTTTTTCATATGTTCTCTTATGCGTTGCATGGTGTCATCGTTAACTGGTGGGTTAGTCTCAGACTCTGTTGCCGGATTTGTGAGGTTCACAGCGTTGTTCATGATTTCTAGGAGGCAACGAGTCAGAATGGGAAGAAAGGACGAAAGTGGTGGTGTTTGGTGTGGTGAGAGAAGAAGAGACTGAAGCTATTCAGAGGAGAGGAAGGACCGGCGGAGATGTCTGAGGCGTGGGACCTCAACAACAGAAGATTCGAGATAAAGTATTGCAGTCGCAATTATGTTGAAGGAAGTTGACTTGGAGAAATTCCGGGAATGCTTTTTTGGCGTACGTGGGGGCCATTAAATGGTGTCTAAATCTGATTCTAATCTCATTGGGGGGAGGCTGGTCTTATACACTCCGAGTCCATATGTACAACGCTTCCAAGGGTTGGGAATCTCGCATGAAATTTGCAACCGGGGTCCTCAAACTTGCTCTCAACCACGCTAAAAGCCTCCGAATGTTGAATAATATAATGTGCGTGTCCTTGGCCCATTTCCAGCCTTGTGTATGACGTCTCCTCGCACATCATTCCATAATAAATCTAGTACTACTCCACTCGGAGATAACCCAGAGTGACTTAATCCATTAAGAATAGTAAACAAATTGAATTAGAAGAAAATAAAGAGTTGATCAGAGTCTCAAAAAAATCTGGAAGAACTGGAGTTGAGAATAGCTTGAAGCCGAAATCTACCACCCACATCTAACCCACGTAGATTACCACTTGACATGGAGAGATTAGAAATAGTGATCCGATCATAATATACAATGAAGAATAAAAGTAACAATGTCATGAGGAATAATACTCAATGACGGGGTATCCGCGAAACACTCAAACGATGGAACTGCAGAAATAAAACGGAGGGGAGCGGTTGACGACAGTGGAGAGAAATTGAGCCTCTAGCTGGCGATGTACTCATACATGCGAGCATTGATACTCAGCGGCTGGCGGGGTATGTGCGAAATACCTAGAAGGTGCCCATCGTCGCTGAATAAGGGCTTGATTCCATCGGCGAGTTCGACATATTTCGCGAGGGGGCGACTTCGCTTCAAGGCTTTCAAAATGGCATCACTCCACAGACCAGTACAGACGTTGCCGTTGAGTCGGAAGTACGGCTTCACTTGAGGAATGAATGGTGATACATCGAGGAAGCGAATATTGAGGTATGTGAGAGCCGGAAGGAACTCTAGACAGACAATTGCTTGTAAGACGAGTCTTTCGAAGGCGTCAATGAATCCGATGTCGGTAATTCCTCGAACCGGGTATGGATAGCCCATCATGTACGCAGGATCCGGAGGGCAGCAGCTTAAAACGGAAAGTTCGAGGGATCGAAGACGAGGGGGGCCACCGTGCATTTCTAGCGAGGTATTCCAAATTGCTGAATAATACATCGCATACTTTGCCGGTGAAAGAGAGAGTTTCGAGATGGAAGGCAATCTCGCCGAGTAAAGCACAGACAATATCTGGGAACTGTTGAAGAGGTCCTATCTCCTCTCCGATGCCGGTTCCTTCGAGGTTCAAGTTGAGGTGACGGAGGTGGGTTGGTGGGTGATGGAATATTTTGCAAATGAGTTCATCCACATCTGACCGAGGAGTAGGGTAAACAGCATGCCATTCGCGTAATGCGGGCAGGGCCCTAGCAATATTCTTCCACTGGTGGTGTTTGCGAACCAGATTCCAGGCACCGCGCATAACAAACGTGTCGATATGTGGCAGTCTTGGAAGGCTACGAGCCGGTTCATCATCCTCTCCATTCCGGAAGTGTCGAAGTGCCGGCGGGGTGTTTGCGTGGCCACCTTGCAATATGAGGACTCGTGCGGAGGTAAAAAGCTGCATATGCTGAAAAATCTCCTCCATGGTTGCATTCTCCTCTGAAGGAAGAAACGGAATGTCATATGGGGGGGTGTTGCACATCTTCCCAGCCCATCGTCCTGGACATGAAGATCCGGTGATGGCTGGCTCTTCTTTCAGGGTTGCGTGGAACTGGAGTGTATGAGCGCTTTCCCCAAACGGGGATCCATATCTCCAACACGCGAACGTAGCAAAGAAGGTGTGTGTTTTCGAGGAACCATTGCCGACATTCGAGCATTTCATCATTCGTGCCCTTCAGTTCGACTAAATGGAATCAGCACCTTGGACAATTTCGCGACAGAGGGCTTGGTCCCATTGAACTTACTGTGCCTGTAGAGACGAGATTGGATGAGGCTTCTCCACGAGTGACAAACCAAGGTCAGATCTGTCACTTTCTTGCGACGAGAAAAACGAGGTACTTTAGCCCAGCTAGTGGGAGATGAATCTACCGTCACGCTCGGGCTGGACACGGAAACCTTCCGACTTAGGAGGTAATCCAGGATCTTGTCATGAATCTCGGAAGGCAAGCTCGAAAAGGCTGAGCTGGGATTCTTCACTCCATGAGATGCAGCCGTTTCAGATGAAGTTGGAAATAGAGACTGCTGGAAGACCGGGTCGCACACAGAGGAAGGCTCAGGCTGATGGACACTTTGAACAGGGGTTAATTCAAAATCAAAGTCGATGGGTGGGAAGTCATTGTTGATACTGCGGAGATCCTCAACATCCTCAGGGAAATCCTGGGGTTTTCGGAGCGGGCTGCCGGCCAACGATTTGACCGAAACTGGTCGAGTCGAGGAGGAAATTATCATGGCGCGGAGAATAGAGGCGAGAGATTTCAGGCGGAGAAAGGGGGATGTTGGATGGATATTTGTACGCGACCTGAAAGACGCCAAAGCTGGTGGAGGGGTTACCGTTAGCATTGATATGCCCGGTTTGCACAAATCAGCGACGCGACTCACCGTTCACCATGGAGGATGTAGAACGAGATCTAAGAGATGTAGATAGTTTTGGCACTGCTGGGATTCATTAATTGGGCGTAGTATCAGGCGCCTGAACAGGTGGGACAACAGGCGGCGCCAGAGTCCAGGCTGCCGTGCGAAACCAAGGCCCTGTTGGCGGGCGGGCAGAACCCACAATTGGAAGTTGAAGGGGCGAATGGAGAAGATTTGGCGAAACAAAATTAATCAAAAAGGGAAGTAGTAGTAGAAGGGGTGGAAGAGGAGTGGAGGAGGAAGAGGAAGAGTTGAAGTGAAGTGAAGCGAAGAACAAAAAGCGCTGCGGGGGAAGACACGTGACACTCTGGTAGTATAAGATGGCATACACTGGTAAACACTTATTACTGTCGATTATTTAATTCAATGACTTTCGATTTAAAGCTAGTGGTATATTCCAATGTCTACCAGTAGATCTACTTGTACACACCGTAGTAATATTACTAGTACAAATTGATATAAATGTGGCGATCGAGTGGGTCTCCCCACTAGGTTAGGCCCACAAGGCCCGATCCGAAGTATACCCGAACAACAATAACAACAACTGAAGTAATAGTACGAAAGTCATGGTGTTTCTTAATTATACATTTACTGCTTCTACCTAGGGTCCTATCTAACCCTCTACATTGTTCTCTCAGCCAAGCGGTCCATACTTTCATCTGTTCCCCAAAATTTGATACCTTCACCACTAGAGCAAGTTGCCAACAGTTCCCCCTCATCAGCAAGAAACATGCATGTGATGGATGTTTCGTGACAATTTTCAAGTCGGAGAATCTGCTTTCCTTGAAGAACATCCCACAGAATAATATCGCGGCCTTTTGTGCTAGCTGCCAGGATTTCACCGGTTGAAGAGAAAGTCATGGTCTGGATAATAGGAGACACCACGAACTTCCGGCTTCTCTTGTCAGCCTTCCACTTCAGATCACGAATAAATAGTATTGATCCAATCAGGCCATCCGGATAAGCTTGCGCTGCCATCCTACCATTTTCTGACAGTGCCGTTACTAGCCCTCGTTCCATGTCCACCCTCTTCGGTTTGAAGGAACGCCCCAACACGGATAGATCAAATTGATATGTCCCATCAATATCATCCTGATCTGAATATATTCCCAAAACTCTGATGGCATTGTTCAGAGCCACGACGACTCTCCTGCTCCTAGACTGGAAAGCAAAGGCAAGAGCACTATCATCCAGATGCAGAGTGTTTAGCTTTTGCAACTGAAGATTATGATGGTCGAATACCTGCCAGATGTGGATCTTCTTTTGCCTTGACATGGCTGCTAGTAGAGTGCCGTCGTGGGAAAACTGGGGATTCTTCAAGCCTTCCGTCGATGTGATTGCGGTACTTGATCCGTCAAAGCTGCTCCAAACGGTGAGACAATCCCCCGATGTTGAGGCGAAAAGAGTTCCACCATGAGACATAGCAATGCATGAATTACTCCTGAAGATAGTTTCGGTAGATATTCGACATCTCTTGGGAATACTCCAAACCTCAACACCGGTAGGATTTCCCGAGGCGGTGACTAGACGTAGATTGTGTGGACATAAGGAGATTTGTCTGTGCCTTTTCGCTTCAAGGGGGAGGGTGAATCGAAATCTAAAACCACCGTGGGAACAGGACGATCCCTTTCCCTTCTCGTTGTCACCATTTCCGAAGCCGAATCCAGCCACGATCCTGTTAACGACACCACTTCTGCTGCCAGATCCCCCTTTGCCGGCTTGTGATGGTGGCCTTCCATGTTTCTCGTCGTCTGACTCGATCAATGGCAGCGCGACGATACCTCTATTTGGATCTCTTGATTCATCCACCGTCTGGGACCGAGTGCGGTTCCGAGCGAGGGGACTAGATGGTAACCAGGAACACAATTCGGCTTCGAGCCTGGTCCTGTGTTCCAGCTCAGACATCCGTGATCTAGAAAAGTGGCAGGCTTCCAGATTCGCATCGTCCGCCGAACGAGAGACGGGCAATGTCGGTCTTACACGTATTGAGGGGCCTGGGCCACTGATGCCGCGGCTCAGACTTCCATCTAAACTCAAAGACGGCATCAAAGTGTCCGCAAGACATCGCACATCGGATTTTTTATTAAGAGATGTTCCTGGTCTGTGCAGCTTGCTTTCATCCTCGGGCGTATTTGGCTTCAACTCAGGCGGGGAAATGGGATCCTCTAGGAATGATTGGTTATGGGATGCCCCTACATCCTTCATCCCACTACCAGGACACAATGGCTTAACACGCGTTAGCTCTTTTTCTCCTTCGACCTCGGGAACACGTTTCGGCTTTGCAAAAATCCCTCTGAGAACAGATGCCCCCTTTTTTGGCGAGGCTCCGGTCGCGCTTTCGTTGGAGGTTGTGCTGAGAAGCCCTGCGTGCCTGAGATGATCGGTCCACCACTCTTCTGTAAGCCGGTCGCTCGGTGGTGAGTGCTGGGATGGTATACTGGTTGCTTGACTGCTGGAGGTTTTAGAATTCTCCGACGAGACAGAGAGAGCTTTTGGCCCCCGAGCTAGAGAGCTTTGACTTCTTGTCAGATCATTCTCGCCGACCCTCTCTTCCATGTCATCATTAGGCGTTGGTGGCTGTTTTGCACCACTCGACTGGTCGGAGTTTCCCTTGGGAGTTATTTCAGGTGGGTGAATGGTTGATAATTCCTCTGTAATTTCTTCTATTGCTGCACACGTGTCGTTGCCTCCTGGAGAAACCTCCTGTGCCATTGGTGTAGGTTGAAACAGGGCTTCGGCGCGCGGTAATAGAGGTATTTGCGACAACGGTTTGACCCAAGGGTGTAGGATTGCCATTTCCGATGTGAGTCGACTATCAGGGACAGGTCGCATAAGCGATCGGACGAACTCGATCCCCAGCTTGGATACCCCGGCCTCATCTAGAAGAGATGCGGGGAATATCTCTGGTTGCGTGGTATAAGATGACAGACGTCCGATCGGCTTAAATGCCGGCGCCTTCGTCAGCATTTGAAAGGTGATCTCACCCAAGGACCAAATATCTGCTGCATATGGGCTTCCCGGCTCGAGAAATCCGTAAAGCTCAGGAGCAATGAACCCCGTTGTTCCTCGTAATGTTGTTGATGTTTCTGGCGATTCCTCGATGCGTTTGCTAATTCCGAAGTCTGCGATCTTGATCCACCACTCATCTGGTGGGTGCGACTTGATTAGGATATTCTACTCTCCTGTTAGCCTCCGGTAGCAACCAGGTTAGAAGATGGGGTTGCTTGCCTTAGGCTTCAGGTCTCTGTGTGTGAACTCATTCTCGTGCATCATTTTCAGACCCTCCAAGATTTGAAAAGTTATCTCCTGGGATTGACTTTCTGACAAAGCCGGTCTCTCATCCAGATAGTCGAGCATGTCCCCTAGTTCAAGATACTCCATCGCAATCAAAAGATGTTCGGGGCTTCGATACCACCCAAAGGATTGAACAAAGCATCGTTCATACTAATACTTGCACAATCAGCATTCAAATTGATACTTCAGGTCTGCCAAGACCTTTCACAGCACATACCCTCGAATGCGAAAACTTGGCAATCGTCTCGAGCTCGCGATTGAAGTCGATTCGGTGAAACCGTCCACCTGTCTCAATTTGCTTGACTGCTCGAACTTGAATGTCACACCGAGAGCCCTGGGCGCATTCCTCCAACCAGACAGTTGAGTAGCCACCACCACCGATCCTTCTTCGTCGCTTCCAGTGCTCGGACCTGGCGACCACTCGACGACGAGACGTCGCATCGGATTCATTGTAAGTGTGAACTGTCTCCACACTGCAATCGGGGAGAAAGTGAGTTTCAAGCCTTGAATCTCTTACCAGGTCAGGCAGGCGGGTCATTTTATCGATCCGATTCTCCTTGGGTATTCGTTGTGATTCACCACAGGGGCTTCGATAATGTCAGATTTAAATCGGGAACCAGGCAGCTGGGACACCCTGCTGGATTTTGGCCACCGAGTGGTATGTGCCTGTCTATCACCTGATATGCAGCTATTCCCACAGAGGAAGGATTTACTTCATCGGTAGGCCTCATAGGTCGATGCGTGGTACTTTTGTTTTTGGTTCCTCTTTACACGAGAGGTGAGTCGATACATCGAATTGCATGTCGAAAAGAGGGAGATCATTCACAAATTGACAAATATTCTGCTCCATGGGCCAGTCTGCTCCATAATGTCGTGGTGAATAGTAAGAGTCAGTCATAATGTTAAGCAAAGCACGTAGACATCGCAACTTACAAGTTAGTAGTATGCTTGACATGAATTATTTTAGGCTTTGGAATGCCGCCAGAGCCGCAACACCCGCCTAACTTTATCCCCGCAAAATCAAACTTCAATCACAACAATTGCGTCTTCTAAGTTTATTCATTTCCCGACTAGTAGCAGTAACCAACCCTGAAATAACGTCTCCCATCATGGCCATCACACGCGTTGCAGCCCCACACCGCACCACACTTCCTCTGCGCCCAAAAGACAACGGACAAGGTCATCTCCCTAATCTACCGTGCGTCCAGGAACAAAGCCAACCTAATCGTCTTCCCGGAAACATTCACATCAGCCTTTCCAATCTGGAGCACTCTCCGCCCTCCAACTCAAAACCACACTTTGTTCCAGCGAATGGTAGACCAATCCATCTAAGCAAATGGAGAAGAAGTCCAAGCAATCCGCGAGCCAACTCGCGAGACAAATAACATCGCCAGCATAGGTATATCAGAAAGGTCGCACGCAAGTGTGGGTTGCTTATACAACTCGAGCCTAATCATCGACGCGGGAGAAAATGTCATTCACCATCGCAAATTGGGGCCAACATTCTTTGAGAAATTTACCTGAATCCCTGGCGATGGACACGGACTACACGCCGCTGATACGAAGCACGGTCGTATTGGTGCGCTAATATGTGACGAGAATACAAATCCACTTGCAAGCTATTCGCTCATGGCTCAGCGGGAACGGATTCATATTTCTTGGCCGGCTATATGGCCGACGAGATTGGCTTCAAGTTCTCCAGAGAAAGGGGAAGAGGCGTCGCAGCATTCGGCGAATTATGATAATGTTCTTGCTAATCGGATTCGGGCTGCGGCGCATTGTTTGAGGCAAAGTCTTTTGGGGTCATGTGTAGTGCAGTATTGGATCAAGAAGCTATTGATATGATTGCTGTTGGGTCGAATTCGGAGGAAACTATTCGTCGTGCGCTGGAAAGCTCCCCACGTGGAGTTAGTATGTTTGTAGATCCTACTGGTTCGCCTTTGCGTTCTTTTACTATCGAGGAGACTGGTGCGCAGCGGCCGGTGGAATTCTTGCAGAGTGAGGAAGGGGTTCTTTATGCAGATCTGGATCTTGACCGCTGCGTCGAGGGCAAGCAGTACCATGATGTTGTCGGGGGATATCAGAGGTTGGATGTTTTTCAGTTGCAGGTGAATCGGGAGAGACAAGATCTAGTGTTTTCAAGTAATCTTCACCTTTGAGGGTGCTTGCTCGTAGACTTGGGAGTAAAGGTGCCCAGGTCAATGGCGAGAGGTATGACATAGATTGCAGCACTGGCATTGCTCTACTTCTGTGCATACTATATTTTGAAGCCTATGATACATTGGAGGCAGAGGTGGCGAGGGTATCGATACAAACAACACGCTAAAATAAAGATACAACTTGGTAAAAATGCTACCGCTTGCGGCGAAATCGGAACTTGGGTTCATCGTCACTCTCCGAGTCTTGCACCGGGCGAGGCCGTTTCTGGCTGCGACTGCGAGCAAGGGTGCTTTGTGATTCAGGGGTTTGATTAGGGATAGAAGTCTCTGGCACAGACAACTGGGACCGTGATACTGATCGCCCATTCCGACTAGGTTGACTGGTCGTTGTCGTTAGTTGTTCTTTCTCTTCCTCTTCCTCTTCCACTTCCACAACCGGAGCTTGCTCAGATGGCTTGTGATTGCTGCTCCAGTAGTGTTCTCCGATGCCGAAATCTTTGCGAGTGACTTCTTCCAGCGGTACGATGACACTTTGCACACGTTGGCGAGCATGACGGGGTTCTCCTTTACGCCGAAACCGCTTGAAGTTCTTGCGTCCGTTCCACTGGTCGTCCCAGCGATCTGACGTATTTTCCTCTCGTGCAGGGGGTTGCCGAACGGGTAACTCCATCTCCTCGACAATGGCAAGATCGCGTAGTTTTTCCATGTCGATTTCATTCGAGAGGGCAGAGTCCTTTTCGATCTGTTGCTGTTTCTCTTCTTCCTCGCGATGTTTACGTGCTTCTTCAAGCACATCTATCTTGCGGCGACGGGGTTTGGGGGCAGATTCTGCTTTTATGCGCTTGGCGGGCATAGTTTGATCGTCGCCCATCTCCGCTCGTCGGCGCTTCATGGCCCGTGCACCAGGAAGCAGATCAGACACGGCATCTTGATCAGCATCTTCGTTCTCCTCCACTGTTGGCATGGTCTGATCTGGGTTTGACTGCTCGATGGGCTCGAAATCTATGGGTTGTGTATCGACGGTCTCATCTGGCCCTGACTCATAGGCGGGGATAGAGTCCATATCGAATCCATCATCGAATGTTTTCATCTTGCTCACGTATTTGCGTTCACGACCTGCTTTGAGGCGTGATGTAGGCGGTTGGCTTGGCGCTGGTGGCGAGATCGATGTAGAGGGCTCATCTCGAACCACTGGTGGTGGTGATGGCGGCGATGGCTCTTCGGGTGCTGGAGTGATGGAAACCTGGCTGGATCCTTCTTCATGCGGCAGTGGGCGACATAACGGGGCAGCGTCGTTGCTCAGAATGGCATCAAGAAACTCGCGCTGCTCAATCACACGTTGGTCCGTCATCAAAGCGACTTCATTTCCCACCTCAATAGACCAAGTTTCGTAGTGCCCCTTGGACCGGAAGCGCACCAAAACAACACCACCTTTCCCAACTCGTTCATTCCCGACACCCTGGTTTCCTGCTGCTTTTTTCATGAATCGTACAATTTCCGCAGCGGTTGTCTCGCCGTCTTTGACCTCATAATGAAGAGCTTTCCCGTGCCCATTTGTGATCGCTGCTTGTAGATTGTCAAACTGGGTCATATCTCCGAACACAAATGTATATTTGTCGAAGATGTTGATTCGATCCGGGTTGGGTGCAAATGCTTCGGCAGGACGACTGGTTGGCTCGTTTCCCGCTGGAGGAAGATGCTCATTTGGATCTGGCCAGGCTGAATCGAAGTCACTTTCTAAAGGAGAAAGAGCGGCCTCGCTCTCCAAGTCGGTGGGGGTAGTTGCGTATTCGATGGCATCGAGGTATGAATTTTTGACAATGTGTTTTCCGTTGATCAAGGCCTGCAGACCTTTCGCCGTGTTGCGTTTATTTTGAACCACGTGGGTGGTCTGGTCCACCAGATATGGGACGATGGTTTTGATGTCGAGGGATTCTAGTCGGCCGCGGACTTTGGCGAGAGGATCTTCAGCCTTCATCTCCCTGGAGGAGAAGGAGAAGCTGAGCACGACGGGTTCCCACTTGAGACTATGATTCGAGATATTAGCCAATGGGAATTGTTCAAGGCGGTTGATGGCAGGGATTTCACCCACTGTAGTGTATAAGCAGCCTTAGCCAATATGATGCTGTGCTCCGTTCCATCGAGTATGCGCTCACCGGAGAGCTTCTCACCGTCCACAAAGGTTCCTTTCGTCGAGCCAAGGTCGGTCACGGTGACTTTTGTCCGGGCGTGTGCGAAGGTCTTCAAAGGCATACAGCGGTCAGGTATAACGATCTAACAGTGCTGAACGAACGGGGGGAGGGGCATACTCCATCGCGGGGTGTCACATTAGCCACCTCGATGGACATGTGTTTGCGCGAGACTGAACGGCTTTTGCTGCCATGAGAGACTGAATATGTCAGCTGTGTCAGCCTGGCGCATGCGACAGCAATGAGGAAAGATGTAACCTACCGCCAGGCTCATCGGTCCTACCGAAGAGGTAACGCTTGCCAGGTCGGAGCCATACGCGCTTCCCTATATAAAGAGTCAGCCCGTCCGCGGTCGCATACCATTTTGGAACATCTGCGATGACTGACCATTCAGGAATTCTCCCGTCGACTGCAGAATCCACATTGCAGCATCCCTTGGAGATTCACCGAAGTGCGACTGCAGTTGAAGTGAGCACAAGTGCAAGTTGAAGCTGAAGTTGAAGTTGGCCGCGTCAAACGCGAAAGCACGTGACCGCGTCTGCCTGTTTCCCTTTTTGGCACTTTCCATGGGAGCCTCAAATCTTCATTTCTTCACTTATTCTCTTCTCTTCTCTACTCTACTCTAACTCTTTTCTATTCATGGCAAATGGCAGGCGAATCGACCGACCGAGTGGTCGACGAGGACAATGGCAGTGGCCATGACAACGACAACGACAATGACTCTCTCAGGTATCAACTGCTGGGCCCCTCTTTAACCAAAGCGGGCCAAGATGCCGTAGATCAGCAAAAGGTGGGAGAAAAGTCTAGGAATTTTAAGATATGACAAAACTGACTATCACAGGTGTCTGAGATCATCTACAATGCGTCCAAAGGCTCCAAGTTCTTCAATCACGAACAGGAGCGTGATCGCAACCAGACCCTTAAGATCGAGCGTATCGCCGCAGAAAAGGTCCGGTTAGAGAAACTCGATTTGAGTCATGACTTGCGCCGTGCGGATGAATATCTCGCAGAGCTAGAATTGACTCGGGATCTCTCCCAGTACGTCATTCATGTGGATTGTGATGCCTTCTTCGCCGCGGTTGAAGAGCTCGATCGACCGGAATTGAAAACCGTTCCCATGGCCGTCGGAAAAGGTGTATTGACTACCTGCAACTACGTGGCCAGGAAATTCGGAATTCGTAGTGGTATGGCCTCCTTCGTGGCCAAGAAGCTATGTCCGCAGTTGGTGCTTTTACCTTCGAACTACGATAAATATACAGCAAAGGCAACCGAAATCCGTACGATTCTCGCGCAATACGATCCTCTTTTTGAAAGTGCCAGCTGTGACGAGGCCTATCTCAACATCACAGCCTACTGCGATGAGAACCAAATGGACCCAGATGACGCAGTTCAACGACTGCGGGCGGAGGTCTTGGAAAACACCAAAATCTCCGTGTCTGCCGGCATCGCCCCGAATGCGAAAATTGCAAAAATTTCGTCGAATATCAACAAGCCGAACGGCCAGTTCCGTGTGGCGAATGAGCGAACAGCAGTCATGGAATTCATGCAGTCACTACCTTGCCGCAAGGTGAATGGCATTGGGCGAGTTTTCGAGCGAGAGCTCGATTCCATTGGCATCAAAACCTGTGGCGACATATACCCTCACCGAGCTGTACTCACCAAACTATTTGGAGAAAAAGCATTTCAGTTCCTGGCTCAATGCTACCTTGGCTTAGGCCGGACCAACATCGAACCAGTCGAAACACACGAGCGTAAGAGCGTGAGCACTGAGACTACCTTCCATGAGATTGGAGACAAGGAAGAGTTGCGAGGCAAACTCCGCTGGGCGGCGGAGGAGATGGAAAAGGACCTGGCGCGGACCCAGTTTAAGGGTCGGACGTTATGCCTCAAGGTGAAACTACATACGTTTGAGGTTTTGACACGCCAAACCGCACCTCCGCGGGCAGTCTCCCAAGCGAAGGATCTCTATACATACGCACTTCCCATGCTGATCAAGTTGGAGAAGGAGATCCCTGGGATGAAGTTACGGTTGTTAGGGCTGCGGTGTTCGAACCTGGTCACCACGAAGAAGACCGGTCTTAATTTCTTCGGATTTACTACACAGCCGAAGCCACCCACTGTGGAACCACCGGAGCCGAGAAAAGAGCATGAAATTGGAGCAGAAGAAGCGTTTGAAGCGGCGGCTAGGCAGGAGGTGCAGGACGAGATGAATGACCTGGAACAGTTGAGCCAGGAAGCGGTCATCCCAGGCCCGTCGACCCCAACTATCGAGTCTGGTCCAGTTGAGGAATCGCCGGCGCAATGGGAATGTCCGATTTGTAGTAAACCACAAGTGGCGGATGATCGCGGGTTCAACAATCATGTGGATTTCTGCCTGTCACGTCAGACGATCCGTGAGGCAACACAGGATACTCATTCGGTTGTCGATGAGCCGTCCCTTGCGACAGCGGCGAGTCGCAAACGGAAGCCTACCAATATAGGGGGCCAGGAAGATTCACGACAGAAGCGATTATTCTTCCGTTGATCATGGCTGCAGTACGGAGTATATAGAAGGACACCCCTGTTCTGCAGGCTGCGCCGATCTTCCCCACGCAGGAACAACACGGCATACAGTGGGATTTCAGCAATCAACACAACACAACAGCGTGTTCAGTCAGAGTATAAAGCACAATCAACGAAAGAACAAGAATTATCGGCATTCGATTGCCGATGAATATAGCGATCAATTCCATCTCCGGTCCGATCAATAGCCAATATCCAATATCATGCAATAACCAGGATATCCCCACTTCATTCCTCGCGTTGCGGTGAAGGGCGCCCTAAACCGTTTCGGGGTTTGTTTTCTCCTTCGTCAACCTCGTCATTCAAGTTTGCCAAAGCAAAGGAGTCTTTACCACTGGACTTTGCTGTCTTTACCACTGTAATTGGGACTGTTCTGTTCTATCAGACTAGCAGGCTACTTCATATTCTCTTGTCTTGACCTACTCTCTCTCCCCCTTGTCTTCATCTCCTCCGCCATGCCCCCCCGCAATGCCCGATCATGACCGATAAACAAAACAATCATGGCTCCCTCGCCAAACCATTCACCCCCACGCTCAGCGCGGCTTTTCACCGCACCAACCGCGCTCCTTTAACGCCAAAACTCGCCAGTCCAGGCCCCGGTTATCCTGCAGCGCGCCGTCTCGCCAATGACCAACAACCCTTTACCCCTTCCAAAGACGATTCCCCCGCCGTTCCTCCATCCCTCCTCAGCGCCAACATCACCCCACGATCAGGTCCGCGAACCACTCGCCGTGATGCTACCTTTCCCTCTCCAACAAGTACTTCCCCGGCCCCGTCGCCACAGCCTTACACCCAACCGCCGGTCGGGTTGGGACTGGCTGCCCCTCGTCGAACAGAACGCAGCCCAGCTCGCGGGGTGAAGCCGGACCAGTCAAGGAGCTTGAGAGCAAAGACTCTAACTGCGGAGGGACAACAGCTATCGCGCCCAAATTCATTCACGGATATGGCAGGGATCTCTCCTCGATTCTTCCATGCCTCCGACGCCGGCTCAACAACCTCCTCCGAGGTCGATACCTCCCGCCCGAAGCCTACCAAGGCCCCTTCAGTTGCGAGCTTCGTATATGCGAACGGCAACCAAGAACGACAGACCGCGTCCGTTGAATCTCTACCTATATCCTCAAGTGGTCGTCGTTCAGGGGGGGCCAGGAAGTCTTCCACGCCCTGCACCTCCTGCTAGGCCCATGGCCTCACCCTCACCACGTCTCCGATCTCCTCGACCATCCGACGCGACGTCCCCTCCTCTATCCGAAAAACAAGTCTCATTCAGTCCCAATATAGATCAAGGAATAGAGAATGTCTTGCATGGACTTTCCCCTTCGCCAAATTATCATCCCGATCGACAGAACTCCCCTCTCTCTCTCACTACCGCGGCACCGAAAGTCTTCCAGTATAGGCTCTTCGAGCCAAGGCACATACGATGGCCTGAAAGCCAGCCCGATCATCGTGTCAAGCACTTTCAACCCCGAGAACACTCCACCGATGATGTCCGACCAAATTCCAACCCTTCGGCCCCGGGTCTTCAGCAATGGTTCCTCCGTCTCTAACGATCCACTCGCCCATATGCCCATGAGTCCCGGAATACCACATCTACCCATGTCAATGAGCCCGAGCAATCCGCATTTGTCAAGGCCGATGAGTCCTGGAAAGTCGGAAAGTGGTGGCGAGGTGCTCAATGCGCGGACGGAGCGTAAGATCATGGACTTGGAAATCAGCAACTCTTCTCTTCTAGCTATCAACCGGACTCTCGAGCGTGAGATGCGAAAGCAGAATGCCGAGCTTCGAAGGTTTCGCCGTCTCAGTCGATCGGGACGTCTTTCAATGGCCCCATCGACCCGCTCATTCTCGGGGGTGGCAATGTCAACTACCAGTGAAATGGATGAAGAAGCCAGTGAAATGGGAATGTCCTCTGACATCTCGGACGTGAGCGACGAAGATTCTGCTGCAGACGAAAACGATATGAGCGCCGATTCTCTTGCAGAGCACGATGCCAAGCACCGCGCCCACGACGAAAAGAAATTCATGCTTGACCTCGCCAAACACCAGGAACTTCTAGTCGACAGCCAGAAAATGAACCACAGTCTGAAACGATGTCTGGGCTGGACCGAAGAACTCATCAAAGAAGGCCAGAGAGCCCTTGAATATAGTGTTCATGTCCAGGATATCGAATTGGGCGGCCGTGTTCTTGCGCCAGAAGAGTTGGGAGAAATTGGCCCAAGTGGACGTGCTCTACTCAGCCCATCCACCGAATTCTCGGTTGCTTTCCCATCTAACGACACCTCCTTTGATACATTCTACGAACCCGACCCTGCTACACTCCCTTTGCCTTCGTCTCCTGGTGGGACGGACTAGCCTACTAATTTCTTGCTCCTTTCCTTTCACTTGTGCCACTTTGCCAAATACCCTTCCTTTGATTCCATTCCATGCGTTGTATCTAGACATACCTTCTTTCGGTTTCAACCATATATACCCTGGCCGGCTTCCCTTCTTTGTGTTTGACTTGACTTTTTCTGGAGATGAGCGATAGAATTGGGGCATCTCGTTATACATGGCCACCACGCTTTTTGATTTTGTGATAAATACCCGATGTGCAATTCGTCATGTACTAAATATTGTGATATACGCCCTTTATGCTTTCAGCCACGGTAGGCATACCACGATCGTCAATGCATTCATTTGAAGCTCATTCCACGGTTCAATTTCATCAAATCGTCAACGCACTCAACACCTATGGATTACGGGAATGGATTCTGTCCCATGCGTTGCGCCCGCAGCTCTTCTCGCATGCCAATCACTTCCTTCTGTCCTTTTCCCTCAAAATACCTCGGACCGAGATCAGCAGTGCGGTACCCCTGAGGATAATATTTATCGCCATCATCTCCCGGCAATGGGTGTCCTAAAGCCCACTTGAACCACGCCACTGGACCCCATCGGTTCCAAATGGTAGGCTGCACGTAAAATGGTGCCCCTTCGTAGAAAAGCACAAAATTTCGGCCGTGCTTATTCGGTTCTTCCGTAAAAACATCCAAGCGAAGGAAACTTGGTCGTGGAAGGGCCACATATCGAAGCGATAGCTTGCGAATCTGGAATGCCGATGCGAAGAGTGCGCTGAAGAATGCTGGCGGTGGTGTCATCCTGTAGATATTTGTCAATAAATCAATACTAAAAGTTGTTATATCCGTCAATACCCTCCGAGCTCCAGCAAGCGGAGAGTATCTTTGGTGAGGAAGGGAGTCCATACATCATGGCATTTCGCAACCGCTCATCCATCAAGAACGAAACAAAGTAAACACCAAGCGGTTTCATAAATCCCGGCAGATTATAGACCAACACATCAATCGTCTTATCCGCAATCTCCCTATTCCGCTCATGAGGCTTCATGTGTCGCACCTCATACTCATGACTCCAAACACTGATCTCCTCAAGCCAGTGAATGCCATCCTGGAAGCCAGACTTTCCAGATGGAAGCTTTTCATAACTGATATCCAACGCATCACCAAGACTCTTCCAGTACGTCCCCACGGCTGCGCGTTCCATTTCGCTCATTTCCCGCCACTCATATAGTGATGCGAATCGAATCGGTTCTGTCGCGAACAGACTGAGCGTGTATAACATGTCATCGTCCAGGATTTTGCCGCTGGCTCTGTATCCCTTATGTAGAAACTTTGTTCTGGCAATCGATGTTTGCGCCCGTTCAGAGTGCGGGTCGAAGGCCATGAATTCGCCGATTAGGGCGCCTGTGTCGGCGTATCGCTTGAACGAGGTTGCCGAGTCCGAGAACTGGGAGGTTTTTAGAAGGAGGCTTGATATGCTCGGAATTCCGTAGGTCTATTGCTTTGTTAGTTCGGTTACATGTTGGTTGGTGAGATGGGTTTAATTGTGGTTTCCTACACGAAAGAGGGCGAATTGCAGTGATTTGAGGACGATGAATGGAAACTCCATCTGCAGGATTGTCTTTTGGATTGCCCATGCATCGTGATGCGTCATTCTGGACATTGACTCGCGGGTCTTGTAAGGGTATTTGTTTTGGAGGGCCGAACGACGTTGGAATCGTAGTGATGAGGCTAGGAATAAATAGGCGATTACACCCAGTGCACCATAGAGTAATCGTTCCTTAGTGGAGAGCTCAAATAGTTTGCTGAGCGTAGGGCTCCGCATGATTTGTGACATGCCAGAAGCCATTCTCGCGGTGGTTCGGAGGTTTTAGATTATGAAACACTCGCTCTTGATTCGAGAAACGGATAGTTCTGTGGTAGTAACACTGGCATTTTATATGAATATTTACTTGATCTTTGATTTATGACTTGGTGAATACCGGTGCCGCCTTCCTGGACCATCCTAACTATCATCGGCACAATAACCAGTCGTGAAACCGTAAATAGTCATCTAAAATGATGTGCGGACCGAGGAGGCTGTCTCTGGAGGCGGGGTAGCGAGGGCAAATTGCACCAAAGTGCCAGGATAATAACTGTCTGGTTGCTGATCATCAACCTAAAAAGGGTGTTCCTCTCGTTTTTGGGTATATTCCATTCAACAGCGCCTTTCGGAAGTGCCACGTTGTAAGAATAAAAGGTGGCGTGAGCGTTCCCAGCAATGTACAGCCGAGGTCTAGCCAGCCTATTTGGGCGTAGCATCTACAAAAGCCTAAATTGTACACGGATGACGACAGAAAATCCCTGGAATCTGGAACTTATGCCCGCACAAGGCTGACACTATTCGGTGAATCGGTCGGAATTCTTCAATCCCGGCATCGTACGACTGAAGTTACGGATCGAAGCTCGGGAGAAGAATGCGGGCAGGCGGGGAGATCTGCAATTATCAATTGAATGAAGTCGATGATCGGCGCCGACAAGTTGCGATTATTTGCGTGTGCTCTCGTTGGTCCGGTGATCCACTTCACATGTGATTTCTTTTGCACTCGCTATGTTCATTGGGATTTATGCTCTGCTTGTGATTCTAAGGTGGTGATGCAATATCTAGATGCGACAACAGTCTATAGGTACTAGGTATAGGAAAAGAAATGATGGTTTATTCCAATTTTAAGGTAGCTCCACGTTCATGTCCGTCGACAGGTAGTATTTACATCAAGCTAGCGCTTTCCAAATTGAAGACCCTGGCGGCAATCTTCAATAAATCTGTCAAAGGCTTTAGGTTCACTGACGCGTAGGCGGAGGAGGACTTCGAACCATTCTGACTCCAAAAGCCGTTTCTCCTCCTCATTTTGTCCGGATACCCATCGATCGCGAGTGTTTGAAATTATATTTAGCGTTGCACACAGAGTTGCGTTTTCTCGCCCGGGCGTTGAACATGAAGGGCATGAACTACTACTCACTTTTATATCATATTCACAACAAAGAAGTCAAACAAACCTACCTGAGTCATAAAATAGCTTTCATTCTACGCCTGTCTACCTGTCTATTGATAAATGATGACTGCTTGAAGTTGCAATGGGTGATCAATTAATGAAAGAAAAATGTTTCATTTGGGTCAAGAATAGGGTCACCTATTCCCAATTGTCCGAGACTCTCTCGGATATCAAATTTTCACGCGCCTGGATTCTTTCTTTCTTCCATATTTCAGACAACTTCCCGTGAGCCCAGAGCATGGCCGCGGTGAGACAGTTCTTGATAATGGAAGGTCTGAAGGTGGGCTAAATATTTCGGTTTTCAAAACTGGACCCATAATCAAGGATCGAATCATTTATTTTGCAGTCTTATGTACAAAATCAGAGTTCAAACAAACGCAAACCAGCATTAGCTGGCCACTATGTAGCCACTGTAGTCTGCTTGATATCTGCCGATAGGCCCTTGATGTAGGGGATACCTGTGAGCTTGAACGCACGTTCGCTCAGAACTGGATCATTAACCGGGCGGTCTCGGTTATGAGGATCGTCCTTGCCATCACGCTGAGCCACATTTGAGCCAGTGTGCTTGGCATTTGGCCAGTGTGTCGTGCCAACACGACGGTCAAAGGCATCTTTCTTCCGCAGAAGGTCATCCTGTGTAGCGTCCGCCACCGGCATGAAACATGTGTAGATGGCAAAGCGAGGCTGGCTGTTTTTGGGACTGAGATTATAATGAGGAGTACGTGAGTCCCACAGAAGAAGATCGCCTGGCTCGGCGGAGATCTTCTCCCATGTGCATCCGCGATCCTCAAGCCACTTCATGCCGCGCTCGGTGAAGCCGTACCATTCAGGGGTCCAGGCAGGAATTCGCTCTTCGTCAGCCATGTCGCGGTGGAATTCCTCGGAGAGAAGGTGACCACCACGACAAACGATGAGACCTCCATCATCAGGCCCATTCGGGAGAAGGTTGACAAGACCTTGCATGCAACGGAAACCGTGGTTCTCGGGGTTCTGGTCTTGGTGAGGCCAAGGCTTGTTGGGGGCAATATCGGTGCGGCTTTTATAACACTCTGTGTCAGTTAATTGGCTCTCATAAAGAGAGATACTTGGGATGTCATACTTAGGGAATTGGAAATTGATCGCGTCAAAGGAGACAATCAGGTCTTCATCGTCGTAAATTTTCTCAAAAGCACTAACCACACCAGGCTCACTGCGAATTCCCCACACAAAGTCTTCGTGGGGAAGGCCGTAGTGAAGGCACATTCCCTTCTCGTTAATGAGCGGAAGCTTGTCCTTGTGCACAGTGGAGAGGTCATTGCGGTCGAAGCCCAGATTGCTGTCTTATTATTAGTATCCGAGATTATGAACCGCCGATATATCCAGGACTTACAAGTTCTCCAACCATGAGTACATCTCCTCAGAGTACTTCACGGCCTTCTCGCGTGGAATGGCACCCTTGACGATAGCAAAGCCATCGCGAGTAAGATCGTCACGGAAGTCACCGTAGTGTTGATCCGTGCCATCGACGCGCATGCGACCATTGCCATGCAAGTTGGGATTGGCCGAGGCCGCCTGAGTGATAGTAGCGGTTGAAGACATCTTAGGAGCAAATTACTTTCGATTTTGCTTCGTCTTGCAACTTTCTTCCAATGTATCTTAGATGGTAGCCATGGAATAGACCAAAACGCAAAAGCTTCTTCGCGTCATTTATAAGCAACACTTGCTTCGAAAACACAAAACAGCTGACCACAAAGACGATGGCCCACCGGAGTTTGCCACGGCAAATCACTCTATCGCTGATGCTGGCCTCGATTCGTCTTCGGTTGTTGGAGGATTTCTGTGCCCCGGTGTTCGGTAAGTGGGGGAGTGGGGGTGGAGAACGGGGATTTTGGACAGCATCATGTGGACAAGGTCTATGCTGTCTAAAAAGGAATCAAATGCGTAGGTTGGGCTTCAATTGAGCGAGTTGTATTTCAAAGGTCATCAACATGCCGTTTCGTATTGTTATTGTCGGTGGCGGTATCGCTGGTTTCACTGCGGCGATTGCTCTGCGCGGACCGGACAGAATCATCACAGTTCTGGAGCAGTCAAGATTGAACAAAGAGATTGGAGCACTGATTTCTCTCCAGCCCAATGCGTCACGAATTGCTGAGAGTGTTTGGGGGTTGAAAAGCGAGTTGCATGGCGATGCCCGAGCGATCGTAGATGAGGGATTTCGTATTTACAACACCGACGGCCGGTTGGTGAATACGGTGCCCTTGTTATCGAAAAGGGAGTATGGAGGCGATCGACTTTGTTTTCACAGGCGAGATCTTCACGATACTCTGAAAAAAGCAGCAACGTCTCCCGATCGCGAAGGAGACCCGGTAGTCGTTCGTACTGCTTCCAAAGTAGTTGACTGCGATACGTTGAAAGGAACAGTCACTCTAGAAAGTGGTGAAGTTGTTACCGGTGACTTGATTGTTGGAGCAGATGGAATGTATGTCAATTCACAAAGATGCGGCAGAAAGTCCTGTATTAAAAACAGATGCAGACATAGCGCAATGCGAAAGTATGTCCTTGATACTGAGCCGTCGGCTCTACCAACAGGTCATTCCGGTACGTTGAGAGGACATGAGCTTGAAGATCACCTTGCTGACTGACCAATAGCATATCGTCTTATGGTGTGACATTCATCTTTTTTTTTGATTTGATTCCATGGACTAACTTCTCCAAGATCCCCAGCGAGGTCCTGGAAAAAGAAGCGCCTGAGTTTTGCTCCAAGATCAACCCTCGCGATCCTTTCACCTCCATGATGGTTGCCCAGAACTGTCGTCTTGTCATGGGTCCAGGTAGGCAGGGAGAGGTCTATGGAATTGTGGCTTTGGTCCCAGATGGTGAGCACAGATTTCAATCAGCAAAGGGCCCGGATTGAGTACTGATCTCTGCAGAACAAATGAATGAGGATCCAAATGCAAAGCAATCTTGGGTTGCCGAGGGCGACTTGTCAAAGATGCTTGCGACATTTTCTGAGTACCCGTCGTGGGTAACAAGCATTTTCAAGTATATGCAATCGAATATTCTTTAAACTCCATGGTATTAAGTGCTAATCCGAAACAGGCATTCTCAAGATCTTGGACTGTGGCAGCTTCGTGACTTGGTAAGTCCCCCGAGCAATTCCCATCGCCGGCTATTGTATTTCGTTAACTTCCTTTAGGATCCTCTCGATAAATGGCATAATGGCCGTTTGATTCTTATTGGTGATGCTGCCCATGCAATGTTGCCCACTCAGGGGCAGGGCGCCAGTCAGGCGATTGAGGACGCAGAGGCACTGGGCTCGTTCTTTGAAAACATTACCAATTCCCCATCCTCTGAAAGTATTTCTAAGATCTTCGAAGTATGAATCCTCTATCTACCAAACTTGGTAGGCCGCTTACACTTCCTAGGAAATTGTCCAGGCACGTTATTCACGAGTCAGTCTCATTCAAGCATACAGTCGACAGGCGGCCAAGCCTGCTACTGCCACTGACGACACCAAGAAAGTGACCATGTATGTGTCTGGAAGTCCCGATTTCCATTGGTACAACTCTAACCCCTCTCTAGGAAGCCTGATGAGTTTATGGATTATAATTGTATGTACCGCGGGGCGAAGCTGTGGAAGCAGCAGCAGGAGGTATCTACCGCCGCATAAGATAGAGATAGCTAGCCCATTAGAAGTGCCGTGAATCTCATCCTTGTGGATTTACCCCAAAATTAAACTTCTGTGCATTATTCTAGCCTGAATTTAATACCCTCGGAAATGCAGCGAATGCAGTGGATCTATCGCTTGGAATCAACCCCGCAAATCAAGTCAACCTTAGGAAGCCGACCCACCGTGGGATAACTTCGGCTTGTACTCCGTAAATGCGCTCCGCTGAGTGGCTCGTCGCAACGTGGCCCGCAAAAACCTTGCCTCCCGATAGCCATAAATCCAACGCTTTCCCCAGCTTTCCCCAGCTTTCTGAACTTGCCAGGTGGACAATCTGTGCAATCGCGTCATGGCGGACAGCCCTGAGACACCTCGTCGTTCATCTCGCAACGTTGCGCATCATCGGTGTCCTCATTGCGACAAGGCGTATGAACGGCCTGACCATCTTGCGCGACACTTGGATTCTCGTGAGTACTCAACTCGGTATTCGTGAGGTACTAGCTGCTGAAGTGGGTCGAGATCGCAACGAGCGTGTATATCAGTGTCCGACATGCCAGCGGGGTTTCAACCGACGGTAGGGATTTCGTTACTGTTTAATTAATGATTTGAATGCGAGGGCTAATGGCGACTAGAGATGTTTTGCAGCGACATCAGGCGGTCCACGAGCGAGACCTTACTGAAGGCAAAACATCGCAACGGCGGGCGAAGGAGCGAGCTATTCATGCTTGCGAGGCTTGTGCAAACGCAAAGTTGAGTTGCGATAATGAGAGACCTTGCAAGGTATGACTTCGAACTTGAAATTATTTTGCAACATCTCGGTATATCTCACAACTAACCTCTCCCAGCGGTGTCAGACAAAACAGATCGAATGCGTGGCGCGCGCACCCAGAGGCGCGCGTCGACACAGCGAGCGCATTTCCTACCCAATTTCCACTAGCATGTCTTATTCTCCACAGACCAGCGGACAAGGTCAAATGGATCCATCTACTCTCCCACAGTTCACCGCAACACCGGATTCCGGCCCTTCAGATTTCAGCGTGCCACCCGCATCTGTCTCCTACTCCGGTAGTGGTGATATTTATGATACGAGCATGACATCGCAGACAGATCTAGCACTCGATACATTTATCCCGCAGCACGAAATGCATTCATATTCTGGTCTCAACAATTTTCCAGCGTTCTTTGAACAGGTCATGTTACCCAGTATTGGGGCGGAGGACTCTTTCCAAGAGACCCAACAGCCGAGGGCGTTTGACTTCATGCAGGATACCGACTTCACACTGGCGGAATATGATATATTCGGTACCGACTTCATCCCCGATTTGGACCGCATTTTGGATACCACGGTTCCTTTTGTTGGTTTTGAGGACTCGCAGCAGTCTCTGCTCGATGATCAGGACTCGGCGCGTCTACGTGCAGCCGCGTTTCAACGGTCACTCTGGTGCGTCTACTTCTTGCTTTCCTAGCCCACCAAATACGATGAATGGAGCCTTAATATTCCCTCTAGGTTATGGGTCCCAGAAAAGAACCAGCACGCGTTCAGTGAAGAAACGAGAATACCCCTCCGAGACAGCGACAGCATTCCTTCCAAGCACCAAGATCGTTTGGAAACTCTCAAGATCCCGGGGAATCTATCTCTTTTGGCACGCGATGACATTTTCAAGTTGGTCATTCGCATCGGTGGATCGCGAGTATCTGTGGCGGCGTTTCCCTCGGCGGAATATCTCGATACCCTGATCAAAGTTGGCATTGGAAAGCGTACCGAGACAGATGCATGGATTCATCCTTATACGTTCTATGATTCACAATACCAACAATTACGGCCGGAGCTTCTGACAGCGCTAGTCGCTGCGGGTTGTGTTTGCTGTGGGCTGCCCTCGATCAGCAAGACGGGAATTATTCTCCAGGAAATTAGCAGAGTTGGTCTAGCTGAGCTTGTGAGCCCCCCCAATATTCCCTCACCGGACATTGGAACTAATGACTCCCATAGGTCGAAGACGATAATAGTGTCCTGCGAGATCTACAATACCTTCAGGCTTCGATGTTATGGATCGATATTGGGATATTCTGTGGCTATACTCGCAAAATGCAAATTGCGGAGAGTTACCTCCAGCCACTTTGCACCGTGGGCTTTTCTCTGCCCAAATGATATTTGCGCTCGTTTTTGCTGACCTATCTAGGCCCTTCGACGAGCGTGTACATTCGATCACTCGACTTATTCCACCATCACACCATTCTCTCTCGGCGACGACGATGTAGCACTACAACGCGCCTGGCATAGTTGGGTGCGACAGGAATCTCTCAAACGGTGAGCCTCACATCAGCATAGGGCTTAAATTTGATCCTCCTTTACTGACCGACCTCTTCAACAACCAGCCTCGTCTATCACCTCTTCGGCCACGATGTAGAGGTAGCAACAGCAATGAACCGACCGGCCCTCATATCCTACGCCGAACTCACTCTCCCATTCCCCGCCGCACGAGAATTATGGCTCGCCCCGACTGCGTTCGCCTGGAGGGAAATATGGACCAGTCGATACAGAATAATGACGATTTCGGAACTAAATCTGCGCGAACTACTCTCAGACCCGTCCCTCATCGGTCAAATTCCACCCGAACTCGATGCCGACGTTGCCAGAACGGCTCTTCTACATGGTTTTGCTATTCAAACCTGGGAATTCCGTCAGCAGATGCTACTCTCGCAAGGCTCTCAATCCGGCTCGAAGGCAACAACGCGTCTCTGGCTACAAAGCCGGCAGGAAGACTTGTCCGTCCTTTCTCACTACTATCCACTACCCGTCATCGCCGGCTAACTATTCCTCCTCTCTCTAGATATACAACCCTTCACACAATCCAAAACGACACTCCGAACCCACCAGCTGTAACAACCATCCTCAACGAATTTGTCATGATGTACCTCCATATCGACGTCGACGGCATCCAACGATTCGTCGGCAAGCTAGGCGAAACCGATGCCCGACGCGCCTACCCAGCTCTACGAGACTGGAGCCAGACAAAAGAAGCCCGCACCGCAATATGGCACGCGGGTCAAGTTCTCCGTGCCGCGCGCAATGTTACCGCGTACCAGTTTCGTGGATTCGACTCGCTTTCGATATATCACGCTGCACTGGTCTTGTGGGTGTATGGGGTGTTGCAATGTGGCGAGAGTCGGCGGTTGGAAATTGGGACGCCGGTTAGCGAGGGAGGTCAGCAGGTTGCGCCAGCAATTGCGTTGGATGGGGATGGGGACGGGAATGGGGAGGAGAGTCAGTTGATCAAGGGGTTTTTGGCGAGAGGGGTTGGTAGACCTGGGCTCACGATGTTTCATCCACGAGGTGCGAATGATGCTGATGTTAAGGTCTTTTGCGAGTTGAATAAACCGCGATCGGTAATGGCGGTTGCAAGGCAGGTGTTTGAGGGTAATTGTCCGCTGCCTCTTCCTGATGACATCCTCCCACCGATGATTCAGAACCTTTGCGCGCTTATTGAGGATTTGGGGAATCTCCCTTGATTGTGTGAGGTGGTTCGTGAACTTGATAGAGGGATGTGCGCGATTTTGTGAAGTAAACCTAGATGATACCCAAGGAGACTACGATTACGACAATGAGAAGCATTTTATCATGGATAAGAGTATATTGTTCCCAAATATTACTATTGATGAGTTCAAATTCAATTGTAACCTGCAGGGGTGTTATGTACAGGTGGGTGCTACACCCTCTCTGAAAGGCATCTCGCACCAACCAAATATTAGAGAAATAAAGATTAAGAAAAGTAAAGGAGTATATCTAGTTACGTAGCCCCTGATTAGTCTAGAGGAATTGGTCTGGACAACATTCGGGGGGGGGAAGAGTCACCACGCTTTTAAGAGACGCAGTGTTGTGCGTACCTCGGCTTCCTTTTTGCTTTTTTTTTTCAGATCGAAGGGTCCAGACCAGGGCATCATCCTTCTTTTTTTTCCCTCCTTTCTCTTTTTTTTTCATTTGTTGTTAACCTCCCCTTCCCCTCAATCGCACCCTCCACCTCCACTCGGCATTACATCGGCAAGTGGACGGAGATCTCCACTCACTCCACTCTTCCTCCGCATGGGGTCAACTGACAGGATAGGGAAAATCCTTCGTCTTGACTATGGAAACATCTACTATCGCTGACCTTGGGATGCCTTTATTCGTCCGTACACTTCGGCAATGATGATGGCTGTCCATCGCTCCGAGTCCCGCCCCGTCACAACTCAACTCAACTCCATACCCCCCGCACAGGCGCGTGGCTGGCACCCTCCTAGGAGCGAGAAGTATTATTAGCGCTGTTCGTCGCATCACTCTGGCTCTTCTTCTTTTTTTTTCTTTGGAGCCGCTGCGAGAAACAACTCATCAGGTCCACCTACGCATTTATATTTGGGTGGTTAGCCTTCCTGGATTTACCCATGGCGCACATCGACCAGAAAGTCAACATTGAATTTGTCGAGGATGTCGAGGCCTCGACTAAAGATGTAAAGGAGATTGGAGTCAAAGATGGTGGCCTTCTTGTCGATGCGTCTGGGGATATTCTGCGGTTGCCCGTTCCTAGTGCTGATCCCAATGATCCGTTGAATTTCACCAAGTGGGAGAAGATGGGTGTGATTGTCAGCTGCTGTTGGTTTTGTGAGTTCTCTTTTCTTTCTGTACGCATCCTGAATTTCTCTGGTTCCTATACTAACTGTTCTTTCTAGCTATCATGTCTCTCTCCGTTGTTGGTGGTCTGGGAGCTATCTTGGGTGTTTTCTTCGAGATGTACATACCTCAAGGTCACACATCGACGGAGGTAGTTTGGCTAGGAACCTTTCCGTCACTATTTGTCGGTGTGGGTGAGTGGTATACTACATGGAGTTCCGTTGTCAATTACTGATTGCCCTAGGTAATTACTTGATCCTCCCACTTGGCCTTGTCTACGGTCGTCGACCGGCTGCCATTATCTCTATCGTCGTGCTTCTAGTTGCTACGGTGGGATGCGCTGTGTCCCAAACATTTGAACAACATCTTGGACTTCGTATCCTTCAAGGATTGGCAACCGGCGCGACTGAATCAGTTTGTTCACCATCCCCTGCGACTGTGCAATATTGCATTAACTAACAGTCCACCTTAGCTGCTTCCATTGATGCTCTCCGAGGTTACCTTCGTCCACCAACGCGGTCTCATCTACGGCGTCTATTGGGCAACCCAGAACGTGGTGACCAGCGCTCTGAATTTAGCCAGCTCCTACGAAGCAGCTGCGCTAGGATGGCGCTGGTTCTACTGGGTCTATGTGATCGCCGTGGGTGTTGGTCTGTTCATAGTCATCTTCACCTGCTTCGAAACAAAGTATGAGCGTCGTGCACAGATGTTCAATGGTCACGTCGTTGTGACGGATCATTTCGGTCATACTCAAGTACTTTCCGGCGAGCAGGCGCAGGCTTATATGCAGGCGCAGGCTTATATGCAGGCGCAGCAAGATGGTGATGAGGGGATCCCCGACGAAACGAGGGCGAAGAAGACATATCGCGAGATGCTGAAACCTTGCGGCAAGCCGTCGGATCATCCTATCCGTCTGGTTCTGACATCTTGGTTTCATATGTTCGAGGCTTTCAGCTCACCTGGGATTTTGTATGCCACGCTTTTGTCTTCGGTTGTGCTCGGGTCTTCGATTGGAATGTCCCTCACCTACGACGCAGTTCTCCAGGCCTACGGCTGGCCTGCTCAGAATGTCGGTCTGATAAACCTGGGGGGAATATTTGGTGGATTTGGCGGGATGTTATACGCTGGTGTCTTCGGTGACTGGTTTATCTTGCGCATGGCGAAGAAATCTGGCGGTGTTCACACCCCGGAACATCGATTGATTCTGCTCATTTTCCCAGGTATTCTTACCGTGGTTTCACTCCTACTTTATGGTTTTACAACAGAGGGGTCGACATGGGCTGGGCCATATATGGGATGGACGCTGCTTCAGGTAGCGTTTGTCTCGGTGCTCATTCTCTCGACATCCTTCGCAGCAGAGGCCTGGGAGAAGAATCCCGGTCCAGCACTTGTTGCTGTGGTCGGAACGAAGAACATCATCTCTTTTGGGATCAGCTATGGGCTGAATCCAATGATAGAGAAGTATAGTTATCCTGCTGCGATGGGCATTCTAGCTGGTGTCTGTGCGGGTGTTTTCCTACTGGGTATCCCGGTGTACTTTTTCAATCCTGCGGTAAGTCTTGATGGATGATAAATATATTCTTCTGTTTGCTTTGCAGATAATTGAAGAACATTGCTGACACGAATACTTTAGTGGCGCCGTTATATGGAACGCCGGGAGTCGAAATAGTCACAGTGGTTGCCATCGAGTGTGAAACTTGGAATTGGCGCTTGAATATGTCTAAGAAACGTGGAACAATGTCTTTCCTGTTTGGATCACAGTTCTCATTACTATACTAGTACTAAAATGAGCATAAGATACTTCATTGTTCTACAAGTCCCAAAGTTCCAAAGTTGAATATATCAATGTTAGCCTGAGTGCCTAGACAACCTTGGAAGTACTCCACTACTAGTACTAGGCAGTCAATATTAACCAGTAGCTAAGTAGTAGTTAGTAGTTCAAGCTTATATCCAGTACCTACTAGGTAGTAATAGTAGTACTATTAGTATTACTAGTATTAATCTTCCAATGCTTACAAGGTCAACCTTGTCTGGTCCCGAGGTCACTCATCTTCCAAGGTTGGATATATATATAGAAGTAGTATGCTAGCGCTGGAGTACTACTACTAACAACTTGTTACTAGTAACAACTTTCAAGGTTGAACTTCCAAGGTTTACCTCTGAGTGCTCACAATTGCCAGTGCCAGTGGTGGATGCACCTTCCCCCCCAAGGAAAGTAGTCGCGTGACCGAACCAGGGCCAACTTCAACTTCAACCTCAACCTCAACTTCATTTCTCCCCACCATGACGTGGTATCGCCCTACCAGGAGATAAATGCCCCGGATCGTCGGTCGCACGGGGCTCCTTTCCAATCATACTTTGTTATCTTCATTCAGCGTTGCAATGTGCACAACATGCGGAGAACAGAGCCTACACCCATCCGATTTGGGAAATACATCGGTCGATCCCCCCCCCCTCTCCCCCTGGCCTATATATCCAAACATGAGCCCAATGCAATCGCCCAAGGCAGTCGAGCCCACTGATTTGTTTCAAAACTTGAATTCACCAGAATGGCCACCTTTCCTGCAATCGCCCTGCTCGCTCTGGCGGGTGGTAACGGTGTCGCTGCCATGCCAAGTTCACCAAGTTCAAGCTTAATCTCGGCCGCCCCCGGACCCACCGGAACCTCTTATCCCTCCGGTTTCGAGATCAAAAAGAGTTGGGGCCATTTGAGCCCTTACGATGATGCTCATCACTTCGGCGTCGACAAGGGGTTCCCCGTGGAATGCGAGCTCTCTCAGGTCCATGTCCTTCACCGCCACGCCCAACGATATCCCACCAGCTGGCCCACTGACGGTGGTGGCATGGATGATTTTGCCTACAAAGTCGGCAATTACTCCAAGAAGAATCCCGAGAAGAAGGTCGGCGCCGGTCCGCTGTCCTTCCTCAACGAGTGGGAGTATATCCTCGGCGAGAACCTTCTCCTCCCCAGTGGCGCCGCCACTGAAGCCACCGCCGGCGCTCTGTTTTGGAGTGAATATGGCCGCTTGTTGTATCATGCAGGCAAAGGAGATGCGATCTACGACCCCTCCATGAACACCTTTCCCAATGGTACACAGCGTCCCAAGCCCATCTTCCGAACCACTTCATACCCGCGGATTTTGGAAAGCGCTCGCTGGTGGCTGAGTATGTACCCCGTTGCTCATCATAAGCAGATTGGAAAACTGACCAAACTTAGGTGGGTTCTTCGGCAACACCGGCGCAAACAGCAGCTATGCCTCGTACGACCTGGTCAGCATCCCCGAGGAGGACAACTTTAACAACACCCTGTCGTCCACTTCCACCTGCACCAATGGATCTTCATCTGGGTGAGTTTTTCCTTTCCTATCCCCCGAAATCCGAACCATCCGAGACTGACAAGTTCACAGAGACTACTCAGCAGAGAAGTTCGTTCCAGCATTCACCAAAAATGCCTTGAAACGGTTGCAGGAGCACTTTCCCAGCGACTTCAATCTCACTGCCAACGATGTCTATGCCATGCTGAACATGTGTCCCTATGAGTACGCCACCCTGGGCCGCTCCTCATTCTGCGCCATTTTTACTCAGCAGGAGTGGATGGACTTTGAATATTCTCTCGACATGAGCTTCTATGGCAATTTTGGCTTTGGTGCTCCGAGTGGTCGAGCCCAAGGTATCGGATACGTGCAGGAGCTGGCCGCCCGCTTGCAATCTCGCTTGATCTATAGCAGCAACAGCAGCATCAACTACACCTACGATGATAACACCAAGGAATTTCCCCTGCACCAGCCCTTGTATATGGACATGTCGCACGACGACATCATCATTTCGACCCTCACGGCTCTTGGCATGGACTATTTTAAGTACGGGCCTCACGGCATGCCCGATTCCGTGCCGCATGCCGTCCCCCGCAACTTCGTCCTCCAACAGGTCGTTCCCTTTGGCGCGCGTTTGTTCTCGGAGATCTGGACATGTCCAAAAGATGCCAAGTTCAACAACCTGCAGGAAATGAAGTACAGGAACCCCGATCTCTCTGCGCATGCCGATACCACTGACTACATTCGTTTCGTGCTGAATAATGCCCCCGTCTCCACCAAAGGAATGAAGGCCTGTGAGGGCTCTGTGAACGGATTCTGCCCTCTCAAAGCTTTCGTTGACTCTGTTCCCGAATTGACTAAGGAGGCGATGTACCAGGAAGCATGCTTTGGCAACTACAACATAACTGAACAGGTTGCCAATGGCCAGCCAAAGTCGGTCTAAGTATATAAAGCGGATAGAGTATGCCGGTAGAGTGTATGGTTCAGTTCATTTCGGGATCATCGCACAAATAACACCACTTTGAACTGAGGCTGTGCAATGTACCATACGTTCATAGTATGACAATGTAGCTCCACATTTCAGAGGCCGTAGTTACAAGATCACCAAGTAGAGTTAGCATTGGTGGCGATGTCGGCAATGGGAAACTTGGTGTTCCAAGGAATAATGAACTTCGATTTCCCGCCAAGAATGGCAAGTATGTCGGCTGACACCAAGTCAGACACCAGCTACAAGATGAGAATCAAATTGATGCCTTTGGAAATTATTGATTGCTGCCAGTCCGGCTTCGCATCCCCCAATCATTCGATGTCTCGGCAGCGTGTAAAGCTTCACAAAATGCGGGAGGTGGAGAATCCCGCAGCACATTCTCGCAACTTTTGTAGCACAATCGAAATTCGACCAATTGGTGTTGAGATCGGACCGTCCATCGTTGGGACACCGATCCACTTCAGCTGTACCCCTGATTGGAGAGAACTTGCCAATGGTGCCTTGCTCGCCAAGTAAGAATGTTTGAATACTGTTTTCAGATTGCTCCTTCTCACTTCTCGGAATGACGAATACCTTATGATGACACGTTGTGATGAATGTATAATTACCAAAATCAAATTCCCTCTGAAAACTGGAAAATCGTACCCTTAGTGGCAATATTTCCATCTTGTACAATATTACTCGTATCCAGCAAACCGACCGCACCAATATACAAAATCTTAATATATTCGACATGCCATCGGATTATATCACAACCTGAATTCACGATATTTTCACGTTTCATGACCATCCTATCTCGACCTAAAATTACCGGAAGAGATAATACATGCTCAGCGCATTCGCGCCACCACAGACCTCCGAACTGTCTCCGGGACAAGCAGTACCACAGGCAGAAGTAATAGTAGCACCGTTATCAATGCTGTTACCACAGAAGCACTGAGTTCCATACTCCACACCAGCGTAGAGATAGCCATTTGACTGACATTCGGCCTGGCATTTCTCAACGGTATTACCAGCGATATTGTAGGATTTTGCAAGAGTTCGCTTGAGGGTTGTATCAGTGTAGCATCCGACGCTTTGCCAAATAGGCACAACAACGTACAAGCTAATCGCGTTGGACCCGCCACAGATCTCACTAGCTGATTGGGCACAAGGGACATTGCAGTGGGAGGAATCAATCGAACTAGCACTGTTCATGATGGCGTTACCGCAGAAGCACTGGGTACCGTATTCCAGCCCCGCGTAGAGGAATCCTGCGTCTTCGCAGGCGGACTGGCATGCCTCAACGGTGTGACCCGGCACCAGGACACTGGTATTGAGTGCACGATTGCTTGTGGAGTCTGAGTAACAGCCTAAGCTCTTCCAGCTTAGAGTGGTCGAGACTCCACAATTTCCGTAGTTTGACTGACAACCGCTGCCGCAGTGGTCGGTGTCGCTGCCACACCAGCCGAACTGAGAGCAGCAGCTCCCGAAGCTGTTGCCAGCGCAGCTAGCGGTGCCGTTATAAGCTCCGCAGACGCCATTGGTAGAGATCGAAGACCTCTCGCTGAGAGACTATTGTTCATGGATTGGATCAGCCACTTGATGTATCTGCCGGGAGGGGCAATGGACTTACGCTAAGACTAGTGGGGGTTGCAGAAGCCAGGGTAAGACCAGCGAGGAGCAAAGCGGCAATTGACATTTTGATGGAAAGGTCGAGTTTCAAGTTCCGGCTTAGTTTAGTTAAGATTGAGGGCTATGATGAAAGAGAAGGAAAAGCCAAGTCTTCCTGGGATTTATGATGCATTATATACCCATAAATGCGAAAGAAAAGGCATTCCCGTATTATCAGCTCAGCCATAAAGCACTGGAGAACGATTTGAGGTGGAAAATGCCGAGAGAGTTTCCAGCTTTGAGCCTTGTGTTCCCTCTTGCAACCAACGTAGGGAGCGAAAGCTCACAAAAGCTTGATGGAAACACTCAATTTTGTCGAGAGTTTCTACCAACAAAGCCAGAACTAGGTGTCCAGGAGGAAAAATCAAGTCAGAGGCTGGAGCCTACTGATGGTTCGTTCAGCCACATGGTGAACGTGGGAAGAAGGACGTATGATGGTGCCGTATTGGGAGTCATTTGCAGCCATTGTCAAGCCACGACATCAATTATGATGGCAGTGGACTGAAAACATGTCAGTGATTCCTGAAACTGAGCTGATTTGTCTTTTCCATTCGGCGAGGCCGGTATCAGTCACGGGAAGCGCCGTGGGCTCGTCTGGAATTTCCGTTTCTTATGTAGCGTGTTTCCATCACCAAATTGGGGCGAGATAACCATACGAAACTTGAAAACATCTATGGATAGAGCTCTCGCAGGAGGCCAAAAAAGCGAGGAGTTTGCAGGCGGTTGGTTTGCCGGAAGCAACCAGGGACAAGCTACTGCGTCGTAGAATGCTTTCTCATCTTGGTGATAATTGCGCCGGTAATCATGAGTGGTAAGCGATCTAGATTCAATGCATCGTGTAAGGTCAGATAAGGTGATCGGACTCGATCGGGCTCGACCTCATACTCGACTTCTGAGAAAATTAAAGAAAATGGGCGGGATCGTCGGCCTGATCTACCAGCGGGGAGTCAAGACGAAGAGGGCCCACTTAGTTAACGGCTACGAGGATGTTCCCTCCTCCTTCCCCTCCCGCGAGTAGCTTAGCGGCCTGAGCCCCTGTCACCGTGGCTAACTCGTAATCGCTAGTATTTTTCGGCAATGGTTCTTGCACTAGCAGTTCTCCCCGTCACTTCGCTTCGAATATTGCGGCCAGACCGCGCCCGAGTCCCTTATCACTGCTCAGACTGTTCGGCCGGCGGCTCCCATGTTCGATGGCAAAAAAGGCATTAGCATGGTTCAGGCATCGCCGATCGCCAAATCCAGAACCTGATATTACGAGGAGTCTTCGCGAACACAGGCAGGCATGGAAAGTGGTCTGTTCCATATAACATTCGGACCATAACACCCCTGGGGTCTCTGAAGTTTCCTACATCAAGTCCGATTTTTTGTTTATTGTCTTCCCCACTGGACTGAACTATACTTTGAAACCCCACAATGGAGACTACAGAGACTACCACTGAGCACATCCGTGCCTTGCACAACCCGTTTTCCACACCACCACAATTCGCGACTCCAATTGGGTCCATTCGGTCGCGAAGACCTGACTCTGCTGACAATGGCCACCCCGGTAGGTCTCTTCAAATTTAATACTTTCCTTTAGTTTCACTGACCAAAAAATTAGTACCCCCGGCTCGTCCTCGCAGGCGCTTCCGAAGTTCGCGACTGACCGGTGAATTCGAAAAGCCTTGGCTGGAGGATGGAAAAAGAAAACCAAATTGGGACAGCATTATTTTCTACACCTGCTGTACTATTGCCCTCTGTAAGTAATTTGCAGCCTTCGGCACGTTGGAACAAAATTGACCTTCCATGCAAAGGTGTTTCGGGCTATATTTGTTGGTCTGAGTATGAGAAGGTTCCCAGACATGATGTACGTGCTAATCAGTCTATTCAAACCTTAAATATTTCATCTGACCAAGAGCTTGCAGTGGTGCATGATTTTAGATGAAGACTTTAAAACTTTGGACACCGCCGTCTGGAACCACGAGGTCCAGCTTAATGGCTTCGGGTGAGTACCCACGGATTCGAGGTGTAAAATATGAAATTTGCTAACTCTTTCCGACTTTAGAACGGGTTCCTTTGACTGGACCACCACCGACTCGGAGAATTCCTACGTCGACGCCGAAGGCCTTCACATCGTCCCAACCCTGACCCTCGAAAGCACCCATTATACTGAGGCGGAACTTCTCAATAACACTGTTTTGAACTTGACTGCCGACGGTACTTGCACATACTCCGAGCAGCGTGTGTCTACCCTTGCGGACTGGAGTGCATGCGAGGTTAGAAGCAATGATACCTCCGGACAGATCCTCAACCCGGTTCGTTCTGCTCGTCTCACGACCAAAGGAAAGAAGAGCATAAAATATGGAAGAGTTGAGGTTGTTGCAAAACTAGCAAAGGGAGACTGGCTGTGGCCGGCTATTTGGTGAGGCCGACCATACCTTCCGAAGAGACGATTAGCTGACTGAAGGTAGGATGATGCCAGAGGGTTCTGTCTACGGCGAGTGGCCGAAAAAGTGGTGAAATTGACATCATTGAAGCACGGGGCAATGATGCGGAGACGTATTCCCTTGGCAACAATATTGTTACTTCAACCCTTCACTGGGGCACCACTTACCTCAACGATGCTTACCTCAAAAGTACTTCTGACTGGGGTGCGCAGCGAACCAAGTACAGTGAAGGCTATCACACCTACGGGCTGGAATGGACTGAGGACTATATGTTTACCTGGCTCGACGGTAGATTGAGGGTATGGCTCTTTATTGAATCACCTCCGCAAAACAGACGCTAACTCGACTTCTGACTCTAGCAAATCCTCTACTTTGATTTCACCAAAAACGAGAATATGTGGACCTATGGTGACTTTGCCGGCAGTACTGTGAACAAGACTGTCCCCAGTGACCCATGGAGCCAGACTGGTCGCAAGAATACTCCATTTGATCAAGAGTTTTATCTCATTCTCAATGTGGCTGTTGGTGGGACTAACAACTATTTCCCGTGAGCTTCCCATGACGGCTATTTTGGATCTTTCTAATGAGTTTGGATATTATAGGGATCAAATGGATGGCAAACCCTGGGTTGATGCGAGCAAAAGTGCTATGAAAGAATTCTACCTCGCCCAGAGCTCCTGGCTACCTTCATGGGGGACCCCCGAAGAGCGCGGGATGATCGTGAAATCAGTGAAGATGTGGGAGCTTGGAGCTTGTGCATGAGTTGAAGCCTCTTTGTTTGGGTTTTCTTTTTTGTTTATTGAACTTAATAGCAATGATGTCTTTACGTATAGATCTTAATTGGTACAATGATATTTTGAATGGCCAGTGATATAGCGAATCGCGATATAGCTTTCTAATTTTTGATCCCATACATTAACTACTTTCAATTATTCATTTTTCATCTGGCATTGAAGCTAACCAGCTTCTTGAAAAGCTTGACCGAGAAATTTAAAACTAGATCTACACGCCTTAGAGCTCCAAGTTGTTTCACAGGCTGTGTGCCAGTTCCAAATCAAGTAAGCGGGCCATGGTATGAGCTCTAGAACTAGGCTCCTTCTCTCATAATTTAAAACCATTCGCTCTGATGAGAAATGCGAGAATATCCACATTGCATCGCTTCATGAACTTTCCATTTCTTACACTCCAATCGGCTTAACTAACACCTCCAAGTAGAATCACCATAGATGGTATTGGCTGGCTGTATTGAACACCAAGTACCAGGTGCTCGGGCGCGAAACTAGCCTACGCCTCATAGATAGAGAGTCAATCCAGCTACGGCAATCCAGCCACTCGGTTATTCCGTACTATTCCTGTCAAAATGACTGCTAGTTTGAGGGCTGCTTTCGGATAAGAATTAGGTTCGAGATGCGATTGGTGTTGGCTCGTTGATGCCATGTGTGTCAAGCTCAATTATCTTTTATTTTTCACTGAGACACTTGTGATGACTTTGGGCGCGTACTCGTACCGGGCAATATCTTCCGAAGGGACGTCACCAAAAGAGCGTCCGTACTATGAGCGGGTGAATTTATTGGATAGGCATGAATGATATTTCTCAGCTAATTTCAAACCAACTTTTATCTCAATACTGATCTGGCTATACTGTCTGCAAAGTTAAGATTTACAAATGCCGAAACTGCCAAGCTGGCCGAAGCCATCTGTCAAATCTGTCAAACTTTTAGGTTATTAATCGCCGATTCGGGATAAATTACCCTGCTTTTCCCCGCCAATCAAGCTTTTCTGTGGGTTGAACCGTTCGACATACGCGAAGGTGCTCAGGCCGCCCAAACTGTTCCTGAAAAGCCATAGTGGCACAGATCATCGCCAGATATTACCCTTCCGTACCACAACGCAGCTATTTCTCTTTGTTTGCCAACAAAGCCGCTAAAACAGTGCCACCGAGATTTGACCGCCTCGAAACGTAACACTCCGGCGCGCCCGAATTTCACTGATAACTCAAGCTGGATTATGCGAAGAGTGCAGTAGCTCTATGCTTCCCATGGATCCGCCCAAATCCAGACGTGGCCTTCTTAGGCTTACCCCATGCTCGCACTAGACTTGCCTTGCTTCAGTTTCGCGAACTGGGTTCCACCGTTTGATTGCGTGAGGCAAGCTCTAGATCGGCTTTCAGAGCCACATTTCAATAGTTCCAGTCGATTCAGCTAGCTATCTACCATACTACAAAGCACCATGCGCCGGCGTAGCCGTGCTGGCTTGCCCCCGTCACGACCGCGAGGTCTAGACTAGTAACTGTTTTCTCCGCTTATCAGTTCCCTTCGCATCATTTACCTTGAAATCGCGATCTTCTTTTGTTTAAGTATCTTTGATCTTTCCGAGTGTCAGTGGCAGGGAGAAGACATTTTATAGACAGGCCTACTAATCTTGCGGGGACATCCGCTCTTTCTTTCTGCCACAAGTTGTTTTGAAATGATGGGGGATACGCAAGGTAATAGTTCCCTCGCCAAAGAACCAACTATACCTGGAGATTTGTCAGTCGCTTCAACTGAAAATGTCACCCAAAATGAAGCCTCTTATGCTGGCGATTTCCAATCAAGGCCATCTTCAGCGCGTCTTGATACGGCGGAGATCGCTCGAGTACTTACCCCGGGCTCTATAAACCCCGCGATGTCTCATCGCACACGACGAGACCCAGCTTCTGTCGTGCATTCTCTAGCCGCACCATCAATCTCGGAAACGGGGAAGGAGAAGATCCGAGCTCGGTTTGTTCCACCCTTTTTCCAATTGTTTTGCGAGGAATCAACTGACGTATTTTCAGAAGGCGAGATATCTCGCTCGACGAGCAACTCTCCTGGGATGGTTTGATCAAGCTAAAAGCGACGATGACGTCCAGAATTGGTCTTCAACTTGCGTCGCCGTTCGCATTTTCGATGACGAGTATTCCTTTTTCCCGTACAATGTCAATCCCGCACTGAGTGATGCAATCGTACGATTAGGCGAGACATCTGCGGTTGCCATGTCCTCTACTTTCACATCGGCGCTGATTGATTCTGTCGCACCGGGTCAGAAGAGTCTCATTATGGAGAGCACCAGTGCTCGCATCCCTATTGTCTACTGCCTGGACGATGTCAATCCTGATCTTGTTCATTTTGCACGAGCTTGCATTGTAGTTCAAGAGAGAATAATTCTAGTCTGGTCTCATGATTCCGGGGCAATCCTCAATGTGGCCTTTGACGTTGAGAGACAGCTCGGTAAGACGGTAAGTGCCAGCTCCGAGCATTCAATATCCCTGTATCTCACTAACATAATTTTCCTCTCCCAATAGGGACCTCGTATCTCGAATGTAACCAGCCCCCGAGTCTCTGGACGTTCTTCTCCCTTCGATCTTGACGCCGATGCGCTGGCTTCAACTCCCTCCAACAGCATAATTGCCCCGGTTCGGGGAGCCCTTGATGAAAAGCATGAGGTCTACAGCAAGGCTGTCGCACTGGAAAATGGCGAAGGGGAGGATGATCCGGTTGTCGATCTGGAAGGGAACATGGCTCCGAGACCAACTCATCGAATCCATGCGTTCAAGATCAGCTTTGCTATCATGCTGGTTATTCTGACACAGTCGCTTGGAGTGGCTCGCGTGAGTTCAAATATCCCACGAATTGGCTTTTCGCACTGACACAGGCTGATTCTTTCTTTCGCAGTTGCTCAATGAGTGGGCATGGGACGGAGACTTTACTCGATTTGCATTGGTAAGTTTGCTTGCTTCTTTTGCCGTCTGCTAGATCATCATGCTGATGCGCGATAGGTTTCTACCATTCCTCCGCTCTCGCTATTCTCTCTGGTAAGTACCCTTCTGTTGTATCCTTTGCTATATCAATTACTCAGAATGTCTAGTTCTTTTTCATTGTTCTCGTTACAAGCGCCTTCCAACTTTTACTACCAGCCACTTTCTGCTTAAAGAACTCCAAGTTCCATTCTGGTTAGTATCCCCCCCGCTGAAATTCTGTTCTAGCGCTTATTCTCCTGCAGCGATCAAACCAAATCTCAAGTTCCACCGTGATTATGAGCTGCCCCATATCACCATCCAAATGCCCGTGTACAAGGAGGGCCTCAAAGGGTATGTGAAATTATTGCGACTTGATCTCACACGGGAAACTGATCTTGAATAGTGTCATTGTCCCTACCATGATGAGTGTTCTCGCTGCGGTCCAATTCTACGAAGAGCAAGGAGGTACTGCATCGGTTTTCATCAATGATGACGGCATGCAGTGTATTCAACCCGAGCTCGCCGAAGCCCGCAGGCAATACTACAGAGAAAATGGAATCGGCTATACAGCCCGTCTCCCGAATAAGAAAGAATCTCCAAAGAAAGCTTCGAGATTTAAATGGTTTCGTAAGGGCAAGCCAGTCGAAGACATTACGGAATCCAAGAAAGAGGAAGACACTACTAGTCCCCAGGCGATCGCTAACAAGGTTGGCTTCGAACGCAAGGGAAAGTTCAAGAAGGCCAGCAACATGAACTACGGTCTCGCTTTCTCTAATAGGGTTGAAGATGAAATGGTTCATCTGGTTGAATTGGAATGCCAGAGCCGTGGATGTATGAATGAAGACTTGACTGTCGACGACGATGATCAGATATACCAGCAGGCTCTCGCCAATATGCTTGCTGAGGATGAAGGCCGCACTTGTGAGCATCCTTCCAAAGCATTCGATCTTTTTATTGCAGACGGTTACTAACACCATGCAGGGGCTGAAGGAAATATTCGTATCGGTGAACACATCCTTATGTATGTCTTCGGTAACTTCCTTTGATTAATAGTGTCCCTGACATTTAATACTTAGCATTGACTGTGACACCCGAGTTCCCATTGACTGTCTCCTCTATGGAGCATTGGAGATGCACGAGAGTCCCGAAGTCGCAATCGTTCAACACGGCTCTGGTGTTATGCAAGTGGTCAACAACATGTTTGAGGACGGCAGTGAGTGCTTCCATCTTCCCTCATTTTCACTGGTCGCTAACTTGTTCATCAAAAAGTCGCCTATTTTACCGATGTTGTATATACGGCTATCAAGTACGGTGTTGGCTGTGGTGATGTATCTCCCTTTGTTGGCCACAACGCCTTCCTCCGGTGGAAGGCTATCCAGAGCATTTCATTTGTGGATCCATCGGATGGCCAAACCAAGTGGTGGTCTGATGCACATGTATCTGAGGACTTCGACATCAGTCTTCGCTTGCAGATGCAGGGCATGACTGTACGTCTGGCTACATACCATAACGGTGGCTTCAAGGAAGGCGTGTCTCTCACCTTGTATGATGAGTTGACGCGTTGGGAGAAGTATGCATACGGTTGCAACGAGCTTGTTTTCCATCCCTTGTGAGTTGTCTTGGATTCTTCAGAATATCCGCCCGCTAACGTTTGGACTAGCTATAAATGGCCATACAAAGGACCTGTCACACGACTCTTCCTTCGTTTCTTGTGGAGCAACATGCCTGTCACTAGCAAAATAACTATCATTGCTTATATTTTCACCTGTCAGTTCTTTCTATCCTTCAATATTATTTCGGGTTCTAAATTTAATCAATAGACTACGCAATCGCATCGGGTATGCTTTTGGCTACAGTGAACTACGTCATTGTCGGTCTTTTCAACTCTTCGATTGATCACATCTACCTTCAATCTTGGGGAATCTGGATTTCCCTAGTCGTCGTGTTCAACGGTGTTGCTTCGGTCGCATTCAGCATGGCCCGCCATCAGCTGAAAGAGATGGTTTTCTGGAAAGCCCTTCTCAAGTCAATGATGTGGCTCCCGTTTCTGATCATATTCTTCGGTGGAATCAGTCTCAACTGCGCCAAGGCTATTCTTTGTCATGCGTTCAGCATCAACATCGAATGGTCGTCAACTGCCAAAGAGCCCGGTCCATCTGGCTTCTTCATTGGTCTTGACAAGATGGTCAAGAAATTCAAGTATACTTGGGCCATTTGCGCCTTCCTTGCTGGCGGTTCGTATCAATTATCTCATGGGGAGAGGATGTATCGCTGACCGGTTTATTTAGTAATGATCTTTATGGCCCTCGGTACTCCCTGGGGTTGGAAAATTAAGCCTGGGGAATATTCGACTGCCAGCATCGCGATCGGCCCGCTCGCTATCCAGGTTGTAAATGCTGCTATTCTCCCGTTGATTCTGGGCTTGAACTAAGCAGGCACTCGAATCATTTTTCTGCGTTATGAACAATAATGACGAATCGCTCAAATTCATCTCAACTTCTTTGGGTTCAGTTGATAGATATTGAAGATTGATACGCACGGCTGGTATCCGAACGAGCTATAGGAGCCATCGCTGGGATTACAGAATTGTCTGTTGTTACCAGTTTGGGAATAATCATTCGGGGCTGCTGAGGTTTCAACTCTTGATGGAAACTCTTTTCTTTCTTTTCCCTTTTCATCCAGTACTGGTAAAATACAGAACCTCGTATCAAGCCTATTCAGTTGCTGCTCAACTCGATTCTTCTGGATCGGCCTGCCAGATACCCCAGTAAACCATTTGGGAGATGTCCCTATATCTCATCCAACAGTGGAAGTCATAATATTCTAGTTAGCAGTCAACCTCAAAACTCGACCTATATTGAATTTCCGGGAGTCCACCAATGCGCCATACATTGTCGCATGAATATCTGTCCTGAACTCCTATGCCAGTCGCGTTCGGTTTATCTAAACCCAAATATGACCCAAAATATGTTAGACTGAAATCTATTCAGTCATTACTGATCAAGAATTCTAATTGAAGATACTATCCAAAATCATGAATATTGATTCAATTAAGACTCAAAAATACAAATATTGCCGTACTAACTCGACAATAATAATCACTACTAATATCGATCCCATTCCATCAACCCTCATGAGATGAATATGTGAACGAGTGTTCCCACACATCTCAGATTCGACGGAAACCCCAGTACCAGTAGAATTGCCCCTCTGGCTAAGTTGAAGTAGCCACTCACCAGTGCATATTGATGTCACCATCTTTCCAGATCACAGGCTGATGTTAGAATTTGAGTCACCTATTGCGAGTAAAGGCTATCAGTGCAATTTTGCGATAGGAAATCGTGAACAACCCTATCTAGGACTAAAACTAAATATGGCGGGTGGTAGCATCTAGTTTCGAAGTTGAAATTGGGCTGAAGCTAGAAATTCCCGTAAACTATAAAGTCCGTACGATTTCCAGTCTAAAACAATCTCTACTTTCCATTCCCATTGACATGCCGGGATACATCACGGGATACATCACTAGTAACAGGTCCACACAAGCCATTCCAGCCTCTAGTGCGGGTAATCACAAATCCTGTCGAGAGTACATTCTGCTCACCCGTCCCAACGACAGTGACTGTGTACTCTCCTGCTTCACTCAACCAGGCAGACGATCTCTCATCCCAGAAACTGGTAGCTAGAGCGATTGGGATAACAATCATGACTTTTTTCTTCTCGCCTTGTTGGAGTTTGACCTTTTTAAACCCCTTGAGTTCTTTCACAGGGCGGGAAATGCTGGCGTATTTAGGTGGTGAAATGTATACTTGGACAACCTCTGCACCATTGCGAGGTCCAATATTCTCCACTGCGACGGAAACTTCCAACACTTCTTCCTTGATGTTGTCGCGAGCCTCCAACGGCTGCGAAGTAGCTAGCCCAGAGAGACGGAATACTGTGTATGAGAGACCATAACCGAAGGAGAAGAGAGGTTTCACTTTGACCTTTTCGTAGTAGCGATAACCAACGTATATGTCCTCGCTATACAACACTCTTCCTCCTTCTGATCGATATGACAGATATGCTGGGTTTTCCTCGATGAACTCTGGGAAACTGAGAGGAAGTTTGCCAGACTTGAAGGTATGTTAGCCAGTGCTTAATATCGCATTCGAGGTTGCTCAATACTAACTGGATTCACATTTCCGAAAATGACATCCGCAATGCCATGACCCGTTTCGTTCCCACCATACCACGCATGAAGAAGGGCCTTTGCGTCCCGAGCCCAAGGCATTGTTACCGGGGTTCCGCTCTGCACAACAACCGCAGCGTTTGGTTGGACATCGAGAACTCTTTGGACCAGGTGATCCGACATCGGCGGAAGATCCATGTGTGGACGATCGAATCCTTCGCTTTCCCATTCTCCACTCAGTCCAACACATACAACGACTTGGTCAAATGTAGCTGCAAGATCAACAGCCTCTTGAATGGCGCGTTCTGTATCGATGCGCTTACATCCTCCCACTCGCAGTCCACCGGGTCCAAAGGAAACGACTCCGTGCAACTTGAGATTTGAAGTCGGTGCAGTGCCGTAATCGACCATTATATTGTACCGTTTATTTGCTTCGAGGTACTTTGAGCCACGTTCTTCTGGAGTCCCGATGCCAAAGAATGACGTTCCCTGTCGCTGATTGGTCTTGTTGTCGACTACCTTGTCGCCATCGATGAAGAGCTCCCCGGTACCCGCTACCGTAAGTCCAAAGTCATATATCCCACTTTCCATGGGCTCGAAGACTCCTTCTATCGTAATATAGTAAAGGTCGGAGTGTACTTCTGGATGCTTGTAATCCATCAAAAATGCGGAGCTGCTCTTCATGTGCAGGATATCCACTGCCTTTCTGTTTTTGTTCGAAGATGGCTCCGTAAACACCTTAAATGTATACCCAGGTCGACCATCTTCGGTTTTCAGTTGTTCACCTAGAAGTGGTAGCTCTTTATGGCCATAAAATCCCTGCGAGAAGGCCACACCCCCGGTGCAGCAGTTGCTGATTCCTTCTAGGGGTGTAATGGCATAATACCCTGGCAGAGCGGCAGAGCCTCCACCGCAGTATGCCGCGATGTTGGCATTCGGACCAATCACGAGAGTTCTTTTGGTCGAATCCAAGGGAAGAATCTGATCATCGTTCTTGAGAAGAACAATTGACTCGGCAGCTGCTCTGCGGAGCAATGCCCTATCTTCGGGCAGATTCCGCTGAGCTTCAGCTGCATTTTCAGGGATTCCCGAGCTTGCTGTTCGCTTCACTAGCTCTAAAACACTTTGGACCCGATCATTGATAGTCCTCTCTGAGACTTTGTTAGATGTGACGGCATGTACCAAGCCTGGCCCTCGAAATCGAGATGGGCCAGGCATTTCAAGATCCAGCCCGGCATTGACAGCCTCTGACACACTATAAGTGCCGAACCTGTTCTAGTAAGCAATGAAACTTGAGAGCTCGAGGAACAGTAGAGACAAACCAATCGCTCATAATGAGGCCCTTATAATTCCATTCCTTCCGAACAACTTCTTGGAGTAGAGCAGGGCTCTCGCTGGCGTGGCATCCGTTAACCTTGTTGTAAGATGCCATAAGGGCCTGAGGATTTGCGCCCGCAACGACGAGCTGAAAAGGAAGTAGATAAATCTCGCGTAGAGCACGCTCAGTGACAAGCGCATTGACAGCAACACGCTCATGCTCCTGATCGTTGCATACAAGATGCTTTGGTGTCGGAATGACATTCTCAGTCTGTACACCCAAGCAATAGCTGGTAGCCAAGGATCCTGAAAGTACAGGATCTTCTGAGAACGATTCGAACCCGCGACCTCCCAACGGGCTTCGCTGGATATTAATCGTCGGTCCTAGGAGGACATGGGCCCCCTTTGCCTTGCACTCTAAACCAAGAAGTTTCCCCAGGGAGAATATGAGCTCTGTGTCGAAAGAAGCGCCTAGTGCTGTGGCACAGGGTAAACAGGCTGAAGGAACCCCGTTGAAAAAGCGGGTGCCTCGAACACCATTTGGTCCGTCTGACATGCGAATTGAAGGGACACCGAGTCTCGGAATTGCTGATGTATGCCAGCCATCAATTCCTGTTCTTCTGGTAAGCTGGGAAAGCATTTATCAGTTTTGGGGACAAACCTGAAAGTAATGAGACTTTTTCGTTTAGAGATAGCTCCGAGAGCACATGTTCGATGTCAATTGCCGACATGGTGAATGGAAGAACAGTGTCTAAGCCAGAATAAGAATAATAAAAAATGACCGAGATCCCAGTCGGAAAATCGCATTCTTATGGCCGACGAGTATCTAGGTTTCTTCAATAATCCGAGCTTCGGAAACCTGCGCCTGGGGGAGCATCGCGGAGTATCGGACTTGCGCCATCAGAGTGGAGCCAGCAGTGCGGGCCACGCTACATTCACCGGAGAACTTCTAGCTGATAAGACTAGTTCAAACACGATTCCCTTTCGTGTCTTTATAATTAGCCCGAAGGGATAAATTACTGCTCTACTCATTTGACTAACCGGCTGGAAAAAGAAATAAAATACACCCAATGAAATGGACCTAGTTTGTCCTCGCCTGCATTAACACCTGTAGAATATTGAACAAGCCCATTATATCATTCGACTCATTCTTCCAGAATTCCAACATCCGAGTAACATCTACTACCGCTCCCTCCCAGCCGATAGGCAGAAAGCAGACAAGATTCACACTACGCTCAGCAGCGAGCAACACCGTCGCACTCCTTGCACACGATCGAAGCATCAGCCATGTTCCGTGGTGGCGATGGTAAAATCCCGTTCGATTCTGCTGTATCCTATCTACACAAACCTTGAGTGCTTTGTGAAGGAAACTATTGCTGGTTCTGTCGCCTCGGCCATGCATTGCTTCGACCAAAAAGTGCCAGTACATTGTCTCTTGGCAGTCAAGGAAATGACCACTGAGAATAAATCGGAAGGGATCATATTGGTCTGTGTATAGGTTATCCGCATCTGGGGCCAGTGCCTCTGGGAGAGATCGCAGCCTAGCCTTGGTTAATTAATGTCTTCCTCAATTCAGAACCCTACTTACCAACCGTCTGCTTGCTCCTCAAAGTCGAGGATCACAGATTCCAGGTTAGATTTTGCGATAACATCGTGGGGTTGGTAAAGATAGCTCAGAATCCGGTTCTCCAATCTTCGCAAAGCAATTTCCGCGAGATAGAAATACCATGCCGCTTCATCTCTAGACTTGAGTTCTTCTGGAGGCGATGGAAAGAAGGTAGGGTATTTCAGACCGAGAAAATTCTTTTGGTAAAGGTTCAATTCCAGTCGTAGCTCACTATCAAGAAAATGTTAGACATACCCTCGTGACTCAGATATTGGCTTACCTACAGCTCAGACTTTAGGCAGGTCCAATATACTCTCTGCTTTGTCTCCCACGCATCTTCATGACAGTCGTTCGTGCGGAGGATGGAGAAGCCCTCGCAGCATGCAAGTGCTTGCACAAACATCCTCCATGCCTCTACCGACCGCAACGTAGTCATTAAATATACACCAGCTAGGAAGAAGCATTGTACCTCTATTACGCCGCCTCTGCAGAGCAACATGCCCATTCGTTTCTGGGCGGCAAGAAAATACGCTTCGCCCTGGAGAAATTCCTTTGACTGGCGAAACAGAGTGGAATCTACGCCTTGCCCATTCCTTACAAATGACGTTGCAATTGAGCCGTTGGCATAGATGAGAAGCTGGTATCATGTGAGTCCGGCATATGAACATAGGTTAGAGTCACTCACCAACAAACAAGACATCGCATCCCACCCGATGCCATTTAATTGTACAGATCTAACATATTCGTTGATGTCTTCCTCTTTTAGCGTGGGATTGAAGATATGCACATTATCGAAAAAGCTCCGCACAAGATGGTCGGCCACACGGAGGTCAAGGTCAACGGAAGTCTGCAGGTTCGGTTGTATGGTGTTCTCATCAGATGGAGATAGTAGATAGAGGCGCGGGTCAAATCCATGGTTATCAAATACAGGCCATTTCAGTACCTCCTCAATGTTGATAAAACATGGCTCCACTTGTGTCTGCTGCTCCAGCCCAGATGCCCAAATGTCATGGGGACTGCTAGACGATGACGAAGAGCAAAGAACATTAGGCAGAGCCACTGGATCGTTTGCCTTGGTCTGGATCAGTGCTTCCAAGTCGTCAATCCGTTTCAGAATAGCCAGACTCGCGGAATCAAATCTGTTGCTTGATTAGTTTCAACTTTCTTTCCAAACATTAGACGAGACGATCGATTGATCATCCGGAACCTACGTCGATAAACACATTTGTTGGTAAGAACATTCCGCCCCGAGCCGAACACATGATGCACACGATGGCCGGGTATTATCGCACTTCGTCCGCTTAAGACGACAAGTCTGACATGCTTGGGTAGCTCGCTTCCGGGGGTAGCTCGCGGCTGCACGGGCATGTCTTCGTTTCTGGACATCCGGCTTGTCGGTAGGTGGGGTAGGGGACTCCATATTGGAGCTTGAGACCTATCAGTGTATCTTGGATTGGTAGGTCAATCCCAGCAAAATACAAGCTTGTTTTGATCGATGGTATTTTCCATGCAGGCCTGAAAGTGAAATAAGTATCCAGCGGAGTGTCGGAGAAGAAGAGAGGGTGCATTGATTGTTCTCGTATTTGCGCTTTGGTCACGTAGGGTGCACGCGAACTTTTCACCTCTACCCTAAACCGGTTAGACCTGGCCCTCTATATTAGCATGAGAAATTTTGGTGGTATTTGCCATGTCGGCTGAGTGGCATCTTCCCCAGACGGGAGGAAAAATCGCCGGGGATGCCATTGCGGGGGAAAGGGTGCACATCCGGCACTAAACCCGAACTGGCCAATAAGCCGACTACTTTGAACTAGTTCATAACAAACGAGTGGTGTTAATAAGCCACACTGTGCTAGCCGAAGCGGAATTGCGGATCTTAACGACACTGCCGCACCCAATGGCTTCCGGTGGACAGACATAATGAAAGAATGAAAGCAGAAGGCGGTTTCAACCACAGAGTTGAGTTCAGCCATCAACTTCAATCGGTATGTTCATTGCGGAATCACGGATTGATGTGATAGAAATAAACTAATATAATAGACACAGCACACCCGAAATCACCGTTATTATATGGCAGACAGGGTTATTTTCCTCCTTCTCGCATTTAATTAACAGAACAGCGATCAAGATGGCTGATCAGGCTGATAAACCGACGACCGAGATCCATGATATCCATGCCAACAACCCCACCGAATGGAGCCTGGAAAGCGTTCTCCCACGTACCGGCAAACCATGGTACAAGAGCCGTCATCTTTTGCTCCTCAATCTTGGAATGATTGTTCCCTATCTATCCTCGACGACCAACGGCTATGACGGATCCATGCTCAACGGTCTGCAGTCAATGAGCCAGTGGCAGGATTTTTTCGGTCATCCAACCGGTACCCGGCTAGGATCACTTTCGAATGGAGTGATCTTCGGTCAGATCGCCGCCTTCCCTATCGCTCCTTGGCTCTGCGACCATACGGGCCGACGCTTCCCAATCTTCCTCGGATCGGCCCTCCTTGTCATTGGAGCCATTCTTCAATGCGCTGCCCAGAACTACGCTATGTTTTTGGTCTCCCGTATGATAATCGGATTTGGTGGTTTGATTGCCGTCGAAGCCTCACCGATGTTAGTCAGTGAATTGGCGTATCCGACACATCGATCCGTTCTGGTCGGCTATTACAACAACCTGTGGTATCTCGGGGCTTTGCTTGCCGCGTGGATTACATACGGAACCTACTTCATGGGCCCAAACATGACATGGGCGTGGCGTATCCCATCTCTTTTGCAGGGATTCTTTCCCCTCTTACAGGTTATTTTCGTCTATATGCTTCCCGAGTCGCCCCGATATCTTGTGCAGAAAGACCGCTATGACGAAGCTCGAAAGGTCTTGACCAAGTACCACGCTGGCGGAGACGAGGACTCTCGGCTAGTTGACTTCGAGATGAAAGAAATTATCTTATCAATCCAGACCGCCAAAGCAGCTTCTCAAACTGGCTATCGCGAGTTCTTAAGCACACGCGGCAACTTGCATCGCCTTTTCATCATCATCGCAGTCCCATGCATGATGCAGCTCTCCGGCAACGGTCTGATCGCCTACTATCTCCATCTCATTCTCAACTCCATTGGTTTCTCCTCTGATCCGCAGCAACTCCGTATCAACGGTGGCCTGACAGTGTTCAACCTGGGTGTCTCAATTATCCTAGCCTCGTTTATGGAGATAGTCGGTCGACGACGACTCTTTCTTTTCTCCACAGTGGGTATGCTGGCCTGCTATATGATCTGGACCATTCTGTCTGCAATCAATGAGCAGCGCCATTTCGAAGATACTAGTCTCGGCACGGGCGTGATAGTGATGATTTTCATGTATCAGCTCTTCTACAACGCCGGTCTCAATGGTCCACCCTGGGTTTATGTTACGGAAGTACTTCCTACTCATCTCCGTGCCAAAGGAACGAATATCATGCAGATCGCGGCCACGTGTGCTATCCTCTTCAATGGATATGCCAACCCCATTGCAATGGATGCGATCAGCTGGAAATACTATATTGTTTACTGCTGTGTCATTGCTGTTGAAATTGCGCTGGTCTATTTCGGGTTCCCTGAAACTAAGGGTCGCAGTTTGGAAGAGGTTGCTTTGATCTTCGATGGGGACAAGGCCTTCGGTGACGTCCATGAGAAACAAAGCCCGGATGAAGTTTGAGCTATCAGCAGTAGAATGGGGGTATGATGGCAAACCTGGGGTCTACTGGTAAGTACTTGGTGAAGGAATTGTCTAAACGCGGGTATATGTGTCGGGGGTTTACATACCAGTACTAGCATTTAGGTACTAGCTTCCTGGGTATGATTCAATTGGAATAACAAGATTCACTATGCTTGTATCCTTCAAGTTGTCATTTCCATTTAAGATATTGGCAGGTACCTAGTAGTAGTATATCCTGCTCCTCCATACCACCCCTCGTACTACCCTCTCTTCCAGGGCTTGTTTCTGTTTTCCTTCCTGTTTTCTTTCTACTTTCCCTTCTCCTTTCATTCAAGCTTTCTATCGTATCTGCCCCATCAAAGACTGCAGTGTCCTATTTTCGAGAAGGATTATTTCCTCGTAGAAGTTCTGCTTTCGACCCTCGGATAATTTAATCTACCTAGTAAAGAATTCCGAGACACAATACCACATTTAGCAGAAAACACATTGCAAAGGTGTAGGTAGGCTGGCCGAAACCCCGTCACACGGATACCACAACCTTGGAATCAAAAATTCAGTAGCGCCGTAGTCAAAAGGACCAATGGATAGTGTCAAGAAGTACTACTAGTACATCTTCAACTTGGCATTGCTACTACGCTGGCAAGATCACTGTCTGCTAAAGACTTTATTCCAAGGTTTGATTCATGTATAGTAAGTCGACGGAGGAGTTGGGGGATAAAAGGGAAACAAGAGAAAAAGAAAGTTAATGGGAATGCTCGCTGGCAGTCTGCTGTGGCAGACGGGTCGATTGTAAGAGGACAAAACCACTACACTCGCAGAGTGTACTAGAGTAGTAGAAAAAGCGTGACGCTATCGATATGCGACTAATAAGACATTCGAGTCTTCATGGACATGCGATATACCGATACCGCAACCTCAGCCTCAGCAGCCTTAGCAAAAAGAAGAGTTCATTAGGGGGAACATGCATATTGTTATTGATGCTATGGAACGAACGCTACTTATTCTTCCGAAACTAAATGGCTGCCTTGTTACTAAGGCCCCAATCACCTGGCTCCGACGTTGAGAGCGGAATCCCCCCATTGCACTAGTTATTAGTAGCTACTAGTAAAGTCTAATTCTTGTCACTAGTCATAGGTCGGGGTCCCCAAGATATGTCCCGTTTAGGTACCGACCTTAGTGGGGAACCACAGGGTACTGCAAATTTTGACAGTCCCCATTGCATTCCTGGTAAAGTCCAATAAATCCGTATCCACCACAGTTCTGACCAGAGTCGCCGCTGCAGGGATATAGACAATTCCCCATTGGGGTGGTCTTCGGCTCATTGGCAGGGTCAAGGATATTGCCACAATAGCACTCTAGGGAGTTCTCCAGGCCTGCAATTTTGTATCCATCTGCCTTACAATTCTGGATACACTTTTCAGGGGTCATGTCAGGCCCCCGTGAACTAGAGCCTGTAAGAATGCGGATGCCGCCTGCGTTGTCGACCGTGCAACCGATCCATTCCCAGCCAAGCTTAGTCGTGACATCGGTATAGTAGTGCCGTGGTGATCCAATCTGCGTAGGGGCACCACAGTTCGTAAAAATAGTCGCATCATTGGGACCGGGCTGAATGGGATTGCAGCCTGGGAGGGCATCTAGCCATCCTCCGACTTCTTCGTCAATTGACTGTTCCAAAAGACAGCTATCTGTGATGGTGTCGGGGTAGAGGTGGATTGGCGAACATTGGGTTATATCACCGCCACCATCATTGCAGGTGTCGATCGCTTCTTGGAGAACATCAACATTCCACCCGTTGACAAAGTCACCATGTAAGCCGTACCCTGTGGGATCGCCAAAAGAAAACACGAATGGCTGGCTGTCACCATACCACATTTCTGCAAAGGCCTCGGTGTGCCAGGTAATTTCGTAAAATATGGACACGATCCGAACGGGATGAGATGCGGGGCATGGGCCGTTGTCATAGGTCTGAGTCGGATATGCCATGTGTGACTTATGATCAGGGCTGTCCAGATTGACTCCATCCCAACAGGAAGGAAAGTAGATCTGTGCACGGATGCCATTCGGGCAATTTGTCTTTGGAAAACCATTTGTCTGGGGTGTGGCAGGGCCATCGTAATTGAGACAGGCGAAGCTACGCGCATCGGCAGCGATTGTGTCCTTGTATTGGCGATCAAATGGACTACCGGCAATCATCCGGAAGCCAGGCGGGGGAGCCACTATCGTACCATTGGTAGTTGGATCTGGACGTTGCCTAGGTCTTTTAGCATATCTTTATTATGTGACAACATATTCTTACTCGTAGTAAATCAATGCTCCGCCGTTCTGTGGGACTTGAATGAAACTACCATTTTGGGCGTGATAGTAGAGTGCCGCAACCCAATAGTTGGATTTGTCCTCAATCGGAGAGCAGGAGTTGCATTGTGAAGTTTGTGTCATGTCATAGTCCATGGTAAATCCAAAACCGGACCCTCCCATGATGGTGTGGACATGATTGGAGGCTACTCCTGGCGAGATGAGCGGGTCCGCTCTCTCGATAACCAGCGGCGTACTGCATGGCACCTTGAAGAAGGCAAATGCAGGCTTGAGGTATAAGTAAAGACAGATGGTATGGTACACAAAAAAGCGCATCGTGAAGTACCTCGACGTTCAAAGCCTGTTCTCCACAGCAGGGAATATTGATTCTTCCCCCCCTGACTGGGGCAGCTGTGACTATTTTATCATCATGGTATTTGGACGCAAGCTGTTACTGCAACCTCATCATCTGCAATATCTTCTTTGCTATTATTAATATTATTATTTGAGTCCAACGCGAATTTGTTTACAGAAGTTGAAAACCACAACCTTTTTTGTTATCTCCGCAATTCCGCGGTGTACGCAATAATGCACTTGTATTATATGGTTACATCTTATCTCGTTTAGTGCCGGAGTTCATGTCAGAATCGGCCTATTGGCCATGAACCCCGCATATTTGGCCTTAAACTAGTCATTCTTAATTAAACATGCATATTCTGCAGGGTTCCCATGCAGGACATGCCGTAGTTATATGAACGGTACATTGAGGGGATACGAAATTGGCGCCTTATACGAAGAACTTGGCATTGTCAAAATATGAAATAAGTCTATGTTGCGAAGGTCTGTAGAAAGGTTGTAATTTCGGGAGCCGACGTTAAGCTACCTCTGGTGACAGAAGTTAGTGGCAAGCTGGTCTCCCCTTCCTTCTCTCCATCATTTCGCTTGTTCTGTAAGAATTGTGCACAGTTGCTCTATCATCCTCCTCATATAGACCCTTTCCGTGGCGCTTTCTGAAAAATAGAAAGTGACTGATGGAGATTGTGTATCATGCCAAGGCCCATGAGCAAATACGGAAGAAAATACTTTTCGCCAAAGGTATGCCAGAAGGCACAGGGATACTTCGAGCTTTTAGACCTTAGTACCTAACCACTGACAAGACTCTCTGGCTCCACTAAAAAACAGCATTTACGACACGAAGCAGATATCAGATATAGAGCTTCCAAATAAAAGGCAATTGGTATTAATTGAAACCTATACCCTTTCACAGCTTTACCCACCCCAACAGGCTGTTCCACTACTCCACATCAAGGAAAGGTTAGATCGAAACATAAGCGCCACCCAAATTCGAAAGTGAAGTACCATCGGCATTGACGAGAAATTCCGGGAAAGCGCCGAAATACGCATACCTCTCCACATAGGCCTGCGAATCCAACCAAGGAAGGGCTCGTTCCAAAAATTCAATCTGCTGTTCCTCACTACCATAACACTCAAACTCGGTGACCCAGATTGGCAAATTCAAAACATTGTGCGCATTTGTGACATTACCCTCAAACCAAATAGCCCCGTTCTGTCCGTCCGGAGTAACGCAGTCCTGGTAATAATGAATTGCAGCAAAGTCCAAATGACAACCAGTGCAGTTCCCCAGGAAGTACTGAGTCCAAGTCGCGGTATCGTAAGCACCGCCAGATGAGGATCCCACGTTGTTCCACAGCACACTTGGAGATCCGATTCGTACGGTTCCCGCAAATGGCTGCATGTACGTTATATACCCAGAGGCAGCCTTTTCTGGCAGGATATTGGATGAGGCGTCGTAAGTGAGATCGGGTTCGTTGAATCCAAGGATGTTAAGTGTCCCAGGGGTCTGCACAGCTGCGGTCCAGTCTGTATCTGGCCCATTGGGGAGCCCCCAGAGCATCGGTACACTGTTAATTCAGTTAGTATCGAAAGTTCACAACGCTCCAAAGATTGGCTGACAATTCGAATGAGGCATCTAGGTTCCAGGAGGGATATCCCCAGTCATAGCCCCATGAAACCTTGCTGTTTCCTTTGAAAAGGTTTGCGTAGACTGCATTACCGAAGGGATTGTTGTTGTTGTAGGCAATGCCTCGTTTGCCAGTAAGTCCATGCACGCCCTGGAGAAAAGGCACACCTAATAGAATGGAGAGATGAGCCATTGTTGGGCTTTGAATCTAAAATACTAAAGGTTGATGTTTTTTTTCTTTGCTCTTTGAAAGAATGAAGAGCTTGAGGCCAGTAGGAGAAAAGAAATGTTGTCTTAAACTGCAGCACAATATATGCCGTGCAAAATCGTGTTTACCTCCGAATATTCGAATGTAACGTATAACCTGGCACACTGTCGACTGTAAGAACGCACTTGCTGTACTATTCTACTAGTATACTATGAGCCATTTATTCAAGGCTATAAACTTCCTCCTTTCGCCAATCCCCGGAATTATCCTTATTATTCCGCGGGAGAGATGAGCCACCCAAATACTGCAACGGCCGCGGAATTGCGGGGCACCTCAAAGCTCAACTTCAAATATAATTTGTGTCTATACCAATCAATCAATCAACTCGCCAGCGGATTTGCGGACTCACGCACTAGTTGTGGGATCTGTGCACCATGCATTCTTTACAACCCCGTTGCAATAGCGCCGGGAAAAAGGCAATATCCAGAAATCTAAGTAGGGGAACCTCATAACAGCGCTTTTTTTTAGTTCTCGCTAAAATATTTTCGCAAATGGGAACATGCAGCACGTTAGTCCCAAGCCACGCATGGCCCGTTCCGCGGGGTCTGGGGTCAGGGGTCCGGGGTAGACATGTACTAGTGCCTCCGCGACCATGTCAATTCATGCAGCTATAGTTTTTCATATTTCCAAGGAATGTTATATAAAGGGATAGTCATAGCTATAGATCTTGTTCTCAATCTCCATTGTAATAAACTTGCTGAAAAAACATGATTTTGCTGAACATTTTTGCTATTGTATCCTTTGCCCTCTGGGCAACGGCAGCTGTGCTGGATATTCCGTCAGTTGATGCTGCTGTTGCCGCCGCGCTCAAGGAATACGGAAACTATGAAGCCTACACTGGCCCTGAAAAGAAGGCTCCTTCTGAGGCAAACGCCATCAAATTGAAAGAAAATACAGCGACACTTGAAGATTCATCCTATTGGCTAGAATCTATTAGCCACCAGGGTGTTTCTGCCTTCGGTACTTCTGGATATCAAGTTTTTCGCAATGTCAAGGACTTCGGTGCTCAAGGTAATGTATTTATCATCGAAATGTTACATGGTATGATGGCTGACCACAACTCTAGGAGATGGTGTCACCGATGACACGGCGGCCATCAACGCAGCCATCAGCAGTGGCAACCGATGTGGGCAGGATTGCCCGTCCGACACGACAACCCCAGCATTGGTCTATTTACCTCCAGGAACTTACAAGATCTCGTCCCCTATCTTTGACTACTACTATACGCAGATCATTGGAAACCCCAACGACTTGCCCGTGATCAAAGGATCATCGGATTTCCAAGGTGGGTATCTTATCGACGCCGACCCTTACTTCTCCTCGGATCTCAACTGGGGATCCACTGTGGTTTTTTTCCGATCAATTCGAAATATCGTCCTTGACCTTCGCGAAATCCCCTCTGGCAACACTGTGAGTGGCATTCACTGGCCAACAGCCCAGGCAACTAGCCTAGAAAACATGGTCTTCGAGATGAGCTCCGCGTCTGGAACTAAACACCAAGGCCTCTTCATTGAAAGTGGTCTGTATAACCATATTCACCGGAAAAAGTGGATCATAGGAACTGACAATCTCAAGGCTCCGCCGGGTATATGGGTGATCTTGTCTTCAACGGTGGAAATATTGGCGCCGCACTAGGTAATCAACAGTTCACAGCTCGTAACCTGACATTCAACAACGCCATTACCGCTATCAGCCACTTTTGGGACTGGGGTTGGACATACAAGAACATTCATATCAACAACTGCCAAGTCGGAATCGACATCACGTCTGGTGGCCATGATGCACAAAGTGTCAGTTCCATTACCCTACTGGACAGCTCCATTACGAGCACCCCGGTCGGCATCGTCACTTCGCGCGACTCCACTTCTCAGCCTGCCACCGCAGGTAGTGTTATTCTCGAGAACGTTTCCATCCAGAATGTCCCAGTCATTGTTCAAGGTCCGAATAAGCAAACGGTTCTTGCAGGACCGAACCTTCAGGTTGCTGCCTGGGGGCAAGGACATCGATATACCCCGAATGGACCGACTGTTTTCCAGGACACGTTTTCCCCAAACGATCGTCCCGTATCTCTCGTTCAAGGACAACAGTTCTATGAACGCTCGAAGCCCAAATACCAAAGCGCCATTGCATCCTCCATCAGCAGCACCCGCAGTGGGGGGGGCCAAGGGCGACGGAAAGACAGATGATACTGCAGCTCTGCAGAAGGTGATCAACGATGCTGCTTCCTCTGGTCAAATCGTCTTCTTCGACGCTGGGTCATATCTTGTGACGAAGACTCTCGAAATCCCTGCAAATTCCAAGATTGTGGGCGAGTCATACCCAGTCATTTTGTCCAGTGGAAGCTTCTTCAACGATATTGATAATCCTAAGCCAGTTGTTAGAGTCGGGGCATCTGGCGATAGTGGCCAGGTCGAATGGTCTGATATGATTGTCAGTACACAAGGTGCTCAGGCAGGTGCTATTGCTATCGAGTGGAATCTGGCTTCCCCTTCCGATAGCCCATCTGGAATGTGGGATGTCCATGTGCGAATTGGAGGATTCGCAGGCTCCCAGCTTCAAACTTCACAGTGCCTTTCAACTCCCGAGACCGATGTGACCTCTGACAATGTAAACAAGAATTGCATCGCTGCTTTTATGTTGATGCATATTACGTCGTCAGCGCGTGGATTGTACATGGAGAACAACTGGCTCTGGGTTGCAGATCAGTAGGTTCAAGCTTTCTTTCTTTTGGAAGTTGCCAGTTTGCTGACAAGCTAGTGATCTCGACGGCAACGGTCAGATTACGATATATAGCGGGCGTGGCTTGAATATTGAAAGCACCGAGGGAAATATTTGGCTGTGAGTTTGAGTCCAAAGCCAAAAAGATAAAGTGCAGAGAACCTCGGAAGCTAATCACCCTGCAATGTTCAGCTCCGGTACCTCAGTAGAGCACAACGTACTTTACCAATACCAGGTTGCTTCGACAAAGAATATATACATGGGACAGATCCAGACGGAATCCGCGTGAGTAATTCCTCATTCAAACCTCAGCATAATCCTTAGATCACTAACAGACATACAAGGTATTACCAACCCAACCCCCCTAGCAACAACTCCTTTCCCGGTTGTGGCCTCACTCCACGATCCCAACTTCACGGAACACTGCTCAGGCAAAGACAAGTATTGCTCTGAAGGTTGGGGTCTACGTGTTCTGGATTCGACAAATATCTTTGTATATGGCGCCGGCCTATACTCGTTCTTCGACAACAATGATGCTTGTATCGGACTCCTTGTCTCCCATTACACAAGCCTCAACTAACATTTTGCAGCATGTTCGGCCCAGGACTCCGGAAGGAGCTGCCAAAACTCGATTTTCAGTATCGAAGGCTCGTCGTCGATCAGCGTCTATAATCTGAACACTGTGGGCTCGGACAGTATGGTTGATATTAAAGGTACAAGCGTTGCGAAGCAGTCGGACAATGCGAATGTTTTCAATGAGAACATCGCACTCTTCAGAAATTAATCACCACCGCATGTGCATGGGCTGTGGGTCTGCACAGATCTAGCGGGGGCGAGCAGGGCATACTAGTAGATCTACAGTAACGGATCTAGATAACCTTGTGTATATCCTAGGTAAATGGCATCCTACTAGTACTAGAAGAACAATACAACTATTCACATGAAAGTATACAAATCATCTCGTATCGCCCCTGTCTATCACAGTATCTCCGAGTCTAGCATCCATGGGACCTGGCCATGGATCTCGTATTCTCCAGGGCTGTGTCAGTCATGTGCTTACACTCCCTTCCCCCTCCAATTCAACCTCATCTTGAACATCAACCACCTCAGTCAGCTCCACTATTCAACTCTCCTCAAAATTGTCCCCTTTTTCAGCCTCGACGAGATCATCAGCCCAACCCGAAACTCCTCTCGCTTGTCTTACACCGATTCGGCCCAGAGTCAAACGCCATCTCGACGTGGTGCTCGTATCCGTCTCGACTCATTGGCAGAACAAAGCCTAGTGGCGCATATCCCCCCCCACTATTGCTCACAACAGCCCTGCGGCTGGCTTTTCAACCTCTGATTTCTGCATCCTGCGGCTCCAGACATCTCGTTTTTGGTCGCTTCCTTTCAACTTTACGAGCTCCGGACCCGGTTGACTCGTGTGCCAGCTGCGGTGTGGAACCATGCAAATCCCGGGAATAAATCCAGCAAGGGACCCCCCTCGCGCCGGGGGGGTGATCAATCACTTTTCGATCTTTTTTTCCCCGAGCTCATATTCTCGACTCCAGCTGCTGCTGTCAGTCTTCTCCTGATTGCATCCTTTACTTCCTCTCTGCGCCCGTCTACTCCGAGTCTGCTCTGTTCTACCAACGACTCCCACCGACACCATGTTGGCGCTTCATATCGCCCTCTACGTCCTCCTGGGCACAGCCCTAGTCTTTGCTATCGTCGAACTGGGTCTGTCCGCCTATGTTGTCTCGGGATACTCCGGTAACGCCGAGGAATGGAGCTGTGATGCCTTCACATGTGGCTATCACACTGTCAAGGTCTCCACGCCAGGAATTCTGGCTTTCCTCGTCTTCGTGTCTCTCTGGACGATGATCGTCTCGGTTGCCGCCGCCGTCTTGCCCTGGTTCTATGCGCGCAGGGGAAATGTCACTTCCAAGTTGAATATGACTCTGGGAATTTCTACTATCGTTGTTTACTTTATCACCTCCGTCTTTTGGTTGGCTTGCTTCGCTGATATCGTGACCATCTTTGGCGCCGGTAATGTTTATAATGATTACCTGAATGCGGTTGTTGCCTTTGCGGTCCTTCTTTGGTGAGTTTATTCCTGGTCCCATCACTGCATTTTTGCTGTATCGTACTAACTTTTCAAACACAGGCTGATCTTCGTCGCCCTCGTCATTCTTACGATCCTCACTGCCGTCGGCGTCCTCGTCTCCAGCTGGCCCGGCCATCAAAATATGCGCCAGAACCGCATGTCGGGGACTGCCCCGGTTCATGATGTACCTATGAGTACTGCCCCCCCTGCCCCTGTCCCTGTCCCTGGTGCTGTTCCCTCTGAGCTATCTGCGCGCGATGCTGAGGCTTTGCATGATCAGGCACACAGCCAATCCCATAGTATCTCTTCGCCATCGGCCGTTAACAGTGCGGAGCTCGACGGGGGCAACGGTCATAAATACTAGTGGGTGATTCGTCACTTCTTCAAGTCGCACTCGGAGTCCAACTCGAATCTTCAACTGAAATTTGGTTCCGGGGTTGTTTGTCCGGGCTTGCGACGATATTACACCTCCACTATATCTATCTGGGTTTCTGTTTTCCAAGGTTCTCGTGGTGTTAGTCCTCTCGAGGATCCGAATAATGTGTAATGGTTCTGTGTGTTGTGTGGTGGGATTATCCGTTCTGTGGATTTTGGATCATAGTATTGGTCCAACTATGTTGATATCATTCATACCTAGGTATCATATATATCATTGACTATTCCGTTCTATTCTACATCCTATCTTACCTAGTCCTCTCCCACTTTCCCTTTTACTTGGAACTTTCTCTGTTTCTGCAATACTGCTCTATCTGAGCGAAGAATCTCTGCATTCGGGCATGGGCCTGGTATATAGGGCAATCTATGTCATAACTCAAATTATGCGCACCCCGGCGCGTCGCTGGAAACAGGGGTCGATCACCCGAAAGAAAACATGAAGAAGGAAAAAAAAAGAAACGATCGTATGTCCAAGAGCAAGACTAATGCCCCCTCCATCTAAACCGCCGGCTTCTCCTCCGCCTCGGTCTCATCGTGGCTGTGCTTCTTCTTCTCCTTCTTCTTCTTATCCTTGGTTTCGGATTTCTTCATCGAGTCCGCCATCAGCTGTTCGAACGCCATGTAATCGCCCTCTTCTTCGGGGTCACGCGCAGCCTTGTATTGTTAGTATATGTTCATCTCTCAAGTGGACAGGAAAGGGAGAGGACATACCTTGGCGTAAATGTTACCTGCCAGGACCAGAGCGTGGGCACGCTCCACCCGCTTCTCCAAACGGATGCGCTTGTCACCCAGAACCTGGTCGCAGACCTCGCGCAGGACACTCTGGATCTCGAACTTGCTACCTCTCCAGGCCGCAGCCAGGATCTTGCCGGTGACCTTCTTCTCATATTCCGCCCGCTTCTCATCAGTCCAGTCCTCGCCGCCACGCTCCTCCATCTTGGCCATCTCCTCCATGGTCATTTGAGCATCGATAGCCGTGGAGATGGTGGTCCAGGTCTCCTTGGCCAGGGTGCCCTTGTCCTTCAGACGCGAGAAGAATCCCGAGATACCCAGGAACTTCTGTGACTTCAAGAACGAAGTACCCTTCTGCACATATGTGGCACCGACAGCGTGGAGGATCTCCAGACCAAAGGACTCCATCTTCAAGTTCTCCACCTCCAACCGAATCTTCTCCTCGAAGGCGTGGGTGACATCGAGGTTCTTATCAGTCTCAGTCCACACACTGAGGCGATCCACCAGCTTGTTGGCGAGAGTGTTGACACGTTCCTCGCGGGCCTTTTTCCGCTCCTCCTCAAAGGCGGCAAGGCGCTCCTGCTGCTCCTTCGACAGCCCCTTCTTCTTCTCTTTTTTGCGAAGCTCCTTCTCTTCCTGGGACAGACCAGCTGCATCCATGCGCGCCTCCTCCTCGGATCGGTCCATCAGCGCCTGTTGTCCCCAGTTCCGTCGGGGGGTGCTGGTACCGGAGCTTGGGACAGAGGTAGTCGAAGCCGAGGGTTTCTCCGGACCGGCGGGGGTGGAGGCGGATGTGGATTCCGAAGCAGACGGCTTCTCCGTGTAGGCAGGGGCGGCATCGCTAGAGCGCTCGGCGGGATGTTCGGCTTCACCGGCCTTAACCTCCTCGTCATGGACGTGTAGCTTCTCCTCGGCGGACTGGGCCAATTCCTCTTCCTCCATCTCCTGCATGGTAATATCCATCGTCGCGGTCAAGTCTTTCATGAGGGAGATCTCGCCGATCAGGTCGACAAAGGCCTCGCCGCCGAAGATCATGCTGAAAAACTCGGATGGGTCCTCTATGCGGTTGTCAGCTTGTTCCTCCAGATTCCGAGGGTAGGTATGAGCCCGTCAGGCCGTCAGCCCATGATCCCAACTTACCGAAACCTCCACTCGGCTGGGCCTCTTCCTTGCCGAACTTGTCATATCGTTTGCGGAGATCTTCGTTGCTCAGAATTTGGTAGGCTTCACCGATCTGGTGAGATTAGGTTGGGATTAGTTCGGTGTGGTGTGGTGTGATAGAAAGGTATATGTCATCAGAGCTTCGCGTACCTGTTGGAAGCGTTCGTGGGCGGTCTCATCGCCGGGGTTCTTATCTGCAGAGGTTCATGAAGTGATTAGACTTGAGATACTCATTCGAGACAAGGCTGAAACATACCGGGGTGTGTTACGATGGCCAGCTTGCGATAGGCCTTCTTGATCTCCAGCTCGGTGGCTGTGGGCTGGACACCCAGAGCATCGTAGTAGGTGGTATCAGCGACCATGATGGTCGTGGAGTGAGTATCCAAGGTTGTAAATAGAGGGTCCAAGTATCCAAATATCAACAATAACCCAGAATGAAGTGAATATCAAGAATATCAAGGGTATCAAAGTGATTCAACGTGTTTGCCTGGTTTTCCGCTACTTTTTTGCCGCCTCCCCGCGATTGGGCGGTGTGTCACGTGGGTTCCCCCCTTTTAATTGGCGATTTTCGCTTTTCTTCTTTTCCTTCCTCCACTTCCTCCTTTCTTTTTCCTCTCTCTTCTTCCCCTGCATTTGCATTTGCATCTGCTGTTTGCCATCTGCCCATCATGGGTTTCATTGGCAATGCCATCTACTACAGTTTCCATCCGTACCAATTGAGGTCGATCGTTCAATGGTAGACCTGCCTTGTGTTCATGTGGAGAGTTCGAGGATCATATCGCTAATCGTCTCTCTCACAGGAAAGTTTGGCACAACCCCCCTCATGAGCGTAACCCCGCCAATGAGACTCAGTCCGAGAAGGATTGTTTCAAGTTCCTTGACTTGACCAGTCGAAGCTTCAGTGCTGTCATTCAGGAACTCCACTCCGAGCTGCTCATGCCCGTCTGCGTCTTCTACCTTGTCCTTCGTGGTCTGGATACCATCGAGGATGATACCTCTATTCCTCTCGAGACGAAGGAGCCCCTGCTCCGTGGCTTCCAGGATTTCTTGACCCAGGAAGGATGGAACTTCACTGGCAACCGTCAGGAAGAGAAGGACCGTGAGCTGCTGGTTCAGTTCCCGTGTGTCATCACCGAGTTCATGAAGATGAAGCCCGCCTATCAGGCAATCATCAAGGACATCACGGCCAAGATGGGTAACGGCATGGCCGACTACTGCCGAAAGGCTGAGTTGTCGGACGCCAGCGTGAAGACGGTCGAGGAATACGATCTGTACTGTTACTACGTTGCCGGTCTGGTCGGCGAGGGTCTCACCCGCCTGTTCGTCGAGGCCGAGTTGGCCAACCCGGCTCTCCTCGAACGCCCCCATTTGCAAAAGTCGATGGGTCTCTTCCTGCAGAAGACCAACATCATCCGAGACATCCGAGAGGACTCCGATGATAACCGTCGCTTCTGGCCCCAAGAGATCTGGTCCAAACATGTGGACAACTTTGAAGATCTCTTCAAGCCGGAGTACAAGGAGGCTGCTCTGAACTGCAACTCCGAGATGGTCCTCAATGCCTTGGAGCACGCTGACGAGTGTCTCTTCTACCTCGCTGGCCTGCGGGAGCAGAGTGTCTTCAACTTCTGTGCCATCCCCCAGTCCATGGCTATCGCTACGCTGGAGCTGTGCTTCCGCAACTACGATATTTTCGAGCGCAACATCAAGATTACCAAGGGCGATGCATGCTCTCTGATGTTCGCATCAACCCAGAACCTTCGTGTCCTGTGTGATCGCTTCCGTGACCTGACCCGGAAGATCCACAAGAAGAACACTCCCAAGGATCCCAACTTCCTCAAGATCAGCATGGCCTGCGGTAAGATCGAGAAGTTCATCGAAACTATCTTCCCTTCGCAGAATGCCGAGGATGCCAACCGTCGGGTCAAGGGTGTTATCTCCGAGGAGCAACAGAAGAAGCGTGAAGAAGATGCTGAGAACAAGAATGACGTCTACTTTATGATGGCACTCATGGGCTGCATCGTCCTTTTTGTCGCTGGCACTATGATGTTCTTTGCCTGGATGATGGGCGCCCGGTTCGACCTTGCCTTCAAGGAGCTCATGAGTGGTAACTTCCGACCCCCAGCGCCATCCGCATCCGCGATTCATGAGGATCTTTAATCAACCAACCACCTCATAAATTACCCTGTACATCTACGGCGTTACGACCTACTGCTAATCTTCGATTCCCCTCCGGTGGCCTTGTTTTATTATTCCCCCATTACCCAGCTACCACGCGTCGCCACCGCAGCCACGATGTGTATTGATAATAATTTACCATTTTTTCTTTCTTCGCTTTTCCGTGTTCACTGACCTTGACCTCGTTGGACTTGTTCGAATAGGATTGGGACCCTTGAATGGGGTTAGCACGGATGTCAAATTGCGATCCGGCCCTCCAATGGCCGAGGTCGTGCCGAAGAAGTGCTGATATTATTAGGAGATTCGTCTCATTCACCAGTGATGTACTAGATTTGTGTTCTACGGTTCGCCGAGATAGCACACGTCCATTGAAGATCTGGCACATATCGTATACTTGCGTGTATATGGTACGTAATCCTGCAGTATTCGTAAAATTGTCTATTCAGTCAATCAATCCAATCAATTCTATTTCCTTTCATTCATTTTGCCTACTCCTCTCACCTAACTTGTAGTCCCTCTTGATGAAGAGACAGTATATCAGCCGAAAATAAAACGCATCTTCAAGTTCTTGACTGCTGAAGTGTCCAGTGGAACGATTTGGCGCAGGTTTATCTCGAAATGAACCGGAAGGCAGTACTTTCTTGACATGCTTCTTCCTAAGCCTCCTGAAATATGCATGCACCGAGATCAATCTTAACCCATCAACTATCCCCACGAGATGAATGATTGCAAATGCTTTGAAATCGGGCCCACTTCACCGAATCAGAAATCTCTGCTTTCTCAGCGCCCCCGGATTCGCTTCAATCAATGCATCTCATATCTCCTTCAACTCTGATACAATCCCCGCAAGCTTCTCTCCCAGTAATAAAGTACTCTCGCGACCGATACTCGGCAGTCCGAATTACCCAACTGCCGTCTTATGCGTGGTCTGCGAAGTCTCATTCCCCCACCAGCTCTCCTGGCTTCCTCTCGTTTATACTCTGCATCTTCAAGATATCCAATCACCATGGCTGGCAAAATGAAGACTGAGACGGAAAACTCCGGGTCTTTACCTCCGCTCTCCGCGAGTGACTTTCGTGCATATAATCGCATGTCTGAGCAGATGGAGGGTTTTGTAAGTTATCCATGTAGCCATCTTCGTGTGAGGACTTAGTACTGATGATAGCGAAGCATAGTCACTTTCGTTTGACTTGGAATCAGCTTTGGGACGCATGTAATGCCACGGGCAAGCGTCCTGCGGGATTATCAGCCCGCCAGATGATCATGATGGGACTACAATTCTGCTCGCAACTCGACTTCCACCACTCTATCGAGGAGCAACATATTTTCCCAGTGCTTGCGAAGAAAATGCCCGAATTCCGGAAAGAACTGGATCTTCTGAAGCAGCATAAACAGATTCATGCTGGCCTCGAGAAGCTCGAGGCTTACCTTGAGAAATGTCGCTCCGGCGAGGAGGACATGCGCCGTGAAGAGGTGCGCCGACTCATGGAGGGCTTTGGTAAGGTGCTCTGGCAGCATCTTGATGAGGAGGTTCAGACGCTCAACGCGGAAAATATGCGCCAATATTGGTCCGTTGAGGAAATGCGCCGCCTACCGATGTGATTTTTTTCGAGTTGTTCGGTGGTTGGATTTATACCCTCACATCTTTCTACCAGTATTAATGTAATCTTGAATTTATGACTATTTCGGGCATTGTTATATCAGTAGATTTGCTCTGTTGGTAGCAGTGATGGAATGGCCTGCAACAGGAGGAGAAATGAATTCGGCCTCTTGTCCTAACCGGTATCTTGCGATAGAGAACCATCGTGAGACATTGACCCAGTCTACTTGACGCATTCGGGATGGGGAAGCCCACTGAGATTGCACCTTGAGCTTGCGACCGACTGCTTACTCGGTACACGATGACCATCATAATATCTTACTTTGCTATCAGTGATATGCCACTTTGATATGCCACTGGCTACACTGCGTTACCATGGCCATCAGCCTCGATCTACTGATCGACACATGATGAGCACCACTGGGTAACTATCTGATTAATCTGCGCTTCTAAACTGCTGATTTAGCAACTGCGTCGCTGCAGTGACGATCGAAGCATCTGTTGATCTTCATGCACGATTGACTTGCCGTGCCACGATGTCCGAATCCATTGGCGATCGTTCGCGGCGTCTCCAACGCGCATCGGGTCGAATAAAAGAATTGAGGACGCCGCTTTTACTAGCCAAGAAATGATCAACATATTACGCCGCATTCGTTAGTTACGAGTCAACAGTCCTCCAATCAGAGTTGGTGGCCGGAGCGTTGGTATGCAAGGGGTTGACAAGAATGTGCAGCTCATCCGTTCATTCTCCTTGGATGACGAGCCGTAGCTTATCAATTGCGCGCGATCCAATCTTTGCCTCGTGATCATACTTTCTGAGAGAGGCGAGTGATTCCAAATGCTTTCCAAAGCCGTTGTAAGTAGGCACGTCTTATATTAATCTTGACTATACTTTCCGAGAACAAAGAAATCATCCCCACAACGCCAAGCTGTGATTTTGGAGTACAATAATATGTTTTTGAGAGTGGAAACAGAGTTCCGAATGAGGTTTGTTTAGTCCGATGGTCATACAACTTGAATTCTCGCCAATGCCGTAGAGAGTCGCCATGGGAAAGTTGAAGTTCTGTATCTACATTGCTAACCTGTAGATTATCAAACAGGACAATTCCACCTCTCTTCCCTTTTCGAGCGCAACTAGAAACTACTAGTACCTAGGTTGTATTTCTCGTAGATTACATGAAATTGAGATCGGACGCATGGCGATCATTGTCCAATCCGTCGTGGCGCCGCTGTCAACCAGATGCGACCACCAGACCCCGACTGGAATGTATCTGTCATCTAGACGCGCACGCTGCTTCCCACCTGTTCTGGTGTCTGATGAGTGCAGATGATCGATTTCTCCACTCAGGACCATTACAAGCAGAATATAGACGCAGAAGGCAGAATATCAGCACAGTCTTGAGACCAGAACAGCAAATCACTCGCGCTTCCAAGTGTGGTCGGCATTTGCCCTGATCAACATGATTCCCACATCCCCACCTCTTAGCGGGTCTGGGGCAATTCCCCAGAGTCTTGTGAAGCCTAACATCAGCACGACTTTTACTTCCTCATGCGGCTCACGCGCCGCATGCAAACTCTTGAGACGAAAGTATAAGAGCCACCGGCTAGTCGTGTACTCTGGGAGGAAAAGACCTGTCACGTCACATAGTGGTTCTTTTGGTTCAAACATTCTCCCAGAAAACACCATCTCACCTGCTTTTCACCATGAAGTTCATTACCGCAACTATTACTACCGCCATCTTGGCCGGCAATGCCCTCGCGGCGCCTGGAGGTTCTGGTCTTGCTGCCCGCCTGGAGGCTCGTGGTGTCCTCACTCGCCAGTCACTCCCCAAGATCGACAACTCCGACGAAGTGAACGGCGTCCTTCTCAAGGAAGGCTCCAGCTCGGCCAAGGTCCAGTATAGCAAGAACTGGGCTGGTATTGTCCGCGAGAAACCCCCTGCCAGCGGTACTTACAATATCGTCTCCGCAACCTTTACCGTGCCAGACCCTACGGCCACCGATGACTCCGGAGACACTCAAGCTGCCTCGGCCTGGGTTGGTATTGATGGCGATACCTATACCAAGGCTATTCTTCAGACCGGAATTGATGCCTATGTTTCGAATGGCGACGAGAAGTCCTACGACGCCTGGTATGAGTGGTATCCCAACCCAGCGGAAAACTTCGAGATCGATCTCTCTGCCGGCGATGTGATCGTCGCCACAGTTGAATCCAACTCGCCCAGCGAGGGCGTCGCTATTATTGAGAACAAGTCCTCCGGAAAGAGTGTGACTAAGACTCTCTCGGCTCCTTCTACTTCTGCCACTCTTGGTGGACAAAATGCCGAGTGGATTGTTGAGGACTTCAACAGTGGTAACTCCATGGTGCCTCTAGCCAACTTTGGTGAAATCACTTTCACCGGTGCCCAGGCCAAGGGTGGTGACAGCGAGTATGGCGTTAACGATGGCTCGATTCTGGATATTCAACAGAACGGACAGGTGCTGGCGCATGTCGAGGTTGAGAGTGATACTGAGTTTACTGTCACTTATGAGTAAGTGAAAATCTCTCGGCTAATTCAAAGTTGTGTATAGCCCAGGCGGTCATGTTTTCTTTTTTCTCTCCCTTTTTGGGGCTTTTGAACCTTGGAAGGCTCTCGAATATTATTGGTGTTTCGGAGTTGTCTTTAGAAATAGAAGGGGATGAGCTCACGAGATTTGATATAAAAAGATATATTTAATTTCTTAATATTACTTGTATCTGCTGATTGCTTGGAGAAAAGGTAACTCGTTCCAACATGGCATTAGCCATCAGGGCCGCACAACTGAGTGCTTGAAGACATTCTTTGGGTCATATTCTTGCTTGACCTTTTTGAGTGTCTCATAACGATTCCCGTAGATGACCCTCAAATCTAATTTCTCGTCTGGATTCAGCGGAATATATGAAATAGGGTAAATGTTGGCTGGATCTGTCTTCATGAGAGCATCGTAAAATCGCTGGCCCCACTCCCGCAGTTCCTCAAAAGCTTTTGGAGAGGAAGACAAGGGAAGAATCTCGACGAGGAAATGCGGATCCCTTGCGTTGAACACCGAGTTTGCAAATTCTCGGGGTGCCTCCGCACGGAGCTCATGTATGCCCAATGCAGGTCCTGAGTAGTTGGGTCGGCTTTTTGCGAAAGTGCCAACTATATCAATAACCTCGGGTGTCAAATCGTAGAATCCAGGACAGAAAATTGTAGCGTATGACATTTTCTCTGTGAGAGTCGCAGCTACTTCACTGAATTCCAAGATTGTTGTTGGCGCGACGTTTTTGACCGCAATAGGAGCCAGTTCGGCTACTCTGTCAACCCACTTTTGGCCTTCTTCGAGATTGGATGAGGACCAAATCACAAAAACGGTGAATGCCCTTCCTTCTGGCCCATCCATCACGGCTTGATATAAGCCCATGGCGCGTGGGATTCCCTCCTCTTTGAGCTTGCGATAATTCTCATTATACTGTCGTATCGTGGCGACCAAATCTGCCGATTGGTAGGCGAAGAAACCCCCCAAGTATCTGTCTTGATATTTAGAATCCAAAAAAAGTTGATGCGAATAATCTCACCTTACCTTTTCTGAAGGGTAGACCTTGATGAGAAGCTCGTAAATAACTGCCACCGATCCACCCCCTCCTCGGATGGCCATGAGCAAAGTCTCGTCGGCATCCACAATATTGCCTTGTCCATCCACTACCCGAGCGCCCACGATCTGATCCGATCCAAGTCCGTGGTTTGTGCTCAAAAGACCGTATCCCCCATGAATAGCCCACCCAGTATATCCGACACTGGGTGTCACTGCGTGGGCGGTTGTCATTTTATGCTTATCAAGCTCTCTGTGTAGATCCAAATTTATCACCCCACCACCAACTTGTGCAGTATGAGAAGCTTTGTCGACATATACATGAGATATATCACGCATATCGATCAAGACACCATCTTGTACAACCGTTCGACCGAACATATCATGCCCGCCTCCTCTGACACTGAAAGGCAGATTGCTTATTGTCAGAACTTTTACCAATGAAGCAATATCCTCGATCGTACGTGGGCGTACGATTATCCGCGGGGTTCTAGTTTCCTGAATAACGAACTGCTCGCGAAGTTCCGCAAAGTCGGTGGAGTCTGGAGTTGCATGACGGATGTGTGAGTTTGCCGATAAAAATTGGATGAGTCGGTTCATGGCGATAAATCCCGAGGCTAACTCTTTATGTGCCTTTGGAATGGAATAAAGCAGATCGAACTTGAATCTCACCGCAGGTGCTGGAAGCTCTATTTATGCTTCTGCGGCACCGCAGTGGGGGGCCTAATCTGACATTTTCCTGACCCAAAAAGCCATTTCGAACAAGAGCCTGGGTTCAGGTATGAGTTTAGAGTGGCTCTCTTCGCAATGACGCAAAAGTTTCCGGATCTTGAATTTTGCCCCGTTTCGATGAGGGCGAGATCATAGAAACCATCGCCAAGTGCAGGTTAGCATACATTGGTCGAGGTCCCCAAGACCCATAAGCTTCGAATAGCAGGCTTCCAAGGGTGAATAGCGAATGATGTATTAGCAAGAGTGCCTCTGTCGATTCTACTAAATAATGGCAATGGTTCCAAATATACGCTAGGTTCGACAATGAAAATGGCAGCTTTTGACGCCAGAAAAGGTCGCCTTTCGACCGGTAATGTTTATGCATCCAATTACAAGCCCAGGTGGCATTATATTCTTAAACTATCATCCCCATACACGATTGAATTCTTTTCATCTTTTCGGGGCACTGAGACGGCTGTGACATGGGTGACCGTTGCATCCTGTAAGATCCTGGCCTCGTATTGCGTATTGCGTATTGCGGCGGGGTAGAGCTGCAGCTATTCACCAAGAGAGCAACCATTCCACGATGACACTCGTGTTCTAAAATTTTTGTCATTAACTTGTCCTCTTCGGACACACTAAAGTTCGAAGTCGACACAAAGTGTGAGATTTAAACTATTCCACGCTATCCTATTGAGGGTAATACCTATAATGCATTATCTCTCTCATTGGCCCGCAGACTGCCTGCTCCTCATTGCGGACCAGCTATCCAAATATGGTAGCCTCAGCTCCCTCGCACGAACAAGCAAGCGAATGTACTTGCTACTGAATCCCCATCTTTTTCGTCGCGCTGTCAAATCTCGAGGTGCAACAGCCGCCTTGTGGTGGGCAATCCGGATTGGCAACTTGACTGAGACGCGGTTTGCACTCGAAGCCGGGGCATATCTCGATGCCAAGGAAGACGAAGTTTCGAGGCACGGGTATTGCGTGGCGAGCGAAGCTTTAAAATCTCGATATCACATGAGTCAACTGTGGAATAATCGAAAGTATTTCGGGTGGAAGGTCGACCCTCGTGTGGTAGATAGCAGGCTCGACGATTATCGCCCCTTGATTCTCCTGCTACTCGATAGTGATGCCGACATCCACGGCAGAGATGGAAGGGGATGGATGTCTCTGCACCAGGCAGCCTGGCTGTCCGATGAAGAAATGGTGCGAGTCTTGGTGGAAACCGGTGCTGATATTACACTTCCGTCGGACGAAGGCACCACTCCGCTACATCTTGCTGCTTTCCGTGGCCATGTAGAGGCGATCAGGTTTCTCTTGGAGAGAGGAGCCGATATCAACGGGTGTAAAAAGTTTCCCAGTACGCCATTTCCTCACGCAGCTCGGGAGGGTTTTCATGAAGCGACTGCATTCTTGCTCGAAAAGGGATATGAAGTCGACGCAATAGACTGGGGCGAACAAACGCCTCTTCATTCTGTGGTCTGGAGTGGGGCTTGCAGGCCCATCGAAGATATCATACAGCTTTTAATCGACAAGGGTGCTGAAATTGAGGCCGTTGATGCAAAAGGGATGACTTCTCTGCAGAAAGCTGTTGCGTTTGGATACTCAATAGAAGTCATTGACTGCTTAGTTGCAAATCGCGCAAAAGTCGAGGTGAGAGATCTAGACGGGCGCAATTTACCTCAGCTAGGATGGAAGCATCGAAATTACAGCATCGCGGAGCGTTTTGCGCGACGTTCAGCGCAAAGTACAAACCGTGCCTCACGATGATGGACAAACCCGCGGAATCTTATAACAGTAAGCCGAGGAAATCATTGGCACCGAGAGCGAATAATCGTCGGCTAGTTGCATATACATGCTCTGGCAGCCAAGTTCTCGCCGGTCCCTGTGCTTTTATGCCCTCCTGTCAGTCCAAGGCGGATACCGAAGATGACGGTGAGTCAATAGAGTTTTTTTATATGCATCATCTCGAGCTGACACGTGTCTTGAAAACCATTAGATCGTCGGTGACAAAGAAAGTATCATCCAGGGGTTTGTGGAGTTTTCCCCTGCAGTCCAGACCATCATCGGGCACGCCGATCAACGTTTGAAGATTTGGTCGACACGGATATGCCCACCCGACTAAAAGGCCACGCATCATTGCTGAGCGATGCTACAATCCTGTTTCAGCCATGTAATACATCTCACCGACCGGTCAATTAGAATCGTTCACTACTCTGACTTTTTGGCGGCCAATATTTCTTTTGCGGGATATCGGACAAGGTGGCACGATGATTGTTGAGGGTCCGGTCAGCATTGCTCTCTCTCTTGGTACTAGGGCGAGAAAGAACTAGGAAGGCTGATAATTTATCAGTATTCGCATCATTCGAAGATTGAGAAGAGACTGACTACACTTAGCCAACCTGGATGGGCGATCCAGGATACTGTTCGGGTCGCGTGTGAGCTCCTCCTCCCTTGGGCACTTTGGTGGGGAATTGACTAAATCCGCGGACAGGAGTAAATCCGCGGACAGCGGCTGGGATGGTCAGTTTTATGCAGGCCTGTCGCCTGCGTCTATCATAACGTGCGAAAATTGTTTCAGAAATTTTTGAGCTGTTGAAGAACCTGAAGCCCAGGCAAATGCACCAGGCCGGATTGCAATTGAGAGATCGAAGGATCGGCAGACGGAGGAATGATCAGTGCGAAATTTTAGATTAGCCTAGGCACTCCTCGTAACCTTGTTGAAGACGCTTTTTGATGTCATATTTCCTCATTTTCCATTTTCATTTTCCATTTTCATTTCCTTACGTGCAGATGGACCCGATCCCTCGGGAATTCTATCGGTTGTAAGACATCGTTACATATCTGTATTTGGGAAATCAAAAGCTAGGGCGTCTTAAAGTGGAGTCGACAACTTAGAACCTTTCCCTCGGATCACACAGGAGAATTGTTGACGTGGTAAGGTGTACGCGACTCGGAGGAGCCCCGCAGAATCCCGAAGGAACTACTAGAATCCTTCAACGGTCGCTATCTCCGATGCAGGAAATGCCAAAATCTGATTTTGAAGAGAACAAGCACTCTAGTCTTGTATTCCCCATGTGAATGCCCCATGGTCGCGTTTGATCCTCATGAACCCTTGACCTTCTCCCCTCAGCCTTGACAAACCCAAATTTGGGCCGTCATACGAGAGGGCCGGGCGAGTTGGGCCGATGGGGCCGTCCGTTCAACAATTCCACTCCACTTGCCATCCCTGTTCAACCAACTGCCATTGGTTACCGACACCTCGGGTTAGAGGGAGGGGTTCTGGGTGGGCTTGGAAAAGCGCCGATCTGGGATCTCACCCGCGTTGCATGAAATTCAAGGAAGAGCCCAGTGAGCGAGGCATCTTCCTGGGAGGCAGTCTGCTTCGGAAGCACTTTTTTTTTTAACAAAGGTTCCGTCTATCCCAGAAATTCTGTGTCTCCGGCTTGCCCGGGCCAACATTAAGAACACGGGGCCAAAGTGATACATCGCCTGCAGATGGACCCTCTTCCGGTAACGCGGTACGCGAGTCAAATCCCGGCCCCAGGGCTGACCGCGAAAAGACGTGTCCTGCTTCTGCATAAGCCTGGTGCGTTGTGTCTTCCGCGTGTACCCCAGGACCTACATATTTCTCCCTTTGTCTCCTCCCGGGGCCACCAGCGCCATCGTGTCGGGTCCGTGGCGGATAATTGCCTGCCATTCGATCCCAAACAGGGACGCAGACCGCCCATTTCGCCTTCAAGCCTTGAGTAAACCCCCCAATCCTGACAGCCGCTGTACTGCTAGAGTGGAGTGGGGGATTCCGGAAATTTCTGTGGCCCAAATTAGTACGAGTACATACAACAAGCCGTAGGGAGTGGGTGTGTACTAACTATGGAGCACAGAGTACATACTCCGTACATAAGTGTATGTACATTTCTTAGAAGTGGGCTGTAGATCATAACTGCAGATCCTGGTCGTCTCATGGGCCCATCGACTCAGCCGAGATGGTTCGTATTGAAATAAAACAAGCAGAAAATTTACGATCAGTACGGAGGACTCCGTGCACATCCCTGTTGCCGCATGACTTTAATTTAGGGGCCCGTCATTACCATCCCGGGGCTTGTCCCGACACACTGGTTGAACCTGGTGGGGATAGGAATGATTTAACTTCGAAACAACACTATGTATGTATTCGCATGAGCTAGGTTCCCGACAGTCTGGGTCGGAATCGCGTACATTTCCCTTGCGCGCTGGCTTGACCTTGAAAAACGGTGCAGGTGGCTCTCCGCCGAGGCCAACTTTTCCTTCTTCTAGCTGGTTTCCCCCACTTTCGTTAGCTTTGGCGTTTCCAGCCGTTCGAGCTCCTATGCTGGTGCTACAATTGCTCCCTTGATACCATGGCGAATATCGCAGATATTGCAGATATACAGGTCGATCCAGATGTTAGCGTCAGTCAATCAGTTCGAAATTCCATGCTGGCCCAGCAACTGACAGGTGGATCAGACTTCATCCAGCGACTACGACAGCATACGCAGTGACTTGACGTCTCTGACGGAGTCCATTTATTCCTACATCTACGAGAATGGCCGCACCTATCACGCTTACCGATCCGGGTCTTATGTATGGGTGACTTCTCCGAGTGCTGATTTTCGTCTGAGCCAGCTGACAAGATAGTTTCTCCCCAATGATGAGCGGGAACAAGGTATGGACAATCCCATTTTGCCGAGCCGGTTAGATAAACTGACATGAATGCCTGAACAGATAGACTCGATGTTTTGCATCATATTTTCCGCCTTGTCCACGGTGGCGACTTGTGTCAAACGCAACTCGAACATCCACAAAGGATTCTTGACATTGGCACAGGGACAGGCATTTGGGCCATTGAGGGTTTGTTTCGACCGTTCCAGCCTTTCAGTCGTATATAGCTTACAATAAATGACAGTTGGGGACCAATTCCCAGGCGCAGAGGTTATCGGTGTGGATTTGTCACCGATTCAGCCCGGATGGTAAATACAATCTGGATCCATCTGGTGAGATCGATGCTGAAAATGTTCCAGGGTTCCGCCAAACGTTCGTTTCGTGATCGAAGATATGAATCAATCGGACTGGAGCTTTGCTGAGGGTTCATTTGACTTGATCCATATACGATGCCTCGCGGGTTGCCTCGATGACTGGACTGCGTTCCTACGCCGGTGCTACGAGTATGTTCATACAAAGAAATGAAGGCCAGAAAGGCCAGTCGGAACCGATTTTTGCTTACCAAATTTCAGTCATCTCAGACCCGGAGGCCGACTTGAAGTGGCAGATTGCTATCCACATCTAGAATGTGACGATGACACATGGTCAAATGATAGTTATCTACGGATCTGGCAGGTAAATTTATCACTTCTCCTCGGAACTCATGGTTAAATGCTCATTCTCTCAAAGACCGAGTACCACCGAATAACCGGAGTCCAGGGTAGACTTTGGGATTTGTCAACCTGTTTGAAAGGACTAGTCTCAGAAGCCGGATTCGAGAATGTCGAGTTGTCAGAATTCCGAGTTCCGATGGGGAGTTGGGCAAAGGATCCAAAATTGAAGGAGATAGGGCGCTATTTTCGGGCTCAGTTCCTCGACGGTGCCGTGGAGAGCTATTCGCTTGCTCTGTTCACACGGTTTGGGAATTGGACATCTGCCGAAGTGCAGGTATTGCTGGCTCAGGTGAGAGCAGAGCTTCGACAGAATAAAATCCACGTTTATTCTCGAATGTATGTGACCATAACCGCAGGTGATACTATCACCGTCCGCGATGACTGATTCATGTTATCAAGTTGAACATTGACGGCTAACCTCGGAACTGAAATAGGGGTTTTGCGTTAGGACAGAAGCCGGCATGAACATTGGGGCTTGCACTACTACTACTACTACTACTACTACTACTACTACTATATATGGGAACTTGGGAACCTTCGAAAATAGAAGGCAGTGATAATGACTTATGACCATAGACATGATACCAATACAAGAATCACCTTCAATCTGGACAAAGAGTCCCGTCACAAATACTACCTTGGTAGAAATAGAATCATATGTTTACACGTTCATATGTGATTCAACTTGAACATCTCTTGAAGACCGTCTGCCAAGATTGTTGTAAATTGTAGTGGCCTCAGGCCAACATCCGCACCCTTTTCCTTCAATCCTCACCTTTCTTTTTCTTTTGCTTTAGTATCTTTCCGCCCACCCTTTTCCCCCATTTCTCCCCCCAACGAGAATGCTATGATGTATATTAGTACATTTTATTAAACCATGGAAATATGGAATCCTTGACTGTGCGCCCTGAACCCCCGGATTCCTTTCGCATCAGGCGCAAGCCCGTCTCCAACCCCAACTTGCGGGCGACTGTCGATCCCCCATCTCACAACACAAGCTCGCTATCTCCGCCTCGTTCATTGTCCAGACCTCCATCCTACACTGATCTATTTGGACCGGCACATCGAGACTCTCCGGTGACACCTCAGAGGCCTCGAACAGCTGGTGCGACATCCTCATCGATCTCCTTATCACAAACACAAACACAGGCACCGCCACCGCCACCGCCACAGCTGCCAACCCCCATCCAAAGAGCGTATGGGGAAGCTCGGCACTTTCTCGGGGGTTTGATCAGTCACCCAGCGGAGTCAAACAAGCATTTCACTCTATTGCGCCATGGATTTCCAGTCGTCTTCTATCGCGGAAATGCCACATCGGTCGCGGTGTCTATCTTCTCCGATAGCCCCTTGCCGCTCGATCGGACTCTCTGGCTGCAAAACAGAGGCTGGTCCGGAACAACCGGAATGCGCACTAAAGCATTATTTCGATTAAACGACAGTTGGCTTGATGTCACACCAGGCATGCCCGTACGAGCCGACCAGGTGAACCCGGATGATGAACGTGCTTGGCAGCGCGATATTAAAAAGTTTCGCAAGAAGGCTCCCCAACGTCCTCGTGATACGCATCAGTTGCGCGAGACGGTTGTCGTGCGAATTCCAGCTGAGGCCGGTGATGGTTACTTCCAGCTGGTGCTCTGCCAGGGCCCCAAGAAGAAGGTTCTCAGGCAACAGTCCAGTCTTTCGTGTTCTTTCGACCTCGGCCAGCCCCCACTCCATTCGCGGTGCTAGCCTTAGTACAATGCCGCTTGAAGTTGGCGCAATGGTGGTCGGTTTATATGCGAAAACAGCCGCACGAACTGCAGCCGCCCCCGCCTCTGCGGCGCTTGCTACCAGAGTCGATCGATATCGCCCGACCTGGGTCAAACAGGCTGCAGTACAAAAGGTTTATACTGCAAGTGGTGTTGAAACACGCGTTGCAGGACTGTTCACCTCCTCTGCTGGTCCAGGTCAAGGCGTCGCCGTCGATGAAAGTGTTTCCCCAGTCGCTTGTCAATTACCGGTGGGGGATGGTCCACAAGCACCCTTCCCACTGACCTTCAAAGCCCGAGGTCAAATTGACAACTCCGCACCTTTCAATAGTCCCACAGACACTCCAAAGTTGACCCTCACAAGCACTCCCGATTGGGTAATTGAGCAGCTACGTGGATACTTTTTTGGCTGGGCAAGGTTCGACGCAAGCACTGAGAAAGATCCATCATTAGGTTCTTGGTCCCCCATGATTTTGGCCGTTCGAAATTTGGATCCACTCCGGGCTTCGCGTGTCAATATCTCACAAATTTCGAAACATGTTGTAACACTACGTCTATTGGACGAGGTACCAATACAGACAAGCAAGGTTCAAATCCGGGTGTTGGGGTTCCTCAGAGTTGAGGTTCCGCCTCCCAGAGGTAGCACTAGTCAGGAACTTGCAGACGCCCAGGCTGCGGCTGGAGAAGCAGCCGTCCTAGCTGATGCTTATGATGCTGATGTAGTGCAGAATACCTTGGTTTATCCAGGTTGGTCACCTGAAACCCCTAGTGCACTTGAGATCCAGAAGCAACAATCGAGCTGGGTTGGTCGAACCTTGGAAGGATACACGACCATGCGGGCCAAAGGACAGAAATGGGTCGATCAAGTGCCGTTGCATAAGCTTGGGGTTCGTTCGGAGACTGATGAATGGCGGGAGAGACAAGTGGCTGTCAATGGGTTTTGGATCGTTCGATGAGTTTGAGTACAAACTGCGTCTTGTATTTTATGCGCCACCCTAGGCAGGTACTACTGGGTCCTAATACTATATCACCCGATGTATATTATTTATACTATATTTAATACTAGTATCATTCATTCATTTTAACGCTGACTAACGGCATAAGATTCATCTTGGTATCATACTCTCAAGGCCCGACGGGCGGCTCCGACGCGGCCAAGTTGCACTGTCGAAACAGGCGCACCTCATCGGGTTTGAAAGCTCCAACCACAGAATGCAGTACACCACGATTGTTAAACAAGACAAGATCACCGTCCTCCCAGTCATGTGGGTACACATATTGGGGACTGATTGCAGGGCGCTGCAATTTATAGGCGATCTCGCGCACTTTCTCCAAGTCGTCAATCACTGTTCCGTCTTTAAGGTGAATCTTGCGCACTGCGGATGGATGGATCTGTAATGCGAGCCTTCCTGTTTCTGGATTCTTCCAGCACATGGGGAAAACCATTATCTTCGATGGATCGATTGGAGGTAGCTCTGAATCTGGTAATTCGAGACCTTCAGAGTGCATGCCTAGTCCAGTGGAGCGAGAGCGAGCAGGACTCATCCAGATGTACCTGTTGGCTTTATGTTAGCTGGAAAGGGTACGTGAAAGTGCGGATAGAGGATAGAAACTTACGGATGAGGCGCGTATTCGACCTTGCTTGTGCGGACAAACTCCTGGTCTTCTGAAGAGAGCAGTTCGTACATTCGCTGTCCGCTCACAAATGCCGTTGTCCCAAGGGGGACATCCATTGTTTCATCGGATCCGTCATCGTAAATCAGTGTCTGACGACGGCCCTTGGGAACATTGACTGCCAAAAGTGTCGTCACTTGTGGGGGGTAGAGATCGTATAGTGCAGCATCGATATGCCATCGGTAAAAGCGGGTAAAATCGTAGTCTTGCTCGTCTGGGATATGGTCTTTGTGGAAGGTCCGATGATGAGGGTGCCTTAATTGTACGTCTTTCAATCCTTCGTATGACGGCACAAAGCCATTGCCGATCACCTGGACCTGGGGCTGATGCGGGACAGTCTTGAGATCTGGATGCAGGATGGAGCGTTTCGCATCGATTGTCTTTCCATGTCCGTAGTTCTCCGATACCGGATCGAATCGCCTGGTGAGCTCATATTGTGCTTTGGGAGATAGCTTGTGTTGGTTCTTGAAGATTACAACGTGGTAGTCGTATAGCGCTTTGCGGATCGAGGCGAATTGTTCATCTAGGACGTGTCAGCGGGTAGAACTTGAGCATATATCGGGCGATTTCACAAACCGGTTAAGTTCTCCAAATCGATTCCACCAATTTGAGCGCCAAAATCAATATCCGAGCCCGTCGGTGGCTGTAACGGTCGGACGTTCGGCAAGGTGACAGTCATAGTAGCGGACATGGCTGTTCGGCGAGCGGGTTTCGGCACGGATAGCCCAACTGGGAGGTAAGTTTATAGTTTTGAGTCCAAGCGCGCTGTACTATATAGTCTCCCGAAAAATCCGAGATGCAGACGCCGAGAAAGACACGGTCTACGGCGCATGCCGAATTTATAAGCGATTCTCATCGGCAAGCAATCGGTAGTGTCGTCAGCTGTGATGATTATCAAGTGCGGACGAGTGCGGACGAGTGCGGGTTTTTTCGATAAGATCTACGCATCGAACACCACGAAAAGAAAGAAGGATCATAGGAATAGCCGATACTGGGCCGAATCTATGATAACGTACCTAGGTAAGAAAGTCGATTCGATGAAATATAAATGGAGCTGTGAAGTGCCTGTGAAGTGCCGATTCTGTGCCCAGTTCCAGCTCCAGATCTGCCCCAATTTCGCCACAATGACGGAATTATCATTGAAGCTGGAAAAATACTAGTAAATAGTATCAAGCCAGTTCGTCTCTTGACAAAGGTTCAAGTTCTTTTAACATTTGAAGATATATTTCTTTCAGATTCTAAAGGAATTGTGCACCGAGGTAGAAAAATACACAATTAGGTACTAGTAGCTAATAGGCGTAACTACCAACCGGCGCCTCCTAGCTGTACTACTAGTAGGTAGTAGGTGGAAATATATCTGAAAGGAGAGTTTCAAACTGCCTCAAGATACTTCAATGCCTTCTAGCCTAAACAAATGGGCAGCCACCACCGTGACTCTTTACCATAGTTTCCACCACGGGCCACGGACTCTCTCCGGTCCCTCGGCAGATATGATCTCCTCAAGTCCGGTATGCATATCGACCTCCTCTGGTCGCCATGCCCATGGATCGCTCCAGAATAAGGCTCGGTGGCCGAAGTAGAGTATTAAAAACGCTGGAATCCCGATATAGGCGGTAAAGAAGTTGCTGACAGACCACTCGGATGGGAAGAAGACAGTGAAACCATTGATCAACGCCATAACAGTTGCACCTGCAAGACCAAAAACTGCTCCATAAGGCTGTATTTTGGACTTGTAAGGCTGTTCGATTCCTTGTGCTTTTACTGCCTTTCGGAAACGGAAATAGACAATCACACAACAAATCCAAGAGATGAAGCCCGACGTGTTAGTAAAATTGACGAACCAGTTGAATACGATAGAACTCGAATTTCCGACCGATAGGTAAGCCAGACATGAGAAGCAGGCCGATACGGCGACGGCATAGTAGGGCACGCCCCAGCGATTGCAGGATTTGAAGATACTGGGCGCATTTCCCGACATGGCTAGAGAGTACAATGAACGAGAGGACATGTACAGGAAGGAGTTCCCAGCCGACCATGCAGAAGTTAGAACTGCTGCATTGACGATATGATCCAAAACAGGAATGCCGGCGTTTTTGATTCCCACCACGAAGGGTGACGAGTTGACTGTGCCATCCCCTTTCGTCAGGCGTGCTGCATTAGACGGGCAAATAACACCGATAGCGAGCACGCTGAAGATGTAGAAGAAGACTAGTCGGTAGATGTAGCGTCGTGCAGCGCGTGGCACATTGCGACGAGGAGATTCCATTTCACCGCCGCTGATAATTATCAACTCAGGTGCGAATATGAAGGCGATTGCACTGGAGACGGTGCACTTAAGTAGACCAACGAAGCGACCAGCGTTTCCATCCACAATGTAAGTGTTGAACGATCCCGGATCCTTCCAGTACCTGAAGCCTAGACGATCGTGCGACGGACCACCACCCCAGAATAAAATGAAGGACAGAAAGAGCAATCCAATGAGGGTGATAATTTTGATTCCGGCAAACCAAAATTCGGTCTCCCCGTAGAACCTGACCGGCAGGAAATTCAATGCGATGATGACAACCATCATTATGGTAATCCAGACAGCGATGTTGACGGTGGCATTGCTATCCCAAAAGCCAATAACCAAGCCAGCTGCAGTGATCTCGTATGGCACTAAGATACCTAGAGAGTACCAGTATAGGTATCCCATGGCAAAGCCGAGGCTCCTACTAACGTATCTGAATCCGTTGAAGCTCATTGTGGCCCCTCTAGAAATATTAGAAGTGACCGATGAAAGAAATATTACCATAGACTCGACAGGGTCGAGACTTTCTTTGTCTCAATGTTGACATACCATGTACAGGAAGATAAGCACCGATCTCAGCGATGGCAGTTACAAGGCCGTAGACCATAGCAGAGATAAAAAGATATCCCAGCAAGAGGGAAGCAGGGACACCGATCGCCAATGATTGGCCGGATGACACGAAAAGACCTTTGAATGGTCAGCGCAATACACTACTGGTGCCTCGATTCAGTTTTACCTGTCCCGATTGTTCCACCCAAGGCCATTAGTTGCACATGACGGCTCTTTAGACCACGCTGAGTTGTCGCGTAGCGCTCATCCAGAAGATTTTCCTGGACTAGACTGCGCACTGCGTTTCCCTTTTCAGTCATCGGCTGCTCGTCATAGCCCTTAGCCGGCGGGGCCGTTTCGATATTCGACATGTTCAAATTGCTGTCTTCACGAGTAAATACTTGGAAAACGGATGATTTCCAGAGATGGGGATACGAACATCCTTAAATAAACGTTGCACTTCAGCTCCGGCATCCCGTGCTGCGGCAAGCCAAGCCGTTAGGGGCCTGTGATAAGCTAACCGAAGCCAAGGAAGCTAAAGAGTCCGGGGAAAACATGTAATTGAACGGGGGCCTCATTTTATTCTGTTCTTTCGTATTCTGTTGCAGGGAAGGCTGTTGTAGAGTAGCCACAAGAGGCCCAGCCGCATATGAATTCTAACCAGCTAATTATAAGGAAGAATGAGTCCTGCTTCTCATTTTCCCCAGTGAATTTTCAACCATTCACGCGACTACTGCACCCTCGCACTGATCGCGAGCATGAAAGGAAAGAAAAAAGTACAATGTCACCCCTCGTTCCAAACAAAAATTGCCAAGCTGTCAGCCACACCGGCAGCTCTCCGGTGGACTGGGATGGCGCATGTCGCCTTAAAAGCTCTTCGACGTTGAGACTGGCTACTTTGTGCTTCACGTCAAACATACCACAGCGATGGCCTCACGACCGGACCGGTGGCCGGACCGGCAAATATGCGACACGCAGTCTATTAAAAAGTCTGGTAACCGAGCGCGCAAGCGACGGCTTCTAAAAATCCTTTCGTCTTATCAGCATTCAAGTAGAATGCAGGGATCGAAGCAACGGCAGCATTTGGTGGTGGTGGCGGCCAGATTAAATGACGCTAGGACAAGAAAGGGATAGGGCATGGCAGATTGTGAGCTTCTGCCAATGGGAGGTTGGTTTTATCAGCAACACGAGGCCGAGGCGCTGCCCAGACGGGAAATGCCTCAGAGTCTAACACGAATGGGGGGTAAAGCACAATCACAAGCCAAGAAAATCAGCAATGTCCCTGCATTGGCCGAAGAAAAGTCCGGACCACCTGAGCAGGCAAATTACCTATCGCAAATCATATCCAAGATAGTTTACCAGCTGACTCGTGCTTTATGTCAGGTGACACGTCCTCGAGAGACCGGGAAATTCCATATGGCTATATTTGACTAACAATCGAAGTGAGTTAGATAACATGCTGCCTATATGAGATCTGGCGATTGTAAAAGAGTCTCAAAGTCCAACCCTTGAAGATTACATGCAACCCGAGTCGATATTTTCCTGGCATCGAGAAGCTCAACATTCCGCACTAATTCAATGCCTATTCAATGGCGAATATCAATACAAAATTATGCACTCAATAGAAGATCGAGTATTCAGGCCAAACTTCGAGCTACGGCTATATCCACCAACATTCATGACCCCCAATGGAAAATGGTAGATCTGATAAAGTTGATTTTGAAGGGCATTTCAAAAGTACGGAGTACGTGTGTTAGCATGTAATCCCAGGCCATTTAGTTGACTCTCAACAGCACGGAAATCACTATCGATACAGCTCCCATAGAAACACAGACATTACCTGTTAAGTGGAAGGAGTAGGGCGATTTTGTTACCTCATTAAAAGCAATACCTCTTTCCGCATACGAACCAATGGACCGAAATTGGGTGCTCATTTGAACAAGGAGGAACGGGGACAACCACATCCTTGTGTATAGCTTCTTGACATTTGAATAGATACCCAAGTTCATTCTGAAACGGAGTGACTTCGGTCTGGTATATGGGTTGCTACTTCAATACTAAATTTGCAACCCAACTGGTAAGAAACACGAAGCGGTTCTAACCAAGCACTGGAATTATGCTATGCAAGGGTTTATCTGCTTACCGGAGGCACTGCCAACCTCTCCCACAAAGCCTTGCGAGTTGTGGGTCGGACGGCGGCGCACATGTTTCAGCTTCCATCCAAGGTGAGATTGGAGAAAACGCAAATCGATATAAGCATAACTCCGATAATGCGGCTTTTGATGCTAAGTTTCTTACAAGGCGCACATAGCTGCCACCACGCTTTTCTATTATGATGTACAATATTAGTAGGTGCAGCGAAAGTGGAGTAATTTCAACAATAGATGCGACTCACTGATCAATTATTCCAAGGTTTGTGCCCATATTCACTTATCGGGAGATATATTGTGGGGATATCTCCACAGCCGGGAAATTCAAATTGACACGGACAGTGGATTTGTTCAAAAAACGAGGATGTAGACTTCACTTAACATTTAACTTAGGCTGGTTCAAGTTGGACAGCAAATTCAAAACTGAAGTGTGAAATTCGGGAATGATGTTTCTGAGCAAAAATTGAAGGGCGTTTTCATGGCATCGGAAATACAATCGCGCAACCTAGTGAACTGTGCCAAGAGGTCCTTCGCGTTTCTGGCCCCGGAATTGATGTATATGGTAGCCCCAGGGCCATTGTCGGTTTCACATTATCGGCCTCGCACTCGCAATTATTCTCCAATAGGGAGCGCTAAGGGCCCGGGGGGCCTCTTGCTGAAATTGTGAAATCCTCCTCTTCGACGTGACAGTCTCCATTTCCCCTGTTGACTCGGCGCGTTTCTTCGCGGGTCCCTTCTTCAACCTTCGTCACCTACTAACTCTTAGGGCCTCGGTCGTCCATTCGCCCAATTTTCGCGTCCTTAGGAGCAGGGATATGCTATGACAGCCATTGATACCATCCCAAGTGTGACGGCGGTGCCGCTCCCTCTCACAACAACGTTCACTCCGCCAGAGGGTTGTACCTCCGAGCTCTGGGTGCTTCAGGGTCGCTGGAATGGCAACTTCACCCAATACATAAACTTTGGCCCTGACAATACCGCAAAATGCATGCCGTCGGGTTGGACAACACAATCATATTTTTCACCCGGGCTCGCCTGTCCCGAGGGCTACTCGACTGGAAGAAACTTCGTGGCGGGTGGCGAAACGAGAGCAACATGCTGCCCTGTCTATACGTGAGTGTAATCGTTTCATATAAATCAAAGCGAGAACTAATCGGTGTATACAATCTTTAAGACAGAGCGGGAACAATTGGGAATTCGTCCAACGTGTCACTGACGATAATTGGAGACCTTGGCACAGTATCGAAGCGTGTTATTACAACTATACCACGGACGTTTCCAATCTAGTTCTCACTCAAACAAACCTCGAAATCACGTCAACTGGGACCCAGGTTGCCGATATGACCGGAGGTGTGGATGGAATCAATGCATATGGGGTACAACTGAGATGGAGGGCGACTGATCTTACTACTGCCGCACCGACATTTGGTTCAGGAATCACATCAGCCACGGCAGCCACGCAGACAAGAGAAACAATATTGGGGGGATCATCCGATTCATCCGGCCTGTCCACGGGTGCGAGGGTCGGCGTCGGGGTTGGTTGTGCGGTCGCTGGTATCCTTCTCATCCTTGTCGCCATATTATTCTTCCTCCGCTCGCGAAGAGGTAAGGGAGTAGAGTCGGGCTTCATAAACGCGAATGAAGGTGGCCAAAACTTTCGAGGCCCGGCGGAACTCCCTGCTTCATCCGAAACGGCCCAGGAGGTGGACTCCAGGCCTGTGCCTGAGAGGAAGACAGATTATAATACTCCACATTCACAAGCGTCAAACCCAACACAGGTTCAAGTGTTTGTGGAGCTGCCAGGCTCCCCAGTTAGGTCTAGCACTAACACTGGGGCAAGATGAGGATATTCCAACACTTTGCGGCAACAACTTGATGACACAACTCGATACTACTAGAATATAATGGTTTTATTGTAAACAAAGATTTAATCTCACTCACCGTTGGGCAATTCCATCGGAATTAGACCTGTGCATCTGGGACCCATGGGAGTAATAATCGAATCCTACCCCATTTGCCAAGAACCCATGGGACTAAATATTAATCCTATCCCATCCCATGGGACCCACATAATTCCCATTTATTTCATAAATTATTGCACGCACCTTTCCCTTTTTAGTACCTATGGGGGTGTGTAAAATGATGAATCTTTTCTTTGTAATTTTGGCGGTTTCATTATACCTATATTAATACTTTTTTATAGCAAATTTGCTGTATATTCTTTTATAATTTATTTGCATAAAAGCTCTTTGATCTTATCCTATCCGAAAGCTATAAGAATCAGAAGTATTTTATTACTATTTCTTTTCTGATGTATACTTTAATATCTTTTTATAATACTAGAAGCAGTTGATTACTAGCCTTACTCTGCAGAACTGTCACGGGATTCGAGTATGCGATAGCCCGGACTTTCGAGGCCGATTCATGGACGAATCCCCTTTGAGTCACCTGCATATCGATATACACCAGAGCCCTAATTTATTTAAGATCCCACAAGCATTCAGGATCCTTGATCTTCTCAAGAATCAGTCTATGTACCAACTGTCCAATCTGATCTCTACTATTCGATATCCTTGCCTAGTCACAGGTCTCTAGCCTGACAACTTAGTAACCATTACAACGTTGGAGCCTAGCAAAGGTTAAAAATCCACGCAGAATACACGGTGTGTTGTAATATTTCGGCTGTACTATGATGTTATCCGAGAAATCACTTCCATCAATACCTATTTTTGTACGGAGTCTGTAGTTTCTTTTCTTTTTTCTCTCGCTTGTTATTTTTCTCTCCTTTATCTCGATAAGGCCCCTTTCTATAACCCCTTCGGGCAATATGCGTATTGAATTTTTCGGAAAGAAAAGAAATACATCCACCCTATTGCCTGTTCGGATAGAAAGGCATGACTACAAAAACTCATAATATCATGATACTACGACCTATTCATCAATATAAACGGGAGCTTATGTGTCACTGGCACATGTTCCAGAATTTATTTTCACATTGAATTTATACTTTCAGACTCAGAGTCTGAAGAGTCATCAGGATACCCTTCTTCAGGAGCACCAGAGCACCACCCATATCCGATGGGGCGGTCGGTGCCATCTCTTTCCTCTGCTTCCCAGTTCTCTCTGTCACCATCGGAGAGTGTATCAATGGTCGCACCATGAAGTTTCAGTAAATTAGCCATGTTCTTGTAACCTTTCATTTCAGCAACATGTAGGCTAGCATTCCCATACTCTGAGGCATTCAAGCCATTACATAGAAGAAATTCAACCATTAAGTAGTTCCCTCGTAATGTAGCAAGTTTTAATGCTGATTTCTGGGATCGCATATCCCTTTTCAGTAGAACAGAAACGATTTCCCGATGATTATCTTCAACCGCGCGGTACAAGGGCGAAGGGGTGTATCGCTGTGGATCAGCACCATGCTCGAGTAACTTACTCACCATTTCAGTGTGTCCATACTGCACAGCTATAAACAATGGTGGGTTGTCAATGTCAACTTCCTGGCTATGCCATCTTATGCTGGTATAGTCTGATGGAAGTGGGTTTGCAGTATGACTTCCACGATAGAAGTTGACTTCTGCACCAAAATCTAACAGAGCCTGAACAACCTCTTTATGTCCAGCCTTAATACCTATCGCTAGGGCATGCTGAATATTGATAATATTCATAAAGCAGTATCCTCGCGAGAGAAGAGGATGAGTGTAGATGTCCTCCCAGTAGGGATCTGATCTTCTTTCCTCTTCTTTCCGGCCCCGGTCCCTTTTCACAACACCCAGGTTTCCCTGACGTCGGGTCAAATGGGGCACATGGGTCCCTGGCTGGGGAGGCGAGTGAGATTTAGTTCGGGCAAGATCTAATCCGACTAAGATATTTCTAAGTTGCGGAAGGAGATTGTACTCGGCAGCAACAGGGAACGCCGACCCATGATCGTACTGAGCATTCCAATAGTGCAGAGACTTTATCAGCTCTTGGTACAGACGACGGTTTGTTCGAACCAATCCGTATATGTCGCTTTGGCGCAAAAGATAGGATGAAATGATCCACAGGATCTCAGTGGGTAGCTGAGAAAGGCTCATTTCGATGTGTGATAGGAGAGAAGAAAAAAAAAAAAGACGTAATTTCCAGATAATCACAAATGCATGTTGTGTGTAGAAAGCAAACTGGAAATGAAAGATTTGTCTATTTCTTGAAGCCCCTATGTCCATTTTTTGGTTCTCGGTTGGAGGTCTATGACTAACGGGTTAAGGTGGTTCCGGTATTAGGGTAAAATATCAGTACCCCGTTCCAATGCCCGACGCGTTGAAGTCGCATGTGTGGCAAGCGCCGATACTAGTTCCGTATTATGCAGTAGTTATAAGCAGTAATCTTATGGGACCTATGGGAATGGGACTCCCATGCACAGGTCTAATCGGAATAGGATCCCTTCTAGTACTACTATCTATACTAGTACTCAGTGGAAAGCAAGGGACATTGGGATGTGGAAACAGATTAGTATTGTACTACTACCAGTATTAATACAAGCCATTCAAAATGTCATAAATTATCCATCAAAACATCCTTCTTTTCTGCCACTGTCAAGTGTGTAGCCGCTCGAAAGGAATTTTTGGTCTCCCATCCATCTCAACGCAAGCGCCCGCGATCGTATCCGAAGGTGGTTCTCCGGTTGGAGAGACAGTCGGCGAAACAGCTACTAAACTGGACCGAGAACCCGATACCACCACTGTACGATGTCGAACACAACAGCAGCAATTTCGATTGCAATTCAAGTATTGGATCCGGCCAGAGTGATCATGTATCGTCCTCCGCGATCGTTTGCAGCAACCACAGTCACGCGAGCAGCAACCTCCCCGGATTTGACAAAAGATCCGCCCGACTTTCCACAATGTGCGGCGCTGATGTTGCTGTGTCTGCCACAGATACTCGCGGACTCGTCGCCCGGGTGGCTTTGCCCTTTCCAGTTTGACGATTCGCTGCGAATGTGCGATGAAGTCGCCTCTGGGTGCTTTGAGTTGTCGGTTGCACACCTCAATCTGCAGCTGATGGATCTTGGATGAGGATGTATCCAACCCTTGCTCTTCAGCGTGGTCGTAGTGCAAGAGTTGGGCGCCGATGTGCATCTCACGTTCGATGATTCGATGGCCAGAGCGAATTTCCTGTCTATGTATTCTGATCCAGGTGAGTTGTTCCTCCGTTTGTTCCACGGGCGCTGAGTTTTCATCCAGGTCGGGTAAGTAGTTGCCCATGGCGGGCTCACTGGTCTGACGTTTGTTTTTCAGGTTGCCAGTCTTGCCGATGATTAACGTGACAATGGCTTCGCGTGCCATGGTGTGCTCTTTCTCGGAAATGCTGTGTATATATGTTCTGCTCAGTAGGGTGTAGGAACCAAGTAAGAGAGAGTATTGTATGAAGGCGAAGGTTCTAAATGGCAGGTACAATATAATAGGGAATAAGAGAGTAGGGACCGCGTCCAAATTGACAGTCCGACAAAGTCATGACATCGAAATAGTATCGTCTCTAAATACTAGTACTCTGACGGAGGAGATCAAGTTTGGCCTTTCCGGACAAGCCAACCACGGATCGTTGAGCGGTACCACGAAAAGGATGCTCAAAATCTATCGGGCGACATATCCCTTGGCTACCTCATTTCTGCAAAAGAAATTGACGGAAGAACATGACCATGAAATGTGGTGCATTAAACTCCCATAGACCATTCACTTTTCTTCTGGGATTGAACTATCTGTACGAAAAATCTAACTGAGGAGAGTTGTGAAATAGTATGCGCCTCTCCGCATCTCCGCATCAAACCTAACCCCCACCTCCATGCGGATCCGATATCACCCCGCACGACATGAGATTGTTGCGGCTGGTTCACAACTGAAGATCCCGTCGAATATAAATCCGGTGGAATATTCATCTTAGCAAAGTAAACCCCATCCCCTATACACTACGCATATAATCTACGTTGCGTACTACACGTCGAGTCTACGATGAAAGCCCTTGTATACACCGGACCCGGGAAGATCGAAGTCCTGGACCGGCCCAAACCAGCCCTCCAAGCACCAACTGACGCAGTAATACGCCTCATGCACGCCTCGATCTGCGGGACAGATCTCCATATCATTATGGGAGATGTCCCGACAGCTCAACCAGGACTGGTGCTCGGTCACGAAGGCGTAGGTATAGTGGAGGAAGTGGGCTCGGCAGTGCACAACTTTGAGGTTGGACAACGCGTCGTTATATCCTGTATGACTTCTTGTGGAGCCTGCAAGCGGTGTCGGCAAGGCATCCCGGCGCACTGCCAGACCGGTGGCTGGGTATTGGGACATCATATCGATGGAACGCAGGCGGAGTATGTCCGGGTGCCGCACGCGACACTTTCGCTGCACGCATTGCCTGATCTGATCGATCCACGGGCCGCAGTGGCCTTGTCCGATGCTCTGCCGACGGGATTGGAGGTGGGCGTGCTTGGTGCGAACGTGCAGCCGGGTGGATCGGTGGTGATTATCGGGGCAGGACCGGTGGGAATTGCGGCGCTTTTAACGGCAAAGCTTTATACACCAGCGTTGATTGTGATGGTCGATCGCGATGAGGCGCGACTAGCTACCGCGCGGGAGCTCGGGGCGGAGACGGTTCAGGCGGATGAGGAGGGGGCACGCGAGAAGCTACTCAGTCTGACGGAGGATCAGGGGTTCGACTCGGTAATTGAAGCGGTCGGAATCCCTCAAACCTTTGCATTGGCCCAGGAATTGGTGGGGATAGGCGGGCGCATTGCCAACGTGGGCGTCCACGGTAAACAGGCGGCTCTCAACTTGGACCGGCTTTGGGATCGGAATATCAGTAAGTTACTCCTTGAAGTAATTCCAAGTAGGATATCCGTGCTGACCAGCAGGCATCCACATGTCGCTTGTGAACGCGACAACCACCGGGAAATTGTTAACGTTGGTGGCCACGAATCAATTGGAGATTTCTCGTTTGGTCACGCACAGTCAGCAACCCAGCCAAGCCCTAATTCCAGGTTCAAGTATAGCAGAGAAGACGAGAGAAAGGAGAAGGGAGAAGAGAGTACTCGTACTCATGTTTTGCTCTTTTCTGCTATACTTCTACTTGCTACAGTTTTCACAATGGTCACTAATACTATTCTATAATCATAGACTTCCCCATTTCCAACGGCACAGCTGCGTTTGACACCTTTAGGAATGCTGCTCAACATCGCGCACTCAAAGTGGCCATTGACTTTTGACCTTTGACTTTATCTACCGGAGTACATACAGAGTAGGTTACGATCGACACCGACCTGCTCGATTCGTTCCTCACCCGTCCTCTCTCGTCCGTTTCATGCGCGTCTTTGTCCCTATCTCCACTATGGAGCTTCTTCGGCGTTTTTGCTGGATGGACACGAGGCTAGCGTCGGCCCCCCAAGGCGACTACGGGACTTTCTATCTTCCGAGGGATACAGAAGGCAAAAGGCCTCAAAAGGAAAGGGTTCCGTTGGTTGTAACCTCGCGTAGTTAGACTTTGCCATTTACATAATTAGTACCCAGCAATATGAGCGTGGCGCACTGACATCATACCGAATAGAAGTGTAAAGACGTGTAGAATCTCGCAATGTAGTCGTAAACTAGAATATTCCGTGAGTTCTCTCGATCTAGAAAATACAGTTAATGCCTCAGTTCTCTAGCGTCTCAGATCCTTCCAATCTCCCTTTTCTCGGGGCCTTTCCGCAAAATCCTGTTAACCTGCTTCATCCCGGGACGAAACGATCCACTTTGCCCGTTTCTCGAAGTTGTGGAGCTAACTGAAGGATAATCCTATTCTAATTGGCTCTCTCCAGCGTGGCTTGCATCCGTTCGAATCGATCTTTTTTTTTTACTTTTTCTTTTTTTCGCGACTATCTCTACTCTACTCTGCCCACCATACAGCTATCTACATTCAACACTCTCTTTTCTTGCACTTACAATCACAAATTCACCCTTCCTCCTCCCCGACCACCTCTAAATCTACTTATACTCTATATGCAATAATTGAATTCCTCTTGCCTTTCCAACATGGCTATTGTCGACGCCATGCGCCGCTCATCACGCGTCTCCGTCGCCACTGAAACTGGCGGCGCCAACACGGGCAATGCGGATCGAACCCTCGAGGATATGGGCTACGTGCCTGAACTTGCACGCAATCGCTCGGTCTGGCAGGTTACTTTCATGTGCTTCATTCTCTCCTCCGTCCCTTACGGTCTCTCCACCACCCTCTACTATCCCCTCGCCGCCGGTGGTCCCGCCAATATTATCTGGGGTTGGGTCCTCGTCTCCTTCTTGATTCTCTGTGTCGCCATCTCCCTCGCTGAAATTACCTCGGTTTATCCAACTGCCGGTGGTGTTTATTACCAAACATTTGTTCTGTCGCCTCTCTGGTGTCGTCGTGTCGCCTCGTGGATCTGTGGCTGGTCGTATGTTGCTGGCAACATCACCATTACTTTGGCTGTCAACTTCGGTACAACTTTGCTTTTTATCGGTTGCCTCAATGTCTTTGAGGATGCCAATGGCAACGGCATCACATCGGATTTCCAGGCTTATCAGACTTTCCTGATCTTCCTGGCCATCACCCTCTTGACCCACGCCGTCTCGGCCTTTGGGAACAAGTATCTGCCCTATATCGAGGTACTTGCTACTTCCCAGCCCTCGTGCCAACTCATACTAATCCAACACTTTATAGACATTCGCCATCTTCTGGACCATCATCGGTATGGTCTGTATCATCATCTGTCTCCTGGTCGTCGCCAAGGAAGGCCGCCGGGAGGCCTCATGGGTATTTGGCAGCTTCGAAGCCAACGCTGGCTGGCCTGCTGGTTGGTCATTCTTCATCGGTCTCTTGCAAGCCGCCTATGCCACTTCGGCTACTGGAATGATCATCAGTCTCTGTGAGGAGGTGCGCGAACCCGCCATTATGGTCCCCAAGGCCATGGTTGGCACTATCGTCATCAACTTCATCGCCGGTCTGCTCTTCTTGATTCCCCTCTGCTTCGTCATGCCTACGATCGCCGATATCTTGAACGAATCCCAGCCTACCCCCGTCATTTTCAAGCATGCCCTTGGCAGTAGCGTCGGAGCTTTCTGTCTGATGATCCCGTTGCTCGTGCTCGGTCTCATTTGCGGTATCGGCTGTGTCACCGCTACCTCGCGCTGCACTTGGGCCTTTGCCCGTGATGGAGGTATTCCCGGCTCTGGCTGGTGGAAGACTGTCCACAAGAAGTTGGACATCCCCTTCAATGCCCTCGTCCTCAGCATGGTCGTCGAGATCTGCCTCGGTTTGATCTACTTTGGTTCCCAAGCTGCCTACAACGCCTTCTCCGGTGTTGGTGTCATCTTCTTGACCATGAGTTATGCATGCCCCATCGCCGTCTCTCTGATCTTCCGTCGTCGCGAGGATATCAAGAACGGCAGCTTCAACTTCGGCATCTTTGGTCTGATTGCCAACGTCTTTGCTCTTGGTAAGTGGAAACGCCTCTCCCTCAGTCCCTAAGCTAACAATCCCAGGCTGGAGTATTCTCGCCATCCCCCTCTTCTGCATGCCAACTCTGAAGGAGGTCACTTTGGATAGCATGAACTACGCCTCGGTGGTCTTCTTCGGAACTGTTGTCATCGCCGCCGTCTGGTACGGAATTTGGGGTTACAACAACTACCGTGGACCTCCTACTGACGCGGTGGATAACCACTCGATGACTGACTCGACCCCTGACGCAACTGAGGAGGTCACCAAGACCAAGAGCCCATAAATCAAGCAAAAAAAACGCCCAGTCATCTACTCCAATCGCTCCTATGCACCGCACCAATGCAGCACCACCGCAAACCACAGCGCCATCGCAATAACATACCACAGCAGCACACGACCCATGGCACCATCCTTCACGGCCCATTCCTCCCACGGCAGCACTCGGATCTCCACGGATCGGACTCGGACTCGACTTGCCTTGCGCTCTTAGGATCCTCGACTCTCGCCCGTTTCACCCGTTTCGATCTCTCCAAGGCGCCCATTCCCATGCAACATCCTCACCACCAGATGCGCCATTGAAAGCCCAATGTGGGTCGTAGCTTGAGGTAGCTTACGCGGAGTTATAGATGTACATAAGCATAGCTATATACCTGTCATTTAATGCATAGATCTACAGTCCTTCGGCTTTACATTTGCAAAGAACTCCCGGTGACCAGGTCACTCAGAACTACTATCAATAACAATAGCATCGGACTCGGACTGTCCGACAAGGTCAATAGGAAGATGTACGGGTCTAGGCGGTCCAGCCGGAAGATTTGCCTCTAGAAAATCCCGGATCGCAACCAACGGGACGCCATGCCTCATGGCCGTGGAATCGTCCCACGAGGAATGCAGTCCGACCAGAGTCCCATCCGATGACCTTAACAGCGGTGCCCCCGAGTGGCCCCAGTAGGTCCAGGCATCATGTTTGAGAACGCCAATTTCCGAGTTGTCATGTGGATCAACGTTGGGAATCAGCCCACATAGCCGACCCTCGGATACCTCGATCAGGTCGTATGCCGTCTTGCGGGGCAAACTTGACTCTAGGTCGTCTGCGCCGGGTTGTCCGATACAAAATATCGATGCGGTGGGGTCTTGTATTGTTGCGGGGGAGATATGGCTGAAGATGGGGCATCGCCTGTCGGCATCACCCGGCTGGGGCTGCTCCATCTCAACGCGGATGACCTTGGCCAGCGCGAGATCGCGTCGTGGGTCCCAGACGCGACATTCCACTTGCACCGCCAGCCCGGTGTAGTATAGCAGCCATTTCCGTCGGTATGTTTGCCATTCTTGGCGCGTTTCACCGAAGCAGTGCGCGCAGGTGATGATCCAGCCTCTTGCGTCGATACACACTGCTGTACCTGCCTCGGCTTGACCGAATATCAACGTGGATTTCAGAGCGCGCACTGCCTGTGGACTTATTTCACGGGCCAAGTCAACTGTGGATGGGGTTGAATTTCGTAGTCGTTGCTGTTTTTGTCGTAGAACCTGAAGCTCGGTGCTATTGAGATCAGGTAGCGATTCGTTGAAAATGATTCCTGGTTCGCTCGGAGTGGAAGCTGGGACAAAATGAATAGGTGAGTGGCTGTTTGTTGTTAGTTCCGATGATTTAGCGTGTGATCGCAGCCGACGAAGCATATTATCGGGGTGTTTTCCAAGGTTGTTGGAAGCAAACTTGACACTTCCAAGTTTGTCGAGTGGGCATCCCTGGAGAACGCGATGTACTTCATCACGTGATGCAGCCACAACAAAAAGTTGAACCACAAGAAATACAAGAAATACTAGTACAACTTCAACTTGAAGTAAGAAAGAGCCAGATGGACTTGCGGACTCTACTCAAAGGGATTATTCAACCTTGTAAGCTCAAGTTCCTCATTGTATTTGGCTCTTTCAACCTTGGAAGGTTCCGATTTGAATCACACTCCCTGTGGATGGCGTGGGGCATAGTGCTACTAGTACTAGTATATATATTGTACACCTTCAGCACCTACTTGAATCTAGACCTTGAACTTCCAAGGGTTGGACCTCGGGAACTTGAACTTGACTTCCAAGGTCGAACTTGAATTTGCCCAGGTGAAAATTCCAAAATGAATTGATTAAATTGTGTTGCTAGTACTCTTAGGTTTTACCAGTACTACCTACTCAAGAACCACTGCCTAGGTGGCAACCTTGGAATAGCCCTGGAGAGACTAGCTAAAAAAAAGAAAAAACCTTGGAAAAACAATGCTACCTTTGGGCGGCATGCCCTATGTACTAATACGCTGCATTTCTTGTAATACTAGGAAAATACTACCTAATACTATCCTCTGGACCAGTTTAATAGTTAGTACCCAGGTATACATTCTCTTGGCCTGAATTCTCCAATATTCCAAGTATCAACCGATAGCTGCAATGTGGTCAGTCACAAGGCAAGTATAGTCATCCGTCCCATAATAAATGGTATTGCCATCGTCGGAAGTTTGACCAGTAGAGAGTGTGTCCCCCAGTTGCCAATAAAGATCTGCTGAAATTCCCTTCGTGTGTAGAGCTGTCGTTTGCCAAGGAGCTTCAACTGCACAATGGTCAGAGGTAACACCGTATTCCTCAAAGAGGCAGGGCTTGCCCGCTGCAACGCAAGCAGCCCCATGGGCGGTGATCCAGAGATTCCCCCAGTCGTTAGTCGTGCCCCCTATGATCATGTCAATACCGGGCGTGCGAAGAGAAAATATAAGCATTAATAGGAAGGGCAGCCAAGACTGGGTGCTTACAGCTAGAAGGGTAAAGATGGAATGTTCCAAAGTCAATGTCATCAATAGCCAAGTTCATGGTGAAGTTTGAGCCCTCGCCGTATGTAAAAGGATAGCTTCCATCGGATTGCACATTAAGACCAAAGCCCTCTGTAAGGAGTCAGTAAGAAAAAGGAAAGACTAATAAAATGTGGGGACCAATTGACTGACCGTCACCAATGCAAACCAAATGCTCCGAGTCAAGCGATTTGATGTATGCTGAAGTCGATTTAATCCAGTTATAGAGCGTCGAAACATCGCAACCATTGCAGCGAGGCTCATTTGCCAATTCCCAGGCAAAGATCGCTGACGAATCACTATACCGCGCTATTACTGTCTTGATGTATGTGCGATAGGCAGCCTGCGCATCTTCATTGGTATACCATGTGGTTTGGGAGCCTCCAAAAGCCGTGACATATGCCGCCATGCCGCCATAGTCACTCCAATTATTGACAAAGTTGATGATAAGCTTGATGTTGCGCTTTTCCGCGGATGCGACGACATAGTCGAGTCGCTGGAGACCATCAGACCCTGTGTTGATCGTTGCAACACCGTCCTTAAGCAACTGGTAGTAGACTGTACCCGAAGATGGAACAGTATTGACATCGTTGAAGCCCCATATGCGCAAGATACGCTGTCCTGCCTCGTTCATGTGGTCCAAGACTAGATCTACATCGTCGTTCTAGGAGGAGATATAATCAGTGAGTTTGTCTTGACTTCTTCTTTCTACAACGATAGAATTTACTCACGTTTGTCAAGAAGCCAATCCAATACGAGTTGGATCCAGCAAAATACCCAGGCTCGCCATTGATAGTGAAGTTCAGGCCCTCGATGCCGACAAATTCTGTTGACGTTCCAACCGATGTTCCCGAGGTAGTAGAAGATGCGCTAGTGGTCGTCTTACTGGCGCTTGAAGTTGAAGTTGCTTTTGAAGTAGTAGTTGTCTTTGTGGTCGTCGCAAGAGTAGTACTCGTGCTGCTGGTGGAAACCAAGCATTGACTATAATAATCATTCTGATATTGGCAGGACCATCCTGACTGGCAGGTGGTTTCACCTGAGTAATTAACACCGCCACATTGACCATATGGAGATACGGCAGCAGATGCCAGACCGGCGAGAAGCAGGATGGCGAAAGACTGCATGATTGATGTTCAATTGATGCGTTCCTTGAGTTGACGAAATTGGGAATCTTATCTCCGATTTTAAGCTGCTGGAATCTACACCAAAGAAATTACAGGGAACGGGTACACCTCCGTTATGCATTTGGAGATCAAATTGATATAGTGGCCGTGCATGTCTGGGGTAGTTCGAGCGCCGGCTCCGTGATGTTTGGGGCATAGAAGTGGGGACGTAGATAGGTGGCGTGCCAGATTGATTGCGGAAGCAAGTGGATGTCAAGATGGCTAGTGACTTGATTATGGCTTGACGAAAGGTAAAATTCAATATCGATCCCAGTTAGCATTCTAATACATACTCCGTAGTCCGTACCCCCGATCCGGACAAAAAGCTTGCAGTATGCGGAGATGGGGCGGAAGAATTCACAAGACGAAGCCCGGTTGCTCGACGGGGCAAGGCTGCGTCGCCGTGGCCGTGCTGTGGGGAGCGGGGGGAAAAAGATAAAAAAAAGAGAAATGCATTACCTTATGGCATTCTTTCGGGTTGAAATTCCGGCTATTAGGCGAGATCGTGGGGAGAACGGAGTACATAGCAGAGAATTTCCGTGAATACAGAATGGTTAGTCCTCACACTGCAATCGCTGCGACCGCGGATGGAGATCCAAGACGCGTCACATGCTTCGCCTTCGCCTACGACCGTTAAACCACAGGTTTGTCGGCTGCCATTCGGTCGAAAGCATTAAATTCGGCGTCTTTCCTGAGTGCCCTGTTGATGCCTGGAAAATACCAAGGATGGCATTTTGGATACTTTCCCCTGCTCTTCCGATTCGATCTCGGCCAGACCAAGGTTACAACTGTTGGTAGCGAAGACATAATGCACCAATAAAGAAGCCGGCATCTCCCAGCCGGGGATTACAGGCACGTTCTTTCTCGGCGCGGTCGGATTCCTTCGAGACCGCGCGGTAAGATCGGTTGTACCAAGTTTGTGTGTTATCCATCATGCCCGTACTTCGTAGGCGCTACTCCGTAGATTATTCCACGTTCTTGAGAACACGAGGATTGGGCTAAGAACTACTCCGCCATTACTCAGCGCTTGGGCAGACATTCCTTTCAGGAGAGGCGCATCCAGGGGTTCCCCACAAGTAAAACTCTGATAGCTGTGCCCCCGAAAACAAACTATTGTCCTTAAGACCTTCTCGAACGGGAACTCTGTGACAGTGCGAGCAACCTATTAAATTCTATGTGTTACTAGTGGGGGGCGATCTTTATTGAGCAGACTCTGCAGTGACGTACAAACAACTAAGAGCCGGCTGTGGCGGCGCCACCGAGCTGACTTAGCTTCGGGCGGATGCCGAATGACGATGTGCTATGAGAGTGCTAGTATGTACTAGTATAGGGGGAGTTGCCTCAATGTGCACTGGGGTTTAGACGGACTAGGTACATCTGCTAGGGCAGGGAGGGGGGAGTTGAAATGTTTGGAGAAACCGCGCAGGATATGTATGGTGATGAAAGACCTTGTCTCGATGTCTCCAGACTCCGCATTTCCCCTCGATCCCCTTATTTCTGGCGTTTCTGGAGCTGGGCTGTGCGACTCACCGAGAAACTCATCGGGTATGAGTTGTGGGTGAACATCCGGAGGCCTGGAGTAACCCGGGGCATCCGGCCCACTTGCAATTACCCGACTACAGTACAGCAACAACTCGTGGTATACGAATGTTAAGCTTCCATAACATGGTGAATATATCCCACCAGAGCAAAGATAGAGATATACATATCTCGTATCTGATCCTGATCGGGCCAGAGCCGAGTCGGATGGCCGAGCCAAGCCAGTATCCCGGCATCTCTGGGGCTGTCTCGACGCCCACCCCGTCCCGAGGCCGAGTTCGCCACTCCGATATTCCCCTCGCCTACTCCGTACTACGCAATTGCCCCGGCCGGGGCACTTCGGCTATCCGTATGACTGGCGAACCGCTTCCGATCGTCCGCTGGAACCGATTCTGGCTGGCTGTTCCCCTGCCGGCGGTGGATTCGGGGCCGTGCGAGTCGGCTTCGGCCGGTTTCCTTGTTGTCATCGGGCATTTGGCGGGCATTACAAACGAGAGACACTCGTGGCAGAGCCGTTGCCAGCGTGGTGGCCTCTCCACATCTCCACTCTGTGTGCCCCGGGGCGGATTGTGGGCAAATAATGATGGGCGAAATGACGGGCGTTGAGTTTTCCTGTCCCTGCTGGCAAATTATTAAAAAGCCCTTGCTTGTCCTGCTTTTCTCTCTTTTTTTTTTTCTTTTCTTTCCCATGGGCAACTTCCCTCCCTGCTTTCTTTCTCATTTCTAAACTTTAGGGGTTCACGGTTTTTCTCGGATACTAGTATATCTGATAGATTATCCATCCGGTAAACCAATCGTCAACCAACTACACCCGGCAGAGAATTACCCTCATCTCCATCATCATCATGGGTATTGAATCAAGTTCCCACCATGGGGAGTCTATCACCCCGGCAGAGGGTGTTCTCCAGTCGAGTGCCGACACCTCCTACCAGAACAGCCCCGTTCAGAAGCCAATGAAGCACGCCGGCGTCGATACTCCAATCCCGCGCATCACCCTGCGCTCCCTCGTCATGGCCCTTTTCGTCTCCATGGGAGGTCTCCTTTTCGGTTACGATACTGGTCAGATTTCTGGTTTCCAGGAAATGAGCAACTACTTGGAGCGTTACGGTGAACAGAACAGTTCAGGCGACTATGCATTCAGTACCGTTCGTTCGGGTCTCATCGTCGGTCTGCTTTCTATTGGTACCCTGATTGGCGCCCTCGTTGGCGCTCCTCTCGCTGATTATCTCGGACGCAAGTGGTCTATCACTGTCTGGTGTCTTATCTTGAATGTCGGTATCATCGTCCAGATTTCTTCACCCGATGGACACTGGTGGCAGATGGTTATTGGCCGTTGGGTCACCGGTCTTGGTGTTGGTGGCTGCTCTTTGCTCGTCCCTATGTACCAGGGTGAAAGTGCCCCTCGTCATATCCGTGGTGCAATGATTAGTTGCTATCAACTGTTTGTTACCCTTGGTATCTTCCTTGCGTACTGCATCAATCTGGGAACCCACACCCTCGATGGTACCGCCCAGTGGCGCATCACCCTTGGCCTGACTTTCCTATTTGCTCTCGTCCTTGGAGGTGGCATGGCTTTCTTTCCCGAGAGCCCTCGTTTCGAATTCCGTCACGGCAAGGCTGAGAGTGCCCAGCGTACCCTGGCCAAACTCTATGGTATCCCCGAGAACCACACCCGCATTATCGAGGAGATGGATGAGATTCGCGAGCAGTTCGAAGCTGAGTCTGAAGGACAGAAGTGGAACGAGTTCCTGACTGCTCCTCGCATGTTCTACCGTATCGCCCTGGGTATGGTCCTGCAGTCCTTGCAGCAGCTGACCGGTGCCAACTACTTCTTCTACTACGGAACCACCATCTTCCAGGGTGCTGGTATCTCTGACAGCTTCATCACTCAAGTTATTCTTGGTGCCGTCAACTTCGGAACTACCTTCGGTGGTTTGTACATCGTTGAGAACTTCGGTCGACGCAAGTCTCTTATCTTCGGTGCGTGCTGGATGTTTGTTATGTTCATGATCTTTTCCTCTCTTGGTCACTTCATGCTGGACATCGAAACCCCTGAGAACACCCCCAATGTTGGCAAGGGCATGATCGTCGTTGCTTGTCTGTTTATTGCTGCCTACGCCATGACTTGGGGTCCTATGATTTGGGCCATTGCCGCCGAGCTGTTCCCCTCCAAGTACCGTGCCAAGGGTATGGCTCTGGCCACTGCCTCCAACTGGGCTTGGAATTTCCTTATCAGTTTCTTCACTACGTTCATCACCGACTCGATTGACTTTGCTTACGGCTATGTCTTCGCTGGTTGCCTTTTCCTGGCTGTGCTGGTCGTTTACTTCTTCGTTATCGAGGGTAAGGGCCGCACCCTGGAGGAACTTGACTGGATGTACGTCAACAAGGTTACTCCCTGGAAGAGCAGCTCTTATGAGCTTCCCCCTCGCCAGGAATGGACCGGGGATGAGACTCTCTATAACCGCAAGGAGCAAGGAGGTCACCAGCACGCCGAGGTCGCATAGTCGGTATGCCCTTGTTCCTTCGCAATTTTCCTTCTTCTTTCCTTTATTGAAGTGGCATGTTTATTTAAAGCCACATTATTCATGATTGCATGAATTCTGCGATAGGCAATGTCTTGGGCCTGGAGTTCCGAGTTGTCACGCATTTCACGGCGGAATGTATTTATAGAATACCTTGCATATTTCCATATTAATAGACCGGATCTATCTTTGACTTCGTTTCGTTCCGTATTTCCAAGTGTAGAGTCTAGAGCTCGCATACTGCCCCACAGGACATCAAATGACGAATTTTATTGGTTAATATACCGTAGCGACGTGCTGCATTAGGAAAATCGTCTGTTGTCTGCAACAGTGGGGTCATCGGGCTGTGATACCCTTCGCTCCTCCGGGGCTAGGCAATCAAAAAGTCCTTCGCAATATGTAATACGGGAGAGCCGCAATTTTATAAACCTGCAGGTCCCCAGTGGGAAGCGAGATGAAGGTTTGAAAACACCATATACCACAGCATCCCCCCAAACCCACCAGAGGCGACACTGCATAGTGCCTGTCCAAACTGCGAATCTCCCCGTTTCTAGTATCAAATAACGAGCCACCGGGAGATATGACTTACGCTGGAGTAAGAAGCACGGGCTGTTTTCTATGTAGAAAGAGGAAGGTCAAGGTATGCACCTGTCTAAAACGAAGAGTGTAACCGATCCTTACTTTTGATAATAATCCAGTGCGACGAGGAAAAGCCGTATTGCAAGAGGTGTATTGCTTATGGTCAAACTTGTCCTGGGTACTGGTCACATCAGCCGTTGATCTTTCGGGACGAGAGCAGGAAGGTAGAGATGCGAGCAAAGAAGCAGGATAGTCGGAGGGAAATGTCGAGCCACTCAGACTCTGGATGATATGCGAAAACCCATGGTATCTATAACAATTAAAATAGAGATCAAATCTCCCACTAAGAAATTAGGAGCCAAGGTAGGGCGTCTGATTATAACCTTGGAAGTGTTCTTTATCTGCGACCTTTTTGAGGTTTAGCATTATTCTTGATATATAGAATCTATTCTGCGACCGGTGCATTTATTTTATTGAATATGTCGGATTATGAATATGCTTTGCTTTACATAAAGCTCACAGCTGTCTTAATCCTCGCAAGATGGATATAATCAAAGAAATAGAGACAAAAAAGGCCATGGTACTCAGATTTTGGCTTTGATCTCCCCGCGAGTAGCTATGAGACGCCCCTTCGTATTTTTGTTACTCTCCATCTGTCGTAGCACCCTGCGAAGTATCTTTCCACTGGCACTTTTGGGGATCTCATTTAGCATCTCGGCTTCGGTGATCCATTTATGGCGGACTTTGTTCTTACGAACATAGTCAATAATAACATTCAGCAACGATCGAATCTGACCGGGAGTTTTGTTCTGGCGAATATCTTGTTTAAGAACGACGTACGCTTTTGGTCGCTGGCCTGTGTATTCATCCGGAATGGCACCCACGGCTACATCCTCGACGATTGGGTGCCCAAGCAAAAGGTCTTCCAACTCCGCCGGGGCAACTGCGATGCCCTTGACTTTGATCATTTCTTTGATCCGATCGGTTATCGTAATGAAGCCTTCTGAATCAATGAATCCAATATCGCCAGTGTGGAGCCAGTTTTCGGCGTCGAAGGTTTCTCGGGTGGCCTTTTCATTGTTGAGGTAGCCCATTACAATCTGTGGACCTCGAGAAAGAATTTCTCCGGGCATATCATAGCCAAGCTCCTTGCCCGTATCGGGGTCCACGATCTTGACTTCGGTACTTGCAACAATGGTTCCAACTCGGTGTGCGTATTCGTATGTAGATTTATCCAACGGGTGTGCTGTAATACAGCTACAGGATTCTGTCATGCCATAGCCCTGTTTAAAACCGGCATGAGGGAAACGGCTCTTCAGGGCCAGTATGACTTCCGCAGATAATGGAGCCGCGCCAGAAGAAAACTTGCGAACGTGAGAAAGATCGTAATTTTGTACGATTGGGTCACGTAAAAGGCGGATCAAGATAGGTGGAACAAGAAGCATCTCAGCGATTTGATATTGAACCACGGTTTCTAACATAGCCTGCATTGTGAATGTAGGCAGCATGTAAACCTCTGAATTTCTGAATAGGGGAAGATGCATCTGGTGCACAAGACCAGTGACTTGGTTTTTTTTATCAGCAAAACAGTGAGATAGTAGGGACTTAGGGTGAATTACTATGGAAAAGTGGAAGCACTGCTAAAACCTTGTTATGATTATCTGCAGTTATCTGGGCAACTTGTAAGCACTGCGCAATTACGTTCGAATGCGATATCATGACCTATGAAGTGACTGGTGTTAAGCTCTTATCGTGGGAGGATAAAGGTGGATTCACAAGCTTACTGCCTTCGGAAGCCCAGTAGTTCCACTGCTGAAGCTCAAAAATCCACAGACATCCCGGTTAGTCCTTCCTGCTGGAATTTGATAAGGTGTGACTTGATTGTTTCCATATTTTTTGCCAAATGCTAGAAGATCCTTGACAGTCCAGAAACCATCAGCCTGACCCTCGAGAAGTATGATATGAGAATTCGAGATCCCCGCATTTCTGGCAGCTGGCACTGCAACGGAAAGCGATGAGGCCGCAGTCATAATAACTTTGGCCTGGGCGGTTTGTAATGCGTAGGTCATTTCCTCCACATTATAGGCAGGGGAAGCACCGGAGATAAGACCTCCTTCAAATGTTATTCAGCATATTAAAGCCAATACCCCCGAAGGACAGACAATTTACCAATACGATTAGTCGCAAACATGGCAACGGGATACCATATTGAATTTGGGCTGAACAGTGCCACCGTTTCCCCTGCGGCAAGTCCTAATTTATGCACCAAGGCTGTTGAAAGATACGTAGCGTAATCCTTCACCTCGTCATATCTGACCCGCTCTTTGGTGGTCGCATTCGTGAATCCAGAAAGAGTAGAAGGATGTTTGTTTTGCAGAGGAGAACTGCTAGATTCGAAAAGCCAGTCCCATAAAGTGAGGTCCGGCACTGCATTCAACGTCATTCAAGTTAGTTTCAAATCTTCAATCAGATAAAATTAGGCATCTTATACCTGATATATCCGGATGCTTTGAGTTGAAAATCATGCTTGAGAAAATACTACTCGGATGTTTATTTTGCGACGGAACTCTCTTCTACAGCTCTTACTCTCTGAGCCTGCTGGTGGGTTGGCGTTTTAAGTTGATGGAAGGTGCAATCGTGCTACTAGTGGATTTATTTATGAGATGTACTAGTATGGAGCGGGGTCATAAAAATATACTAGTATCTGCTGAGTTTCTCGGCTCGGTGAGATTGCCGACAATGTGTTCGGCCCTCGGTCTACAGTCTTGCAGGCAATGGTCACAAGTAGGGAGAAAATGCACATTGATGGAAATTTGCAGTACACGCACGTCTAATCGCGCAGTCTGTGTAAAAATCGCAAGACGCTGGAAGGATTTAATTCAACATCAAAACACTCTTTCACTTGGGTCGATTCAATTGTATCTACTACTGCTAGTACTAACTCTAGAAGTATGCCGAGCGGGGATTGCGGGGAATTTCTAGTGACCGGAGGATGCTCCGCCGCCTTTTCTCCCTTCACGAAGGATCCTTATCTGCAATGGTGATTGATTGGACTTAATCCATTGATTGCACTGTGACTTTTCCGGAGCGTACTCTGTGGCATGACCGAATCAAAAAGTTGTTTATTCTGCTTCGGTCGCCTGTCGGTTTTTCATGAAAATAAGCAAAGCAAACAAACAAACAAACAGAAAACAACGCAATACCCCTGATCTGATCTGACCATGAACATTCTCCAAATACAAGCGCATTTATTTGTATGCGAGAACAGTCGCCCTAGATTAATTGATTTCTAGTCCCAGAGCCTGTAGGGCTCTCATAAACTTGAATGGCCTCGAAACGAAACGAAATTTTCTTTTTTTTTTCCCCCTGTTCACAACTCTTGCCACCTGTCTTGGCAACGCTCGCCACCGGCGAGATGCTTCTTCTCTCTTCGCGATCCCAGAACTTCATATTTGCAGACATCTTATTCGGGATCTGAAGCCGCCAAAGAAGATCTTTCCCCACATAACATGGCTTGCCACTTCTGCGTACACAAGGGCCCTCCCACAGCCAAAACTCCGTCGTGGAATTGGTGAAAAACTTTGACGGAGATTAGTTAGCATCACAATGCCGGCTCTTTGCCCCATCGGGGTGTATTCTACTCTTGATTGCTACCTGCAAAAAATTAGGTTGTGTTTCAGAGCATAAATCTTCGCGTTTGACAGCTACCCAAGTTAACGCGTCTGGGTTGCTCGGTGGAAAGGGGTCGGCAAGTTTCACCCGTTTTAGTTGACGGCCGCAAAGCCCCATTTTCGACTGTCAAATGGATCTAGTCCAGTCTAGAATCACTTCCGCCACCCCGGGATGCCACTTCTCACAGGTCTACTAGGCCGGAATACCCGAGAACCTTGCAGTCTGGGCACAGCCATGTTGCATGGGCACCTGACCGGGAAGAGCTATTCCATTCATTTCTTTCGCATGGAACTTTGCTCAAAGTTCGTCTCATCTTCCAGCACCAAAGACCAGATACCGATAATACATACCCCGGTCCGACGACTTATCTCCCCCATGAACTACATTGGCACCACCGCGAACGGATGCGCGTTCCTATCGCTGTGCAGCTTGCGCTGCTGGTGCTTTTAACTTCCGTGGTGGGGATAGCAGTTCTTGCGATTGCGACGGTGAGTGCCCCAGTCCCAGCGAAGGCGCCCGCCGAGCAGACGATTTAACATCTCGCGCAGTGGATTACCACCTACAACTTCGTGGTCGACGTAGGGTAAACGATTCACCTTCCTGAATTCCCACATCATTGCTGACCCTTACCCAGATCTCAAGGCCTCGAACTCGTTGCTACCATCAAAGCCAGCCAAATCGCTTCCAACCTAGATCTTCTCGAAACAACCTGCAAAACGATCTCGACGCGTCTCCTTGTTCAGTCCGCTCTCCGTCGCTACAATGAAGGAAACAACTCGAGTGAGAATTGGGTTTACGCCATTACGGACTTACAGTCAGCACTTGGAAGCCGAGGGTACTTGAGTTTATACCAGGCGATTCTTTTCCCCAAAGAGGGCAACTCGAGTCAAAGGCTGCTCAAGGTCACCAGCGAAAGCATCCCGGACATTACCCTCCCATATAACTACTTGAATGGGAGTTCAGTCAAGCTGGGGTCAACGGATCTCGGCTTCCCATCAACTCTATACCCGAACCTCACCTATACAAACTCATCCAATGAGGAGAACTCAACTTCTGCGTTTGCGTTTCCCGATTATGCTCTTGGCCTTGGATCATCGCTACTATTGGGACCACTTACCATCAACGGTTCCTTTTCTCTCATCTCTTTAACCGTCCCGATTGTGAACAACACATCAAATAAAGACCTCCTAGGCTTCATCACGTACGTGCAGCCTCACAGATATGTCTCAGCTTTTTTTGTTTGCAAGTATTAATCCCAACTCGCATACAGCGTCGTAGCCAGTGCGACAAATGTTCAGAATGTCATAAGTTCACGCGATGGACTTGGAACTACGGGGCAGGCCCTTTTGCTGGGGCCATCCAGGCCAGAGAACACTTTTGCCAGCACAACCCAACCTTCAACCGCTACTTCTGGCCCGGAGGCAGTAGAACTTGCCAATGCAGAGGTGCACTATATCTTCGAGCCAACACCCCTACCTGGCCAAAACAGCCGTCACGTCGGTGTTTCAACCAACACTTCATTTCCGCTATCCAAGTACGTGGTCGCACTGGAAATCATGCGCCAGTCTTCTAAAAACGAAAACAAGTCGATCAGCCGTCTTTCTACTAAAAATGAGGAAGGATCTAATGTGGCTGTTGGCGCAATCCGGCCCCAAAGTCCCTTAGTACAATGGATTCTCATCGTTGAAGAAACCCATGCAGAGGCGTTTGCGTCTGTCGTTCGACTACGCAAAATTATCCTTGCCTGTGTATTCGGAACAGCTGGTGCTATCATTCTCACGGTGCCTCTCCTCACTCATTGGGCGGTTGCTCCTATCCGAAGACTCAGACAGGCCGCGCAGAAGTCGGTCGCGCCCCAAGTGTTACAGCTAAATCAACCTCGTTCTTCCCATGAAGAGAATTCTGACAGCATGAGCAGGATGAATGGAGCGGAAAACTCTCATGAACCGGACGAAAAAGGGCACTGTTTCACTATGGGTAAAACGCTCGAAAGGACTCATGGAAAGACTGAACACTTCTAACGATTCGGTGAAGAGAAACCCACCAAATAATTTTGAGATACCGGGCAGAGTCAAAGAGCGGCGGCACTGTGTGACGGACGAACTCACGGAGCTTACCGGGACTTTCAACGAAATGTCAGACGAATTGACAATTCAATACAACCGCCTTGAGGAGCGCGTGGCTGAGCGGACTAGGGAGCTGGAGAAGGCTAAATTAATGGCAGAGACTGCCAATGAAAGCAAAACACTTTTTATCGCCAATATCTCACACGAGTTGAAGACACCCCTCAACGGAATTTTAGGAATGTGTGCCGTTTGCATGGGAGAAGACGACCTGCCTCGAATCAAGAAGTCTCTCCAGGTCGTTTATCAATCTGGAGATCTTCTCCTTCATCTTTTGAATGACTTGCTGACGTTCAGCAAAAATCAAATTGAACAGGCCATCCACCTCGAGGAGAAAGAGTTTAGGCTTTCTGATGTTAGATCGCAGTTGGCCATAATCTTTCAGAACCAGGTGCACGAGAAGAAAATTGACTTCAGTGTCAACTGTATGGCTGGTAGAAAGGATCAGCTCGCGAACCAGTATTCGATGTGCCATGAACAGAGTGTTGAGTCAGATCCGCCAGGAAGGCTCATGGATATGATCCTCTGGGGTGATCAACATCGCCTCCTTCAGGTTCTGATCAACTTGGTCAGCAATAGTCTGAAATTCACGCCAGAAAACGGAAAAGTTGAAGTGCGAATCCGGTGTTTTGACGGTCCCTTGGCCTCAGAGGGCTCGAGTTCTCCAAAGCAAGGGCCTCAAGCGAGTAGTGGGTCGGATGATAGCCAAACATATCACCGGGATAGCCTAGAAAGGCAATCAACAGATCAATCATGTTTCCGACCGTTGTTCTTCCAGTTTGAGGTGGAGGATAACGGGCCGGGCATTCCTGCACACCTTCATCGACGTGTCTTCGATCCGTTCGTCCAAGGCGACTTGGGGCTAAATCGTAAATATGGAGGCACCGGCCTCGGGCTGAGTATTTGCGCGCAGCTTTCGCGGATCTTGAATGGTGTCATCCTTGTGGATAGCGAGGAGGGACGAGGATCCATTTTCACTCTACGGATTCCTTTGAAATTCGTCAAGGAGCTGGCCCCAAGTACTCACAACTCTAGTGCTCCCGGCTCACGAACACCTAGTGTTCTGTCTCTGGATGGATTTTCAAATGCTGCACGCACGACGTCTAATCACGGATCTTTGAAAAGCGAACCTACAGCTCCTGGCTTTGACAAGTCCGATATCCAACCGCGACTGGTTGGCCTGAGCCAACCATTCTTCACCCCAACAGTTCCCGCATCGCCTGCATCGTCTGCATCCAAGGGCCCACGGTCCAAGAACGGCCCGACGACGCAGAGCGAAGACCCTCGGAAGATTCGAGTTTTGGTTGCCGAGGACAACACGGTCAATCAAGAAGTTGTTCGGCGGTATGTTCAAGGAATTTCCGTCCAGTCGCCAGTCGCTAATACCCAGTAGAATGCTTGCCCTTGAAGAAGTATATGATATCACGATGGTGAAGGATGGACAGGAGGCTTTTGACATCGTTAAGCTGAGCATGGAAAAGGGACTCGTTTTCGATCTGATTTTCATGGACATTCAGGTACGTTTCCTCCCCTAACCTCGAAGCCCTTGGTTACTAAATATTTCAGATGCCAAACCTGGATGGCCTTCAAAGCACCCGACTCATTCGTGAAATGGGCTACTCTGCCCCTATCGTGGCCTTGAGTGCCTTTGCAGAAGAGAGTAACATTAAGGAATGCATGGAGTCGGGTATGGATATGTTTATCAGGTGAGTAGCCGTCGCTGCCTTCAATGCAGACCTTGTAATTAATAACAACCCTAGCAAACCGATCCGCCGCCCTGCACTAAAACAGGTTCTCAATAAGTTTGCGACCATCCCGGAGGAGCTGGAAGGCAACTCACACATTAATAACTAGTGGAAACAAGTCAATTTGTACAAGCACCCGGCGTGTTAAAGCATGTTTTCTTCGAACTCAACTTGAACTTACCTGGGCAAATATTTTGCTACTAGTAGTGTATTCATGTATTAGTTAGCATTTTCTCCTACTAGACGCCGCGGCATTTCCAACTTCCAAGGTTGAACGTTCCTCCAGGGCTGCTAGTACTAGTAGCCCCGGAGTGCTGGTAATGACTAGGGACAAGTTAAAAGGAGGCAGCCCAGGTGCCTTAGACATCCAAGATTGCCTTCCCGGCGGGTTGCTACCTTGCCCTCTCCTGGATCTCCACCTGGCGGATACTAGTGGTAGTATTTTGTGCCTATGCGTCACCACTTTCATGGTTCTGACCTTCGTCAGACAGTTTTCTCCTGATATGTATATATACGCTTTCAGGTACTCCGAGGTCGTTACTCATTATTTCACGCCTCAATTTGGCTTCCAAGGTTGTTCAAGTTTTTAAAATGAAACTCTCTCTCCGTCGGGTCGGTCATATCGGATTTAAACTTACAACCGCCGACAAACGTTGATATTTCCGATTTGTCTCCAAGCCCCCCCTTCCTTCTTGTTTTGTCGGAATTCTTTCGCCATTAATCTATAACGATCATGTCCGAACCATCCAGAATTATCCGAAAGCGCCGTCGCCCTGCGCATTCATGTGTTGAGTGCCGCCGCCGCAAAGTCCGGTGCGATCGAAATAAGCCGTGTGGTCAATGCGTCTCCCACCGCGCCCCGTCTTGCACTTATGCGGATCACGTCAACGCTGGGCAGACATCCCATGTTGGCCAAGCGACCGAAGGGAACGAGACCAGGTCACAATCTCCTATATCTGTTGAACAGTCAAGTAACGATGTATCCGAGCGGGACTCGGTGACCTTTGGCCAAATACATGGCATTATGTCCAAGACTCGGATTTTCGGCCATGGGCACTGGATGAATACAATGCCTCTAGTAAGAAAATCGGGTTTCGAGATATTGTTCTTGGCATTCCTGCTGAAACTGTACAGGCGTCTGAGCTTTCTATAATGGGCCCAACCGAAGATTACAAGTCACTTTACACGCAGCCGTCTAGTAGTGGCGAGCAAGACCCGATCTCGCAACTCATGACCGAATGCAAGCAATTAGCCCGGGAGGCCAAAAAGCAGCGTCCATTTCGGCAGTCTATCCCGACACATATATACCAGTCAATCCCCAAACCTGAAGTCATTGAGGATCTGATCAGTCTCTATTTTTCCACTTTTGAATCTTGCTACAGGGTCTTGCATTTCTCCTCGTTCAAAAAGGAGTATGACAGTCATGTCGAGCAACCACAAAACACCAAAACATCTTTCCTTGTAGTTCTTCTGCTTGTTATGTCTATTTCCGGCACATTGCACAATGAAGCTCATGTTCGCAAGGACATATCGGCCAAGGCGCAATCTTGGATCAGCGTTTCTCAAACATGGCTCTCAGCCCCATTCGAGAAGGATAGACTGACACTGAAAGGGATTCAAATCCACTGTCTCTTGCTTCTTGCTCGTCAAGTAAACCGAGTCGGGGCAGATCTGGTGTGGATCTCGGCAGGAACCCTCATGCGAATGGCAATGCAGATGGGGTTACACCAAGATCCGAGCTCTTTGCGAGATATGGATATACAACAAAGGGAAGTTCGAAGAAGATTATGGTATACAATTTTGGAGATGAATGCGCACTCCGCTTTGGACTCTGGTATGGCGCCCATGGTTACGGACGATGACTACACCACCCGACCACCATTGGACTTGAGCGATGAAGACCTCGACCACGCCACAATTTTAGGAGAAGATGGGAGTCCATCCCAGCAAGAAAGCCCTACTTTTTTTCAATGTGTTTTGGCACAGTCAATTGGGTTCAGGTTAACTGTCGTTCGCATTGTCAACAGTCTGAATGTGAAGCCTTCCTACGATGAAGTTCTCTCCATTGGACACAAGCTAGAGATAGCATGCCGCGAAGCCGCGAGTGCGCTGAACAGATCTGCCACCCTGCAACGCCAAACTCCGTTCAATCAATTTGCACATAGCTTTTGCAGCCACCTCATCCGCCGCTTTCTTCTTTGTCTTCACTTTACCTATGCAATCAAGGCCAAAAGCTCTCCAATATACACTCATTCACAACAGGTATGCCTCGAAGTTTCTCTAGAACTTGTCTCTCTACTTGATGACAGTCTTTACTCCCGAGTGCTCATAAATGGTGGTGGTATGTTTCGAGATATCATTACGAGAGGGGCTCTGATGATATATCTAGAGTTGACCTCCAGACTGCCTGTGGAATCTAGTATTTCTCATTTTGCCAAAGAAAAGAACCAGTCTCGCCAGATACCATTAATGGAGGATGCTCAAAAGGTGGCTAAATATGCAGAAAACAGGATGTTACATGGGGAAACGAATGTCAAGGGATATGTATTTTTCAACATGGCAACCGCGCGAGTCCGGGCTTTACTTGAAGGCAACCCTCCCGAGAAGGCTATACGCAAAGCTGCCCATGACAGTCTGAATATATGCCATGGACTGCTTAGTGGCATGGTTGTTGAGAATGCCGAAACCTCTTTACCTGCCGACTTCCAGTCAAATCCATTAGATGGAATATTTTCTCCTCCGCTCGCATCCGACTCTGGATTCGACTTTCTCGAAGATCCAAATTTGTACCTACACTGTTCAGACTGGGACATTTTTCATTCAGCAAGTGGTGAAAGCTGGTTCGAACCTTGAAAAAAAGAATACACGAAAATATTATGGCGCAGGTGTTGGCAACGGGGTCTTGATTTCTGGATTATAAACAATGGATAAGCCCCCCCAATATACATGTTAACCATTCTGCCAGCTGACTGGCTTAATTTTTCCATGTTGGCCAGGTGCCATATATCAAACGAGCTGAAATTGTCCCTTGTTCAAGTTCCTCTTCTTATTGTATTCCTGCTTCAAATGACTAATTAGTTTATTTATAGCCGGAATGCAAGTGCAAATGAGACCTAGGCCACCCTCGGCGTTACTGAAATTGTTAAATGTTTGTGACAGAATGAGTCCAAGGAAATAATTTTGTTAACTTACTCGGAGAGAAGGATTCTCAAAAAGAGATCTCTTTGAAAGGGGGCATCTCTGTAATGAACGACAAGGACCAGCCGGTAGATGCTGAATGCAATAGCAGTGCCCCCCGCGCCCAAAATGACAATAACATGTATTTTCTTAGAGACAGCCATTTGCAATCCCCAGGTGAGGGCTATCGGAAATGTTAGAATAGCCAGATCAGTGGTCACACTAGTCACAGAGTCGGCAATGATGATAGCAGAACGATTGAGACATGACCCAGATAAATCGTTGACCTCCCACAATAGGCGGATTGGAGTGCAGGAAAACACTTTCACGAACAGAATAATAATATAATAGGCAATTATTATGGTCAGGAAGATATAGAGAGATACGACCTTAGCCCGGTATGGGCTCCAAAGTCGAATCAATGTATAAATGAGAGAGGTTTTCACAAGGAGAATCATCGGAACGTAGATCATCGTTGCGATATAAAATATCTAATTTGACAATTCATCAGCATATATAGCTGATTAAAACATGGTTTTAAAGATACCTTAAGGTCAAGCCGAGTAGCCGAGGGGGTATTACTATCGGGGGAAAAAGGCACGTCGGAAAAGGTGTCTATTGGAGTGTTCATCAGCGAGCCCAATCAAAATTGACAGGACGCAGAAAGAGAGTGTATACATAATAGGGTACAAATACAATGTCCTAAGAAGAGAATCTAAGGTACGTTAGTTATTTGGATGCAATAATCTCGATTCTCGAGATTGCATACCCATGCAAGATAGCAGGATGCTAAATATTGATCAGCAACGGGAAGCGCGAAAACATATGGCTGGATGTATTGCATTTTTTACCATCTTCGACACCAAATGAATGATGTAGTTTGAGCCGAGCAAGTAGCCTCAGAGCAATCAGAGGCGAAGTGATAGAAAAGCAGAGAATCTGAGTGACCAGGCTGATTGAATCCAGACTATTGGCCGCTTGGGGCTGATTGTTCATTATCGGGAGATGATTGCCCCATGAGGATGCGGGGCCCTGTCACTATGGGCATGCAGGATCAAGAACTTGCGAGTCGATAAGAGCATCCTATCGAATTCGAATTCGAAATGCGAAACGAAATAAAAGAAACAGATCGATTTTGCTGTCCGGGCATGTCGGGAAAGAGGCGAGTGGTGACGTCACTTCCAGCTTACCGGGCGGTTCCGCTTTTATTGGCGCGGAAAAGGAAGATTGGAAAAATTATAATATTAGGAGTATGGAGGAGTGAGCTTCACGATATCATTAATGTGAAAGAACTAAAAGTTCCTCTCAATCAAAACAGTATAATTTCTCTAGATATCATATACTGAGATATGAGTCAGACAAAATAACTACTGCTACTGTGGTACCTAGTACAAGTACAATTCGCTACTTTGTACTAGTAGTAGTAACTATTCCGTGTGACCTAACCACTGGCACCTACCAGTGGGAATTTGCCAGACGGGTGCATTAGGTATATGCCGTTACTACTATAGTAGTGCCTCCCTCTTACTAGCCACTCAGACTGAAAAAGGTCGAGATACGAGTAGGTACCGGGATGGGGCCCCGCCGAGCATTTCACGGGCTCCTTACGAGGATTGAGTATAGTACATACCAGTAACTATTTGGCAGGAGCTCTAATGTTTGATTTATTTCGTCCACCTCGAGTCCGGAAAGAGTATATCCAAGTTGTTAAAAGGCTATGTACGGAGCACGAGCAGATCGTAACCCATTATATGGAGTGGAGTCATGGTGCGGTACTCCGTACGGAGTACATACTGTCCAAGTGGTAAGATCAACGACCGTGTTTGTCAATATGTGACAGTGATCGTCTTGCTACATGTGTACAACATACATACATATGTACTCGTAGCTACTCGTAGAAAAGTCCACAGCCCTGGAGGGCTTAGGGGACGCATTATGACCCCACCGCCATAGGGGGCTAGATTGCCTGGCAATGTGAACTACTTCATATTTAGTAGCCAAGGGCATAACCCTGACTTCGATATGGGGAGTACTTATGCGCATTTCTCTCCACGGTGGGAAAATAAAGGTTTGTCCTGACCGTTTTCCCCCTTGGCGTTGCACGGGACTATGATATGCCCCTGGGCTCCTGGATTGTCATATTTGTGTGGGCAATTTAGACGAGTGGAGCAGGCCTACATTTCACGTGCCCGCGTAGTCCTTGGCACAGTCCCTATTTATGAAGGGATAAAACGAGACCTCGGTCATAACAGGGGGACTCCCGAGCCTTGGTGCCAAGACCACAATTTTGCTTTCCGTCATTTTCGCTTTTTTGCACTCCGTACGAGGCTCGCTGACATGTAGAAAATCCCGTTTAGAGTTCTTACATCAGACGAGGCTAGTTCAGATACATACTCAAAATTGAGTCGGTCTCTTGGAGCCCTGGTCGGGTCCACAGTGGGCTTTGGAATCAATAGACTTTGGGCTCATGGTCCACAGTGGTAGAGGGGGCCCTTGGCACCCGATACAGGATCATATGAAAGATCAGTAATCGTGCCCCGTAATAAGAAGGACAAGCTCAGGAACTAAATCAGGTTCTAGTCAGTTTCTCAGTGTTCCAGAATATGCAATATCCCTTGAAATTTTCGCACCCTGAAACTCTGGACAAGTGTTAGAAACGTGAATTAGAAAGTGAGGTGGATACCACAACTAAGCTTTTCTAATACTTTCTAGGAAGGCCTTTACCCAGTAGCCCAGCGCTGTCGAATTCCAAGGCTGGGGATCTGCTATGGACCCGGTTAAGCGCTGAAATACTTGATAAATTAGCCACAGCTGGGGTTCCCGACTCTGTACATACTTGTACAGAGTTAGACAGATAACCATACAAATTACTAAGTTACTAAGCCTCCCATACCCACCATGAATGAGAAGAGCAACTGACAACTGTTCACTGGAAATAATCACTTGAGCTGTTGTAGCGATAGGTTCAAGATAAGTATCCCTTTACAACCATATAGTTCTTCGGGATGAGAGAGCAAACCCGAAAATGGTACGAAATGGGAGATCAAGAATGATGTATCCGTACTCCGTACTGTTGGCGGTGATCGCCGGGAGAGAGAAGGTGATAGCTGATCTAATCCGGAGCTCTAGACTCGGAGCTTTTGGGCCTGGGGGATACTCGTATGGACTTGGGAAGTCTTCTTAATGATAAGTTCACTAGGCTCTCAATGCCGGGAAAGAGGTTTGATTGGCGTTGATGAAATAGCCAATTTTTATGCAGGAATCACGTACCACGAATTTTATACAATGACAAAGGGTCATAGCGGTGATGAACTCGGTGGGCGCATCTCCTAAATTATCTTTCGAACTCAATAAGTGCGGTAGAGTGTACTATCACTGACAAAAGCGAATATGAATGCCTCAGTTTTCACTCGAATTAATTCTAATAGTAATGAATTATTGCATGGCAGAAATCTAACATTCGAAGAAATGATCATTCAGATGCCCACTCTGCTCGGAAAAGGATGCTTATATATGAAGTTGAAGGTAGCCGTGGCCAAGTCGATGGCAAACTTGAAGAATTCAATGACATATTAAAACATGTAATCCTGGGAGTATCCAACGAGGTGTCCAATCGAAGCCCGCGGGTGCATCTTTTGGCTTTTGACGCTCCTTTCGGGCGGGATATCCACGTAGGCTTTGCAGTATCAACTTCTCAGCTGTGCAAGAGATGTCGAGTATGTTAAGTAGTACTAGGGATTGATTTTTATGACTATGAGATGAGCTTGAAATATTTATACATAGAAAAAACACTCCTGGGTGATCGAGGATTAAGGGAAGTGATGGCGAAGTTGCACAAATTGCGAGAAAATCACTTGCCATAGGCATGTGAAAATGCATCGGATGACGATAGAAAGTATTGTGGTATACCTGAAACGTTAATATGAGTCGGGCCCACGAATTAAAGGAATATATAGTATACTCTCAGGTATTATGTAGGGCGCTGCAGTAATATGCGGACAATTTGTTTCAGGTCTTGGCATTTCAAGGTTGAGGCGATGCTCGTCATCTGCCGCCGCTACCGGAGATTTTATTATATTATTGCACTAGGAGTGAGGGAGAGCTGAGAAGGGTATGGACCGACCGTGTGAGGACCAAAAGTCGGGAATCTCAGCCTTACGGTCATCAATGCTGGTAATATTCGGCTAGTACGGAGCATGGGATGCAAAGTCTTCTCTGCTGTGAGATTGGAGAGCCTGGCTCCAATTCAAAACTTGAGGTTCATCTAGATTTGAGTGGAACACGGTTCCTTCAGTGGATGTGACGCGTCAGAGTGCAAAATATTTACCGAGTATAAAAATCAGGTGGGGGGGGGGGGGGTGCGCTTAAGCATGCCACTTTATGGGGCTTGGCTAGTTTGCCAGGGACTGGCATTCACAGTGCAACACCTCCAGGGCTCTAAGCAAACCGGGCTCGGAGAAATCATCCAATTATCGTATTCCATACTTCGTGCGAATCAAGTCAATCCATGGATACTCCGGTCCGATGTCACAAGAGCGGGTGGTAGCAAAATCAAACCGCATTTGCCGACCATCCCGCCGACCCTAACTCGGGATCCTTAACGACATCTGATAAGATATACGATCTGATCCGTCCGGTTTCCGCTCCGTTGCCGATCTTTCCCACAGGGTGGTTGTGGCCACTTATTGAGGACGATCTTGCACATTTTGGGATCGCGACTAAGATGACGCATGATAAGATGAGCACTATTCTCCAAACCATCGCCACATTGAGAAACAATCAGCAAGTGGTAGGCGGTATCCGAAATCATTCCACCACCTCCGCTCCGTGGTCAAATGGAATTTTCGAAGCGAACGGAGCACTCCGTAACTCAATATTTTCAAATAATGAAAATGGGTCACATTGGGTTTTATGCCGGTGTAACTGACCAAAAGGGGCATTACGGGAATAGTATAAAAAAACGTAGCGTTTTGGATCGGTGCGAGCTGCCGCGCATTGATTCAGAAACGACCTCTAGATTTTTTTGAAGCCACTATGTACATAACCCCTCGGTAAGATGGTATACCGCAGTCAGTGTGCACTAGATTAATTGAACACCAAAAAAAACAAGTCCGAGAACCCTGCCGAACATGGTCGGTCGCACCCGTGGCATCCCGAGCTTTCAGCCGGTATGCCCGAGTTTTTTTTTCTTCTCCCGACCGAGAACGCGGAAGTACTCTAAGCCGGGCTTCGCCGGTGTACCACCGGCATGCGCTGAGCGGGAGCACGCAATCCAAGAATGATCTCAGGACGATGGGCTAATCAAACGGATGAGCCTGCCTTACGGAGTGGGAGTTGATTTGTTAGCGTCCTGTACAAGTCGAGATTCTTCAGCCGAGCCCCCATGACGCCAAATCAAGAGCGGTCCCGAAGATCGGTGGGAAGCAAGCTTGGCATTGATACAATTTGGAGGCAACTAGATTGATGATTGGAA